GGTGGAAATTCTTCAAGGTCGAACCTCGCAGCAATTCACCCTCACCGCCTACCACAACCGTTCCTTTTCTTCTCACTTTCGCCAACCACCGCGAATCCCATCGCATACCATACAAGCAAGATCCCGGAAGCGGACCGTTGCAACAACAATTCTGCCGCGTTCCTCCATTCCGCTTGCGCAGCAGCAGCAAAAGTCAACAAAAACAACAACCAAAATCGAAACATCAAAACTCCTTTTCTTCTCTTTCCACGCAGCACAAATAAGGAAATATGGAGGACGGAAGCCAAGCATCGTCGAGACGGTCGCGCAATCCTCCTCGTCCAGAATCGAGTGCGAGTTCCATGACGAGAATGACGCCCAGCTCTTCCAATAGCTCGTCGACGAACTTACCGCGGAACCAGAGCGCGAGAGGAGGGACTTCTGCCGGTGCGAGTTTATTGCAAGAGAGGTTGCGAGAGAGGAAGGTTGAGAGCGCGAGGCAGAGTCGGAGGAGGAGTATTGATCTGAGCATGAATAATCGGGATGTGCAGAGCTCGCCGGTCAAGGCTTCGATGATCAGGGATGAGATGCGGCCGAGCTCGTGTGGCATTTCGAGTGGTGGGAAGCCGATGGGAGTGAAGCAGATCGAGGACGTGAGTGTTGTTGTTTTGGTATTGGAACGTGAGGGCTGATTTTTGTGACAGCAAGTTTCGACTTTACACAAGCAGAATTTCGATCTGAAGCTCGAGCTTAGCTTTCGCCGTAAACAACAGGAAGATTTGGAAACCCGGCTGGACAAACAGATTGCAGAGCGAGAGGAATTGCAGGAGATCAATGATCAACTGCTAGCAGAGCTCGAGAAGAGGGATAATGCTGTCAATGAAGCTGTCAGGGTGATCTGCGAGCTGGAAGAGAAGCTCGAGAGATATGAGAGGGAAGAAGTCAAGGCTTTCGATGCTTCATATGAACCCGGATACTTTGATCACGGCCCTGAGGAACCATCGAGCTCGCCTCCACAGTACGAGAAGAGTACACTGCGTCCTACGAGAAGTATTCCTCGAATGCCTTCGTTTTTGTCCGAGACTACACAGGGCACGGAGAATCTCAGGAGCTTGTACCTTCCACATGATGGCAGCTACAGCGATGTCGGTCTTCCAAAGTTACCGGAAGAATTATCAGACGGTGCGAATAGCCCTAGGTTGAGTGTGCTGAGTGAAAGCTCTTTCATCAGTATCTATGGACACAAACAATTGCCACTAGATGATCACGTTCTCGAAGACGAATTACCACGACGACATCGAGCTTCATCTTCGGTTGAAAAATGGGTCGATGAACGTCCTATTCCTACCGTTACTTCACCACTCAGACCACTTCCTGCCGCGAGAAAGAGTCAATTCTTGTCGATCAACGATGTTCTCGAATCACCGTTGCAGAGATTGGAGAAGTTGAGACATACGGTGGAGAAGAAGAATCGTGGTATCCAGCAAGTGGAACGAAATCTGAGTGTCCAGGAAAAACGAAAGTCGAAGGAGTTGAGGCAGGTTTTTACTGATCAGGGTAACTTTGATCAGCAGGAGACGCTGCCACCCACTCCCGATACCATTAGCACCAATACGTTGAGACATTACCAGCATTCGAATGATACGTTGGCTCAAGATCGGATGAAAGAGGGTACATTTCTTAATAGCATCGCGGCATTCCCAACTCCAGGAGAAACCTATAATGCTTTCCAATCCACAATTTCTATTCGACCCCGAAGCGCAGGAGAGACTGTCACAAGCAGACGCGAAGGTCATGGCTGGGACACACCATCAGAAGACCTGACAACCGACGTTGCAAGCATATCCAGCAACGGCACCTACTCGGCTGACCCCCTCCGTCCCAAACGAGTCATGACTCCTAACCTCTTTAGCTTCACAGCAGGAGACTGGGGTCGAGACATGATGTACAACAACGAGCCCGAACTCCCCGCCCACACCCGAGCCCGATACCAAGAACTCCGCCGCACAACCCTCAATAACGACGATGGCCCACGAAGCGACAACACAATCCGCTACGACGACCAACAACCGCAATACGGCACCGTCCCCATCGACACCACGCCTAAGCCCGAAGTATCAGACCGTCGCTCCAGTCTCTCCGCCACAACTAAATTGAGAAAATCCAACAATAGCTCCATCCACTCCACCCAAGCCTCCGCTATCCCCTCCCCCACAACATCCGTACCACCAAACAAGACCCGCTTCTCAAGCCTCGGCCTCTTCCGCCGCAGCGAAACTTCACCAGCTCCTCCTGTCACAGCCTCACCACAACAACCCCTCCGCTCCAAGCCAGCGAGCAGAACGCAATCGTACCCGGACCCCGGACTAGATGACGACGATGCGCGTGCTACGCCGCCGCCGATTAAGAGGACGAGGCCTGGACAGGGGCAAGCGCAGAGCTATAGACCTACGTCCGCGGGTGCGGATGCGGTGAGGAGGGGTGGGGTGGAGCAGGTGCAGATGCTGGAGGGGAGGGCGAGGAGGGGGAGTTTGAATGCTGGGATGGTGGGGGAGGAGGATGGCGGGAAGAACTCCGGGAAGAAGTGGTTTGGGTTGGGGAGGAGTGGGAGTCAGAGGCGGAATTAAAGTAATCTCTTTCTTCCTCTATTTTCCGAGGGTGGTGGCGGTAGTCTTTTCTGGCGTTTGGAGGGGATGGCGTTTGATTTTATTTGCCTCTTCTTTTTAAGAGCTGGTTTCTTTTCCGATTTAAATTTGACTGACAATGGGGATAAAAGTTCGAAAGCAAGGGAGAAATTGTAAGATAGGAAGGAGAGAGAAGAAACAAGATAAGATGGACGCGCGAGCGCTTTTTTCTGCGGCTTTGGGGATTTGTACTATACAAGCGAGTCTTTTTCTGCGGTGCGGTGCGGGTTAGGGAGTTTAAATTTGAATTTAAATTTAAGTTGTAGGGTGAGGTGAGATGAGGAGGGAGCAGAGGGGCAGAGGAGGAGGGAGAGCAGAAGGAGAAGGAGAGAGGGGAAGGGAGTGTATGAATATATTCTGATTTGATCTGCACTGCATCACCACTTTACTTCTTCATGTGATACCGTTTTATAGGGTTCCTTGAGTTGAGTTGAGTTTGATCCGAGGGTACAGTATCTGTCTAAGTGGACTCTTTTTATACCTTTTCGAGCGAGCGTTTGTTGTTGGATTATTTTGAGATCTAGGAGGGTGTTGTGTGTCAATGAGTATTTTGGGCCTCTTGGTTCAATGTTACTGTTACAATTTCCGTTCCTGCTCGCTTTATCTGCGGAGGAAAAAGTATTCCTCCCCAAGGATTCTGTTCCATGGTTCAATTACTTAGAGAGGAGATGCGATGCTTGAGTAAAATATCTGTTATTGCGCGTTGCCGTTTTTCATTTGTGTTGTTCGATTTTCTTTGCAGTGGGCGCAAACAGCGGGTTCAGAGCAGTCAGCGCGCTCAGCACGTTCAGCACGTTCAGCGGGTTGGGCGGGTTGGGCGCATCCAGCGCACTCAGCGTAAGTAGCGCAATCTGCGCAGCGCATCCAGCTCGTTCAGCGCGTTTAGCGCAACCAGCGCAAGTAGCACAACTTCAGCTCCTCGAGCCGTTCTGAATAATTTCCGACCTACAGACTGGCATTCCTAGAAATGAATACACTATTTTTCATTCAATTTTTGAATTGATAACTTAGATGTCCTATCTCCAGACGACTGTTTTCGAGTTTTCTTTTTCGGATGTATGTGCTCCACGAGAGGAGGCCGTTGTGCTTTGGTATGGATTTTAGGGCGGTGAATTGAGGCAGGTGTGGATGGATAGATGGGTGTGTAGTGGGGTTTAGATGGTTGCTATGGTTGGTGGTTTATTCGGGGTATTGAGCTGGTTTGTTGATGTTGATGATGTTATTTGTTGGGTTGAAAATTGTTGTAGTTTTGCAAGTGAGTTTTTAACTCCTGATATAATGAGGGGCAAAGTGTTTAGATGTTAAGAGAGGATATATGATATTGACAAGGGATGGAGCATGAAGTTGAAAGTGCCGTTTGATATATTTTATAATATTTGCTTTGTTTAAAGTGACAGTTTGTTAGTATAGACGGGCATTTCTCTCAACTCAAGAAAAGTATGATTTCTGTGGCGGTAGGTCGTTTAGAGAAAAACCAGAGTTTATAGTGCTCTTCTTGTTCATTATCTCCTATCCGTGCCTCATTGCCCTCTATACCCTGTTCTAGGAACGAATGGCGAGAAAGTGGGGAATTAGAGGATCCGATCTCTGGAAAGTTTTGAGAGGAAGGAATTTCAGTTTTACTTGAATTAGCGCAATGTTTACTGTCTCCATTCCACTCGCATAACCACTTATACTCTGTCTCCTTTTGGTCTAGTGGGCAGTACCGTACTGAGGGAATGATACTTAGTTCAACGATGGTCGAACCCAATTGGGTTTGTCGGCCGCTATTTTAGTAAGTATATTTTGGCTTGTCTTTCATCTGGGTTCTTACTATCTCCGAGTCCTCTCTTAGCCAAGCTTTCTCTCAAAGCTCACTCAAAGCTCCAAGCTCTCACTACCCTACGTAGGTATCATGTTTACTGTTAGTGCAGTACCGGCGCGAGCGAGGGGGCGAAGCAACTGAGCGTGTAACCTATTGCACCCTTAATTAGCAAGTATTATAGTGGTAACTAAGTATCTTAAGCTTTTAAAGCTTACGGATAAAGCTCGAGGTTTCAGGTAAAGCAATGAAATTAGATTCAAGGTTGAGATACGACAGCATCACGTGGTACCCAACTTCATGAGATGCTTCACTTAAGGAGATATCTCCTTACTATCAATCTCTAAGTGATCCGAATCCTTCTTTCACATACGAAGATACGTTAGCATGAGATAGTGGCTTAATCACGACATGCATAAGATTATGGTGACACACGTGATTGGATCCAGCTAAATCAGGCAAGTGGGGTCAATCTCAGTTTCCTCATCCGCAAGGTCAGCTTCAAATGATCATTGGTATTTTCAATCCTTCAAGCAGCACATCACATAGTCGATTCTTGACGTCCCCGAACTCGGCCACACTTCTTGACTTCTTTCTTTACAACCCATGTTTCGTATGCTCTGGCTGCCCAATGATGGACAGACTCCACGTAGTTGTGCATATATGTCGGGCGTCACCCATCGACAGACATCCCAATCAACGACTAGATGAGAAGGGTACTGACAAGGCATACAATGAGGCGTCTAGCAAAGTGTCTAGCAAAGCGTCTAACAAGGCATCCTGAGCCCACAGCCTGATGCTGGTGGTGGTGTGGCACTGCCCGCGGCATTGTTGTCAATTCCCCCTCGAAATCGCGAAATTATTCTTCACATGCTGAAGTCGCTGTTTCTTCGCGATCGATATCAATTACCTCAATGGACCCTCTTACTGCCTTGGGCCTCGCCGGCAATATCGTCCAATTCATCGACTTTGCCTGGAAATTGTTTGAGGGGACCAAAGCCATCTACAAGTCAGCATCAGGCTCTAGCCACGACAACGCTGTCCTACAAAGCATTGCGAACGACCTGAGACACCTAAGCAACGGCATCATCATTTCGAACCAGCACTCCGAAGAGCTAAGGCGTCTTGCGACAGAAAGCAAGCGGATCAGTCTGGAACTCTTGGACGCTCTAGAGAAGCTGAAACTCCAAGGCCGGAATACGAAATGGAAAAGCTTCGTCCTTGCATTGCGAGAGGCATGGAGCCGAGGCAAGATAAATGAGATGTCCGACAGGCTATCGGCTCTCCAAAGCCAGATGAATTTGCACATCCAGATCATGGTTAGGTAAGATTTCAAAACAATGCGAACTCGTTCTCCGTTCCTGACGTATCGGGCAGAGCACTTTTGAACAGCCAAGAGAATGTGTTTTGATGAGCCAGCGGGAGGTTGTCTTGACGATAGATATACTGTCGAACCAAAGGCTCTTCAACAGTTCCTGATCTTGCTTCATCGTGGCAATAGTATTGTTCAAATTTTCCAACTTATTCAGCTGCTCTTGGACGGTGCAGAGCAAGTGGCCAAGTCCTATATCTTCGCTTTTCACAGGTTTGGGCGGGGATGTGTGTCCGATGCTTGCTTTTTGCTTGAAGATATTTCCAACTTCCTTTTCCGTCTGCTTCATGGATTGTATGCCCGTATGCATCCTCAAATCGAGTCTCGCGTCGCTTAGCTCGAGGGTTTTAATACTGTTAGAGATCTTGTGTATCTCATTGCTGTTTTAGGTCACAGAAAATCCACTTTGTCGACTGGCTTGGAGCCCAAAGCGAGGTGTTCTGGATCAAAGGCAAAGCAGGCTCGGGAAAGTCGACCCTCATGAAGTTCTTGAGCAATCATCCTGAGACCTTAAACCATCTGAGAGCATGGGCCGGAAATCAACAACTGATTACTGCACGATTCTTCTTCTGGAACTCTGGTACAGCGCTGCAAAAATCTCAGACCGGTTTGCTTAGGTCGCTTCTCTTTGAGATTCTGCGGCAGTGCCCGGAGGTTCTACATTACGTCTGTATGGTTCGAGCACGATTCAAGGACCCAGAACTCAGGTGTTTGAATCCGGGTTCAGAACACCTTCCGAGACAGTTGGATCACCTTCTTGACGAGAGTTTAGATTGGAGTCATGAGGAGTTAGTTCATGTATACAAATGTCTTGTTCATACCAAGGCACAGTCGAAGTTCTGCTTCTTCATAGACGGCCTCGACGAGTTCAAAGCAGAAGGCGCACAGGATCACCGCGAACTTGTGAGCACCCTCCGGGAACTGGCAACCTGGCCTAACGTTAAACTTTGCTTGGCAAGTAGGCCCTGGACTGTCTTTGCGGATGCCTTTACGTCTACCAAGTGGGTACTACAGTTAGAAGACTTGACTAAGCCAGACATATATCGATATGTGTCCGACAAATTTATGAAGCACGATCAGTACCAGAAACTTCTGAAAGCACGCCCAGGCTACTCGGACCTCATTGGTGAAGTCGTCAGAAAGGTACAAGGGGTATTCCTCTGGGTTTTCCTTGTTGTTCGTGATCTTCTCGATGGTCTCACATACAATGACCCAATAAAGACTATGCACCTCCGACTTAACCAATTTCCAGACGACCTTGAAAGTTACTTCCAGCACATGATTGACTCCATACCGAAGTTCTATCGCAAAGAAACTGCTCAAGTGTTTCAGATTGCTCTGTCCAGAGAGGAGCCGTTGTCATTGATAACTTACGCATTCGTTGACGATCTTGCAGAGGACCCAAACCTAGGTCTCGCGGGAGGTGATATTGAGCTCACATCCTCTGCCATCGATGACAAGTAAGATACTATGCGACGCCGTCTGGACGGTCGATGCAAAGGGTTGGTAGAAGTTGTAACAGACGAGCAGGCTGAGAACGACTTTTATCGGTATAAAGTTGACTTCCTTCATCGTACCGTTCGTGATTATTTGCTTCGCTCAGAGGACGTCAGGAGCTTCGTGGTCTCGGAGTCCGTAGCAGACGGTCAACTTTGGGTCAAACTCTGCCATGTAGCCTTCCTCACTTTAAAATGTCTTTCACTCGAGCAAGACGAACCCGGGCGATTTCTGGATATTTGGGATGAGATATTCAACTTCGCATACCTTGCATTGCAAGAATGCGCAGATCAGTCTGCTGTTGACCATATTCTGGATGAAGCCGAGGGAATCGAAAACGATATCGATAGCATAGATGATCTAATTCGTCTCGGCGTGGCGTGCGAATATGGGCTCTTGCATTATATCAGCCGCACCATAGACTCCGATCCAGAAGTCCTCCACGATAATTATTCCAGTAGCTTTATTCTTTCGCACGCTCTATTGCCCAACCGAGTCTCTGGCGAATTGTCAACTGAGCTTGTCAGCTACTTGCTTAATCTTGGTATCGATCCAAATGCGCGAAGGACACTCGCACCACAAAAGAATCCACACGGAAAACTCTGGACATCGCGTCATTTCAAAGCAACGACTACCTTCATGATATTCATGGCCAGCTTAAGAGACGGTCTGATATCGCCCGAGCAGAAAGGTGTTTCAGAGGTGGTAAAACTCCTTTTGTCCAAGAAAGGTGATCTTGATCAGCCTGACGTCAAGTCGGAAGGGAAATCACGAGCGGACACGACAGCCAGAGATACTATCCTACGCTGTTTTTCAAAGTCTCAGGTTTCGTGGCTCCTTGGCGCAGCTCCACCAGATTCTAACCTTAAAAGGAAAATAGAGAATGGAGGACAAAATGAGATCGGCGGTCAGGACTCGGAAGTGGAGGTAATTCGAAAAAGGAGAGTAGTAGTGGCGGAAATGAATGGCCGATTTTGTCAGGCGAGAACACCAAATACCCGTTACTACAACTAATATTATATGCTATGGTACAATTAAAACTCGATAAGACTTGCTTTTGTACCTTTTAAAAAGCTATTCGATCTATTGAAAAATATCTTTAATACACTATTTTGTTGTGCGCAATAACTTATCTTCCATCAGATTTGGGCAGTGTGCAAATTCGACCACCTTTTTCGTCCCGTAGCGGGGAACCAGATTGGCTCCCAAAAGGAGAGTAGCACTAGCCAAAGGAAAGTGAAGGAAGCTCGGCAAAACAGAGTAGTAGGCAAAATGAGGATGCCAACGGTTGTTGCGCAGCGGACGTGGTAGTAGCCCGGAAAAAGCAGCCGCCACGAGAAGACATGGATTGGGTCTTATGAGAGTATGCAATCAACTATAACGAAAGGCGCGAAAGCTCACTGGACATTTTTCAACAGGTTGGTCGTTCAACTGGATTCAAGATGGGTATCTGACAAAGAAAAGGGCCCTATATACAAAATTACAACTCTGCCATGATAAGCGCAAACTCAGACATATCCGGCGGCTGCTTATCAACCTGCACCTTCAGCTTCCGATCGAAGAAAGCTCCCCTATTATCAATAACCACATCGGCACTCAACTCCCTCGTTCTGCGTACCTCATCATCGCTCACCCCCTCATCATCCCTCGGGATCCAAACGCAGGGACTCGTTTCTCTTAGCACCGGATGCATGAACGCAACCGAGATCAAAAGATCACGATCTTCTGGCTCGAGATTCTCTAGCTCGTCGTTGTGCTGCATAATGACCTTGGAGATCGGATCGTCGAGCATCTGGGCTTCGATGTCGGCGCGGCGGGGCAGGAGGGTGTTGGTCAGAGCGGCCGAGGGTCCAGCAAGCTTGTGCTCGAGATGCGAAAGTCGGGCTTCATTTAGAGGAGCATTAAGACGGGCTAGGATGCGTGCTGCGGATTTGGTATCCTCGCGCTGTTGAGCTTGGAGGTCTTTGGAGCGATTTGAGGATTGTCGTTGCCAGAGGGGTGGTCTCTGTTGATTGTTTGGTTCGAGGTTATGATCTGTAGAGCTGTTTTGGGTGAGGTCCAGGTCTTTTTCTTCATCTTGGGGTGCAGGGTTGATTTCCTTCGAAGAATCATGAGTCTCACGACTTGCTGTTCTCCGTTCTTCTTGGTCTTCGGATAGTAAAGCTTTGGACTCGGCCTCCAAACGAATAGGAGCGTATTTGAACAATGGAGCGAGATGATTCATCAACCATATCTGGTATAAGATTGTGAGGACAAAAACCACCGCCATGATGATACCCTGCGCAGCACAAGCGACTTTATCCTGAGTATCGCGGACTAGGAAAAAGAGGCCGATAAGACAAATCTCCATGAAGTAGAGGCCGGTGAATAGTTGGTTGATGGCACTTGGGAAAAAGAGTCCACCTCCGTCAACGGTGCCTGTTCGTACGCAATAGAGGACGTTGTTCTTGATCACGACCCAAAAGAGGCTGAAAGTGATCAACATGAATAGTAGCATCAGTGGCGCGATGGTCGAGTAGACAAGTCCTGATATTTGGTTAGTGTAGGCTCGGTAACCGGAGGTAGTGTGTTACATACCAATAACTGCAAAGGTAGTATACCATGGAACATTACTGCCAATACGCGTTAAATTTGTCCAGCTCAATTTCTCGAATACCGAATCAGGCGTATTGACGTGACCAATGACATAGAACTTGAACAATCGAATCGTCTGCAAGATCGACGTTGCACTCAAGGACAGTGCTTGCAAGATCAAGAATGAGAAGTAGTAGTTGGCTGCCGTCGGTAGATTCGTGGCGAGAATATTTGGCACTGATGTGGGAGTGCGGATGAGTTCTTCAACGATGCTGGTAAGACCGGACGAGACGGTGGGTATGATGAAAAGTTCGACGAGCAGGAAAATAAAGTACCAAAGCTGGAGTGAGCGTTCGCCTTCTTGGCCGGTCGTTGCACCTCTCGTCCTATTTGTTAAGAGGCGGATGAGAATCGGGAGTGGGCCGCTAAGGACAATGACTTGGATGACAGGTGGCAGAGTACCTTGGATGAAGGAAAGTAGCCATGGAGGGAGACTGCCGATCCATTTGAGCCAAGAGGTTGATCCGGACAAAGTCGATACTCGAGACAAGATGCCTGTGAATACCGAGATGAGACCGAATGCGAACAATAGAATGGCGAAAAGGAACAAGAAGCCAACAAGGCGGATGTAGCGAGAACGCCAGGACAAATTCAAGCTGGGCCAGTTGATGTCTCCAGGTGAGATCTCCACCAATCTCCTCTTCATGTGCCGAGGAGCGGTGTCGGCAACGGACTGACAAGCCATGTGTGCTGCTTTCTGAGAATTAAATTGTACGAAAGCTGACATATTTTGTGGATAAGCGTCTGGTGTCTGAGCATCTATTTCGATTTCCTTGTTTAATCGAGCAAGTTCTCTGCGGCAATAGTAGATTGTGTCGATTTTTGTAGTGTAGAAGCGGCCAATAAGGGGAATTTTGGCTGCTGCTGTGTGCCCATCTTTGGGTATCCTCATAGTTGCTCGATTTTTTGGCGCGAGGAATCTGCTCCACGCAGCTTTTGTTTCGAGGTCATATTCCAGATCTCGTCGACAAGCTTCAGGAGTTGGGGGACCCATTTCCGGGCGCGCAGGATGTTCTTCAGGTTGGTGTTCTGGAGCTACCTGCTCTGAAGCTTGAACCGAGTTTCCTGCCTGGTGCGACTTTGCCTTCCGACTTCGTTTAGCCACTTTCCGTAGAAGATCGGTTTCGGCATTTTCGAGAAGATTTTCGTAGTACTTTCGAAGCTTGTCCTTGTTCACGATCGTGGTAAAGTCTCGATTGATCCAGATTCGTCGGATGCCACCAGGGAAATCGCCATATAACTCTTCCAATGCTGCTTCATTGCAGAGATTTTCTGGAATATCCTGTATGAGAACAGTTGTGCTGGATGCTTTCAATAAGTGACCCGGGCTGCTGATGTATTCCACTCGTTTGGTGATGTAGTGGATCAATTCTTGGTGAAACATGAAGCAAACCCAGGCCACAACTCCAATTGATAAGATCAAATGAGCCCAATATCTGTCGCTATTTGCAGGAGAGACATTTGACCAAGCCAGAGTATCAAGTCCTGTAATATTGTATGTGACCCCTGCAATGGTATTGGTTGCTTTTCCTTGCTTGACATTGAGAGGTATCAGAATGGGCACGATAATGATGGCCATGGGAGTAAAGATCTTCAGGCACATGCTGAGAAACCTAAGAAAGAAGTATGCATCCATGCCAGCCTTTCCCAGGACTTCGGGATCTTCTTTGATCTGGAAAACGGTGAAGAGCCATTTGAATGGATTGTTGTGAGGTGGTTTGATCCTTTGCTTGACCGGTACCAAGAATGATCGTGGTTGGTAGATGCGTTTCGCCCATAGATAGTTCCTAATGATTAGGAAGATGCTGAACTGAGTTGCGAAAAGGATAAAACCAGCAGCCAAAGAGATGGAAAAGGTTGTGATCGTTGTGCCTGCTTTCCCCTGTGCTGTTCCTGCAGCCCCGTTCACCGTTCCATTCAGGATACTCGCGATCCCCGACATCGTGATGTTCAGGTTGTGTTATCGCATTTTGTTTCGTGCTGGCAAACAATAGCAGAGAAGTATGTTCGCGATAAACGTTGTTATCAGAATTGTTGTGACACACGTCGAGTTGCTAGTTTGGGATGGTGATGTACGATGACATCAGGCTATTTTAGGCGCCACAAACTTTGCCGAAACGCTGCTGCCGGCATTGATCACGTGCTGACTACAAGGGAGAAAGGGGGTTTCCATCAGTTCGCTAATCGTGTACTTGGCCGTTATCGTTCAAGTACAATGTTTAAACAAATATATATCTCAGTGTATGCTGCACTTATACTGACGCATTGGCGAGAACCTTCTGAGATGGAGACAAGGTAACCACGAGGATAGATTGCTGAGCTGAAAAGGGTTGATTGCGATTTCTGGAATGTGTTGTCGAGTCTTAGCAGTTGATGAAGATGCTGAGTAAAGAAGAAATCTGACTGTCGTTGTAGCAATCTCGCTCTCTCTAGCTTGCAAATCACCCGTTGATGTCCTTGGTCACGTCTCTCATCTCCAACAACTCAATTCAAAGCTCCGGAATATGCGATTTTGTCAAAGGTACAGAAACATCTCTATCATCTCTGATCCAGCCGGCTCGACAACCTTCAACCGACTGGCTCCGGATATGATATGCCGACACTTGGGGGGCAAATGTGGCGCGCTACTTCGGATGAACCAATTCGTCACCCGCAACGCCACCGATGCATTTGTATTACTGGAGAAATTTCGGGGTCTCCGTCTACATTTCTTCAGGACGAGTAATATCCTGCACATAAAGGAGAAGCTCGGTGCTTGTAGAACTTCAAATATATATTCAGCTGTATTCGCATTGTCATTCCCGGATATCTGCAGGAACAGCGACCTGCCACATGAAGAGATCCTCGCTGTCATACTTGGTCATAAACACCAACCGAAACGGAAGTTCCTCCGTTCAGCAGTTTTCAAGCTTCAGCTCAATCTATCCACGTCTTGAAATCCGTTGTTTCCCATTCGTCAATTCAAATTGTTTTTTATTTAAGCTCTCACTCATTAATGCAAGCGCGGCACTAAACTCAAGCTTAAATGTCGATCATTCTTTCAGTGACTAAAGGAGATGGCGACGTCCGGCTCTGTTCATCTCCCGAACTTGACGGCGTCAATCATGCAGCCAATCTTCAGCCGCATGTTGGGGGTATTTGGACGCTTTTGGATGTTTGTCCGCGAATGTGGATCATATGGGCCACCGAGCTTGATACTGGAATTATGGAGACTGGGGAGAGGAGGTGGATATCTTCCGCTGTGTTGCGGGGAAGCCATATATACCCCCCTTTCTCGAACTTCTTGCCTTCTGTCTTCTTCAAGTTCCTCTTCATATCATATCCTCGATGAAATCTTCAATAATAGCAGCAGCTGCTGCATTCTCAACCGGCGTTTCTGCATTTCCCACCATTGCTCTCGAAGCTGCCCAAAACGCAGTCCGACATGCAAATGTCTTTCAAGCAGCAAGAGCTGCTCATGAGAAACGACTAAATGGCATCCTCCCTGGTTTCAATGCTGCAGAGCAACTTATCGACGTGTCAGGCGAACATGCCTTCGTCCCTCCAAACTTCAGTGCTGGCGATATGCGTGGTCCTTGTCCTGGCTTGAATGCGCTGGCAAATCATAACTACCTGCCTCACGATGGGTTTGCTACTATTGATCAGTTCGTTTCTGCTACAAATGAAGTATTTGGGATGGTTTGACTGCCTTCTTTCTCTCCACATCTGAGGTATACTAATAGATGACAGAGTCTCGATCTCGGCCTTTTCCTCTCTGTCTACGGAACGGTCATGGATGGAAACCCACTCTCCCTTACACCTGGCTGGTCAATCGGCGGTCCTCCAACAGATGCCAGCGAACAAAACCTCCTCGGAAACCTGCTCGGTCTTCTAGGAACACCAGACGGTATTTCCGGCTCTCACAACAAATACGAAACCGACACTTCACCCACACGAGGCGATTTATACCAATATGGAAACGACTATGCCCTCCAAGTTTCCCAATTCCAGACCCTATTTGATCTCCAGCCTGATGCTGCTACGGCAAACTATAATATGGAAGTCTTGGCGCAGGAGAGAAAGATTACGTTCGAAAGAAGTATCGCAGAGAACCCACATTTCTGGTACGGACCTTTCACAGGCATGGCTGTAAGCCAAGCAGCCCATACCTTTATCTATAGGTTCATGTCGAATAAGTCGGCTGAATACCCAGAGGGGGTCTTGAATCAGGATGTGCTCAAGTCCTTTTTCGCCATCACTGGTGAATCAGGAAACTTCACATATAACCCTGGTCAGGAAAGAATCCCGGAGAACTGGTACAAGAGAGCTATTGGGGATGAATACTCCATCTTGTTTTTGGAAACTGATACTTTGTACTTGTAAGTCGAGTACCTTTGTATCCCTCTTTATCCGGAGTAGAACGCTAACCAGCTGTCAAGTGCCTCGCAATACCCTAACGTCCTCACAGTCGGCGGTAACACTGGCACCGTGAACTCATTCACGCCCCTCAACTTTGACGATCTGACCGGCGGTGTCTTTAACGCCACCACGCTCCTTGAAGACAACAACCTCGCATGTTTCGTCTACCAAGCAGCTGCGCTTGCAGCGCCTGATATCTTGAAAGGCTTATATGCTGATATTACAGCACCATTGGCAATGTTAAATAATGCGACAAACAATGCGTTGGCTGGACTCAACTGCCCACAACTTGCGAGCATTGATGCTGATCAATTTGGGAATTACCCTGGGTATGCTACACAATTGTAGAGCACTGGATGGAATTGTGTATGATGGATAGAAAAAAATTGTAGTAATGATATATGAATTCTATGATCGTGTTCGTTGCTGTCTGATGAAACGAGTCGTGGTTGAATAGCGTGGTGAGCAGCCTCATCTCAGTTTGAGGAACCCTGAAATTAGTCCTCGAAGCCCTGAATGCAGGCTGAAATGTGTATTCGGAACATCATTCACCCGACCCGATTAACTTTCTTCCTCTGCCCAGAATAACTTTTCTTTGACTTCCAACAATTAACACTCATTCGATCGACGTAGTGCCTTGAGGCATTTGATTTGTCTGCAGTTGCAAGTAGAAAATGGGCATCTGGAGAAAAGTAGCTCATGAATTGCCGCGCTACAGCTGCGGTTTGCGAACGCGTGCTTCTGGTTCCACAAGTATCCCACCTCGAATTCACACCGCATTGCGTTGCTAATCAAGATCTCTCTAGTGCCTGTCCTATGCTAGCTGTCGTTCCCTATCCTCCGTCCCCTATCTTCTACCTCTTAGACAGCGCCTGCCACCCAATTTGCAAAGGGAGTCCGCATCCAATACCGAAATATGGCTTGCAAGCGGGGAATCGACCGCCGCTCTGGTATCTGGCAGAAGCTTGCCTTCCAAAAGCAATGATCTTGTATCCGAATAGCCGAGGCAAAATATTTCGACCAAATGGTCTAAAGTAAAGAACCTCACGCGCCATGCTACGAAGAAAGACCGAGATAGAGTATTGAGAATGGTTGGAAGGAAGACGACGAAGACGGCTACATTGATGGACAAGATGGAGGTGATAGTGAACCCGACTAGAAAGGTCATTATCAGGCCCGATCAGAAAGCTGAAACGAATTACTAAGAACTCAAACAGAAAGGAAAGGATGCGGTACAACTCAAGATCGATGTCTACACTCAGGCTGCTTCGGTGCTTACCGTGCCGAAGTTTGGACTCAGCCATAGTTCACACATATCCAAAAATAAACCAAGACTTGTGTATCAATCTTCAATTGAGCTGCCAGCATTCGACATACGAACAACTGCAGAAGCTCCTAATTCGTCGGCCGCTGGGAAGTCCGCGTCATTGCAGTTTTTAGATGCGCTGGGGCGTGCTCGAAGAGAAGAAGAACCTCTTGATGATGGTACATCAGGGTTAGATGTGACAAATGCAAAGGTATGCTAATTTTCTCGATGAATCTCATACATCACCTCTCCCCTTTCCTGGTTTCTATCTGTTATATATCCGCATGCCCTCATATGGCATTTGATGAGATAAGTTAGACACTTTATCCAAGTTACCTGATTCGCCTTCAGATGCTGGGATTTTTACCGTGCCAAAAATGAGCTATGGGCTACACTTGTATCTCAATCATGAGCTGTATAATATAATCAGGACTTATAGATAACGAGAGTATCTTTGTAGGAGTTTGTCGAATATTGCAGCTCGTTACTCGGCATGCGCGATTTCGTTGTCAAAGTTAATGGAAATGCCGAGTGGAAGTACAACGGCGGCCATAGCTTCGAAGCACAGGTCTTCGCAGATGATGCAGCCATCGGGGATAGCGTAACCATGCAGGATAACCGTTCAGCTACAAAATTGGCCTATCTTACAGCGGCCGTTCATCTTGCTCTAAAAGGGCCTATGGTATTGGTCCAATTTCTTGAGAACAAGAATGATGGAAAGAACGATTCAATCCAAAGTGAGATATCTCCTGTGGGGTTGCTTTCGACGGCATTTAATGACCTGGCCAGACCGAACTTCGCGGCGGACGACGAGCATCGAGTAGCTTTTACAACAGTGGTTGCTAACATCATCGAGCGAGACGAAGAAGATGGAATTCTTGATAGCGAAAGCTATGATTGAATTCAAGTCTGATTTCCTGAGGCCATAACTTTACCTGTCTCCGATGGTGCTGAATCCTATAAGTCACCAAGCCGATGAAAAGTCGCGTTATTCAGGGCGTCTTTTTGCGATATGAAAACATGTATAAACTTATCATAATTTCGCTTTGATGCAAGTTATCCGTTTCCAGCCAGTGCTGGGTATCGCATCTCCCCATGTTTTGTACAGTAGCTGTTCTGTCGTTGAAACACCTGACCGTGTATTATTACACAACATCTAGACTCTCCACTTGCATGCTATGTTCGGCAGTTCTCTCGCTATTGAAATTCATATCATGACCTCTGGTTTGCAATTTCATGCTCTTTTCCCTTCGAGCTCTGTAAAAAAATACCATGCTCGCTGCCGCGGACCACTCATGGAAGAATCGAGACTCCGAATGTGCGAAGAACTTCGGCGAGCTGATTGTAAAAGTATCACCGGTGCGTGTTGTTGCAAATTTCCCTGCATTCAAAATTTCGTTCTTTGATAGGTATATGGACGCGCTCGACTCTATTGGCTGACAATCTCAGTAGCCTCAAGCTACCAAACGAATACGTGGAGCCCCAGCCCCAATTGGCGGCGTTCACCTCGGAAGCTAGAAAGACGCTATCCACGGATAGGAAACTGAATATCAATCTCTTATGCAAATTATGCAAAATGCATAAATTGGCACCGTTATATGTCACTGCTCGACTCCTAAGTCAACAAAACAGTATGCGACATCCACAAAAAGTCGTCTTCGAGCTCTGTAGACGATTCGAAGGAAATGGAGACATCAGCATCGAACTCGTTCGCGAAGCCTGCAATCGTTGAAAATGACAAGGATGTGGAAGCAGGTTTGCCGCGAGAGAGAGTTAACGATGCGAATCCGCAACCAAACTCCATGGACCCAAATATTGTGGATTGGGATGGACCTGACGACCCGGAAAATCCTCTAAACTGGACGAACAAGAAGAAATGGGCGAATGGTGCTCTGCTCGCTGCCATGACATTTGTTACGTGAGTATGCTTTCGAAGCTTTGCAAGTGGCTCGGTACTAACATACATTTGGAAGACCTTTGGCGTCTTCTATGTTTGCTCCTGGAGTTGAAGATGTCTTGAAAGAATTTCACAGCACTTCTACGCTTCTAGGATCCTTGGTTGTTTCAGGTTAGTGAACGCGCTTGATTTCGACATCTATGTCTGCCGATAGATTTTAGTTATTGATATAATTCAACATAGTATACATCCTAGGCTACGCCGCAGGCCCCCTAGCCATAGCTCCCTGCTCCGAAATGTACGGCCGACTCATAGTCTATCATGTGTCCAATACCCTCTTCGTTATCTTCACCATCGCCTGCGCCGTAAGCTCCAGCCTTAATATGCTGATCGGCTTCCGACTTCTGGCTGGCATTACAGGTTCGACTGTCATAACGATTGGGGGTGGTACGTTCGGGGATATGTTCAGCGCGAAGGAGAGAGGCGCTGCGCTCTCCATCTGGGCTATGGGTCCTTTGCTTGGGCCTGTGGTTGGTCCCGTGGCAGGAGGGTTTCTGGCAGAAGCTAAGGGGTGGAGATGGGTATTTTGGGTTATTGCTATTGTGGTATGTTACCTTTTCGTTATGGTGTTAGAGTGAGACTTGATAACGTACACACTTGTTGACGGCATCCTTTACTAATGCGATAATTACAGGCAGGTGCACTGACCATTACAATGCTCCTCTTTCTCAGAGAAACATACTCAGTCAGACTCCTCGAACTCAAAACCCGGCGATTGAGAAAACGGACCGGTAACAAGCTGCTCAAATCAAAACACGACAAAGGCATGACACCAAAACGTCTCTTCCAGAGATCAATAACCCTACCACTCAGAATGCTCTTCTTCTCGCCCATCGTCCTCTTATTTTCCTTCTACATGGCCGTCATATACGGATATCTATATCTTTTATTTACCACTATCACCGGAGTCTTCGAAGGCGAGTACGGCTTCTCTGACGGTATCGTCGGGTTAACCTATCTCGGGATCGGAATCGGTATGCTCCTCGGCCTAGTGATATTCGGAATCGTGGCCAAAGCGACGGTAAAGAGACTTGAAGCAAAGAAAGGGGAATTAAAACCAGAATCACGATTACCGATCATGATTCCAGGCACGTTGTGCATCCCGGTGGGATTACTCATCTACGGTTGGACGGCTGAGTACCATGTTTTCTGGCTGGTGCCGATTATTGGGACTCTGTTCGTTGGGTTTGGACTCATTACCACTTTTGTAAGTCTCAGAAGCCGCATGGGGGATCTGACTAACGGAGTAGATGCCAATCTCTACGTACCTGATTGACGCGTTCACCATTTACTCGGCATCTGCGCTGGCGGCGAATACGGTGCTGAGATCTCTGCTTGGAGCTCTATTGCCATTGGCGGGTCCGTCAATGTACTCACGTCTGGGTTTGGGGTGGGGGAACTCGTTGTTGGCGTTCATTGCCCTGGCGATGTCTCCACTGCCAGTCCTGTTTTGGAAGTATGGAGAGCGGGTTAGGACGAACCCCAGATTTCAGATCAAGCTTTGATGATGGCCATTTGAGGCTACATGATGGAAGCTGGATGATTTAAATCATGACATAGAGCTCGTGTGTAATGCAGGTAATCAATACCATAACTATATCATCACATTTCTGCGGAAAATGTCTATCCACAACCCAGTGAATGAGCAGAAACCAGCCAGCCAATCAGAAGCGAAGAAAAGTTTTGTTGCACATCTCATGGGGAATACATGCCCGAGCATCACACAACGGGAGAAGTCTATCAAAAGAGCTGGAAAACAGAATGATAATTGCAATTAAGCTCAGCCAATCAGAAGCCGGGAAATTTTTATGGTGGTTCTTCGTTGAGTTTGGAGATGTCCTGGTCAGGAAATAAGGTTTGGTGGCCTGAGGCTCGGAGCAAAGAGGAGCTACTGTAGTGATTATTTGAAGGTTGGGTTGGTATCCTAATGACGCTACATCTTTTCCCTTGACATTCCAAGGTAGGTTATTACCCCTTCAGGACATCAGGATATTATTTCATAGGGTCTTTTTTCACACGGATTCTGAACACATTTTGGGACACAATCCCAGTTTCGGCTTCTTAAATCAGCTCAGTCGTCCTGGAAAAGGAACTGGAAATAAACCTTTGCCTCGGGATGCCAATATTATTGGCTTTCCAAAAATTGTTTTGGCCATCTCGACAGCGGCCATTCCCGCCGTGGATTTCCAGGTCCCGTGCCGCAAACAATAAGTCACGACATGGCCAGATCAGATGCAAAGGATTGACCTCTCAAGTTTCAACTGCAGGTACCATCCGTTCCTGTATCATCTCCTCTCATCTCCCGCTGCTCCCCCAGCAACAGAACCTCCAAACCAGGATGTGCATGCAGGGTGATTATCGCCGCGGTGCCATCTCATCATATCAGATCCCGCGGCGCGGTATCAGATGCTCGGCTAGCGTATCATCCCTGGCGTCAATCCGCGACTTCAGACGACTTCTCCAACGCTGCGGGTTTCACACCCGACGTGCTCGCGCCCACACCTTCCGACCCTTGGGATGAACATGATCGCCGCCCGCGAAAATCGTGAGGTCGGGATGCGAGTAATGGCTCAATGGGGACGGGACGCCATGAAACCTTTGGAAACGGATCTAATTCCTCCTTTACCGCGCAGCATGTACCTGTGCTGGGTAGGTAGGTAGGTACCTACAGTAGGATCTCTCGTCGCGCGCGTGAAGGATGAAGAGAGGAGGATATATCTAGAAGGAAAGTCCCTCTCTGGTTGTTTCTCGTTCTGCACCTCGCTGGTACTGCATACCTTCTACGTTTTCTTCGTTCTCTTTTTTTGCGATTGTCTTCCTTGCATCCAACTGCTGTGCAGTCTTACATTCCTTCAAACAAAACAATTTTCACTTCGCTTCTTCTTCAAGATGATTGCATCATTTTCTCTCCTTCTCACGACAGCCGTTCTGGCCCTGGCGAAGCCGATCGAGGTTCGCACTGTTGCTGCTTTGAATACTGCTGCCTTTGAAGAGGCTCAACAACGAGATAACACTGCTACGAGAGCGTTCGCCAATACTGAAATTCTGGTAAGTTTCATCGCTAGGTTGTATTGGGATATTGGCTGATCATTAGACCTCGGATGGACAATGTCTCTTCATCAATGAGCTGTCAGGTGATTTCCGTGCCAACTTGAATCCAATCCAAGTCGCACCATGCGATGGATCTCAAGGACAGCTTTGGGATGTTATCACTGCTGGAGAGCATGACGACCAAGCTGGAACGATGCTTGTTGTAAACACTTTGGTAAGTCCTGCCCTTCCAAGTCTTGAATAAAGCTAACCCTACCAGACTCAAGCATGCATGAACTTTGATCCTCGCCGAGCTGCTGGCAACACCGTCATCATGTTCTCCTGTGGTGGAAGAGCTGATGGAGGTATGCCATCTTTTCAGTCTCGTCTCGTTCTTTGCTAATATGTCCAGGCGGCGCTGTCACCAATTCCCAGCTTTTCAACTTCACCGGAGGCGCAGGACCTCTTGCATTGGCTCCCATCAACGCTGTAGGAACGTGCTTGACCGTTACATCAAACAATGTCCTCGACTCAGCTGCATGCTCTGGGGACTCTACCCAATCCTTCACATTCGGAGGAGGAAGTGCAGCTTCTGTCTCTGCTTCAACGACTGCTGGTACTTTGCCCTCACTCCATAACAAATACCACTGAACTAACTCAAACCCTTAGCTTCCGCAGCAGTCTCCTCAACAGCAGTCTCTTCCCCCGTCTCAGAACTAGCCGCTTCAACCTCCTCTTCATCCTCATCCTGCACCTCAACCACAATCCTAACCATGACCCGTTCCTCCGCCTCCGCCTCAGCCGCAGCATCAACAACCATCCTCTCCTCCTCCGCACTCACCACTTCTGCACCCATCTCTTCCGCTGCAGCAGCCGCCACAGAAATATCCTCCAACCCCACCTCAGCAGTCCCCGTCTCCGGCGCCGGCGGCGTCCTCAACCCCTCCGCAGCCGCAGAATCCAACCCCCGCGACAACACCGCCACCCGGGCCTTCACATCCGTCTCGATCAAGACCTCGTCCGGCTCCTGCCTCTCCATCAACCCGCTCGCCGGCGACTTTCGCCAGAACCTGATCCCTGTCGCTATCGTGGCGTGTTCCTCGTCCGACGCAGGCCAGCAATTCGACCTCATTACCGCGGGCGCGCATAACAATGCCGTGAACGCGACGCTGGTGGTTAGTAGTTTGACGCAGGGCTGTTTGAATTTCGATCCCAGGCGCGCGGCCGGGAATCAGGTGTTGTTGTTTTCTTGTGGGGGGAGGGCGGATGGGGGCGGCGCGACGACGAATAGTCAGTTGTTTACGTATGATGTGGCGGCGAAGCCGAGTAGTTTGACGTTGCAGCCCGAGAGCGGGGAGCCGGTGGGGAGTGTGTGTTTGGAGCCGAATGCGGGGACGGGGTTGTTGGATGATGGGGCTTGTGATGGGGGTGCTGGGCAGGTTTTTACTGTTGGGTAGAGGGTGAGAGGAGAGTTGGTGGGGGGAAAGGGGCTGAGAGTGCGATGGGGGAGGGTTTGGTGTATTATTATCATTCTTTGTGGGGTGCTTTGCCAGCTTGGCTTCGATTCTTGGGTGTATCATCAGGGGAAACATGTAGATCTGTAACAATATCAATGTCACGACATCATGTTCACATTTGCAGTTTTTGGGGAGTGGTTCGTGAATGGATGTGGTGTTTCATGCTATGATCAATTGGCCACTGAATATCTGAAGCTTGAAGTTTCGATGGATATTTGTTCCCAGGTGTCGATACTCTTGATGGCCTCCAGATGTCCTTTTGTGATCAATAATATTCGTCTCTTAACGTCGAAATTCAAGGAAAGTGCATGTGCGCAGAGATATGGGTGTGTGGGGAATGTTCCAAAACTTCTTCAACTATGCCAAATAGCAACTTGAGTAGCTCGATGGACCAGGAGGGAGCAAGAATGTATTTTATTGGCTAGAATGGCATTAGCAAGGTAGAAGTCTCTCTGCGGGATGGAACGTACCACTGAAAGTATTTCGGCTCCCAGATCCCAATGAAATGTTGGTGAGATACCAACCGATGATGATAGAGGGTTCTTCAATGTGGGGTCAGAATGCGATCGCCGAGGACTCGCAATGAAGTGGTCATTCGTGAGATACTGTTTATAGGGTCAGTAAGAAGGGGGATGTCTGAAGCTTCGGCACTCACAGGCTATCATAATAGTTGCCACGAACGTCGTCAAGACGAGCGGGCTTGGCAACAGAAATGGCCTGAGCTTTCTCCAAGACCTCCAAATTGTCTGGAAATAGTACAAACTTGATGTTATTTCTCCATCCCAAAACTACTCGCTGATTGACCTTCCAATCCTTCGTGAATTCTGTAGAGTTTGGAAGATTCCACTCGAGCCAGTCGAATATGCCTGGGATCGTATCGTGGAGCGATATTTCATTCGAGAATGATGGATCCGAATGTACTATCCACTGACCGAAACCTTGAATCTCAGTGTCAAACCAACACTCAATTGGCTCAACCATCAGGACTTCTCGGAGGCTCTTCATGTGCTCGATGACATGCTTAAGTCTTTTAAGGAAGCCCGGTCCAGACAGGATATTCTCAAGATCAAGACAGTTACAGTCAAAATCATGGCGGTTGAAAGCCAGATATTGTATACCATGTCTTTCCTCTTTGGAGAGAATACCGAAAAACAAGGGCACAACCTTACAGAGCCCCGAGCCGATGTATAGCGTGTCGATAGCCATATTGAACCGAGTACACTTTGGATACCACAGTGATCCAAAGCATTTCGGGTACAAGTGGAGGACCGCATTTCTAGAGTCCCTAGAAACTTCCATAACAATAGGATTGCGGGTTGTTGTGTAGAAGCCCTTCCGGCTGTTTAGTTCGACTCTATCGTCTTCGTCATTCTCGCCACCATAAGACTCGAAGCTGGAATCAAGACTGTCTTGATCTTCGAAACCGATGTTGCCAAATTCGAGCTCCACAACTCTGGGCTGGAGAGTGAGCTTCCCTAAACACAAATCAGTAAGTGTATCATAGACCCATATCCATGCTCGGTCGGCAGAGCGCCCTGAAAGCTCGACTTCTGGAATCTCTTTGAAATAAACGCGGGACCTGACGTACAAATCATCTGTCGGAGCTCAATCGCCAGACGTGGAAAATATGTGAAGGTTGTGAGAGGCGTGGTCGCTGATGGTTGGGCCATGGTGAGCTTTGTTCACGTCCTGGGACTGATCAAGACGTGATTAAGACGTGACTAAGACTGGATACAGAGCTTGATATCGTTGACCATGAGACTGAGGTTGCAGGATGGAAGACAGAAAGGAAGAAAGTCGAAGGTGGAAAGGTGGGTTTGTCGTGTTGTGGGCGCTAATGAACTTGGGAAAGCACAACAACACCTCCTTCCATTTCCATCAAAGCGCATGCGGACAGAGCCCAGAAAATCGCAAAGCTCAGATTAAGTTCCGAACAGACGTCATCCAAGGTTTTCTTTATCACAAACAGAGGTTGGAGACAGGAGTTGCAGAAATTGAGATTCGCGCGAACAGCGCATGTCTGAAAGTCTTCTTTCTGAGTTGTAGCTCCATGTCCAGTCAATTGCCTCTACCGACTCTTTTCAGACGTGCTACTCACATTGCTGCAATGACTAGATTGTTGATGATCCTCTCTTTCCGATTTCCCTTCCCTGAAGCCACTCACTGTCTGTCCCTTAAGAACGGCACTCTCCAACTCAGGTCGATGTCGTTAATTATAGGCTTAATGATTTGCCTACATTCTGACCACAGACAAGCTCGCACGTCTCGGTAGACCGTCTGTAGAGGGGAATTTCAATGTGGGTATCTTCTCGAATTCCTCTGGCATCTAGTACACTATTCGTGTTCCCGAGTGCATGGGTTTAAAATAATTCATATACTCTATTACCACGAATATTAGGTCTCGCCTTGGACAATTATCTTTCGCCCAGATAGCCATTTCTTCCGCCGGTATTTTCCCCAAGCTCTTCAAGGCTTTGATTGACCATTCAAAGGCCGCAGAGGATTCTTCTCCACATTCACACCTCTTCACCGCGGCGCGATGAATAAATGCCACGAAGCGAATCTTCGTTGATTCTCTGGTATCGAGAGTGGTGAAGAAGTGTAATTAGGCACGGTGGTATTGGGATGAGCTTGTGGTTGGAGACGCCCGATGTTCTCTGCGAGGTAAAGGGCGATCTCAAACTTCATGTATCTAGCTATGAACATCCAACATTGTACCTCTGTACGACCTTCAACGACAGTGTTGTTGTTTACTTTATCGAATTAAGGACAGGCCCTTTGTGGATGGCAAAAGCTACACAGTCTTGACCTCCGCTGATTACGAAGAATGCCAATGGCCGTCTCAACAAGTGGTGCAGACGTGTGAATGTTCTTCTTTTCTACTGGATCACAAGATACTACATTCAACTTTAGACATTTCTTCGCTCCCTTCGATCATGGTCTTCTTGGGAGGAAAGGAGGCTTGCAGAGTCATCTTTACTTATCGCGTGATCTCAAATGCAAACTCTTCCTCCACGGACAGTACCTCCCGGAAGACTTGAAGACTGTGCTTGTATGGAGCAATGAGAACTTCCTATACACTCTCCCCATATACCCTCAGATGGAGGACGTGTGAATTCTATCAAATTCGAGGCGAGATGTCGAGTTCTTCAGATTGGTCCTTGGAGACCTCGAACTGAGAAGTGAATGGAATTTCACCAACAAGAACAACATCCACATCGAGCAAGGGTAATCGAGCCCCAATACCTGTCTTGTCTTCACAATTGCCAAGGCCCCACATCACGTGCTACACAACCCACGTGTTTGGGCGCTCCAATCACTTCTTGCAAGCGACATATCACCAAGACATAAGGGATTAATGAACCGAAGAATTCATCTACATATCTCACAACTGCATGTTGATAAAATCTTCGTTCTCGGCCTCAATACCAGACGGACAACATGGCGATCACCTCGAAATGGAATCCCAGTCGTGTCGCGAAGTCGGTATGGGAGGTGCTAGAGCAAGGGTGGTATTTGGGATTCACGGCTTTCGGCGGACCTCCTGTCCATTTCAAGATTGTGAGTTCTCAAGAGATCAGATGGCACGAACATTGAAAGACAGTATGAGATCACGTGTTGACAAATAGCAGTTCCATGACAAGTATGTCAATAAGTTAGGATGGATTGCTGAACAGATGGTGAGTTCATGCTTGAAGTCTGGGAGTTCTACAGTGGCTAAGTGAATCTCAGTACCAAGAACTCTTTGCCGTCTGTCAGGCATTCTCTGGGCCAGGTAGTACAAAAATGTACTATTGCTTGAACCTGATCCATTTCGGATTCCTTCCTGCTGTGTTGGCATTAATCATCTGGACGTAAGTAGAATTTCAAACTTAGTGAAATTTGAGCTTACTTCCTTCAGCTTGCCCGGTGCTCTCGGCATGTACGGATTCGCAGTTGGCGTCTCCCATATCGGCGAAAGTCTCCCACGTCAAGCCTATGCTCTCCTTTCTGGCCTGAACGCAGCAGTTGTGGGTATCATTGCCCTAGCTGCAGTCCAACTTGCCCAAAAGGCCATCACGGACAAGATGACCAGAATCTTAGTCGTCCTCGGTGCTTGTGCTGGACTCCTGTACAATGCTCTGTGGTATTTTCCACTCCTGATGATGCTTGCTGGTTGTACATCAGTGATATTCGATTATCGAGTCCTTCATCCTGCAGCAAAATGGATCACTAGTCTCCGGAGAAAGAGGAAGCAAACGAATCCAGAGGATCAAGATCTCGAATTGCCCACAAACGTCAAATCTGAACAGGACAAACCGGCGGCGTCCTCAAAACCTGCAACAGCAGCTACTGCTGAGTCGAAATCCGACAACCAGCCATCCGCCACAGTAGCTTTAGAAACAGTCCCCGAACCACGCATCATCCCAGCAGCACGCACGCTCAACATCTCCTGGCAATTCGGGTCCTTCGTTCTCGTCAATTTCCTCCTCCTCTTCATCGCAATCATGGTCCTACGTGGAACACTTCCCCTTAAACCTCTCCTCTTCAACCTCTTCTCCAACATGTTCCTAGCCGGAACCATCATCTCCGGCGGCGGACCAGTCGTCATTCCTCTATTGAGAGAATACGTTGTGTCTGAAGGCTGGGTTTCACCTCGAGATTTCCTTCTCGGTCTAGCTATCGTCCAAGCATTTCCTGGACCGAACTTCAACTTCGCTGTTTTCTTGGGTGCTTTAACAGCCGTATTTGGTGGATACAATGCTGCTGCTGGAGTTTTGCTGGGATACCTTGGAATTTTCTTGCCTGGAATCATCACTGTTCACGGAACAATGGGTATCTGGAGTGCCATTCGAGGGAAGAGATGGGTGAAGAGCGCACTGAGGGGTATCAATGCTGCCGCTGTTGGATTAATTTACACTGCGGTCTACAGATTGTGGCAGATTGGATATGTTGACGAGGGGTTTGAGGCTGGGAAGAGTTTGGGAGATGATCCGTGGTGGGTGGTTGTGGCAGTCACGAGCTATGTGGGAGGGATGTGGTTCAATGTCAATGCACCAGTTGCCATCGTGCTTGGTGCGACGATGGGCTTGATCAGATACGGTGTGGTTGTCAAATGATCTGCATTCGAATGTTCATCTTGAGTTGCGCGCGCTGCGCTTAACAGATGATCTCAGGAAGTTTCGCTGAGCAAGAACGCAGTTGCTCAAGGGGTGTGCACCCTTCTCCTTCCACACTTCTGCTCGTGCCGCCATCTTCTTCCTGTAACTGGATCCTCGTCCCCGAGCACTGCCTTTTGCCTTTCCAAGTGCGTGGATGAGATCTTTTCTCACCAGTGTCTCAGGTAGTTGCCCGGCTTTGGCTTTTCCACGCTTCTTCGTTCCTCCCTCGGAAAAGACAAAGTCACTTCGAGCCTTCCGATCGGACATGTCCCAATCCTTTTTCATCACCGGTCCTTCGACCTCCGTGCCTCCCTGGAACAATTGGATGCGTGGTTGGGATGTTGGAACATATTTCGCAACATAGAAGAAGCAACTCTTCTTCTTGATGTTCGGGTGTTTGCGCATCTATAAGAGTCAGTCACTTGGGTTCTCTGAGTTGGTGGGCATTATACTTACGGTCTTTTCATCCTCGCAAAGGTACCAGTTCCTCTTGGTCTTCCGATCGTACTTTTGATCCTTGGTGGTTCTGTGGGCAGAATGGAAGAGGTGAGACGCGACCGAGTGCCAGTCAGCAGCAATGACTTCGGGGGAGTCTTTGCTGTTCTCAAATTTCATTCGTTTCTTGATGACGTCGAACATTTCTTTCAAGTAAACCGCGTTCTCCATCTCATCGGTAGTAAGTCTCATTTCTATCATGAGAACTTCTTTGGAAGGTTCGAAGACCTTTTTGGTAGTCTTGCGGGTGGATGGCGCCGGGCCGGTATCGACGGATGCATGACCAGTGGAAGATGAGCCTGTACCCATCATGCTACTGCGTTGCAAGATGTCTGGGACATCATAGTCGTCGTCGTCGTCGATGACCGGAGTAGGTGTGCTTGAAGCTCGTTTGGTTCTCATTGTGGCTGATTGTCTGACTCTTGTAGGCGCTTGACTGACACAGAAGTATTCGAAGGAGATTTTGAATACGATGTTTGAGGCGAGATAAATGAACAGGAGTTCAAGGATCATACACTTGGTGTGATGGTAGGTGCCGTGATTGAGGCGAAGGGTCCGAATGGAAGAAGTGTTGAAGTTGTTGAAAGTTGACTGAGAGTAGCCAATCCGCAAAGCGCCAGCGCAATTGAGCAAGTAAATGCAGCGAAGGTCCAAGCTGAAGGAGTCGAAAGTGTATTCTCTGAAGTTGTTGCTGGGAGGAAGAAGAAGAAGAAGTGGAAGTTGCGCAGAGAAATGGGTTTATGACAGTGCGACGAAAAAATAGCTTGAACATTGTGGTTTGTGTCCAAGATGAATTTATGGCGCACAATGCCAAGGGTAATTGATTTCTGCATGTTCCAATTCACTTCCCAAAATACAGTTGACATGCAAACTCGTTATTGTGCTTCAGATGAAAGGCCTCTGCGAACAATAGGTAGAAGCGAATACAGGACAATAGGGAGCTTAAGCGAGCTTTGGTTGGGCTGGGTCAGGGGCGATCTAGTTTTTCGCTTATCTCCTCCCATTGTCCTCAATTGACTTTGAATTTACATTAGATTTCTCGCTCCATACCTGCTTCAAGTCTGAGGTAACCATTGTTTAGAAAGGAAGAAAATGCCAAGAGTTCGACTCCGGAGAGTAGCAACAAGCAACATTGACTGATGGATGCACGTGCATTGTAGTACGATTTTGGGGACAAAAGGCTTGCGGAGATGGAGACGCTTGTTGCGTTTGAACTTGGATTTATAAATAATCATCTTACAAAAACGTATAGGAGAAGATAGGAGGGGCAATTTCAGGTGTCATGGAAATGCATTGCTATTTTGGATGGAGGGCAAGCCGCGATCGAACTTCCCATCCACATGATTAGGACCAGCGCCATTTTACCTCTTGTAATTCATCATCCGCAAATTCCAATCGTCCCAATCGTCCTTCAAGACCACATCGCAAGCGGGGGTGTTGCATTGGTCGGTCTCGCTTGGATGACATCCCAATGCTGGACAATGCAGCTCCCATTGAATCTCAATATATCCACAACAGCAACTGGCAACATTCCATTCCGATCCTATCGACAGTAAGCGTACCCAGCCTTGTTGATTAACGCTATTTGGATCAAGGTGACGTTGAGTTTGGCCATGAGAGCCTCAAGAAAGGTGATGGTATTATCTCATAGGACGGCGCATGGGGTGTCTTAAATGTAGTCAACATGTCTTCAAATGCGGTCTTCACAATCTTATTGACGGTCGGACATTTGGGGTAGATGATCCCTTAAACCACAGATCTCTGGGGCTTGGTGCGTCTAGTGGGTCTTAGATTGTACGAGTTAGGAGAGTGTTTTATACAGTTGTAGAGTGCTAGGAGTGCGGTGTGCGGTGTGCATTTAAGAGCCTTAGGCAAGATCAACTATCTTATATGTTAGGGCGAGAGCTTCATCAGAGATTAAATTTAGGCCCAATATGTTTTGATGAATAAATTATGAATCAGTCAATATTCCATGAATCTCAGCTTATTCGATAAATACGAATCATTAATCAAGGGGGATTGATTCACAGAGCAGACGTAGACTTGCCAATGAAAATGATTTGCAGACGTTGAACGGTATTATGGCTGCACCCAGTAAGATGAGGGAGAAGATGAAAAGAATATTGAGCTTCATCGCGAACCTGCCTCTGGTGCGTAATAGTATTACAATAATTACCAAATTTGTGTTTACAGCAGGGTAAAATGTGATTGGAGCTAATTTTTAGCGCTTAAATAAACTAGCATATCACCGTAGTGCCCGGGCCCGAGTCCTGCCCACCCTGCCCCGCGATCGCAACTTTTGGTATTCAAATAAAAAGTTTTTGCGACTCGACTTTTACAACTTCTTCATTCATTCTTTGACTTCACCATACAATCAGAGCCTCGCAGCCATGGCAGACACTGCTGTTACTTCGACTTCTATCGAGGCTCTTCCAAAGATTGCAAAGGGTAAAGTTCGCGATCTGTATGAAGTGGACTCGAAAACTCTCCTCTTCGTCGCGACGGATCGCATCTCGGCATACGATGTGATCATGGACAATGTAAACCCCTCTCTTCTCTCACTCTTGCAGCATACTCACAGAAACAGGGCATCCCATCGAAAGGAACTCTTCTTACGCTCCTGTCCGCGCATTGGTTCAAGTTACTTCCAACTCTGATCCCCAACCTCCGCACACACTTTCTCTCCCTCACCCTCCCTTCCTCGATTCCCGAATCCCAACACTCCCTCCTCCAAAACCGCTCAATGCAAGTCCGCCGTCTAAAGGTCTTCCCACTCGAAGCTATCGTCCGAGGCTACATCACTGGCTCGGCATGGAAGGAGTACCAGCGCAGCGGAACCGTGCACACCATCCCAATTCCCGCTGGCCTCAAGGAATGCGAGGCATTCCCACAAGGACCTATCTATACCCCGAGTACGAAGGCAGAAGCTGGGCAGAACGACCAGAATATATCCAAGGCAGAAGCAGCTGAGATCGTCGGCCTGAAATATGCTGAGAGAATTGAGGAATTGGCTCTGAAACTATATACTACGGCTCGGGACTATGCTGCTGAGAGAGGTATCATCATTGCCGACACGAAGTTCGAGTTTGGTTTAGACGAAGACACGGATGAGGTTGTGGTTATTGATGAGGTCTTGACGCCTGACTCGAGTCGCTTTTGGCCTGCGGATGAGTATGAGGTTGGTCATGATCAGAAGAGTTATGATAAGCAGTATTTGCGGAATTGGTTGACGAAGGAGGGATTGATGGGAAAGCAGAATGTGGCTATGCCGGAAGATGTGGTGAAGGAGACTGCGGCGAAGTATAGGGAGGCTTTTGAGAAGTTGACGGGTCAGAAGTGGCTAGATGCTATTCAAGGATAGGATAAGTAAGCAGCAAATTTAAGCAAGATTTTCACCCATAATATTCCAGTTCTGGAGGATTAGACTTTCGAATGAGTGCCACAAGTGTTACAACCATTTACAGAGGAGTTGAGGAGCATATTGCCCGTTGATCTGGAATTCAAATGCGAGGAGTTTCTTATATTATATTACTTGGACCAATCAGGCCATTTCTGCTTCATAAGCCTAGGGAGCTCATCATCTGAAGGCCAGTGTCCCAACCCTCAACAAGCAACCCAGATTGCTGTAACACTTCTCCATCTATAGACCTTCTTAGATCGCTATCCACAGGCACCCTAAGCAAGCTTTCGAGGGCCATTCTCTTTTCCTCTCCCGCACCAAAGTCTATCGACTGTTCTTGCTCCCGCGCATGTATCCTCGCAAAGTCCTGTGGCTTTTCTTCAGCGCTCAAGCCATATGATAACGCATCGACGTCACCCATTTGCAAATAGAATTCCTCGATATCCTGGGAATCGTCATCCAAAGGTGGAATTCCTTCAGAGTAGTAGTCTCGCCATGCCTCTTTACTCCAGCCTGACTTCATCTGAGCCATTACTTCTTCATCTACCATTTTCGCGAGGTCGATGTCTCCTGCGTGACGACTAGTTTTTTCGACATAGCGCCTATACTCGATGTACTTCTGCATGTCCCATCGACGCTCGAGTGGGAATCCGACTTTTCGGAAACGTGATGCCAGATCCAACTGAAGGCGCATTCTCTGCATGTTGGCTGACAGCGGGTTGAATGTTAACAGATACGCGTGTCGTTGTTCAATGTCCAGCGTATACACTAGCCTTTGGTCGCTAAGCATCCGCTGAAACTCTCGAACATACTCGGATTCGCCGTTATCGTCGTACCAAGACATGAAGCGCTCCAGTCTCAACATGTTTGGGTCCAGTCCAGTCATCGTATCCAGCTCTCTCTCAAGATGCATGTATATGTCATCTAAGTCTGTTTGCATCTCATTGTCGTACCAGATTTGCTCATCATCTCCGGTGAAGGATCCAAAAGGCATGTTTCGCCCCATGACTTGCTCCATGAGTTGCAAATCGACATTTCCTTCCTCGATGAAGCCGTTTGGCACATGCAGACTGGCTTGAGAAATGTTCCGCAGTCGACAAAAAGGTAGAAGAGCCACAAAGTAGTCAGGCTTTGCATATCTACCAGGTAGGCTTCTCTGGGCTGTTCCGTCTTGTTCTGCCCATGTTTTGTTGGAAGTATTTGAGAGGTGAATTGAAACTGCAGGGAGCTTGCCAGCTTGGTCTAGCAGATTGACAAGGTGGCGGACATTTCTTGAGATACAAAAGAGTTGAGTTATGTTTTCGGGAGCATCGATCCAGATCTGGATACCTTGCAATTCTCCGTACGGCAGGTTCTTGAAAGATTCGCACAGAGGATGCTGTATGTTTGGAATGGTCCAGCTTGCGCCGAGGCTGCTTTCGATGGCCAGCCATTTTGTTCTGTCGGACTCGACACGGATTTGAAGAGTTTCTTTCTCGTATAGAGGAATCGCTATCTCTTCATTCAATTGTTGACAAGCTCTTAGGATTGCAAGGCCATCCCCTTGGATTACGCTCTCTGATCCAGAAGTGTCTCTTGCTCGAGGCCGAAGATGTTCCCACTACAGCAAATTAGTACCGAGATTTATTTTGGGAATGAGAGGCGAAGGGTATAAACGTCTTCTCTGGAACCCGATACACCAAACTGGTGTCTAGGGAGAGGAAAGCACGGAAGAATTTGTTACTCACAATCATGAGCCGGAGCTCGACTGGCAGCATCTGAAAGCTGCCCCGATTATGAGAAACCATTAGATCGGAAGACAGTTGAAACTCTGAATTGAGAGTTGAAAACTGCTTTCAAACAAGCCTCTTTTCTCCCTATGCTGTGAAGGAAGTCTGAAGTCGAAGTCTGCGACCGGGTAGATTGAAAACGAAAGCGTAAAGTGGAAATGGATTCTTATCGATACCAACCTTCCTTTGCGTTGTCGCTGCGAAAGAAGTCTGGGAATGAATTGTCTGCAACAGGGTAGGTTGAAATCGAGAGCGCAAAGTGGGAATCAATGTTTGCGACCCAGATCGAAACAAAAGCGTAAAGTGGAAATGGAGTCTTGTCGATACCAAGCTTCCTCTGCAAGATTCCTACTAAAGAAGTTTGGCAATGAATCTCTGCGACAGGGTAGGTTGGTTGAAAATGAAAGAGCAAGGTGGAAATAAGTGTTCGCGATAGGGTGGTAGGTTGAAAGTGAAAGTGAAAGTGAAAGTGAATGATATGGACAAGATTCGAAAGCCGTACGATCTGAAGCGAGGGTGAAGAGTGAATAATTTGATTTTCAACTGGGAACTATATAGCAGTGTATGCGATTGCAGTCTGAATCAAAATGGGATTCAACCAGTCCAAATCCAAATAACACTAAGTATTGTATAGGTCTAGTCAGTGTCAAAGGACATGTGGAGCTTGCAACCAGACCACATATAAGACTTTTCACTTCTCTGTCTTTTGAAGGACGAACGCTTAACACCGTCTATGTGGCTCTCGAGAGACTGGGAGAGGAGACCACATGTAAGGCACGTGATATGGCATATCATCCTTTGTTAGACAACGGAACACTAGGTGCTAGTATTCACGGGTGTACCCGAGTTCTAAATTGTGATAGTTTGATCATGCTACAAGAACAGATCTGATTGTACTTACATCGTGTCCGGGAGTCAGACGTACATTGACGAAGCCAACTGGACAGCGAAGATTCGGGACACGTAGCTTATAAGCAGCCAGCAGAGACCGACTTAAACTATACTAGAAAGTCAAATGAACCTACCAATAACTACGACGAGCTCGCATTGCTCTAAAACTGAACATTTAACAAAACTTGCAAAACTTTCGATGTTCCTTCATGTTTAGAACATGCAAACCACGCTGATTTGAGATTTTCTTTTCATCAGCAAAGTTCGAGAACTCGAAGGACGTAATAAACGACGTTTAGACAGTTTCGATCAAGAGATGGCAAGCTTACATCGAAGATTCTTCTGTAGGCTTTTCCAGAAAATTGAACACTGAGTGACTTCGGCCTTTGTGAATCATGTCGGTTTTTGGTGAAGCACTTGAGATGGTGATCTGGTGAAGATAATGTAAAATCCCTACGTATCGTAGGATGACAATCTTTCTGGATGATTGTCTTCGTCACATTAAGGCCGAGGTAGAACAGAGCATAGATGTGATCAACTGGCTCTGTTCTCGAAATACGCTGGCCGAGAACAACAAATTCCAATTACGAAAGAATCAAAATATCGCACGCAGAAGAAGGGCTACAAGATAAACTAAAGTTTAACTGTGCCGCACAAGGTTGCAGAGACTACTAAACAACAGAGCACTGAGGGAACTTCGCAAGATCCAGAGCTATTCGGTGAAGAAACTCGATTAATTTTAACTGCACTTGCATCTTCAAATACCAACATTGCATTGATGAGAAATCGTGGCAATTGACTGTGATGAGGGTATGAGATGAAGCCAAAGAGATCACCAGGATGTTGATCCTCACGGATCGCCACATCCGCCAGGAACAAGATGACCCGAAACGACCCCGCCAACCCCTCACTTGACGACCCCAATTTCTCCATCAAAACCTTTCCATGTACGTACAGATCAGCTGCGAGAAATGAGATTTCGAGAAGAGTATAAACGTTACATTTCTTGACATCGGGCCGAGTAAAGATCCGCAGGCAAGGAAGAATGTATAAATACTTCACCATGGATCTAATTCAGGATAGCCAGGTTTGCAATCATGAAGTTTCTCAGTCTTCTGGTAATTGGTGGCGCTGTAGCTTCAGCTCAAAATATTAATAATGGCGGATCCTCGAATTTTACGGATGTGGGCACGAACTTCACCACGAATGCCACATATTCGAACCCGATCATGACATTGAACGTTGGAGATCCGTAAGCCTGCTCCCAGAGACCAGTTTCTTGAGCCAGAGTTGACTTCCAGTAGATGGATGACGAGGTACCAATCGAACGGTGAAGGATGGTATCTCTTCACGTATTCCACCAACGACAACGTGACGCTGAAGCGCTCTCAATCTCTGACAGATGACTGGGACCATGCCGATGAGAGAGTGGTGTTCAATCCAGATCCAAATAGCGGCTTGCCGTATGCCACCGATGTACGATCACTTCTCAATGTCGGCAATCTTCGACTAACATGAGCAGCTCTGGGCTCCGGAAATCCACAACATCTCCGGAACCTGGTACATAATCTTCAGCGCGACGCCAGACTTCGATGCCCCGCCACCACTTGTTGACGCAATGTGTCCGTTCGAATGCCCAGCCGTCAATCATCGAATGTTCGTCTTGCAAGGGGACGGTCCAGATCCTTGGACTTGCAATTTTACCATGAAAGGAATGCTCGATACTTTCGATCAGTTCGCTATCGATGGGACGTTCTTTCAGTATAATGATCAGCTGTACCATATTTACAGCTGTTGGGAAAACACTTACAGTGCTTGGCCAGCAAATCTCTGCATTACTCAGCTTTCGGATCCTTGGACCGTGGCATCGAATCTGACGGATCGGAGAATGATTTCTGTGCCTGATCAGCCATGGGAGCAGGTACCGTATGGCCGAGCTGGGAGGTTAGCAACGAACGAAGGTCCCGAGCAATTGACGAATCCCACCACTGGGCAAAATTTCGTCGTATACTCAGCAGCGAGAGTGAATACACCGTTCTATTGTCTCGGTATGCTAGAGCTTGTTGGAAACGATCCCATGCAGTACCAAAGCTGGAAGAAGCATACAGATGGATGTGTGTTCCATCAGAATACCCAAGCTGGCGTTTATGGAACTGGACATGCCAGCTACACGACCAGTCCTGATGGAAGTGAGGACTATGTGGTATATCATGCTTTGACCACGCCTAATCCACCTTGTAAGCCCTCGCTGCCCGGTATGTACTTCTAGCTAATAGAGACAGCAAACATCTATCGAACTGTGAGAACGCAGAAATTCACTTGGAACTCAGATGGTACTCCAAACTTCCCTCTGGCAGCAAATGGGCCATTTCCGGTTCCTGCAGGGCAAGCGCATTGATATTAGATGGCCTGTAATTACCATATGAATATCACATGAATATTGTCATCGATTGTCCTTGTGATAAACGATGAAAGATCTTCAAAGGTTTGAATGCCCCGATCACTTCGGAACTTTTGGTGCCGTTTAGTAGCAAAGTGAACAACAACCTCGAATGATGAGGCGTAACAAATCAAGTGAAAGGCTTCTTCACAAAAACAACTAGAATGAAGAGCTAATAGCTTTGAGAACTGGCGAGACCGAGACCGAGACCGAGTTGCCAGGCACTAGCCTTTAGGAGTCGATTGAACAACAATGCGATCGAGTTGCACAACTTCACACCCATCCATGGTCGATAAAGCTCTAGAAACCCATTGGACCCCAAACTTAACAAGAATCTGGACCTTACCACACATCTCCAATCACCACCTCATTGCGGTCTCGACCCTTGTCCACCTCCCGAACGGATCGGCAACATCGAGCCGAGTCGAGTAGATATCAAATTTGACAGCAAACCAAAGCTGCGGGGTAGTGTGGGGCTCCGCGAGGCGTTATTTTCCTCCCCGGACTCATTTTATGCTTTGGGGATTTCGCGAAGGCGTTCTTCTCATGGCTTTCGTCTGTGCTCATTTCCAAAGGTTTGGAGATGAGATGATTTCTGCATGTACAGAGACCCAGGAAAGCGGATAAATCGGGCGAATCAACGAGGATGTGGTTTGAGGTTGAGGATATATGCAGTGAGACTTTGTTTGTAATTTGAAGGCACCTATCAGGTTTTGAAGGGCTGCAAGGGGTGGGGCGGTATTTCTAGGGCTCGACACCCCACATCCTGAACGCTGCGTGTGCTAGATGCGGAGAAGATGGTCAAGCTCTTATGCGGGGCCGGGGTAGGATACATCAGCTAGAAGTGTTGGCATAAAGATGCTGGCATGGCCACGAGGAGATCCCAGATTTCTCCTGAGAGAAAACCACCTTTTATTGTCAAAGAAGAACAATGGGACTCGGCGTATTGGACGACACTCATCTTGAGCATGTCCCTGGGACTGCTCTCCTCACCGATGTGGTAGGAGCAGACCACCAACACCATCATGGGAATCTTGATACGTCGGCACTTCGCCACGATAAAGGCAGGAACTCGGATGTTCTGCTAGTGCCGCAGCCGTCCAAGAGTCCAAATGATCCTCTGAATTGGCCGCTATGGAAGAAAGATATGATGCTCTTCTTCATCTGTATTGACACCGCTGTAGTCGGTGCATGGGTAAGTGTCTTGCCTATCTTTGAGGAGTACCAGGCTGATGGGATTTGCTTAGGGACCCATGATTTCTCCAGGCTTTGCTTTGATGGCCAAGCAATTCGATATGTCCTACAACGATCTCAATGGTGGTCTCGGATGGGGTATCTTTGTCATTGGAGTCTCTTGCTTCTTCACAAATTCCATGGCTGTCATCTGGGGTCGGAGACCAATCTTCTTGCTGGGCAATCTCCTCCTTTTCATCAGCAGTGTCTGGGGATACTTTGCACATTCGTACCACTCGCTCCTGGCGTCTCGTCTCATAGGATGTATCGGCATGTCCCCATTCGAAGTCTTAGTCACAACAACGATCGCCGACCTCTACTTCGTCCACGAACGCGGTGTCAGACTTGCGGCCTGGGGTCTCTGCCTTTCTGTTGGAGTGGGAGGTGGAAGTATCATCTCTGGATACATCATCCAAGATCTTGGCTGGAATTGGACATATGGCATCTGTGCTGTCATATACGGAGTCTGGATCCTGGTCCTCTTCTTCTTCTGCCCAGAAACAGCGTATCGTCGAGACCCGATTTTGAACATCGATCTTGGAACAGACGACAAAGCTGCTGAACTTGCTCTGGACGAAAAGGCAACCGCAACAGAAGCTGCAACTCATGTTGAGTCTCTTGAGCGTGTTGAACTCAACGAGCCTGTCGAGGAGAAACATTCGTATGCTTATGAGCTTCGGATATTCCACGGACGTGTTTGTGACGATTCGTTCTGGAAAGTGCTTACTCGACCGTTGATGATGCTCATCTTTCCTCAAGTCCTGTTTTCCTTCTTTGCGTACGGATTAACGACATCGTGGCTGGTCGTAGTCGGAAGTGTTCTGGCACAGCTCTTTACCGCCCCTCCATACAACTTCTCGGTCTCCGGTGTTGGCCTTGTCGCCGTCTCTCCACTCATCGGGTCCATTATTGGAGCATTCATCTCAGGTCCAATTGCCGACTGGATCGTGAAGTATATGAGTCGCCGAAACAACGGTATCTACGAACCAGAGTTCCGTCTGGTTCTCGTCATCATAACTCTGATTATCGGAGGAATGTCGTTCTTTGGATTTGGTATTTCTCTCCAAGATCAAGATCCCTGGATTGGTCCTGTTATCTTTTATGGGATGCAATACTTCGGAGTCGGATTCATGTCCATTGCCGTTTATGGATACCTGACAGATTGCCACCGTGACAAGGCGCCTGAAGCTTTCGCAGCAATCAACTTGCGAAACATTTACTCGTTCGGTATGAATTACTTCATCTCTTCCTGGATCTCCACACAAGGGCCAAAAGAAGTTTTCTCGATCATCGGCGGTATTCATGTTTTCATCTGTTTGATGGCCATCCCGATGTACATATTTGGAAAGAGATGTCGAAGCTGGACTAGCAGGGTGGAAGTCTTCCAGAAGGTGATGAGGGCATGAAGCGAGTACCGATGGATTGCATGAGCGGGGTTGAAATTGTCGGCAGATATACTTTATAATAATCTAAAGTAACGTAAAGCTTGAAATGAAAACAAATATCGTTCCAGAGCTTGCGGGATTCGAGAACGGAGGGAACATACGCCGTACTGGAAGTCGTTTACATACCGCTTCGTCATTCAAATCTTAGTCCATAATGTAGGATCCATTCATATTGTCCCAGAAAATCTGGAAGAAAATATCTTATGTTCCAAATTGTACGGCATAGTAAGGAAAGAGTTGTAAGTAGTTTGATGCATGGTATGTGGGAACGGTTTTGAGGGGGAACGATTGTTTAGCGCGATTATCGTGTAACCTGCTGTACCTCAAAATCTACAATACCAGGAACCTCTCGACACTCACCAAGCCATTGAACTCCCAACGCGCCTCAACTCCCCTCCGCGCAATGTCGCCCTCTTCCATGCGTCTCCTCCGCACAACCCGAGCATCGATACGACACCCCATCTTCCCTCTCTCCCGCCCAATCGCTCCCCGTCCACCAACCTTCCAAACCTCCCGCCCCGCATCAACAGCAGCAGAAACCAGCTCCCCCGTCATCCGACTAAAGAATTTCTTCTACGGCACCTCGCTGGCTCTCTTCGCAGCATTCGGATACCTCTACATCACCGACACAAGAGCCAGCGTGCACCAATGGCTCGTCGTGCCCGCGATCCGCTGGTTCTACCCTGACGCCGAAGACGCCCACTACGTCGGGACCCAGGCCTTAAAAGCGCTCTACTCCTTCAACCTGCACCCGCGCGAACGAGACGGCAGCTCGCGGGACACAAGGGGCGCGGATCTGAGCGTCACGGTCTTTGGACAGAAGCTGCATAATCCCATTGGGACGTCTGCTGGGATCGATAAACTGGGCGAAATTCCAGACGCGCTGTTTGCGCTTGGTCCAGCGATTGTTGAGGTCGGGGGCGCGACGCCGGTTGCGCAGGAGGGGAATCCTAGGCCCAGGGTGTTTAGGATACCGAGTCAGAATGTGTTGATTAATCGGTATGGGCTTAATTCGTTGGGGGCGGATGATATGGCGAGACGGTTGCGGGAACGGGTGCGTTTGTTTGCGTATAGCAGAGGCTATGGGGTGGGACAAGAAGCCGAGGAATTCGTGTTGAGCGGTGGGGCGGGTGTGCCGCCGGGGAGCTTGACGGAGGGGAGAATGCTGCTGGTTCAGGTTGCGAAGAATAAGGATACGAAGGATGAGGATATTGAGGCTGTTAAGAGGGACTACGTCTATTGTGTGGAAAGGCTGGCTCCTTACGCGGATATATTGGTCGTCAATGTCAGCAGTCCAAACACGCCCGGTTTACGGACACTGCAAAGAGTCGAACCTCTAACTCGGATCCTGGAAGGCGTGGTAGGGGCAGCAAAATCCGTAAAACGGCCCACAACACCCAAAGTCATGGTGAAAGTCTCACCAGACGAAGACCAAGACGAGCAGATGGAAGGAATCGTAGAAGCGATCTGGAAAAGCGGAGTAGACGGCGTAATCGTCGGCAACACCACGAAACGAAGACAGAATCTGATACCAGCTAACATCAACTTGACCGCGAAAGAAACAGAGATCTTGGATGAACAAGGAGGATTCTCCGGTCCCCAAATGTTCGAGAGGACATTGAACATGGTGAAACGGTACCGACGGCTCCTTGATCAGGGACCACCTGTTTCCACCCAGCAAGAGGAGCCAAAAGAGAGCAGCAAACCAGTAGCAGGTATCTCGTCGGGAGACGAACCAGGCTCCGCAATCACGGAGAAGATCGAATCCGTGAAGGAAGCGTTGACTGCTGCAGCAACACCAGCTCCAAGTTACGAACCAAAAGTTATTTTCGCCACGGGTGGCATCACGAATGGGAAGCAGGCTTTAGAGATCTTGAATGCGGGCGCTAGTGTGGCGCAGATATATACCGCTTTGGTGAGTTCTTCTTACCCTCTTTCGTGATGTTGGGGATTAGTGCTGACTTGCGATAGGTTTATGGTGGCTCGGGGACTATGACGAGGATCAAGAAGGAGATGAAGGAGAAGATTTCGAAGAAATAGGACAGAAGTGTATTAACGTCCATCCCTGCGTGCCGAAAAAACCGGTGTGCCGAAAAAGAATTTATAGTTTAAGGTCTTAAATCTCCACTATATAAATATATAAAGCTATAATCTGTTTGCTATTGCTCTTTAGCTATTTCTCTATAAGGGCTTGACTTGTAGTTAGAAAAATATTAAAGTTTGGCTATACTATTAATCGTTCTATTAAAAGCGTCAAAAGCTGCAACAGCTATTACCCCTTATTTTATTATGATAATCGACCTGTCCCCGGAATTCGGGACATTAATATAGTGCTTATATTAAGTTTCAATATAGCTCTTAAGTTTAAAGACATAAAGCTTATGGGAACCTGCCTGCCGGATTTATCCGGACGAAGGTGGAAGATCTACAAAATGCTGCATCTTAATAAGCGAGGAAGGATTTATCGTTACCCAATACCGTATTCACCCACGCCAGCCGTAATTTTGAATGTCACGTGGGTTGTGGCGTCGTGTGGAGTCGTGTGGCGTTCTTCTAGAGGTTTCCACTGGCCACGCGTCCGATCCTGCCTGGAGTTGCCACGCCAGTTGTCCCAATCCCATTCCCATCTCTAACTCCGTATGTACGTGGGTGCTCGCCTGCGGCTCACACGAAGCCTTCGAAATTCATGAGAGTGATTGCCTTTTATTGAGCTACGGACCACATCTTCCTATCATTGTTGTTAATGCTGATGACCGAGACATTCGCCCGTGACCTCAATTACTGCTATTACGAGAACTACGATTTGAAGCTACAGTACCATAGACTGAGGAAAATAGGCAGCAGCACGCCGAATTTAGGGGCTGTTAGCGCCGACGTCCCGACCCGTAGCACAAAAGCAAGCTTATTTCAATGCTCTTCAAATGATTGGGTGGGAATTCAGCCTTTGCACCGCTGCCTTGGCTGCCCAACTTCATGCTTACATCTTTATCTCGCAAACAACCCAACTCTTTGAACCCCTATCGCTAGTCCATACCTTCTGGCACGTTGTATAATTAACACCTGGAGTTGAAAGAGAGCTCTCTCTGTATCAATATTGACCTCCCTATTCTATATCACTTTCTAGCACATCTCTGCGGTGCCACGCTTTTCCGCTCTTTCTAATGGCCGATCAGATCACCACCGTTTCATCTTTGCCTCCTGGCTACGGCACACTCGCCGGAACCGTCTATGCAATAATTGCCTCACCTCCAGCGGACTGGAACAACATAGCATGGGCAAAGATGGGCCGAGTTCCACGATTCTCAACTCTTTTTCGACCTTCGCAGCATCAATCAACGTCTGAGGCTTCAGGCGACCATGAAATCGTTTTCAGACTTCGCGATGCACTTTCGAGAAGCATAACAAAAAGAATGCGCAAGTTTCGGGCCTTTGAGCTTGACATTATACTGAAAAGAGATATTGCAGTTCTCTATGTGATATCTCTCTGGGCCTCCTCCTTCGAATCGAATCAAGAACGTCAGAAGGGCGGCATTGATGCCGTTTATCAACAAATAAACTCGATAGATCTTGAATCTATCCAGCGGTCTCGAACGAGCGAAACTTCGCAGAACTCAAATTCAATAATACCTGTCGATTCTTGCCCCTTACCCTCGACTGGAAGTGGGAAAATTTGGACCCTCGATGTACGGCTCCAAGTTGTCCAGTACACAGCAGACCGCACACCTGTACAGGCCATGATACATACACTGAGCATGCAAGATTTTGAGGACGCGATGGCTTCCGCCTTGCAAGGGTGGACTTTCAACTCGAATGTATGGAGTACGTCTATGAATCGCATAATCAACACTATCAAGGACAACAACTCCACGACAGTGGTCCTGGTGCAGGCCGCAGCACCGTTCGATATACTGGTAGTCGAGATCGCCTTCAAAGCAGTTGAAGTTTTGTTAGCCTGCGCTGTCATCCTAGGATCGACGGCTGGAGCATGGCTGGGCCTTACCTTAGGTTCCATATTTCCTCGCCGCGCTGCTGCTGGACTATTCGTGAGTTCGTATGGGCAAACACTCGGTGGTAAGATGGGCAATTTCGAGGGTAATTTGCCATATCCATGGCCTCCGGCCGGAACTGTCTGGTCTGAGACAGAGGGACATGATAGTTACTGTGTACTTCCACAAGTCAAACTTTCTGATAAATGGAGAAATGCTATCGGGTACTGGATACAGTTCTGCCTCCTGATGGTGTACCGACATTTCAAGCTCCCCGTCCGGAACGCACTGGGATTTGGGCCCTACGTGTTTACGAGAGATGCAGTTCGCTATATTGTACTAGCACTCGAGCCTTTTATCATAGTCACTTCAGGAAATATCTTGCATCAGAGATTACGCAAGTTTCAGGGTGGGTACTCGTTGCGGAATATTCTTGCCATAGGAGTCTATGTTATCATGCTCTCAGCTTCACTCACGATCATCGTGCTTGGACAAAAGTCTTTTTTGAATCCCATGCAGTCTCATTGGATAGGAGAGCTTGTAGACCTCTTTGCTGCCGCTGGGTCTGTTGCTCTAATAAACATCGAACTGGAAAATGAGAAGAGCCTCCTAGCAGAAAAATGGATTTTGATTTGGGCTATCGGGGCTTGCACTATTGTATGGTAATTAATAAGCAATGCTTAACGAATATTGTCACAGTATAGAATCAATGACAAGGTTAAGTTAGGCTAAATATATTCTATACTTTTAATTACGAAATAAAACCTAATATTAGCACTATACTACAATTCTAAAATTATAACTTTAGTCTTCTACCTCTCTCCTTGGGTAAATAAGTGTACCCTGAGGGTTTGATAGATTCTAGTAGATTCTGGGAGACCAGGGTCAGCACCCAATAAAGTCAATGCTCCCTGCACGCTGCTTTATGTCACTTATCACCCATTTTCTTAGCAAAAATACCTCCATTAGTATGTCTCTAGCATCAGAATACTCGATTCCTACCCCTAAAACCCCAACTAAAGCGCGCAATACCACTCGCGATGAGCGATTGCAAGTTCACACTCTATTTCACCACGCTCACTTCAATCCCTCAGAGATCGCTTTACAACTCAACCTTACGCCAAAGCAAGTAGAATATGCTCTCCAGCATAGACTTACTCCTCAAAAGACACGCTCTGGGAGACGCCCTCTCCTCGGTCCTACGGAAAGGAAGGAATTGATTGAATGGGTATGCGCAAGCAAGGCAGATAGGAGGACACCATGGCACAAAATCCCTGGGATTCTAGGCTGGGATTGCAAAGTCTATGCCATTGAAACAGCATTCAAAATAGAAGGATTTAGTCGCTATTCAGCTGTCCGTAAGCCAAAATTGACGGACAAACACGCTCAAATCCGGTATGATTGGGCAATGGAGCATAAAGACTGGACATTAGAACAATGGTTCCAGATTCTTTGGACAGACGAGAGTTGGGTCACACCTGGGAGACATAGGAAAGTGAAGGTTACAAGAAGGAAAGGAGAGAAGCTTCATAAGGATTGCGTGGAGCCACGAGTGAGGAAGAAGATAGGGTGGATGTTTTGGGGGAGTATATCAGGGCTTGGAAAGGGCCCTGCTATATTCTGGGAGAAGAGTTGGGGTGGAATTGGAGCTGAAAGCTATTGTGAGCATATTGTGCCACTTTTGGAGGATCATATAAGGAGAACAGGGCTTGTGATGATGCAAGATAATGCTTTAGGCCATGCTGCAAAAGATACAATAGCACATATGGCCTCAAGAGGCCTATATCCTATCTTTTGGCCTGCAAACTCCCCAGACCTTAATCCTATTGAGGATATATGGGAGAAGATGAAGGATTATATTGAGGACAATTACCCTGAGATCCACAGCTCTTACAAGAAGTTGAAGGAGGTAGTAATAGAAGCTTGGAATGCGGTGGCATACTCAGATGTAATTAATCTCATTAGTAGTATGCCAAAGAGATGTCAAGCAGTGGTTAATGCTGGCGGCTGGCACACAGAATATTAAGAATTGCAATATAAAATGAATGCCCATCTCAAGTCAAATGCATAAAGCAGCATCGGATTAGCACTAGTGGGGGTGTGTGGAGCTCAGCCCTCAGGGGTACACTTATTCACCCAAGGAGAGAGGTAATCTGTCTTTGATTATATCTTTAATATTAAGAGAATCAATTTATAGAACGAATTACTAAAGTTGTGCAAAGTAGGCGGTTTTTGGTGTGTTTTCGGTTAATTTTGGAGGGTGCGTTAGGAATTCTGTCACCCACTGTTGGTAGGATTATGTTAGGTGGGTGGTAAGTGTAGTGAGATTCTAGGCACCTCCAGCCACTATTAGTCTTTATGCCTAAGGCTCTGTAAATGAAATTACAGCGTAAATATTATGGGACGTGCGGGCCTGTTTTGCACTAAGCCAAAATTGTCAGCCGAGGTACTTATCTGCGTAGCAAACATACTTGAATTTGCTCCCTACAGCACCATCAGGCTAATAATAATTTCCTGCATAGTAGTAAGGCCTAAGAGCTTAGATAAGACTCTTTTAAAAGTATTAGAGATAGTATAAGCTCAGTAGTGGAGCTGTAATAGAGGAACACTATTATGCTATAAAATAAGACCCTTTGCAAGTTAGGTGTGAGGGCGATAATGCAGAAACAATTTTCTAGTAAAAGGGGTTTAGGGTATCTAGGAGTGGCTACGGAATATAACTTATCAAAAATTTATAGGCGATATTAAGATGTGCACAGATTTTAAGATGCTTCAAATCAAAGTACCTATCAAATTTTTCGGCACACCAGTTTTTTCGGCATGCAGGGATGGACGTTATAGCAAAAATTTCATATACCATCAAGCATTGTTTAACCTCGAGGTCTCCTGGATAGACTGATGACTCACGCTGAACTTGGTTATGATTCACGTCTGACTACACTTTTACGGTCGTTCTTGTGCCAAGTGGACAATCGGCGTGGGAAATACTGTTTCATTGAGATGGTGAAGCCTGTTTGGGATGGCGATGCTATCTATTTTGTAAGGCCAACAAAACTTGTGTTGTAGCTCAATGCAATGAAGCAGGCACATAGCAATACGTTGCGGACCTTGCGTTTCGTCTAATCCTCCAAGCCTATAAACATACAGCATACCCGCCAAGGTCCACGGAAAGGATTCTTCCTGCCAAAGCTCAATGCTGAGCATCATGGAGATATTTTCAGTACTATGTGTATGATATTTCCCAATTGAAGCTCCAATCTCTTCATTTCAGTCTAGTGAGCTTTCATTGTCCTTCATCTTGCGTTCTGATTGTGCAGCATCATCGGTCGAAGCTTCTATCTGCGGGTACTGAATATTCTTGTGAGTAAGAACATTCAAATGCAAGCGATGCCACTCACATAAGGATCACCAATGCTGTGAGCCCAATTCTCTCCAAGAATATCCGTAATGCGATTCGCCTCAACGGCTCGAAGGAAGCCAGGTTTGGAAGCGAAATATGGCCAGATTGAACGACAGTGCTTCGTCTGCGATGTTTTCTTCAATTCGATATGGCCAGGCGTGAACTGAAAACGATAGGGTCCATCGTCTGTGTCTTCCTGAACTAGCATTAAATGCTGCAGGCCACGGAAGATTTTGTCAGCATGGCTTCGAAGGACACCGCCATTCCTCGTCGAGTTATGGGACGTCGATGCATACGTTTCCCAGCAGCCACGAGGCAGAGCAAGGTTCACAACCTCCTCTAGATCCGATAAGAGCTTGGGCGATGTATGGTTCCACCCATGAGCAACTTTATAGCCTGTGAATATTGAGGAATAATCTCCCAACAAACCACTGAGATTGTACCATCGAGAGTTGAAGTAGAGTGTATCGCAAGATAGATCAGCATACACATTAGTCGTGCCGAAAACAAGGTGATATCTCTCTCGAGCCACGTTGCGTGTCTCTCGGGACACATACAAGAGTGCTGGATTCTCTGGGTTGTCTTTCTTACGAAAGTGGAATTTGTCTACATAGCGTCGAACATCGCTGGGTACCAAGACTCGTGGTCCAGGCAAAGCATATCTCCACTACAGTGGATTAGTACAATGTCCAGCGCGAGGACGCAGAAGGATCCTGTTGCTTACTATCATGCTCCGAATCTCAGGGGGTATGTATTGCTGAATGGGGACAATCGCGTCCAGATTCGCCTGTTTGAAATCTTGAAGTTTCTTGAGATGAACTTCGTACTGACCCTTTAAAGTGCAGAGTAGCTCATTGTGCAGCTTGAATGACTTCATCAAGTCGTTCTTCAGACCGATATGAGGCAGACCGCGACGTTTGAGCTCGTCTTGAATGGATTGCTTCGGAAGACGACGGTAGTCTTTGTAGGTCCGCACATTGGTAGCATGGCACGAATTGGTGTGGGACGGCAAGTGGAGGGTATGGTCTTGCTCTGGTGTGAGGTTGGGAGGCATCTTGGCGGCGTCACTTCGTTGTTGTCGGAGGGAAGTGAAGTTGAATTCGTTCAATCTAAAGGAGGTATGGTCAGTGATGCAGTTCTCCCAGCGCGAGTATCGCGATGATAAGAAAGAAAGTTGTGTCGAGTTATGAGAAAAGGTGTTGTCTCGAGAAGTCGCGGGATGATGATGTCCCTTCCCTATTCTGATGTCGATGCATCTAAACGAAAGGGCCACCACAACCTGAACATGATCCATGTGATCACTCTGATCATATCTGGAAGGCACATCTTGCAAAGAATTTCTCTCGTGTACTACAAGCCCTCAAAATTCTTCGAGTAACGTAAAAGTGGAAGATAAGATAACATTGTTGCAGAATTTGTAGGACAATCTGACCCGGCTAGTCCCAGATGGAAAAATATGCAAGTGTAAGACTTCTCTTCTATCTCGAATAACCTGCTCTTCCTACTTATGTTGTCCCGCAGGCTCTGGGGCAGCATTACCTTATACCTCAACTCTGTAGCATGGAATCTCGCAAGACAAGCAAATATTCTACTTTTGATGGATGACTCGACGAGGCTCGTTGCAGAGACTTACTTCTTTGCTTCGAATCGCTTCATCTGCTAAGATGAGAAAATAGCACACGATGTTACTTCATACAGGGGTGCTCGATCTCATCTTCCATCCTCACCAAATCCACCACTTTCAACTCCCTCGACACGTGATACTCCATATTCACATGTCCGTCTCCTACACCTCCAAGTTCAGACGAAAATGCCAATTGCCCAATAAGATCCGCCTCTCAGCAAAGAAGAAACGAGACGCTACCTCATAACACAAGGGTATGACCTAGACAACTATCACATGAAAGTATCTCCATCCGTTCATCCTCAGATGCACTCCGCAGTTTCCCCATCAAAGCACTTGCAGAACGTTGACTCCATCTTCATGCAGGAAAATGACTACAGTACAACGATCGGGACGACCCTTGATACGGCAGAAAGTTCTCGAGACGTTGCCGGATAGCGGACACGATGTTATGATAGCTTCCGGTGTCCTATATAGGATCCTCAACTTGAGGTTCTAGGGAGAAATTACAGCAACAAAGCAAAGTCAAACCAGCAGCCAAATAGGAACAGGATGAGGAGATGAAAAGACCTCGTATTCCAAGACCCTCACCTCAGATTCACGATAAACCTCAGCACATTCGTTCTCTCGCCTCCCCTCGGCATCACCTCCTTCCTTACACAGCAACAAGATCCACCCATCCGGGCCTTCTACGCGGAAACTCTCGCCCGCAGATCCGATGCCATCCTCCTCGTCGCCCAATTCATCTCTTGCCTCTTGAGAGAGGCAAAAAAAAAGACGTAAGAAATCACCCAACATCTATTCACGGATTCGTTCAATTCGGCGCGTTACACAGCCGAGATCGCGGTGACGGAGATTTATCGCGGCTAGCAAGGGAGGGAGAGCTTTGTTGAGACCAGACATCCATCTTCACATGTCAGATGCATGCATGCGTGAACCATGATGTGTGGTGTGGCTGGTGACGCTACTTTTCTCGATCAAGTTAGAGGGGAGAAGTGAGTGACGGAAGCTCAGAGCAAGTGTTGATCTGTGGCAGAGACGTGCATCAGGAGAGTTTGGAGCAACGGCCATGTTGTGTAACATGAGGACGATGGGATGAGATGATTCTTTTTCCTTTTCTTTTCTAATTATTTTTGGTCACAATATACAGAGATACTGTATTCGCAGGAAGGATGGTTTAGTTCAAGCCACCTCCTGATGGACCAACCATCATCGGCTGGAAATAGGGTTCCAACCTCGCAGGGCTCCCTCCTCGCTCGCTCGCTCGCTCGCGGGACCGGATTGCTGGGGCTTGTGCCGTCTGATCTGCGCTACCCAGAAGGTGCATCGAAACTCAAAAATTGCTGAGCTTCGCGTTGGAGTAACCAGAACCGAGTGCATATGCACGGATGACATTATTCGAGAGGAATAGGCATCTCTTTCTTTTTCATCATGATCACCAAGGGATTTGCTCGAAGGAGCAGTTCTCCTCACGCACATCAAACTTTATGTGCAGTCAAAAACGGTGGTGCGGTGAATAGGATAGGGGATGCCTCCTGAAGAGCGCTGATTAGCGAGGGCGATAAGAGCTTGATAGGCGAGAGCCACTTGCATGATAGGTAGGATTGATAGCACTGAGGGGTGAAGGAAGCTTTGCGGGTTGCATTTGGCTGGACTGCAATGTGAACCAGAGGAGGATAGTAAGAAAATATACTTTGATTTGAAGCTTGAATTACGTTATGTCACTCTATGTTGTGTACTACTGTATACTACTTCATACAGTACTTCCCTCTACAAATAGCATCATTATCAACGACGGAGAAATATGACGCACGGTTGGGTCGACTTTCACATGCCTCACCTATCCCCTGTCGTGCTCTGCCCACATGTGGCGTGGCGTGGCGTGGCTTCAACACCACGCTACAGTACAGTATCGCATCGCATCTCCTTCGACGGCGGAGGACGCATATTGCATCCCTCTGCTGATACTGTATGGCTGCTCTCCCATCCCACAACAATCTACTCGAATCACCGCCTAGACGGAATCAATCCTCGACCAATGCAGCAGCGTCCCCTGCATCCACATCCACATCCATATCCCCATCCCGTTGATTCGTGGCCACACCTCACCTCTCTGTCGCTTCGTCATGCCGTTAAATAATCAGGGAACCGAGCACATGCAAAATGCACCTCGAAAGCCAAGCTGTGCTGTGGCGCATGAGCCGTCCAGATTTCTTCCTGATAAACTCGAGCCACCACCACCACCACCACCACCTTCTTGCTTCCCTCCTTCCCTCCTTCCCAAATCCTCAATCTTCTGACCTTCTGACCTTCTTGTACGACGAGAGCTGGAAAGAAATAAAAGTAAGCACAGAAGAAACATACCAAACCAAATTGTACGTCTATCTGCACTACCCCACCCCCGCTGCATGCAAGGCACCACCACCATTGTACCTGCTGCGTCTCACTACCGCGATAGGAACAAACAGCTGACATCTTGCTCTTCCCTCCTTCTAGAACCCTCACCCTATGCCCCATTCCTCCTCCACCACCACAACAACAACAACAACAACAACAACAGAAACCAAAATGGCCCCCCAAGTAAACGGCGAAGCCCCCTCCTCCGCCTTCCTCCACGTTCGTCATCCCCCTCTCTCTCCTCCCCCTCCTCTCCCTCACCAACAAGCTAACCTCTCCTCAACCAGCACCTAACATCCTACCCCCTCATCTCCGACAGCATCCAAACCTTCACCTCCAACCCCTACGGCGCAAAAGCCACCTCCCTAACCCACACCTCTTACTCGAAAATCTCCGCCCCTCTCGCCCCCTACCTCCACACACCATACAGCTACCTCTCGCCGTACCTCTCGAAAGCCGATTCGCTCGGCGACTCCACCTTATCCTCTCTCGACTCCAAATTCCCCTTGGTCAAGAAGCCCACGGGCGAACTATACGACGAGGGCAAGGCGATTGTGTTCTACCCGCTGAAGAAGGGGAATGAGGGGAAGGAGTACGTGATGGGGGTTTTTGGGGGCGAGAAGAAGAAGGTGGGGGGCGAGGGCGTGGTTACGTACGGCAAGGCGGTGTTGGCGACGGGGTTGGTGGTTAGTAGTGATGTGATGGGGTGGTTGGGGCAGTTTTTGGGGAGGAAGAAGGAGGAGGCTAAGGAGGTTGTTAGTGAGAAGAGTAGTTCTTGAGAGGGAGGGGAAGAGAGAGGAGGGCAATGAAGGATGGGATGGAGGGATGGATGGATGGACTGATAATACGATACCCCTCAATACTTTCTGTCAGGATTTGGGGAGGATGATTGATATGCGGGGATGAAAGGGGTGGAATGAAAAGGATGTTTATTTTTGCGTTTCTTCGTCTTTTTTTCTTCTTCTTCTTCTGGTACGATGGTTGTTCTCTACTTTTGGGGCTGCACAGCGATTCGCATCAAAGCATCTCGGATCGCACTGAATTTCAGCCTACAGTCATGTTTGTCGCTGGAGATCTTGAGTGGCAGTGAGAAGGGGGGGGGAGAGAGGGAGACAGGTTTGGTGTGATTAAGCGGGCTGTGAGAAATGAACAAACAGAAAGACGGACAGATGGATATACCGAATGAATGAATGAACCATAGACTTACTTTCCGAAATCTCCGTTCTCTATCACTCAATAGAATCACTTTCCTCGAAGATGATGTTGTGAGATATACTCCCCATTTCAACCAACCAACCAGCCCACAAATCCCTCTCCTCCTTATCTTACCTTCTTGCCGGAAATATAAGATCTTTGCATCATATAACCCACATGCAGGAAGGTGACTGACACATGGCCTTATTTTTGTTTCCTTCCAGAGTATAGGCGTTAAGAGTAAGGACGTGGATGTGCCCACAGGTCTCTCATTTCCAGGTTCTGTAGTTGTGGCTAGTAAAGCGAAGCCAGGAAAGGGTTTATTTAGAGCAACTGGTGAGATGTAGGAATATTGTTTGCTAACTTGTGCAAAGACGGGTCGAAAGCTTGGATCAAGAGAAAGGGGGAAGGGTGGTGCGTTTGGTTCGTGGAGGTATGGAGGCTGTAGGGATGGAGGGAGGGATGCTTAGATCGAGATGAATGAAGGTTGGAAGTTGTTGTTAATGACGTAGAGCTTGGTATTTGGTGGGTCGATGGAGGGGGGTTGAGTCTGGAGTAAGTTGGATTATGTGCCGTTGTTTAGAGAGATTGAGTAGAAATTATGTTCGTGGGTCTCACCCATTTCATCTCTTTGATAGTAGAATTGTTTGAGGGGGTTATCTCATATCATTCGACTTCCTAAGGGAGACTATATCTTCTCGTAGAAATCACATGCGAGAATATTAAAGTGTTTAGCATAGGAATGGCATCTATTTGTAGTTAAGAAGAAATCTCAAAGATGGGCGGAGCAGAGTGAAAGGTCGTTCAGCTCTAATCTCGTAATGCATAACATCTTCATCGAAGAGTATAGCGGCTTGGTCGCTGTACCATGTATGTAAACGCGAACGAGCGAGCCACATGATTCTTTCTTGGTTCGTGCGGTGGCAGTTGTTGGCGTCCTTCTCGTCAAAGTTCACCAATGCTGCCAGTAGATAGTCTCCGTAACCTCGGCCCTTGTGACAAAGAAAGTACAGGAGAGATGAGCACGTTGCTAAACTACGTCCCACTCCATAATTACGATCTTAATACGTCTTCGTTTGAGCTATTGTCACACGCTTACAGTGCCTTGAAGATGTATTAGAGTATCGTCAATATCATGAAATATTGATTTTGCTTTGACTCGGAGATCTAATAGCGTTCGTGATATTGACGCTTTGGTCAAGGTTATCAACGGAGCCAAGAATACAAATGACGGTCTGAAGGAATTATACAGCACAATGGTTGCGGATCGCGAGCAGCGTTTGAATTTCCAGCAAAATCTGAGTTCGACACATTTGGCAGCGGGTAGGATTCGGTTCCCAAGACCGACTGGTTGTCAAAATCTGGGTTGAGCTTACATGTCAGCCCGATACCCGAAGCTTCATCTTCAATAATTTTTTCTTTGTTGCATATCGTCCGGCCCGACATTCAGCCCTTGGTCTGACATCGAAGAACTTTGTTGCACGTCGCTTGCCGATGTCCGGCCCTTTGCCGCAGTATTCTTAATAAGACAACAAATGCATACGGTAGCAAATATTTTGGATCCTGCTTTTGAATGTCCAGCTCGTGGTCTGGACAAAGTCAAGCTAGCTTTGCCAATCCGGCCTCCGGACACCTGACAGAGTTTTGAGGCTCTGTTACTGGGTTGGGACTTTTGTTGCATCTCGCGAGACCCCATGTCCCGCTGCCTGAGTCTAGTCTCTGCCTGCTCTGACTTGGAAGGGAAGTCTGGAAATAGCTAGTCAGATGGCCGGACTCTAGCTTCGATTGAGAAGGCAGAGAAGTGCTGTGGCAGTTGCTTGGAGCTGATGTCCATCATTCAATTCTGATACTAAGTAGATCTTTCTGACAGTCCCAAGTCCGAATCTTGTAGACGAATGCTGCAAATTATTCCAACGGGACCCAAACTAAAATAACAGACTTCGATTGAAGTATGCTTAATGGCCTAGCGCCGAAACAGCACATCGTGCTTTGGACCCAAACACTGTCAATTGACTAGAGCAACCATACGGCTGAGTCCAATGGGCTCGAGGACATGTCTCAGTGAGATCTTCAGCTTCCTTGATCTGATATGTCTCTCATGAGTCTCCAACACCGGCCGCAGATGCACTACATCCGCATGTTTTGTCTCGGACTATTTGCTAGTGACTCGCCACATACTTCATCAACAAACACAGCGCGCATGTACTTTCAAATATCTTGAGCCCCATCAATGGAACTCCTCTCCAATGGCACTCGCCACTGCTTGGACCTCCCGTCTGATTTGGTGCAAAATCATTTGAGTCCGAGGCCACGCGTCCCGAATTATAGAGGCAAACCGCTTAATATTTTCTCCTTCTCTTCAGATCTGGCCTCGAAGCCAACGAATGCACCAAAATGGCTTCCGCCTCCTGGTTTCAACACATTGTTTCCGCTTCGACGCCACCCCTGAACCCTCGATTGGCTCAAGCCAATCACCACGTACATGCACACTTTTCCCTGCAGCAGCTAATCGGTATCCGGCCTAAGTGGATGCACGATAACAATTGCCTTGGAAATGTTTTTCTTAGCAAGGGTCTAGGAAATGATAGTTGAAGCCATCAAAACCACGCAGAGACGCTACGGCCCAGATACCGACCAGATGGCGGGTCTGTTGTGGTGGTGGTGGTGGACGGACAACCAATTCTTTTCGCTGGTGGTGGTGTTGAGATAAAAATGAAAATGGCATCCTGTTCGAGAGATTTGCATCGTCCGGATAAAGACTCGATCCCTGCCCCAAACATTTGCGCATCCATTGTCAGCCAATCGTGCGTCCAGGATTAAAGCTGGTTATCTCGTCATTTCTCCTTACCGTGGAACCTCCTTGTCTCTCCCTCTTCCCCCATCTTCTTCTTCATCACCACCACCATCTTTTTCTGCCTCACTTTGACTAGTTGCGGCAATCGAGAAGAGAATTGAATACGGGAGTGCGAGCAAAGTCCGTTTGTCGTCCGGACATCACATTCGTTGCATACCAAGCAGTCGCTACCTAGGTACCTGTACCTGTACTTTCCCATCCCCAAGGAAAAAAAGCTTGTTCCCAAACAAACGAAGCTCCACCACGCTCGCCCAATTGCTCGGCCCTTGTATCTTTTCACCACCACGCGTCGCCACAATTCTTCTTCTCCTTCGATCCCTTCCATAGTCTGTTCTACAGCTTTACAATCGTTCGCAGAACCTCATCATGTTCTGCAAGACATTGGCAGCAGCTGGCTTGCTTGCCAGTTTGGCCATTACTGCTGTCCACGCAGCTACCGCGCCAACCATATCCGTTTCGGGCTCCAAGTTCTTCTACAGCAATGGAACTCAGTACTACATGAAAGGTGGGACGAGCTACCTTCGTTGCACAACCATTGCTAACTGTTCCACAGGTATCGCATACCAATTGACCGAAGCCGACCCTTTGATTGATACTGAGCAATGCCAACGCGATGCCGACCTCATGTCCACCCTTGGCGCAAACGCAATTCGTGTTTACCACGTTGACCCGTCTGGAGACCACGATGGATGTATGTCCGCGTTCGCAGGTGCTGGAATTTATCTGCTGGTCGACCTGGATACTTTCACAACTGCCATTGACCCTGTTTGTCAACCCATACCACGGGATAAATCATCTGCTAATCAATTGGGTAGACCAACACCTCCTGGAACCAGACACAATACAATGCATTCGCCAAGGTCATGGACGCTTTCGCTTCCTACACCAACACATTGGGTTTCTTCGTTGGTAATGAGGTTATTGCGTTGGCCAATCAATCCTTGGCAGCACCATATGTTAAAGCCGCGACGCGCGACATGAAGGCATACAGAAGTAGCAAGGGCTACAGAGATTTCCCAATTGGATATTCCGCAGCAGATATTGCCGAATTACGACCTATGTTGCAGAATTATCTTGCCTGTGGAACCAATTCTTCCGAGACGATCGATATGTTTGGCTTAAATGCTTACGAATGGTGTGGGAATAATGATATGGAAACCTCTGGTTACGATACCCTCAACACATATGCTGAAGGCTACAACATCCCCATTTTCTTCTCGGAGACTGGCTGCAATACTGTGCCCCCTCGCACCTTTGAGGACCAGAGTGCTATCTTTGGTTCAGCAATGAATGATATTTGGTCTGGTGCCATTATCTATGAATGGATCGAGGAGACGAACAACTACGGTCTGATCTCCTACGGTCCAACTGTCGCTGCAACCGCGGTCGCATCAGGAGTCCAAGCTGGAATTTCACGAACCGGCACACCCACTCCTGTCTCGCCGGACTTCACCAACCTCCAGAGCCAGTGGGCGACTCTGAACCCAACCGGTGTTGCGAGCTCTGCGTACAGTCCCTCATTGACCGCACCAGCTTGCCCCTCTTCTACATCCGGAGGCTGGCTCGTCGATGGTAACGTCAAGCTCCCAAGTCTGGGTCAGACTTTGGCTACCGGAACTTCGACCGCGGCAGTATCATCCACCGGCTCCGCTACCGGGAGCGCAGCAACTCCTTCAGCGACAGGCAAGAAGAGCAGCGCCAACGGCGGTAAAGAAATCGCCGGCATGAGCGCAGGCTTGTTAGCCGTTATGCTTGGATTCATGTACTGGCTATGAGAAGCCGCTCGTTCGTTCTTTTTCGCATTGTAATCTGTACATACAGCATGTGAAGGATGGAAGAAAGGAAAGAAAGCATAGATGAGCGCATGATAGACGAAGCGCGGCGTTTATAAGGGCGTTGCTTGGCTGCCCTGGTTTTGTATTGTTGTGATCCCCCCTACAGCATGCGGAGTGGAGGAGAGGAGAAAGTCAAGTAATGATAATAAGAGATAAATCATGATGAGAAGTCGAAAGGACTTTCTTATTGCTCAGATGCAGTGAAGATGGGAGGAGCAAGTGTTTCTCTACAATGCCGTATTCTTGACAGAGGAAGGCATAGACTTGTGCGATGTTTTTGCGGAGCTTGATGTGTGCTATGTGTGTAGCAATACACAAGTACTTATGAGTGTCTGCATTTCAAAGAGCCTTCGAATGGAGAAGTGAGGATGTGAGGAAGTGCGTCGCGAAAGAAGTGGCCCTCCTATCTAGCTTTTTTTTTTGTTTTGTCAATCTTCTTCTTGCCGTCAAAAAACTAACTTTTTGTTACCAATTTAGTCTTTTGTTTTCAAGTGAGAAACTTATATAAACTATTATACAAGCTCGTGGGCTCTACTAGATAGAGTTATATGTGGTGCTCCTTTCTAAGTGAGAATCCTATATAAGCTATTATATAAGCTCGTGAGCATTAATTGGATAGACTTATATGTGGTGCTTTTGCAACCACGTTGTGATCTGGATATCTTAATTGTCACTCGTACTCGTTTGTTAAATTTTCTGAAAAAGTGGTGGATGCTATGTTTATATGTAATTGTAAGCAGTTGGTGGTGTAAAGTTCAAGTCATGCTTAGGAGTTAAGTGCTATTCACCGCTGTGTGTGTGTGGTTGTGAACTGCAACCGTGAAGCTCGGCACAAAGACTACTTTCATAACTATAAATGATTGCGTTTGTGGTAAAGACTCTCGTTTGGTGGGGAGTGTCGTTGCGCAGATTGGGAAGTGCATGGCTAGTATTGTTGAGAGCTAGAATGGTCTGAGATGAGCGGTTGAGTAAGGTTGTGTGTATCGCATTGTCGGGTGTTTTCGTACTTTGTAGTTCTTCTTGAGATAGACATAGACCATTGCCATCTTGGAATCTCTTGCCATTATCATCGCTGATGATGTGGAATGCGCCATGAGTTGGCATGTCATTGCAGTATGTAGAGTAGCTAGCGCGTTAATGGAATAGCTGAACTGCTATGAGCTATTGAACCATGCTTTGATAGACAGATAATAGCTTGAGAAGTAGTGCCTGCTGTTCACATCAATCATAAGAACACAAAGTAACAACCGATATTCCGAGCTGCCTTTCAATTTGTGGCTGGAGTCTTTCAATTTATTTTCCTTCTTGATCCCATAGCATCTCCACTGTGTGGAAGACTCTTGCAACCTTTGGCGGGCAAAAGTAGCAAGAATCTCACTCATCACCATGTCCAGCTGTCAAACAGCAAAGTGAAGCTTATCACGTGTGACCCTTTCTTCGTCGGTTCCCCGTCTCCCTTGGTTACTCACTATTTGACGAAAGTAGCTGGCACTACCTGTACTCCTGTATATTTCCGAACCTGCCGTCAACCAGTAGACTGAGCCTTTCTTTGGCTGACAGCTGTCAAGGTTTCCCATGTTGCATCCATTACTTTCGTTGTGATAGTGCACGTTGTTCCTACCTGTATTTAATTATTATACAAAGAAGGTTCTGGGAATTATTCATGCAGTTGCTCAATGTATCAGAGATTGGAAGCAGTAGAAATACCTGCTCTTAACTCTATGTAATCATTGGCCACGATGGAAAGTTTTGCAAATCTGTTGTTATTGTTGCGATTTTAAGACCCTTGCAGCTTCTAGTAATAAGCGCTGTCTCTAACACGGCTTAGTCCTTTATTAGTTCATCGCCAAACCGAGAGTGTTGGATGTCAGAATTGCAGACTGAAAGCCATCACGGGCATCCCTTTCTTCTCCTTGGCTTGGGTTCTCCCTCTCGCTTTCCCGCTCAGTATATAGTTGCAAGGAAGCTTGCGGAAATTGGCCATTCAAATGCTCCACGGAGCTAAAGATTGTAAACTGGAGAAAGAAATATCGTCATTTTTATGTGATCATAGACCACAAAGGTTACTGGGGGATGCTGTGGCTGTATAAACTGCTTGCGATCTAGCAATACAAATTGCGTTGCAACGGTTTATCGATCTAGTTCAAGTTGGAACTTCCGGCTTTGTCAAAATCATGCGGTAGGGCCCTGCTACCTCTTTGATTCCCAAGCTTGCGGAGGACCATTCCCGGTTATTGCATGAGATTGCCGGTCCGGTATTCTATTTCATTGGCTCATTACCACACGGAGAACTTCAGTGGCCAGGTATAAGACTCTATGATCACGTGTGCCCCTTTTTCACGTCCTTCGCTACTCACCTCTAGTTTGTCGTTACAAAGAAGTTTAGAAACAATGAAAGAGCGATGCTTAAATGATGAACTGCGAAAGCGATTCTTGTAAGTTTCGTGATGTATCTATATCAAGTTTCTGCAGCTGTTAGTAATATGAAACGTCTTGAAAAGCGGGCTGAGATCTCTGTTGCTCCATTGCCAGAAATAGCCTCTAGAGCTGGGATTACCTACCTAGGTAGGTACAGACTGAAAGCGAACACTTGTGGGCCTTTCTTCAATATCTTCGCACTAGTTCGTCCCATGGCTTCGCGCCCTGCTTCTGTAGAAGAAAGTTTCCTGAACTTGTCATTCAACAGTTCAACAGCCATTAGATCAAAAATCGGAAGGGGTAGAAAGGGTTATTCGGAACTCGTATGTGATACGTCGCAATGCGAATGTTTGGTGCTCTTTTCAAACTCATGGTAATTTCTAGTAGTAAGATTGGTTGGAACGGCGCGATTTTCTCTGTTGTTTCGTCATCATCAAATCAATAACCTCAGCAGCGGGAGCCAAAGTAAAAGCTGAACATGAATACGCTCCCGAATTTCTTCATGCGCTTTGCGCCGCTTCCTTGATGGCCTAGTTTGGAGCCGAGAAAGAATCTCAATCTCCCGGAGTACTGCCCTTCAACTGCTCAAAAACAAAGTGACCAATGGTTGAAAATTGTATGAGCAAATCTTTGATTCCTATGTAGTCATGGGTCGCAAAGGAAATAGCTCCACATTGTTCTTGTATCATTAATTCCTTGTAGCTTCTACACGTAAAAAACGTCTTGCAACGAGCTGACACCTTACCTCAAGAGCCGAAGTAGAAGACTGAAGTTGATCACGTATGCCCCTTTTCCACTCCCCTCGTGTCACTTCATCCGCTCGCCTCGCACTTTACTTATATTCAATCTAAGTCTCCAGCTGAGAAAGAGACTTCATCGGCTCGATAACATTGAAGCCTTAGATTGAAAAGTAGTAGAAAGAATTATTCTTGATTCTCATGTGGTGATAGGTCGCAAAAGAGATAGCTTCGCTCCATTCTAGTAATGTTACTTCCTTGTAGTTTCTAGACAAAAAAATGTCTTCGAATGGTTTCACGCCTTATCTCAGGAATCGGAATAGCAAACTGAAATTGATCACGTGTACCCCTTTCTTCACCCCCTCGCATCGCTGCGCCCGCTCGCTTTGCAATCTGCTTAGTCTCGAGATGAGAAGGAAATCTAAACACAACCCCTCGACGCCTCAGTAAGTAACAATGAGACCTTAGTTGAAGACTAGTAGAAAAAGTTATTGTTGATTCTCATGTGGTGATACATGGCAAAAATGGGTTTGCGCCGTGCTTGTGCTATGAGTCCCTTGTAGCTTCTGAACATAGAAGTGTCTTGCAATGGATCGACGCCTTACCATCGTAACTAGTCGGATTAACGGATTGAAACAGATCACGTGTGCCCCTTTCTTCACTTGTTCGCTCGCTTCGCCAGCTCGCTTCGCCATGCATCTATTCTCGAGTCGAGAAACAAGCTTTCTGAGCACTACTCTTCGACGGCTAGGTAAGTAACAATGAGACCATAGATTGAAACGTATTATGAGAGTTATCCTTGATTCTCATGTGGTGATAGACCCCAGGGATAGTTTTGCGCCGTGCTTTTGTTGTTAAGTCCTCGTAGCTTCTGACATAGAAATGTCTTGGTACAAGTTGACACATTACCTTACATCAAGATTTGAATCAACGAACAAACTGAAGTTGATCACGTGTGTCCCTTTCTTCAACCCCCTCGCGTAGCTTTGCACACTCGCTTCGCCCGCTATGTATTCTCGAGTCGAGAAAGAAGCTTCCGGACGACGGCCCTTTCGCAGTCACGTAATAAAAGAAGTGTGAGGTATTTTAGAAAGGATGTGGGGCTTCAAAGCTGAAGGGATAATTATAAGATTACTTCACCTTCTTAGGATTTTGTTGATTGGGACGTGTTGTTGCGCTAGGCTTCCTCTCTCAACACAACACAACAACCACCACCACCTTCTTCAGAAACTTTCCACCTTCTCTACAACTCTGAGATCACAACACAACGCAGTATCTTGCGCGGTGGATTGCGCCGAAGATCTGAAGAGCAATCTTTACACGGAGATCATCTCTGCGCAAGTTATTACGGGGTTTACAGCCAGCGCAGGAGCGTTTTCATCCAAGAATTTTACTGCTTTACGCGACGAACTGCCTCTTACGAGCGTGATGAATACTCCACCTCCAAGGAGTCGTCGTGTCGACTCCTCTTCATCCCCAACCCCCTCGCCGTACCAAGACAACACACCAGCAACTACAGTTCCACCCCGATCTACACCTCTGGAGAAGTACCCACCTATCCCCGATACCCTCCCGGTCCGCGCTCTCGCGCCAAACGAAGTACTTCCATTCGCAGCACCACCGCTCGACCTCCCAATTCGACTCAATCCTCTTCTTCCGGCACTAGCAAGCTTAGATGCCAAATACAATCGGACACGCCACCCAATTCTAGATATCGACAATATGTGGGGAAAGGGACTTACGGAAGCTCGAGAAGGAGAGGACGTGCTGAAATTAGAAGAAGCTTCAAGGGTTCTGAGGAAGCATACAAAAGATCGGATGCCTTATGTCAAGTTGGTGAGTACACGACTACAGGCTATTATGGGGTTAAAGAATGAGTTGCCGTTTGGTGAGTCTTGAGCTGGAGACCGTGAATATGGAGCTGATATGTGCGCCAGATCTGCCAAACATTAACGCGCCACAACTCAGTCCTCACTACCAGAATGTCCTCGACTTTGACCTTGACCCAAGTCAGGCTAGCCAACCTCGCAATCCTATTGACGGACCCATCCCTGACTTTATGGAGATCGATAAGGAGACTGGAGAGGGACTGAGAAGCTGGCTCTTGAAAGTTGGAACGGGGAATGGATCATTGAAGAAGAAGGAATGCAAGAGCATTTCCTTTCATGACATTACCCAGGAAATGATGAGTGGACAATTCAGCAATGTTTTGGTCGCACATTACAACAACGAGAAAGTCGATCAGAAAATTGAAGCTTATGAGCTTGATTTGTACGTACCTCTAGGAAGAGACTTAGACCCTGACTAACACGATGCAGGCCGACTCAATCAATTGAAACCGCCACCGGTCGCGAAGTTGTCACCACCCAAACTTGGGTCTGGTTCTTCATCTCCCGACCACTGTTGTCAATCGACTCAAATAACAGCTACCTTGTTTCTCCGAGCCGTGATCCAGGCAACTGGATGAGATCGGAGGCAACTGACGACAGCTTCTACACTCCTTTCGCTAGTCGTCGTCCTCCTTCTCCTCCCGATCAAACCCGAAACGTTGAACCGCCACCGAACTTCCCCGACCCAGTACCGAGCTCATGGGTGGTGTTTGCCTGTCCTCTTTCAAACGTCAAGACGTATCCAGAATCAGAGGAGAAGGCACCCAATGAGCCAGCCAACTCCACAATCGAAGAGGATGGAGAAGACATCGAACCTTCCCACCCACCAGCCAAGAGAAGCAATCCTTTCAATACAAGACGAAAGAAGGTATACAAGCGTCAAGACTATGATTTCGCCCAGCAAGGTGTGCCGATCTTCGAATTCAGCATGGCGACTGCAGAAATGCTCCCAATCAATGAATGCATGTGCACCTGACGAGTTCAAGAAGGGCAATTTTCTGAGCGTCGATAACATGCCTCCTTTCGCCGGCGCTATTGCACAAGGAAATCAGATGTCTAAGTACGGTTCTTTGTCTCACTTTGATTCCTATCAGAATTCCATGAACCGACATCCGCAAGCCGATTACTACGCCATGCAAACCTCCGCTGATTATAAGATCGAGCTAAATTCCTGGAAGCGTACATCTCGAGAACGAAAGCACGCTCGCAGTGACGCAGAGGTTGAGAAGGAGAAGATAGAATGTCGTGATCGAACTAAAGAGTTTCCAAGTCCGTACTATGGCACGTGGTGGAAGATCTTCTATGAGGGCATTTATGCTGATGAGGCGAGATGGAGACGTATTCGCGAGGCGATGGGCAGAGGAGCTTGTCGCGTTGTGGTTAGATGGGAAGACTGGCAGATTGAGGAAGTTGGACGAGGACATGGGAGTTTGAAGGCAAGAAGTGGTGGAATGGGTCTTGGACCAGGATCGGGTGGATTTTCGACCAGGTTGAGAGGCACAGGCCAGGGTCAACCAATACACAGAAGAGGACAGGCACACTCGTTCGGGGTTCTTCCTCCAAGCCTCGGCTCCACAATTGACCATGGTCGGACAGAGATGGATGACGGCTTTGACATGAGGAAATTTGAAGACGGCGAGTCATGGCAATTCGAAGATGGATTTTGATAGGAGACCTAGTTGATGGCGAGACGTGGTTTTGTGGTTTGCATTACGCGATACTAATGTACGGATTCTCATCCTTTCCTTTTCAAAAAGATACACCCATAATGCTTTTGAACAGAGAACTCTTGACTCTGGAGCTGGAGTAGTTCCGACTACCTCCTTGCTGGACTTGGAATTGCATTGAGCTTCATAGCTTTCTGCATAGGTAGATTGAGCACCATAACATAGCCGTTTCAGGTAGAAATCAAAACCTTCTTGCTTCTTTGTAGCTTCAGGATCCACTTTTGTGTGTGTGGCTGTCCATGCGGCCAAAATTGATGTTCTCTTGCACTTCTTCAAATATTGGCAATAAGAATCTTACTTCTTGATGAGAAACATTTTTTGATAAGGATAGAGGATCTTAGAGAAGCAGGTACTAGGTAGTCTTCATGTCTTACCAATCCAAGGGCGAAAGCAGGTCAGCTGACGTAGAGAGTTCATTGTTATTGGCCACTCTGAAAGAGCTCCGATTGGCTCTAAACCACGGGGTTGAAATAAGATTACCAAAACTCGGGTAACCGAATGCTGACCGGAGTCGTGTACTCGGGGTGGGGCTAGATGGGATGATAAAAGAGGGTAAAATGCATCGATCCCCAAGAACCGAGAAGACAACACTTTGAATACTAAAACTAGAATCAATAATACGATGTCTTCGCTTGAGGCTGCAACTCTATTCGGTGTGAAAGGACTGGTGGCAGTGATTACTGGCGGTGGAACTGGTAAGTGAGGTGGCTTGCAAGTTTCTGCTTCTGACCATTCATAAAGGCATTGGACTTATGATGGCCAAGGCCCTGGAAGAGAATGGCGCTAAGGTCTATATCATTGGTCGCCGATTGGAAACTCTCGAGAAAGCAGCAAAACAAGCTGTGAGCCCCCTCGTTGACATATGCGCAGCATCGAGACTGATACTGTTCACAGAAACATGGTAACATCATCCCCGCCCAAGGAGATGTCACCAAGAAGGAAGATCTTGATCGAATTGTCGACTCTATCACGAAATCCGATGGCTTCATCAACGTCCTGGTAGCGAACTCGGGCATCGGAGGGCCCAATTTGCTGGGCCTACCAAAGGACCCAACGCTCTCTCAATATAGAGAATATATGTACAACGTAAATATTGATGACTTCACCAACACCTTCCATGTCAACACGTCCGCTGTTTTTTTCTGCATCATGGCGTTCCTAGAACTTTTGAATGCTGGCAACAAGAAAGGAAACGTGCAGCAGAAGAGTCAAGTCATCGCAACTTCCAGCATTGGAGGCTTCAATCGTCTTCCACTTGCAGGATTTGCGTACGCTGCGACGAAGATTGGAACAACTTTCATGATGAAGGCATTGGCTACTGCCTTTGTACCATATGGTATTCGAAGCAACATCATTGCGCCAGGCCGTATGTTTGATCATGGTCCTTTGTGTGAACGTTCGCTGACTCCTGAGTAGTTTACCCATCAGAACTGGCAGACGAGCTCCTCGTAAAGCTGGAAACTAGTGGCGGCATGCCAAAGAGTTTTGTGCCAGAGCAGAGAGCGGGCAGTATCGAGGACATGGGAGGTGCTATTCTGTTCTTGACATCGAGGGCAGGAGGATACCTCAATGGGAACGTCCTCGTTACTGACGGCGGTCGATTGGGCGTCGTGCCTAGCAGTTATTAGCTTTACTCAAATCGAGGAGGATGCTCAATACTTCTTCGAGAGCTACCGAGAGCCCCAGACAATGAGATCGCTGCTGTACCTCAATGCAGCAGTTCACGCTTCTGGCAACGATCAGCGAAACGTGCTATGGACTGGTCCAGACATGACGCGAAAATTAGCCGTGGTGGTAAAATGCAGCCCTACCAGTTTTAATTTGCTTCCCGACGTGATCTGTTTCCAAGTATTGCGACTTACTTCTAGAACTTGAACTGAAGTCCTTTTCAATTTAGTGCGCCGCTTTCGTCCGTTGGTTCTTGATTATCGTCAGCGTCTTATCCGATTCAAAGATCCTCCTGTATGACTCGGAGATGGAAGGTACTGCATCCGTAAAATGTTGTCCCTTGATGGTACCAACTTTCTCACCCAGCAAACTTGATGCTTCCAAGTACCCGATCAAGCTCCGCACTTCTGGGACTCATCAGAACAACGCAACAAAGTTCCAGACTATGCATAAGTAAACTGGATGTAAGCTTAAATTCAGTTTCTCGATCTGCTGACCTGACTCGGATCTATCCATTATCGTGCTGGGGAGAGCTTCCTCGGAACCAATCTTTATGGCTTTGTAACTCGTTCGCAGCGCGGTTTCTATGATCGACCAAAAATGCTTTACTTTCCTCTGCCAAGAGCACGGCAACTGACCAACGGCAGTGTGTTACTCAGAAACTCAACAGACACGAGGAGAATCCTCCGGAACGGTGAACACGAAACCTCCAGTCTCACCAATGAAGCCTTCCGGTAACTGCGACCTTCCGTGAACATTGCAACCTTTTGCAGGGAGCCAAGCACGTGACGTCTAACTTCAGCACAATGTTTTTCTGGTACGACGAATCAAAATCCGCAAATTCCACCGGTATGACCTCACGGATTCAGTCAAACCGTTCGTCTATTCTCAAAATGCCTCTTCGTTAATGCGGACTAAAACATTTATAAACAGCTTCGCTCAGGGATTCCCAACCCCAGCACCGGCATCGAGGCTCTCCGCTTTATTCTGACAGCACCGCACCAACCTCATCCGTACTTTTCAAGTCTCCACCATCGTAGCTTTTGCTCATTCAAACCAATGATGGCTCTCGAAAAATTCCTCCGTGCGGATAATATCCTGGGTGACACGTCGATCAGGCGTCTCGCTTAAGTCTACCCCTGATTTCTGGGCAAAGCTTAACAAGAAAGCTTGATGCGCATTATCTCATCTGGGCAGAAAGGGACAAGCCGAACATGCCAACACGTCTGAGCTTCCGAAATATGATCTGATAAGCTTGATTAGATGTGCGCGACGGCGGCTCAGAGCAGGGACCGGGATGGAGCAGGGGTCGGAAGACGTTTGACGTTGGTCGGATACTCGTCTCGTTCGTCTCATGGGAATTCCCACGCTGACACCGGATGAATGCTTGGACATTAGAGTTAAAGTTGACTTGGGCTATGGGATGGTAGGGGACGTGGGGGATGGGGAGGAGATGGAGGATGGGTTTCTTAGCCTTGCAAGGGGGCAATTAAGGTTAGAGGATGGATCAGATGATGGATGAGAGAAGTTCCGGCGCCGCTGCCAAGACTGAACGAATGAAGTGGTAGTATAAGGGCTGATTGTCCCCTTGATGGATGTCTCTTTTTCTTACTCCATCATCCACAGTCATTCTCTAAGCAGCTTCACTTTGATTCATACATCTTCTTCAGCTGGTCTGTCGCTTTTACGTTCTCTACTTTTATATTTTTAATTTTATATATTTGCTTCGAGCATTCCACTCTCTCCACCATCAAAATGCGTTTCACCACCTCAATAATCATGGCCTCTGTTGCCGCTCTCGTTGTCGCCGCTCCAATGTAAGTTTAACTTCACAACTCGAAATTAATTTTATCTAACAGATTCACAGGAAGGCAAAGAGACAAGACGAGTTCAGCGAACTCTTGGAAAGCAATCAGCTCGATAACTCCAACCTCGACAGCTTGTTCAGCAGCAACTCTCTGGATGTCAACGACATTGCTGAGCTCCTTTCTGACTTCGATCTCAACTCTTTCAACAGCCAATTCGACTCCAGCTTCGACAACAACAACATTGAGGAGCTTCTGATTGAACTTGAGGGCAACAGCTTTGGAAACTCCAACATCAATGATATCAACGACGTGAACTCGTTCAACCTTGACGATTTCGCCAACAGCTTCAACGAGAACTTCAGCGGTAGCTGGAACTCCGACGAGATCGAGCAGCTTTTGCTTGAGCTTGGTCTTGTCAACTCCAACAGCTTAGACAGCAACAACGAGTTCTTCAACTCCAGCGATCTCTCCAACGAAGACGATCTGTTCTTCAACTCCAGCGACCTGAGCGATCTTGAGTCTGAGATCATCTCCACCTCCATCGTCGCATAAATGGACTGAGTTGAGAGCGGGGTAGTGAGTGAGATATTGGGCAGTGCTTGGAAAAGGGAATGGGACGTCTGTGTTGGGCAGAATAGATTAGGAGAGAGATCAGAAGATGGAATGGGTGGAGTTGCTTGGGTGTCTGTGCAGGTAACTTCAATAATCAATTTCTATTTCCCTTGCCATTTTTCGCGCCAGAGTTCGACACCTGGGTACAAGTGGTCCAGTCATCTCGTGACTAGAATCGCCGAGACTGCGCATGCATGAGAATTGCGGAATGTCTGAAACTGGTAAGTATCAGGCCGATCACCACACTTCAGGCTTTGGAAGAATCTACCGAGACGCGGGAACCAAGAAAGCCGTGTGCCGTGCCGAATTCTTGCGTCTTCGATTATCCTAAGACGGCACTCAAATGTGGTAAATTGGTAATTGTTTTGGATGGGGTCTGTCTGCCGTCATTTTGATTGCCAGCTGGGAATGGTACTTAATTCCATAGTCCAATCTTAGCTAGATTGTGGTTGATGGTGACCCAAGTACCTTTGTATCATCTCTGCCAGACTATGCGTTTTCCAAAATCATGTGAGCTCATTGGCCAAAAGTTACTCGTCTCAGGTATATATGTGATTTTGTTTACCAACTCTACCACGCAAGCATTCGTTTAAGTCCAAAGCAAAGTCATCTTACATAATTGCCGTCACTTCACGAAAAGCTCATTTTCAACATCTGCACCTCTCGCCTATCCCCGCTAAAGCTCAACCACAATTCCCCAAAAAAAATAAGTCAAAACAAAGCCAAAAAGATTAGGAACCGAAAGCAAAAAAGCAAATTGGCTTTTTGGTCTACTGGGCTGTTCACTTCTCAACTACTCCGTAATGTAGGTGTACCCAACCACTCATACTATCGAGTGGTCGGGATTGGCGATTCAACTTCTGTTCGGCTAGTGGCAAGGCCATCGATACCACCGAACAGAAGTGGCAGAAATTTGCTTATTTAAAACTATGTACTTGGAGATAGGAACAATCACGTGTCAAGGGATTGATGAGTTGAGGAAGGAAGGAGGCTGAGGGTTTTGAATGAAACATGAGGAGGCTCTTCAAGTTAAGCTCTAAGTTATGATTATGAGCTCTCATTATGAGCTATGGTTACAGACTATGAGTTTCAATTGCAATTGTGAGCTATGAGAGCTGCGACGTGCAACAAACCCAAATTCTACGAGTCATTGTCCAGACCAGAGACTGACTTTCACGGCTAAACTTAGGGGATCTTCTAATACATAACTCTCTTACTCTAAGGCCTTGAGCTGCGTGCTAGGGTGTTGAGCAAAGCAGTGCCCATGGATGAAGTATTGATGAGATGAGCATGTTCTGAGAACAATTCTTCAACTGCCATACAAGATCTAACATGGCTTTAGAGTAAATCATTTCAAACACTCCAAGACCGCCTTTGTACCACACCCATAATGACCTTTTCAGACTTCGACCAGCCATTCCTTCTCTGCACGGACGGCTCTAAGGATTCCGGCTCCGGAGCGGCCTTACATCAGCTCGACGAGAATGGCAACAAACGGCCCATCCTACATTTGTCCAAAGACTTCTCACTCGCTGAGGAAAACTACCATTCTGTAGAACTAGAGACTGCAGCTCTAGTGTAAATACATGTGGGCACCCCAGAAGCTACCGCTACATTTAGATGGAGCTCCCTTTATTGTTATCAAAAGCCACAGTGCTATATTCAACTCCTTCAAAGACACGGAACTTGGGAAACGCCCTTTACTCTCACAACTTCTTGCGCAGAACGCGCAAATTGCGCTTTTCGCGCGAAAAGCGCAAGTCACGCAAATAGCCAGCCATGTGAGCAAAACCTTCACCAATGAGCGAACACCAGATTCAAACGAGAGAAATTTCTAGCTTTACCTCAAATAGATGTGATTACCCAACGAAGTAGAGTTCTCAACACCTCACTCAAGGTTTTCCAACAACTCAAAACTCTCCAATTGGCCAACCCCGCAAACCCACCGAAAGGATCCCGAGACGCATCCTTGCAACCCCATGGGGAAACCGAATCTCACCCACCTCCTCAGGATGAGAATCCCTCCCTCGCATGTGGATCCCGAACTTGCTCCGTCAAGGCACAATACACTGCATATGGACGCGTGATACTGATGAAAGCAAGTGAGAAATCAACGGTTCTCCATTCATCCTAGCTCTTGAATTCCCCTCCCTTCTATTGAAGCGATATATCTACGTCCCTTTTTGTTTTGAACCACTCTCATCATCTCCTCAATCTATATAAGTGAACCACCACAGGTTCACATGCAGCATACCCAGCCAACCCATGCATCATAATGTCGTGACTTAACCTCCTTTCCTGTCCCTTCCCTTTCCAACCCCATCCCATCTAAGCGCTCCGTATCATTAACGAAGAAAATCAGACCCAGACCCATGCTAATGAAGGAAGGGGAAAATGTACATGTACAAGAATAAACAAGAAGCGAAGCATCCGCTGTCCCTGTACTGCAGGGCTTTTTTGTGATACTGGTGCTGCGACCAGATCAGGTAGAGAGAGTGACAACTCCACGCCCAACGCCACGCTCGCATCACTTAATATCCTCGTTTTCAAATGCAATTTGTCACCTTTCGACTCCTCTGAGTTTCGAAAACGAAGCTCATATAGCCCAACTGCCTCTCCTCGCTCTGACGCCCCAAGCGCTGGGTCCCATAGCACCATTGCTCATGCTAGGATGTTGTCTTGCCCATTCAAGGATATAGAACCTCAACGCTTTCCACCTAGTGCAATGCACTTCTTCTTTCTCGACTTTTCCATTTGAGGTATGAGCATTCGACAGGCCTATATGGCCCTTGACGTTCTTCTTTTGATCATCGACTCTCAACTCAAGTTCCGAGATCCTGCTGATCCTCGCTAATTCTTCGTCGTACTGGCGAGCAAGTGAGGGGTAACCAAGCGAAAGGTAATTATAGACCTGCGTCACGAACGTATCATCAAATTCCTGTAACAGAGCATCTTCCACTTTGCTTCTCGTAACCTCGGCCTTCAACCTCTCGTCGAGACCAGCCAGCATTCTTACCCCACCTTCGTGCGCATGTCCGTTTGCCTTATTGGGGCTCTTAGCTCCCGCTCCCGGAATCTCGCTTGCGAACGCGGAAGAAAACGGATCTGAATGTGTTTCGTTACGAGGGGTCTGGATAAGGGCAGGACCTTTCATGGTATTCGGGCTGAGGAACACCCCAGGTTCGTCAGCAACACAGTATCCACCCCATAGACCACCGCCCGTGTCGCTGCGATTGGGCTGGATGTCCATCCGCTGGTCTGTTTCAAACTTGGTGGCTTTAGGGGACGGGCACATCCGGAACTTGAGGTCTCCACCAAGCATGGGCGGCGATGCAGCTGAACGCATCCGGGCGAGCTCCGCTTCCTTCTGGGCATCAACAGGCTCTTCACCACGAGCAAATGCTGCGTTCTTCACTGTCATGCCGTTGGTCCAGAAGGGGTCCTTGAAAGAAGGTTGTGTTGCCTCTGCCGCCACCTTCTTGTGCGTCTCGTCTTCCCGCAACCGATTGAGCTTCTCTTGGTGCGCCTGCATCTCTTTTGCAGCCCAACCAACCTCCGTAGACTTGCGCCGTATGACACTGAGCTGAGGATCATCAATCAAGAGACCCACGCCTTCCACAGTCTCTTCGTCTGAGGCTCCTTCTATCTCTCTGTCGTAGAAATGTTCCACAATCTCGTGCATTGACTCGTTTGGGAAAGCCGCTAGAGCTTGTTCTCGTAATTGCTTCTCTGCTGCCTTTGCCGCAAGAGCAAGCAGATATCCCGAGAACCTGTCATCACAGCTCTCTCTTGTGCGTGCCAATTGTAATCTCATCTGTGAATCTTCCGAGGATCCGTAGGATCCTGTGAGTGACGGTGTGCCATCCTCGTCTTCCGAATTCTCTTCCGAATTGGAGTCTGAAGGTATAGCTTCTAGTTCTGGTTGGAAAGAATTCTGTCTTGTACTTCGTCTTGTGTTCGGGTGGGGTCGCATGGAGGGCTGTCTTCGAGGAGGTAATGGCGGTATGGTTTGTATATTGACAGAGCTTGAATTGGGGGTATTGTCTGGTGGTATTGGAACGACAGGAGGGCGGGGGACCTTTCGTTTTGGTCGAGTATAGATATTTGGCACCCCAGGAGTGAGATCGGTCTATTGAAAGAACTGTGATCAGTACAACAGAAGATATACATGCTTGTGTGACGCACCTTATCTGTGGGCAGAGTAGCTGGCCTTGTGTCACCCGCCCTCTTGGATCTCTTGGTTGTCTCAATCAGCTCTGGCACGAATTTTCTCCTCGGCTTGGGTGTTTCCTCATCTGGCGAGTCTTCAGGTATTGAGACTGGAGTGGGTTCTGGGGTAGGCAGCGGATTGGCAGCATGCCTGTTGCTCTTAAATGTTGTCTCGACGGGTTCCGGCGCGAAGCGTCTCTTCGCAGGAGCAGCGTCCTTCTTCTCCGCAGTAGACTCATTCTCAACTGGGGCTTCTTCCTTCTTACTACTTCGAGTCGTTGTTTCCACAGGTTCGACTGCGAATCGTCGAATCTTCTTGACCGTAGTTTCGACTGGGGTCGGTGAGAAGCGTCTCGAGGATGGCGGGGGTGAGGTTTCCGTCATGGTGTAGCTCAAGAATTGAGGGGTGAATGGCCTTCACTCTTCAATTCCGATTGTTGTGAATAATTCGACGCATTCCCTTCGTAATAGCAACAGTTATGGCAGAGCTTGTGATCAAAAGAACGGTGAGCTGATGTTGCTCGTGCGCTCTCTGCGAGTCTGCGGGAGTGTGACGCCCCAATCTATGGGTTCAACGGGTTGACGATGATAGGTCGCGGGAGGTCCCAACCGGTAGTGCAATGCAGGTGAAACCACATGTCAATTCTCAACCATCCGCGTGCAATTGAGGGTTGCGGGGAGAATATGTAGGTACGTAATTCGAGGCCAAGTAAGAGGAACAAGGGGCACAATGCGAAGAATTTGTATATCACGAGGGAGGAGTTGGTTTAGGGAGTGGAATGGGGGAAGAGATCTAGATGTTGGCAGTGGAAATTGACCGTAGCGTGCACTGGGGCTGACCTCGTGTCGGCGGGAAAAGATGAGTTGAACATTTCGCAGCCAGACCTCGAAACTTGGTATTGATATCAGACGGCCGTCAAACCGTGCAAGCACCAACACAGCAGATTGGGCACAGATTGTATCTATCTGGCCTGGAAATTATATGGGCGCTTTGATAAGTATTCAATAGTGGACGGGGCCGCGGGAGTATAAATAGCATCTAGTGAATTAAATTCATGGGAAATGTTCCACATTAGGAATCAGAGCAACTGTTTCATTTCGCTGTAAGACATTTGCTTACTAGAATTGGAGAAGACCTCTATCTTCAAAGATTTATCTTTTCGTAGTAGAAAAGCCTCAAGTCAACGACAAGGCCAAGTTTCAGCTGTCCAAGACACCCGCTCAGAGCTGGGCCATGTATCTTCCCCTTTCACTGATACCCGTCGACCAGAACAGTATTGTTCATTGTCGTCATGGACAATACCATACATATCCGACTCGATTGGCCATTACATTCACCATGAGTACTGCATATCACATCATCCAAGTTTCTCGCATGGTGTAAGAACAATTGTACGTAAGATGCTCGTCTGATTATGCACCCTTCATCCTCAATATTATCTATTATGTACTGGCAAAGATTCGAGAGGCTCCACGTCATGAAAGCAAAAGCCCAACCTCCAACGCCAATCCTCTAGATTCCCATGACCGACAGCGGAAGCTAAGAGGTACAAGAATGAACGAAGCATGAAGCAACGAGTCCTCGAGCATGCATGGTCCAATAAAAATACAAGAAACGAAAGTGTCGAATGGTCTCCTCAACGGGAAACCTCTTCGAGATGCCCCAAATATGCAACCCTATACCCATGTACTGGGAAAGAAAGTCCGTGAGGCAAAGAAGAAAAAAACGTATCATTGTGCCCTCAGCCCAGCTCAGCTTAATTTACTTCATCTTGCGCTTTCTTGGCAGCCCAGCTGCTTTTCTTGCCGCAATGTCTCCTTCGGCCAACCACCTACTAGCTTTAACCAATTGTACCACATTGATGAATTGCTTCATGAACATAATTGGGAAGCTGACACCAGCAATCACCCAGGGCACGAAAGAATCCATCTTGTTCGCTCGTGCCAATTCCAATGCAGCCGCACTGTGTGGGTTGAGGAAGAGGGAAGCTCCAGGCTGAGCAGGGCTTCCAGGTTCGAGGGACGTCCCGCTCGTTCCATTGTTCGTGACTTGAAGGAGGGACGGTGATAGGAAAGGCGACGAAAAGGATAGGAGGTAGAGAGCAATGAAGAAGACCTCGTTCAAAGCGCAGAAAATAAAAAGCACCGTCTAAACGCATGATTAGCACCCATGCTGATTTCTTGCAAGGGTCAACGTACCTTGTTTGTGTAATATAGATTCAAGATCCAGCTCCTGCTCTTGTCGACGGCCTTATGACTTGTGTCCGAACCTCCCATAGCAAGAGTCGCATACATGTGAACATAATGACTTGCTAAGTCCAAGGAGATAAGGCCTTGGAAAATGATAGCCCAGCGAGGAAACGCGGAACCCAGGAAGACCAGCAGACAGGCAGTGGTGCAGCGATCAGTTACCATATCAAGAACCGCCCCAAATCTTGTAGACTGCTCGAAGTACCGCGCGGCATATCCATCGAGAGCATCGAGGAGGCAGGAAACGCTGTACAGGCCAGAGCAGGTTCGCGGATGCAGTGGCATGTAGTATAGGGACGCAAATGCAAGGACGATTCGAGCATATCCTACAAAAGGTCAGCGCAATTGACATCAGGGGCAACTTTCTCGAGACATACCAATAAGGTTTGGCCAGAAGAGGAAGATGTTTTCTCTTGGGTAATCATCCTTGGCAGACCCGTGAGCCTTCCCATTGCCATTCATGACGACTTGCTCCTCTCGAGGAGCTGGTGAAGGTGTTACTGGTGTAGCGATGGCAGCCGCTTGCCTCCTCGTTCGCACACTCGACATGATATTGCGATGCACCTTCTTCTAGGTCCGTTGATGTGAATTGTCGCGTGTCTTGCTTTTTCTGACGAAAGTGGCTATTTGGAGGCTTTTGATTTGCTTTCGTCCAAAGGTTTACTTGATGTGATTCAGGGATGTCTCAAATGTTCGAAAAAGGTGGCAGATCAAATTGAAAGGTCAAGATGAGGTTATCGTAAGCAACAATTCAAGGAAGGTGGTGAAGTTGGATCGTGTGCGGAAGGTTGCTGCTGCTTATCTGCGCTCAATAATTATTCTCGGACTGCTCGGAGCCTAATGATTTGCAGGGGTCCAATGTGCTAATCAGGAAACAATTTCTGTCCCGTAACACCACTTGTATCACGACGTGAAGAAATCTTCACCTGATATATTCTCGTTTTCACGGTCAAGGATTTGTCCTTCATTGATGTTTCTGCGCTATGCCGCTGCTTCTTTGGATGAATCTCATGATAACAAGTGTATCACGTGCCTGGCTTGAGGTTTGAATCCCGGGTGAAGAAAGAAACCTCAAAGGAGAGTTAATTATGATGGTTTACGTTATTTGCGGAGAGAGTCAAGTGATCGTCCATCTTTTAGTTTCGAGTTCTCGAGCAAGCTTGGTGGCCCAAATTGTGCCATGAAGCAGAAAGTCCCAGGCGAGAGAAGAACATGGTCTTTGCATACACATGTTTGCTTTCAAATCGTATTATTGCATACTTCGTAGACGATAGGCTTTACGGCTCTGACTCATTAATTCCATTTCCGTCAAAGTTTCTTTTGGCTATACCCCGGAAAAGGACATGAAATTCCAACCTCTTAATGAAGTTATTCAGAGCCTCGAACATATTCCAAAGCGTTACATTGCCTACGAAACGACTCGCTTTGTTCTCTCGCATTGAGTTCAGTCCTTACTTTCATCATGGGAAGTCTAGTCAAGTAGCTTCTCAAGAATTGAAAGATGGGTTGAGGCTGCAACGATAGGTGAACACAAAACAGCCACAGTGACGCGAAAGCCACGTACTACATGAGCCTACCTACACCGCATAACACGAGGACTTGATCCTAATTTCCCGGAAACTACGCTATCAATTTTGCCTTGTCACATTTGTTATCTGATCAACACACAGCGAACAGCGAATCACTCCTTCCACTATCAGTCCTACCACACGACCGTCCCTCAGAGCCTCAACTTGTCTCTGCCTAGCCAAGGCTCTACAGCCTCGATCATCACGCCACTATATCTATCCTATTTCCCTCCATATCAATCTTCAGAAGCGTCATGTCATTTACTGTACTCTACGCCTGCGTCGGTGTAGGGACAGTCGCAGTAGTTCTCTTCGTCGTACTGTCCCTCACAGCTCCGCTTGTCCTAGAGATCGGCTATGGAATTATTGGCGGCCTTTTAGTCTTGGGTGGGATCGGGTGGATCTTGTACAGAAACAGTGATTCGATCGGTGATTGGTGGCAAGCCTTCAGAGATCGAAGGCAGGCCGAAAGGGATGCGAGGAGAGTAAGGAGGGAGACGCTAAGACAGGAGGAAGAGACTCGGCGTGCAGTTGAACTGGAAGAAAGAAGAGTGAGAGCTGGGGTCATTGCTGTTGAAGCGATTTCGTCAGGAGAAGCGATGAATGGAACGAATTCGTGAAACGAGGGGATATCTTTGCCTTCGAAAGCGATTCTTCTCTAAGCACAAGACTACAGCCATCAGTGCCAAACATCGACATACTAAGAATGTTCAAAGACCGGTATCCAAAAGACTTGCAAACGCAAACAAGACGGTCTGTAGGACGATCAAGCAGCACAATCATCAATCAAACGATCCGAAGCGAGCTTTATTTCAAATCCTTTCATCTCAAAATCTTTAACGAGACTAATTAGTCAAAACACCTAGACACACTACCTTGGATATCTCCCGATAGCTCACAACGTTCGCAAGGCTGCAATATGCATACATCAACCAGTAGCAAGCCGTGGCGTTCATCCCTGCTCTACGCCCAACTACCATGAACGCCTTCATTCACACCTCCAATCCCCAACATCTCCTCGCCTTAAACCTAACCAACTAACCCATCAAGCCGTATATCCAAAAGACACAAACTACAACTATTCCCCTGTCGCTCAAAACAACTCAACCCTCAAAAATCCCCACCTCACGCCCCCAAACCGACACCAAGCCTTACAGCCTCACCATGGGGGGCGCCGCCGGAGCAACCGTCGGCATCGCCATCGTCAGTATCTTCGCCATCGTCATGCTAACCGTCTTCTTCGGCTTCCTGCCCCTTGAAATAATCGTCGGGGTCGTTGGTGGGTCCATCTTTCTCGGCGGAGTTATATACGTCTTGCACAGAACACGTGCTACCTGGACACCGTGGGGCCCGGCTTTAGTTGTCTGGTGGCGAGATGTGAGGACGAGAGGGAGGGAGAGGCGGGTTAGGGAGAGGGAGGAAAGGGAGGAGAGGAGGATTAGGGAGAGGGAGAGGAGGAGGGCTGCGTTGGGGCCTATTGCTGTGGAGGAGATGGGCGTTCCCGAGCGGGTGCATTTGAGGGGTTGGTGATGGTTTGATTGGGTTAAGAGTTTTTGGTATTGTTGAGGTGGGATTTATTGGATAGGGATAGGAAGCTGGCGGTCGTGAAATCAGAAGGCGAATAGGACAGAAGGCAAGTGTCAGGTGTATGACTGAAAATGACGCTCTTTGAGAACTTGTACGATCGCAATTACGTTGAGAACATTAGGTCTAGCAGAAGAGAGAGAAGGAAAGAAACAGGGAAGAAAAAGGAGGCCATAATGGAAGAGACGAGATAGATGGGATTTGGGATCTTCATGGATGTTCATGTTACTCTTCTCATGGATAAATTGCTCACTGGACACTCCTCGAGACATGATGCATGGGGTCTACATGAAGGGCACATCAAATGAGTGGGGTTGATGAGTGACAGATGAATTTCAAAGCCAATACAAAAATGATCTGGCCTATTCAAGACACCAGCAAGCCGATCCCGCAGCATTCGTGCTATAATAATATCTTTATCCTCTGCCACTTCCCAGCCATCCAATCATCCTCTAGGAGTTCCGGCCGGTGATTGATCCAGGGTAATCCGCCTTGGTCCAAAGTCTCCGTTACTAGGAGAGCGCCCGGAATATGGACCATAGCTTGAAGAGCCTTCATTCGTCTCAGCATAATGAACGTGCTCTTCATCAATGTCAAAGCCGCAACAAATAAAACAAAGGCAGCTAGCGCTCGACTTCCACCATTGATCAATCTTCTTGCCAGCTTTCCCAGTAGCACACTTCCAACAAAAAGGATCTCTCTGCTCTTTTGAAGGCATTGGAGTAGAGGAAAGAGGCTGAGCTTGTATGATCGATCCGGACGGGGATCTCAGGCCGCCAGACATCAAATGTGTCGTGGAAGAGTAAGAAGTAGCACGGCTTCTGGGATCATCCGTGACGAGACTTGTTGTGCTGTGCGCTGCTTGAGCCAGTGCACCAATGGAGTGGGATCGGATCGGTACGGTGAGAGTAGCACTTGGTCTGGCAGTCACCACGAGGCCTAAATCGTTATGTGCGATTGCTGATGATTCCGAAAGCTGATCATTATCTGGAGTGATAATCTGCGGAATGGTAATAGTAGCCTTGCCTTTCGCAGCCTTACCACGTCCGCGTCGATGGGGACATTTGTTCTTCGAAGGCTCATCTCTCATAGGGGCGGCTTCCATTGGAGGAATCGGAGAGAGCGGATGTAAAGCTAAAGAAGTAGTGGATTCCATAGCAGCTTGAAGAGACAACATTTCGGAGTCTCGTGCTGTAGCAGACGCCGTAAATCTCACTCGTTGCAATTTGCGTTTCCCTTTCGCCTTCTTAGGCATTGTTGGCATGATTCCTCCTGACCCGGAAGCCTGCGTCGGATCTACTTGAGATCCTGCTTTGACTTGCGCAATGGGTGCATTGGCGAATGGATGCTGATCGATAGGACCATAAACGCTTCTAGGAGGCCTGAATCTTGGTGCCATTCGACCTCTGACTGGAGCGGAGACCGATCGAACTTGTGGGTCCAAACCTGGTCTGGGAGTACGAGATGACAATGTAATGCCAGATGCTGGGAGACCGAAGAATCTTTGAAAGACATTTTGTGCTGCTGTCAGAGGTACTGGACGCACTGGAAGACTCTGAGCGGCTGTCCATGATGGCATGCCATCTGGAGTAGGAGGTCGGTCTGGCGGTTTCTGAATAGGCGTTTTGGGCTCAGCGTAGACCTCGTTGATCGGGATCTTGAAGGTTTGTCTTTCGATAGTAGCACACGCTTCATGATAGGACTTTTGGACCAGTGTAATATCATCGAGGCTGAAAGATGCTTTTCGACGTGGACTTTGGGATAGGCTGAAACTGTCTCGATGTCCCAAGAAAGGAATATAGGGAACATCGTCTGCTGATTTTGGACGTCCTGCTGTCCGAATAGTAGCATAGCTCCTCTGCTCTGTGATCGTCTCAAGAGGTGTACCAAACCCGTAACGGAACTCGATTTGATCGATTGTGGACAGACCCTCAACTTCCGATGCTTTCTTATTCTCGTCATTCTGTACAGTCTTGACAGCAGTTGCAGCAGATCTGCGAGGTGGTATGTCGATAAGCTCAATTCTATTGCTACTAGAATCGCTATTGGTGCCTGAGAAATATACTGCTTCGTATATGGAATCGTGCGAGCTTGGATAATCTTCGGACGAATCGGGGTGGCGGATGAAGGAACTCTTGCGACGAATCCGTTTGGTAAGTGTAGGAGGTGGTGAGCTTGTTATGGACTGTAAGGGTTCTCTGTTCGATGAGGATCTCAAATCGTCGGGGAGCGCGCCTGTGGTTACAGCCATCGCGATATCCAAAAATGCGCAACTGTCAAAGAATGCTTGCGAGGGTTTGAGAAGTGGATACACAAGACATAATTGTGGAAGACAATCTCGAGCACAGAAAGAAAATGATGAAAGAAGGTGCGTTACCATGTTTTAATGTTCGGGCTTGACATGACAATCATGCATTGCGCCTTCCTTTCCAGAACGCCATCGCTATGTTACAATGCACGCAAGAATGGTTCTCAAGAAACATCCACGCCTTCGGCAACCAATGCTTTTCTGTATTCCCTTGATGCTTTCGCCAGCGTCTTGATCGTAGGCTCCATCATTTCTCTTACAACTTTCTCCCCACCACCAACAGAACTAGAACTCCACTGGAGTTTCTTTCCTGTCGTTGTATACACATCTTTGATGTGCTGCTTCTGCCTTTTTATGGTTTCTTCTCTTTCCTTCTCTGCATCAGCAGCCACAGCATTGATTCTGTCGAGAGCCCTTTCCAGCGTCTCAACCATTTTCGCAAGCTCACCCGCTCGATCTGGATCACCAGACAGGAAGACGAGCCAAAAGTGATGAAGGAACTCGGTAGTAGTTGCCTGAGTTAGAGTCAATCTGTCGAATAGTTTTTGCGACAATCCTGACAGAGACGACTGAGTATTTGAGCCATCAAGTTCCAAGCGTCGAGCAGCAATGCCCTCTAATATATGCTTCTGAGCATCTGCAATGCTAGCCTTGCTCCCCACATGGCCAACTTTCTCCTCCTCATCCTCGCTGTCACTATCTTCCAAGACACCGATAGCGGCGCGCAAATCTAGACCACCGGCACCATCGCTTTCCATCATCGTTGGGTCAAGATCTGTCTGCAGACCAAACAAGACTTCTGAAGGTACTTGCTTGGCATATAACGCTGCCTCCGCGGAAACGGCAGACTTCGCATTCGAGAAGAACCTACTTTGCTCCTTGATATTGAGCATAATCCTATGCTCTTCCGGGTCGCCCTGGAGGTCTCGCAAGGCAAGTGAGTTGAAGGTTTCTTCATCCATTCCGATTGGATCTGCGGGGTCGACATCGGATGGCGCAACATGAGCCATTATCTTTTCACTCAGGCTGTTGAGAGTGCGGATTATGGGCACTTTGGCTGTGGATCCTGGTCGCATGGTGAAGTCCTTGCGATTGCCGCTCTTCGAGCCTCCTTGGTTCTCCTCGTTCCCCTCGAGGTCAATGATGTTCGGGATATGTGCTGCAAGAAGTCTCTGACTCAGACCGTCATCGTTGGTAGCATCGAGATACTTATCAAAGCAAGGGTCTGTACTGTCTGTCTCCATAATGCGTTCTCCCTTGAGTTTCTTGAAAAGTCGACTTAAGAAGAATCTGGACCAGAACTCAGATTCGTTGAGTTTAGGAACATTCTCATCATATACACGTTTGACGAGCGGGTGCTGACTGAATATCAACTGGATCTGTTCCGCGCTGATGTTCAACTTAAGTTCGCCACCGTCCTGTCGTGGTTTCACCGCCGAGAGCACATTGTAGGCGCCCCGCTTCTGGTTGGACTCAACAGCATGTGCACGTAGAATGCCCGTTCGTGTAGACCAGAATTGAGAATTAAATTGCGAGTCTGAAATGGCATCTGGTTTAGTACGCCTCGACTCCATGTACGTCCTATTCAAAGCAGGATCTTTCTTCATGAGTGACTGCTGGAGCTCTATGTCTAACTTGAGCTGAGCATCGTCATACCATCGTGGTGCCCCGGAGTTTGGTTTGGATGTCACAGCACTGGCGATAGCCATGGCTGCTGACGTCGGTGTAGCGCCATTCGGCTTAGAGACAGCTGCATCATTTGCTTTGACAGCAGCAATCAAGTTAGTCAAGAGATCTTTGACGGCATTTGCTTCTCCACGTGGGTTTAAAGGGGAGTTGAAATGGAAAAGGTGAGTAATTGGCTCCGGTGCGGCCGAAGACTTTTCGAAAATCTTCAGCATCACCTTTGCTGCAGACTCGGGAGTCTGTTGGAGATCTGCGAGAGATTAGCAACTACTATCGTCGGTAAAAGTTGTCGACGTACTGCTGATGTCTGCAACATTTATAACGAGACCCTTTTCCGGCGCCACAGGCTGCCATAGGATGGATTTTTGGTCCTTAGAAATGGTCAAGGTGCCATCTTTCTTCTTGTAGGCCGCGAGCCCTTTCACCGACGGCGCCATTTTCAAGGCTGTTTGTGTGATGACCTGCTCATTCCCGCAACCTCCTTGTGGAGCGTAGGTAGAAAGAGGCAACTGGTCAGGCGTGGAATCTTTGTGTGTACAGTTCGATGTTTTAATCCAGCCAACTTTAGAAGCGTAGTTCGCTTTCAAAATCCGTTGAAGGAGCACGAGCCGGAGTAGGCTTTGCTACATGTACTGCAGTGTAAAATGAATATGTGTTGATGCTCGTCGGTACGAGTGCCTGCGCCTCAATGATGCTGACATAATCGGCTTCTCAGAAAAAAAAAGTCTCTATCATGTGACTTAGTGTCTCAAATCTGAGGCCATTGATTCGCCAGCCAATCACTACAGCCCGGGATAGCCGACTCGACAGGGATTCGGGTGGTTTCGCAGCGGCCCAGCTTTTGCCGTCACTCTGTCCGAATCTGAGTTTCTTGTTACGCATCAAAATAGAAGACTTACTCCGCCCTTCCTTTGCCTCCTTACAACCCCAATTCCACCCACATCAGGTGGAATTATCTCGACCTCGAGCACGTTGATCGTTCCTGACTTTCTCCTCTGCATTGGTTGGCGCAATGCTTCGATCCTCCTTACGGCAAAAGAGCTGCCAGCTCTTGAAAGCTGGCTCTTCTGCAAGAGCTCTCTCTACGACTTCACGATCCTCCCTATTCACCTCCAACACCTCTACAAAGCACGCCGTATCATCGAAACGATGTCTTTTGACGAGTCTCTCACAAAAACGATGGTCCTCTGCCACGGCCTCTGCCCCAGATCCAAACGATAACTTCCTTTCCGGAAATACCGCAAACTACGTCGATGAGATGTACATGCAATGGAAGGAGGATCCGTCAAGTGTTCACATATCATGGCAGGTCTACTTCAAGAACATGGAGAGTGGTGATATGCCAATGTCACAAGCTTTCACGCCTCCCCCGAATTTGGTTCCAACTCCAACAGGAGGTGTCCCAAACTTCATGCCTGGTCTGGGTATGGCTGCAGGACAAGGCTCTGATGTCACAAATCACTTGAAGGTTCAACTTCTTGTTCGTGCATATCAAGCACGAGGTCATCACAAGGCGAACATCGACCCCTTGGGCATTCGCCGCGAGGCTGAAGAATTTGGTTACAGCAACCCCAAGGAGCTTCGTTTGGAGCACTACCAATTCACCGAAAAGGACCTCGACACCGAGTATACTCTGGGGCCTGGTATTCTTCCACGATTCAAGAAAGAAGGCAGGGAAAAGATGACCCTACGAGATATTATTGCCGCATGCGAGAAGATCTACTGCGGGTCGTATGGTACCGAGTACATTCACATCCCAGATCGCGAGCAATGCGATTGGCTCCGTGAACGCATCGAGACCGAACAACCTTTCAAATACACTGTTGATGAGAAGCGCCGAATCTTGGACCGTCTTATCTGGTCTTCCAGTTTTGAAAGTTTCTTGGCTACCAAATATCCTAATGACAAGCGTTTTGGTCTGGAAGGTTGTGAGACCCTGGTACCAGGAATGAAGGCTTTGATCGATCGGAGTGTCGATTATGGTGTGAAGGATATCGTCATTGGAATGCCCCATCGTGGTCGTCTCAATGTCCTCAGTAACGTCGTACGAAAGCCTAATGAGTCCATCTTCAGTGAATTCGGGGGTTCTGCAGCTGCTGAGGATGAAGGATCTGGTGATGTGAAATATCATCTGGGAATGAACTTTGAGCGCCCTACGCCTTCTGGCAAGCGTGTTCAATTGTCCTTAGTCGCCAATCCCTCCCATTTGGAGGCTGAAGACCCTGTTGTTTTGGGCAAGACTCGAGCCATCCAACACTACAACAACGACGAGAAGAACCACACCACGGCCATGGGCGTCCTTCTTCACGGTGATGCTGCTTTTGCTGCTCAAGGTGTTGTGTACGAATGTTTGGGTTTCCACTCGTTGCCAGCTTACTCTACTGGCGGTACCATTCATTTGGTTGTGAACAATCAGATTGGTTTCACTACCGATCCTCGATTCGCACGCTCCACTGCCTACTGCACTGACATTGCCAAGTCTATCGATGCCCCAGTATTCCACGTCAATGCTGATGATGTCGAGGCTGTCAACTTTGTCTGCCAATTGGCTGCTGATTGGCGTGCCGAGTTCCAGAAGGATGTGGTCATTGATCTCGTCTGTTACCGCAAACATGGCCACAACGAGACTGACCAGCCTTCATTCACCCAACCTTTGATGTACAAACGTATCCAGTCTCACGAACCCCAAATTGATATCTACATAAACCAACTCTTGAAAGACGGCAGCTTCACCAAGGATGATATCGAGGAGCACCGTAAATGGGTCTGGGGAATGCTTGAAGAGAGTTTTGCCAAGAGCAAAGAATATCAACCAACTTCAAAGGAATGGACCACTTCCGCCTGGAACGGGTTCAAGTCGCCAAAGGAGTTGGCGACCGAAGTTCTTCCCCACAACCCCACCGGTGTCGACAAGCAAACCCTGGAGCACATCGGCACAGTAATCGGCACAGCTCCAGAAGGCTTCAACGTCCACCGTAACTTGAAGAGAATTCTTTCCAACCGTGTCAAAACTGTCACTGAAGGCAAGAACATCGATTGGTCAACTGCTGAAGCTCTTGCTTTTGGTTCCCTTGTCACTGAAGGTCACCACGTCCGTGTCTCTGGCCAGGATGTCGAGCGTGGTACTTTCTCACAACGTCACGATGTTTTCCATGATCAAGAGAACGAGAAGACATACACCCCACTTCAACACATCAGCAAGGACCAAGGTAAATTCGTCATCTCCAACTCGTCGCTATCTGAGTTTGGTGCTCTCGGATTTGAATACGGATACTCTCTCTCATCGCCAAATGCTCTCGTCATGTGGGAAGCCCAATTCGGTGATTTCGCCAACAATGCCCAATGTATCATTGACCAGTTCATTGCTTCTGGTGAGGTGAAATGGATGCAGCGTTCCGGTCTCGTCATGTCGTTGCCCCATGGATATGATGGACAAGGCCCAGAGCATTCCTCGGGACGTATGGAGAGATATTTGCAACTTTGTAATGAGGATCCCCGTATCTTCCCCACTCCTGAGAAGTTGGATCGTCAACATCAAGACTGCAACATGCAGATTGCTTACATGACGACCCCGTCCAATCTGTTCCATATCCTGCGCAGACAAATGAACAGGCAGTTCCGCAAACGTAAGTTTCATTCTCACCCACCGATATTCGTGCTGACTTTACTAGCTCTCATCATTTTCTTCTCCAAGTCACTTCTTCGTCATCCTCTTGCTCGCTCATCGATCGAAGAGTTCACTGGCGACTCACAATTCCAATGGATCCTCCCCGACCCAGAGCACGGCAACACTATTAATGAGCCAGAACAGATCGAACGTGTCATTCTCTGCACTGGTCAAGTCTATGCTGCGCTGCATAAGCACCGTGCCGACCAAGGTATCAAGGACACCGCCATCACTCGTATCGAGCAACTGAACCCCTTCCCTTGGCAACAGTTGAAGGAGAATCTTGACTCATACCCCAACGCTAAGACAATTGTCTGGTGTCAAGAAGAACCTCTCAATGCTGGAGCTTGGAGTTTCACCCAACCCAGAATCGAGACTTTGTTGAACGAGACTGAGCACCATGATCGTAAGCACGTTATGTATGCCGGACGTGACCCAAGCGCCAGTGTAGCAACTGGTCTCAAGGCAAGCCACATGAAGGAGGAAGCTAAGCTGTTGGAGACTGCTTTCAGCGTTACCCAAGACAAGCTCAAGGGAGAGTAGATGGTGTTGTAATGATAAACGGGCTGAGATGACTGAGTAGTTGCATTAGATGCATTTGTATTATTGTATAGGAATGATGGCTCAGAGTGAGCTGCTCGATGAGTTTTAAATGGACTTGCAAGCAATGAGAGCATGATGAAGCGTTTTGAAGAGCTTGCCTGTTCCAATGTCTCCTGTGTTCAGAGAGGTGCGAACGGCATTCGAAGGGATAGAACGTAGTCTGGTTGCTTTTGTTTCGGTTTAATTTAAAACTAAACCTCCGAGAGTTACGTGTCACCGGGTGCGCTTACGAGGAGTTGAACTTTACACTAGTCGCTCTCGAAAGATTTGCTTTCGGGTATCATCTACGTTTAAATTTGCTATAATTCTGGAGCAAGTTTAGCGTACAGCTTATTTTATTTCACGATATTTTTATTTAATTTATTTAATTTATTAAATCTCGCCGAGTGTGTTTAAAACTTGGCCAGTTCGTATTACATTAAATCTTTATTTTTGTTATTTAAAAAAAAATTCTAAATATTCATTAATATTATTATGTTTTTTTTTTATATTTAAATTATAAAATAATAAATATCGAAGTTTTTTTTGGGGGGGGGGGGTTTTCGGTTTTTTTTAAAGGACTTATATAATTATATGTCAGGGGTTGAACCCCATAATGCTTCGGCTACGCCTCGCTTAAGCACCAGCCTCCTTATTTTCTTTACGAGTGTAATCTCCGATCTAAGACTTTAATCTTAGAACACTTAGCGTGTGTCGAGGCTTCTTCGAAGCCCCTATTCTGTGTATATAAAGCCATAGCTAGCTAGCTCTTAGTTCTTTATCGAATTCAACGACAGTTTTACCCACTGCCTACGTCTTAAGTGTTCCCTCTTGGCGTAGCCCCTTACATTATACACGCTACGAAAACGGTCGGTATCTGTGACAGCACGGTTGGACTCATGTACGTAGACGAGGAATCGATTAGGCTATCTCTTAGGATCTAAAGGTAAAGAGGAAAGGAAGGAAAGAAGCGCCGGAAGGCAGAGCATATATACAGGTGAGCGGTCACGTGAGTACTTAGCGAGCACGTGACTCCAGAACCGTGACAGTATCCAAAGCAGATCGCACATTTATAAAAACTACAATGCATTTATATCTATTATTTATAAAGTAATTGTAGGCGAGTTTTTAACATACTTTTTATTGCTATCTTCTTTTTGAGTGTGATAGTCAGTAGCAGACTACACTTCACGGAATTGTGGTCTGGGTGCTTGCAAATGTCATACTCCCCGACAGCGTTCACTGGCTTGAACTTGATTAAGAAGTTGGAGAGATAAGGTGCTTTTGCCTTAACAAGGATCTCTATTTTGAAAGCCATTGGAAATTTATTAAATACGACGATGACATGATCTCTCGAGATTTTCCTGAATTCTTCCTTCCCGAGCTAAAACTTGAGGTTTGGTTTAGCCGTTGCAAGAGCTTTTGCAATCACTTTGGGCTGTGTGCTAGAGATGTGGTCGGTGATGAAGGCCATGGGTTCCTTAGAGTAGTACATTGTGACTATAACCTGGAGAGATCGTAGTTGAAAATTCTTGCCTTTTGCTCGCTGGGCGGCTTCTATTATATTGCACCGAGCTATCTAATTCTTTGAGTCATGGGCCTAGCAAGATGCGATATCAAAAACGTTAAGGACTTGAGGTGTTAGGGCCTCGATGACTTCCATTATTGAAAAAAGAGCAGTGTCTCGAATCTCTACTGGGCGCAAAGATACGGGTAGCTTGAAATATAGGTGGTGGCTATTTGCGAACGCAGATGCTTCTTGAGCCTCGTTAACTCCTCTCTCCCCAAGCTTTATTTTGGTAAACTTGGCTTGGGGCTCTTCTAGTGTGAGCTATTGCGATAGCTTGGACTTTGTGGTGACCTTGGCCTTCTTCAATTATGAAAGCTTCAAAGAGTCGACACGCGAGGAGGATTTCGGTGTAGATTTTGCTGACTTGCTAGGAGTTGCAGAACGTGCAGTAACGCTCTGGAGCTTCTGGGACAGCGATTTCGTTCGTCTAGTGATCGAGGCCGGGGTTTTAACGACAAAGGGGCTTGTTGTAGCGGTGGAGTCCGGTACAGAGTTTCGTCGTCTCTTGCCCGAGGCAGATTTAGACGGGGCAGGATGAAGAGGGATCGGGGACGTAAAGTCTGGCAAAGTCGAGATTGTCATCGTAGGAGTCTTTGGTGAGGTGGGCCTTTCCGTTAGTTCTTGTGTTTGACTTGCTGCTTTTTCTAGCGCCTTTTCCCTTTTTTTTAATTTTCGCAAGTTGAACAGGGTACTCGAGTATCTAGTGCCGCTCTGTTGGGCAAAACTTGCATGGAGAGTTAGGCTCTAAGCCCGCCTCTATGCCTGCTTTTGCCCTCAAGAGCTGCCGTGCCTTGTTTTCTTTCTTGGCCAACTTCTTTGCCTCGTGCTGCCTACTCTTTCCAGCTTTACAGGCTTCAAAGTCTTTCACGTCTATGGCGAAGCTTCCAGGTTAAGACAAGTTGGGACGGTTTGGGATGAAATCGGGAATAGACTTTCTGGCAGATGCTTAGAGGGTCTGTTCTAAAAATACTTGGTTAATATCTTGCGCCATGGTAGACATGGGACTAGAGAAGATATCGACCTTACTGCTTAGTGGTGTAGTGTTTCTTGGCTAATCCTCAGCGGACTATCCACCAGCGGGTTTAGGAGACTTCATTCCACACGACAAAAACGTTTGCTCCAACGTAAACACAGACATAAAGAAGGTGTTAAAATTTGAAGTGGTGTTTGCGATGAAGAATTGTTTCGAGGTTGGAGAGGTTCGCAATTATACCAATTGCCGGTTTGCTCGCCCTTAGTGTGTTAGGGTGTCTTGTCGGCCCATAGGAAATTGTTGGGGCGACTATACTGTTGACGTGTCTAATTCACCGTTGATATGGCACTACAACCGAAGTTGCGGTGTAATTAGGGGAAAAGAGGTGTAGTAGTTGGGAATGCCCTCAAAAAGATCTTTGGTACCATGTAGCTAATACAACCATGAAGTTGGCTTGCTATACGCCAAGTACTGACGACGCCTCAGTCTATCAAGTCTATTGAAGTCTCTGTTTTCCGAAGAACCACTCGCGAAACCCAACAGGAGAAGGAAGCCTCTAAACCGCAGTAAAACAGTACTCATGCCCCAAGATCACCAGCGTGCGTAAAGGTCTTCACCTCGTGGTGAAGCTGCTTCAACGTAGATCCAGACAATGACTCCTGACAACTGTCATAACCTCTTCAAAGACCAAAATCCCCGAAAACTCACTGACAATACAGCGTTTTCAGCGTCTTCAGTGCCTCAGTGGGGCGCTGAAGGGATAGAACCAACTCCGACCGGATAAATCTCGGGAGCGCTATCCTTAATATAGTTACTGTCAGCGCTTGGATCATGTATTAGATTTGGGTAGGTATCTGGGCGTTTCGTAGCTTCCTTTTTTTTGTTTTAATAACAACGACAACTACAACGACCCTTTCCACGAAATCAACGTCGCTGATTGTCTAGGAGTTGATCATGCCTAACAAGTCAAAAGACACCTTAGCCTACGGCTACCGCCAAGTTGGGACTAACGCAGAATATGGCGAATCTACCCCATTGGTTGCGTCTCCTGATCACTTTCAAAAGCTCTTGGAAGACAATTTCGAAAACAACCTCGAAAGCCCAATCGAAAACAATCTTCAAGACTTAATCAAGCAATCCAATCACCACGACCTTCCACCAACATATCACCAATCTCAAAGTCACGGCATGACTCCAACCATGACTCCAACCACGGCTCCAACCACGGCTCCAACCACGGCCAACGACGAAGAGCGGGGTTCGCCATTACTGAGTATTGGGATGCCAACTGGTAGACTAGAGGTCACCACAAACCGCTGGTGTGCATACAGCCTCGCAATCGCAATAATCGCGGTAGGAGCCAGCTCTCTTGTGGTCGCGCTCTTCTATGTCTTGAAGTTCGCCCGAGAACTTTTCCCATGTTCGTACCCTTGTAAATCCAAGCGATTCGAAGATACTAATAAGAATTCGATTTAGCATCCCCTTCGTAATAACACACGACCTTCGCCGCGTTGGGACTGATCTTGAAGTGAACCCGAGCTTCCGCAAGTTTGTACCCTTGTAAATTCAAGCGATTCGAAGATACTAAGAATTCGATTCAGGCACTTCTTGTTAAGAACACACGACCTTCGCCGCGTTGGACTGATCTTGGGTTGGGGTGGGGGGTTGCATTCAGCTGGCGTTTGGGAGAGCGTGCATTGAAAGGTTACTGCGACTGTGTTCTTTCGAGCTTGAGGCGCTGATACTCACTACAATAAAAGCAAAGCTTTTCTGACCATCATCAACTTGACCTATTCGTCCTGACACTGACAACTTGGAATCTCAGTTGAATGCACGCACGCACGTGTAGCGCGCACGTTTCGCAATTCCCACAAGGCTGAACCCGCGAACCATGACGTAGCTAGATGCTAAATCAACTCCCTGCCTTGGCCAAGGTACTACAGCACTAGAGCTCTCAGGAACTAAACTCAATATAAACAGAATGTACACAAATTCCATCCCCTTAATCCCATTCCCTCTTCATCGCGAACTTTCACCTCGTCCTCGAGATGCGGGCCTCGGTCTGCTTACGTCCTCGAGCTCTAGTGAGCATCAATGTTTCACAGCGCTCTTCTTTCCAGCCATTAATCATATCTACCTTCCGCAGTAGACCACAACCACAACCACAACCACACCTCACCTCGCCCTCTATCCGCGCATTTTCAATAAGCACAACAAGATGGAAAGAAGACTACGCCAGCCAGGCAAAAGCCCTGAACCAGAAAGGTCTCGAGGACCAAGAATCCGGCTTCAACAACCAAATCGACAACGCGATCGGTCAAGCAGAGGAACTACAGGCCCGCACACCATGGCACCGAGAAGGCAGTGACCAACCCCCCGTCAAGCGTCCCCGGAGCGCTGGAGCCATGACCAAAGGTCCCTCCCTCCCCTCTTCCCCTCCATCCATCTATCTACTAACACCATCCCGAGGCAAACTCCTGACCACCCCGTCCCGCCTCCTCAAACTGATCCTCCCCCTCACAACCCTCGACAAGAACACAGACCGCAAATCCATCGAACCCCTCGCCCTGCTCGTGCACCCGCAACAACCGCTCTCCTACCTAGAACGACTGATCCAATCCGAGCTCCCGCTCATAAAATCCAAAGACGGGAAAGATAAAGCGCCCCAGGTGTATTTCCGCGCCGAGGATAGCGTGCAGGATGAGATTAAAGCGGATACGAGGGATGGGTCTCTGCCTGCGTCTAAGGAGGAAGAAGAGCAGGAAGAGGGGAGCGATGAGCAGATGATTGATGGGAAGCTTGTTAAGTTGGGGAAGATTGAGAATTCGTTAGAGAAGAAGGAAGACCAGGATTCGACATCGCCATATGATGTCGATAAGAAGAAATTGGAACAACACATGCGCGGCGGCCCTGGTGAGGGAGGCGTAGAATCATATTCTGGGAAGGGGAGAGAACGCTCTTCTCCCGAGGACGGGGAACGTAAGTTCGTGCGTTGGTCCTCGTCTACTGAGTAAGACCTCTCTTCCCATACCCTAGTACAGCTCTCATCTCTCCCTATTTCCATTCTATATAGATAAATACTAACCCACCCCTTCAGGATAGGAGACTTCATCCGCGACGCCGCCCGCGGCGCCGAATTCGCCGTCGAAATCGAAGGTGCCTCGCACGAGATCCTCGTCGGCGTTCCCTCCTTCAACGACCGCACGCACTACCTACGCGTACGTCTGCGCAAGACCTCACGGAAACTAGCCGACCTCGCCAGCTTGAAGAAAGAATGCGATGAGTTGGCACACAGGAGCGCGCAGCGGCTGGCCATGGGTGGGTTTGCGGTGCTGCTTACGTGGTGGGGGGCTATTTATCATTTTACGTTCCAGACGGATTATGGGTGGGATACTATGGAACCTATTACTGTTTGTGTTCCCTCCTTCCTCCGGCTTTTCCTGTACGGAGCTAATAAGGACAAAAGTATCTAGCAGGTCTGTCAACGATAATGCTAGGTTACCTCTGGTTCCTGTATCATAATCGCGAGGTTTCTTACCGGGCAGCACTCAACCTGACCGTCTCTCGGCGCCAAAACCACCTCTACCAGGTCCGTGGCTTCGATGTGCAGAAATGGGAATCGTTGATCGAGGAAGCGAATGCGTTGCGGAAGGAGATCAAGCAGGTGGCGAATGAGTATGATGTAGAATGGGACGAGAGACAAGATGAGGGCAGTGAGGCGGTCCACGATGCGCTGAAAGCGGAGCGAAGGAAGGGGAAGAAGGACGAAGATGATGATGGAGACGAGGATGAGAAACCGGACAAGAAGAGCGATGGGAAGGAAAAGGGTGATTGAGTTGTTGGTACGGAGATTGTTCCGTTTGTTTGTTTTCTTTTTTCCCCATGCTTCAGTCCTTGCATCAGCGAGCGAGCGTCATTCCGCATATCCCTAGACGCCGTCATCATTTTTCTTTCTCCTGCAGCAAACACGCATAGATACCAAATCCATCCATCATATTCCATATCTCCCTCGTTCCCCTTTCCTTATGCTCCTATTCGTGCTGGCCAGAATTCCAATCCGTCCAAACAAATCTTTGTGCAACTTATTCCAGACGACATACCTTCAATTCCTCGCAATAAAGACAGACATCTCGCTCTGGAAGCGGGTTCCTTGCGAGGAATGAGGAGGGGATTCGTGGGGGTTCGTTGGTTCGGGCGTTGGAGCTGATGTTGGGAATTCGACGTGCTAAAAGCCCTTCATTAGCTGAAAAGATGCCTGCAGACGCCCTGTCCTCCAGCTCCAGCATAGCATCAATGGTTCTGCCGCTTGCTCATCGGAAGCACGCTCCGGCATGAGGTGATTGATTAATCGTCTTCTGCAACATGCGGTGAGACTGGCGCAATTGCTGTTTTTGGAGAGAAAATCCCTTTCAAAAAGAAAATTAAAGACATGACATGTGGGAAGGAAAGTATTCAGTAACGGGAAGTGCAAGGACGCAATTAATGGAAAGGAAGCAATTAATGGAAAGGAAGCAAAATCTGGTCTCATTCTCCGCAGAGCTTACAAAACTGTTGCAGGTTGGATGTGGAAGGTTATAGGCACGAACGATGCATGTGTAAGATTGAAAGGAGGGGTCAATGCTCCTAACTTGATTCGATCAATTGGCTGGGTGACAAATTTGAGGAAATGTGAGTTATTACTCAAGGTGGTATCATGCTCGTATTCATCGATCGATCGAGCCGAAAGATCGAAATGAGACATACCGCTGGATTAGACTGGTTCTTGCTCAGAAGAGGATCATCGATTCGTAGAATATACGATGTGATTTAGATGGTGAGCGTGTCATCGAAGGAAAAGATTACGGGAGCACTGACTCAGCAACCATTTCGACGGGACGAAAACGCCCTTCCCAAAAGCACAGTACAATACATACAGAGCAGAAGGTGAAAGCAGGATCTAGACCCTCATCGGGCGCATGAATTCGACCACACAATCTGATTGTGGTGAAAAGAAAGACTGGACAAGCAACCGAACAGTTTTCCATGGGCTTGCTTCCATTCAGCCATATGGCTGAATGAATGTCCACTTGGAGCCTAGTCCACCGATGAAGAACTCGAAGCATGGGATGGAAGCCACACGATTCTCAATATGAACGCAGGATGTTATGCAAGGCTGTCAGACGGACGAAAAATTATTGGCCTTCTCCTGTTGTAGGTATATAGAGACATATGTCATGCTCTGCCGCTTCCTGCCAAGAGTCTTGAGCTGAAATCATTGTTGCCTGAAGGAAATTCCATCATCTCGCCAAAGGAATTCTCGCATCTGTAGGTGATTAAACATCTTGTGCGAAAAGAGAATTGTCCAGTCTGATCATTATTCTTCCCTTGTGCATCAGACACGCTGCGAACATCCAAGCGTGAAGATTGTCCGAACAGATATCATCAAACATCCCTTACGGGATCGTAGTAGTTACCTGCAGCTTGACTGTTGTTTACAACAGCAGCGTCGGCATCGTCGTAGTACGCAACCGGAGAGGATGATCTCGCTTTAGTATGCTGTCAGCAGAAGTGTACAATGGAGATAAGGAAGCAGACCTGACGGGTAATACGAGCCGCTTGTACCTGTAAGCAATTGTCAGATTGTATACTTGGTGTGTTAAGAAAAGCTACAACCTGCACAGCCTTGTGCGGGAACGGAAAAGGTTTGGTAACGAGATTTGGGACGACAGGGACTGACGACATGTTTCATAGAGCATACATACCTGCGTTCATCAAACCTTCTTCATAGTAATCATCCTGGTTGGCGTAGTCAGAACTGTGGTGATGTCCTCTCGACCTGTGATGTCTGCCATGCCCAGAGTCGGTGTGATATCTTCTATCACTGTTGTGACTACCTCTCTGATGTGTTCTGTTTCTGCCATCACGGTAACGGAATTTGTGATAGAGAAACCAGCGAGCAATCCAGTTGGGACAATCGACAGCTGGTGCTGCAAGTCGCCAATAGTAATCCGTGTATTCGTCCCCACCTTTGCCTATGGCTTCCATTGCTTCATCTTTAGATTTCTCTTGAATGTCGCTCCAATCGTATGGGGGTTTGCGCTTGCAGTTGGATTTTAGGTGGCTTTTCTCGGATGTTAGCCAGATGTAGACTCGATCAGTCTCTTTCTGGAAGGCCGGCAAAAATCAGTAAGCGTGTTCCTTGAACTAAGGTTGAAGTGTGGCCCAGCGCGCGAGAAAGGTGGTTTGATGTGGGGATTTGCGGGTTGGTACTTACCGCCATCAGAGCGTAAGTATCTGGCGGCAGATTAAGGTGGTTGAGGAGCTCATCCTTGGTGGAGCTCATAGCTAATGGTGCGAGCGACGCCATGCTGTTGAGAAATTGCAGAGATCACAGCTTGTCGACATACGCTGTATGTTGAAGAAGCGGACGATTTGCCGGAGAGGCTAGATACCATGGTGGAGGTGGTGTATAGAGCCTGGGCTCCGAAGTCCTCGTAGTCATGGGGATTATCTTCTCGATCATCGACGTCAATTTTGACCAGGATATGAGCAGGTCGCTGCCCTATGCAAGCAGGACATCATGCAAAAAGAACTGTGTTTACGAAAGTGGCGTGACAGGACGCGACGCACCTCTCTGGAGAGGGAATGGGTCATCAATGGTGAGAGGAGAGAAGTGAAGAGTACTTGTGTTGCAGGGCCCTGCGACTGGCCGAATTCGAATCTCTGACTCGGAAGCAAGAAACGCGCACCGAATAAGAGATCGGCGGGACAAGCTGCACTGTGCATTGTGCAGTGTTAAGAGGAGTAGCAAATCAGGACTCAAGTAAATGCATATCTGTGAAAGAATCTGGAGCACAATTAGAGATCGCAGTTGGTCTTCAAATGCATCGCACTGAATTTCTTCTGCAATTGATCAGTCCGTAATGGCGTTAAGGTGCTGAGTGAGTTGTCAATCCTGACCATGAGCTTGTGAGACCGAAACCAGGAGCTCTAGCAGTGACACAGAAGACCCTGCATGAAGGAGGGGCGGACGGCAGTACGGTTGTGCAACAAATCCAATGACTAAATCATAGTTCTCTATCCGCTTGGTAGAGGAAGAGATCGAACAGATTCGGCGACCACGAGGCAGAGACTTGTTGATGTCGATAGAACAAAAGCGGCAAGGATACGTAGAAGACCAGAGCAGCATGCTGCATGGCATAAGGAGTCAAGAGGTGACGAGACGACCCGCAGCAGGTGCCAGCGAAAACCAGACACGAGAATTCAAGGATATCAGCTGGCGGATACCCCCTAATCGTACCGTCATGAGTGGTACGCTTCTGGCCGCCGATTTGAGTGTGAGTACGAAGGAGACATTGGATGGACAGGGAAGACCCCACATTGTTCCATGGTTACCTGTAAGTCGACTTACCATTCCGTAAAAATGGTCAAGAGCCCGGATACACCAATTCCCGCTTGCTAAGGAGACGAGGGCTGCTAAGCAATCTGCGACATTGAGGTTCACAGCATCGGAGGGCAAACCCGTCTCCGCCTGGTTGGGAATTTTTCAGTACAGAGAACGAGCTGGAGGCGGGTAGGGAGAGACGGTACGGCGAAGAGGTGGGATAGTGGCTGGCAGCCAACATACAATATGGTGGAGGAAGTGCTCGAATCAAGCAACGGTCTTGAACCGAGGGGAGGGAAGTGCCGACGGAAAGCAGGACGTGGGACGTGATGGCGAGGTGGGATTCAGACCTTGAAGGTTTTTAGGGAGATGTGGGATGCGGAATGTGATATGTGAGATGTCAGCCATCTGGTACCGGGTTCGTCTCCGTCTTCACCCTCCTATGGCCAACCCGGCCGTTTTATCGAAAAAAGCAATTCGCATATTGTTGAGCTGCGAGAGGTGGTGGTGAAATGAATATCCTCGGGAAATGACGCTGTGTTGGAGTGGCGATTCAGGGCAGGGAGGACGGAGGCAGGAAGGAATCCTGCACCGGGTGTACCACGACGAATAATGCGGGATTGTCCATGGGAAGAGCGTTGAGATCTCTCTGATGTTGTGCGAGGTCCCTTCCCCGGCATCGTCGACGGCGCCCGTCCTGTGCTGGGCAGCTTGCGCGCCGCATGGTCAGGGGAAAGGTTGATCTGGTTGCAGTGAGTGAACTTCGTATCGATGCCCATTTTCGATGTCTAACTGAGCATCCTGACTGACGGCATGGCAGGCGAGGCTGCTGGCCTGCCGGGGAAGTGACACTGCAGGAAGCGCAAGCAAGGTCGCGTCAACGACAAACCTGGTGACCAAACATCAAGCTTACTGGGTTGTGGTGATTGGTTGTGGATGTGATGGCTTGGATATATAAGGTTCACGCCCGCAGATGAGGAAGAGACGAAGTGGAAAAAGAACAGCAGCAGCAGCAAAGAGCTCTCGAGCTGGATGCGCGCGTGCGTGGTGTACCACACGGCTCTTGGAGAGATCGGGGATGGATCTGTATGTGTGTATGAGGCGAGTGTTGGATGAATGAGCAGATGAATGGAATGATGATGATGATGATGGGATGAAAAGGGATTTGAATCTGGACAATGGATTGAAGGGGAAGAGACAGGATTGGAGCGGAGACGAAGCCGGAAGCCAGCACAACCAATGGAGGAGAAGCAGGAGGAGCAAGAGAGGCAGTCACAGAGAGGAAGAAACGCCCCACGACAAAAACAGAACTCAAGGGACGACCCGCAGAAAACCCACTCGTTGCTCATTGGCTGCACCGCAGACTGGGGCCCGGCGCATAAGGTTACCTCTGTCCCAGCCACCGTGGCCTGGTCTGCTGCACTCTTGTGGCCTGAGGAAGGAAGGCAGAGAAGTGGGGTTTGCAGCTGGAGGTACGAGTACGAGTACGAGTACTTTGGTACCTTTGCTGCCCCCTGCTCGCTCTGGCTCTGGACTTGGTTGGTACGTACTCTCATGATGGCATTCCACATCGTACCATCCTCCTCGTGCTTCCCCAGCTCGCTCAACTTGCGCCAATAATTGCATCTTCGCAGCTTCGAAATACCCTGCGATAGCTTCACCAACACCACCAATGCACCGATACGCTCTCTCTTGCCTATCAATCCCACGCGAAGAAGCAATCCATATCCGCTGGTTGGCCCACGTCTGCGACTGGCAGCCCACCAGGCCCTCCAAATTTCAAGCCGGTGCAGCGGGGTACGTACGGTACGACTGTACAGACACAGAGTAGAACAGAAAAATCTCGTCACACGCACGCGCACACCCAACGTCGCTCGACGCTGCCAACTCCAGAGATCCATTATTGACAAGGCCATCCTCGGGCCGTTGCTTATATAGGGCCAGGCCAGAACACGACCGGCAGTTGAGGTATCGAATTTGCCAGGCGTCGTCGAACATTCTCTCATATTCGTCCCGCCACGCTAAACAGCCCACCTCAGTACGACGACGACCACAGCGACGGCCAACCCTGGGTCAGAATGGCCCCGATCCAGAACATCGTCCATCTACCCAATGGCCAGAATCTGACCGTTCTGCCCGTCTTTGGCGGGTTTTTCTTCAAATCCAACGACCTCAACCTCCATCACAATGTTTTCCCGGCGGGGTGGACGGTCATCCTGCAGACTGAGGACTTCTCCGACGAGCACACTCGCGACTCCGAAGATGCAGAGCTCAGTGGCATGCCAAAGGAAAAGAAGCGCCATATCCATCCTTTCAAGCAACCCACTCTGCAGAATGATAACCTCTTTATATCCTCCATCTCGAATCCTTCAAGCAGCGACTTTAAAACCCCCTCGAGTCCTACACGGCAGATTGCGATGATGCTCTGGGCATCCTTATATTGGTACTTTCATCAGCAGGAGCCTTCACCGTACCTGACCACCGAGGCATCGAAGAGCACACCCAACGAGGGAAAGCCGAGGGGAGAATGGCGCATAAACATCAAACGAGAGGGTGTATTTCGAGGGCGGAACTTGATACAAAAACTGGAACGAATGGGCTTGATAACCTCGGAAGACTCGAGAGTGGGTATCAATCCCGAGGAAAATACCCCAGAAGGATGGTCAGAGATGTTCACGGCAAGAAGAACATTCTGGCAGCTTTCTGCAAAATTATTCCTCTTCACCTTGACTCCTGCAGGTGGATCTTCGTTTCTAGGCTCCCCATACAACAGTAGACCAAGCTCACCCGTCCGCGGAGACAGGAATCATTCCCCAAACCACAGAGATTCCTCGGAATCTTTTGCTGCACAACCACCTGCAAGTCCAGGTCTATGGTCCTCCTCCACCCCAGGACCATTCTCATCAGGAAGTCATCTGCCAACATATTTCCCTCCTCCACCTCTGCCATATACGACCACCGCTGGAATACGCCATCCAATGCGTCCCAAGCCTCCTCGACAAGGTGAAATATTCTACACTCGCTATGTTCCCAGCGCAGGCCAATACCTAGCATTTCGAGCAGCCTCCCTTTCTCCTAAGCCTGTTGCCTATAACGGTCCAACTACTTCGCTGAATCCACCTAAACACCATCAAACTGCGTCACTCTCCTCCGTACCAGCACGTGTCTCAGTTGCAACAATCGCAGATCTGACACCACCATCCCCTGCTGCAGAACCGCAAGATACCACCCTGATGACCGACCTTCAGCTTCTGAACAAATGGATGAATGACCCCCGAGTCTCCAAATTCTGGGGCTGTTCCGGACCCCAAAGTACGCAAGAGTCCTTCCTAAAATCCAACCTCAGCTCCAACCATTCTTTCCCAGCCATTGGCCTCTGGGATGGTAAGCCATTTGGATATTTCGAGATATACTGGGTAAAAGAAGATATCCTAGGCAAGAACTTAGGCGACCGAGCCGGTGACTATGATCGGGGTGTCCACGTCTTGGTCGGCGAAAACGAGTTTAGAGGGAACAAGAGGGTCAAGGCTTGGATAACCTCATTGGCTCATTGGGCGTTTGTCCAAGACTATAGAACGAATGCTGTTGTTCTGGAGCCGAGGGTCGATAACGAGAGGTATGTCGCCTTGCTTTGCTTCAGAGCTGAAAATGTATAATTGACGAACCATAGATTTATCTCGCATCTCAACGAGGCCGGCTTCTTGAAGGAGGGCGAAATCACTTTTCCGCACAAGCAGAGTGCGTTTGTGAAATTGCGGAGGGAGAATTTTGAGACGCCGTCTTTATGATACCTTAATATTATGCTAGACTTCTTGGCCTATCAAGACTATTTTGAATTCATCCACATACCTGCTTCTCCTCGTGTCTATGTTTGATCTGGAGAGTCTCTGCATAAAGTAAAATTCCTTAGGCAATCTTTGTTGTGCATGCATGCGTCTCCTCAAAGGCAGAGTGGAAAGTCATGACCTAGCCGGTGGCCCAGAAGATCAAGTGATGAATCGCATTTCAGTTCGTCTCCCAGCTACGGACATGAACCAGACATTGCAACTAGTTTATTTGGTTGAACTTTTGAGGATGCCACTTAGACAAGTCCTATCTTGACTGGCCAGCTACATGTCTTTGTGAGCTTTAACCGTTATGTTCTACTGTACAATATGAATGATTTCTGCTATCACCAACACCCGACAAACGCTAATATTGTTAATTGTATCATTTTATTGTGTGTGAGCTTCTAAGCCTGTGATTCACTAGTTACTTAAAGTCTAGTTGGTATAGAATAAGTTTCGTTTTCGTTGCGTTACTACGTTTTCCTCGCTTGATTTTTCATCCAAAAGGTGTATGTGATTCACTATCTAGTTAATGGTATAAGTTTCGTTGCGTTACGGAGTTTTAGCTCGCTTATTTTTTTATCTAAAAAGTATATGTGATTCACTAGTTAGTTCATGGTATAAGTTTCGTTGCGTTACGTACTTTTCTTCGCTTGTTTTTATCTGAAGCTAAAGGGTGTAGTAAAGTTCGGGTTTCGTTGCGTTACTACGTTTACCTCTCTTGACGTCACTTGATTTTCATCGGAAGGGGAGTACCTATGTGATAGTAAACTTCAAGTTTCGTTGCGTTACTACATGTTGCTTCACTTTATTTTCAGTGAGAAAAGGGGTATTTGATTGCACAGCTTACGTTTCGTTGCGTTACGTACTTTTCCTCGCTTATTTCCACTCATACACACACAGAAAGAGGGGAGAAGAGCGGGTATGCGTACTAATGTTCTTCGTTGCATGTCGGCTTAGTCACATGTCTTTCCCTCCTTACCTGTAGAGAAGGTGCTTGATACTTTCGTTGCATTTCGTACGTCTCATGTGATTTGCAATTGTAAAGGGTGTTTGATAGCAAGGTGAAAATCTTTCATGGCATATTGTTTTGTCTTCCTTTATGGATTGTTCACTTCCATGGTGTGTGTAGTCGTTGACAGTGTCGCTCTAGGAATTGGATTTGTAAAAGTTGAAAATTCAGATAGTAATAGTAGACGAAGAGATTACTGAATCAACCGTCCAAGACCTTGTACTTGACAACAGTCGTGCTGCGTTGGCCGCGAAGACAAAAGGATACAATCCGTCAATACTATACTAACGCATTAGTAACCCAGCTGTCCGAGACCCTGTGCTTGTTGACAGCCGTTATGCATTGATCGAAATCATCTCCTAGCTGCAAAGATCCAAGCAGCGGATCCCATGGCAAGAAGGAATTCCATCAAACAGTCAACACGGAAGCGGGGTAGCACTGTCCAAAATACACACATATTAGGAAACTTTATTAGGGGAGTTGTGACTGGGAGTTGAGTTGGCGAGGAAGGAGAGGTTTTTATACTTCTGTCAATACAAAGTTGATTGGACTATTCATTTTTTTCGAGAGCATTCGCGTTCACCCGACTCTTAAAGGTTTGCCATACTTGTGGTACTCAATTGGACTCAACATACATGTTTCGGAGACATGCAATTCACCCTGGAGTCTGGGACATCTAGACAGCTAGCCAATTGAGTCCCGAGGTCGGGTTGTATGGCTGAGAGAGGTAGCGAAGTAGCTGAGCATTAGACCTCCAAGTTTGCTTCATATATGATGCAACCCAACTCGACATTCCACATCACAAAGTGCAAAAAAAAAAGAGGATTCTGACACTTCAATTAATTCAGCTATCACACCAAGCGTCTCTCTCAATTCAAGAGCAAAAAGTCATCTACTTCAAAAGCAAGCCAATCATCTCGCATGCAAGAACGCCAACACCAATAATATCTAGACCTTGACTCCAAAAAGCAAGTCCAGTCTAAAATCGGCTTAGACAGCAAAGAAATAAGGCACAGTTCCCGGATCAACTACGTGTTCTCATTAGCCCTCATCCTCGATCCCACCCCCTCAGAAAGAGAGGAAGACTTACGATTCTTCCAAACAAAAGGCATCCCCTGACTCAATCCCTCAGCATCGAATCCGCGACCCCGAATCTCCGCACCGATAGTCTCCATGCCTTGTCTATAACCAGCCTCCGCAACGGTAACCTGCTCGTTAAATTGAGAGAGGAAGGAAGCGTCGTTGTAGGCGTGGACGAGGGTGCGGTTTTGGGCGGCGTATTGGGGGCGGTTGAAGACGGAGAGGAGGTCGAGTTGGAAGATTGCGTCGGCGGGGCCGGGGAGGTAGGTTAGGAGTTGGGTGATGTTAAGGCCCTTGGTTGTAGGGAGGGGTGCATGCTGGGTTTGTTAGATGGAGGGAATGGAGAGGGAAGAGGGGAGGCGAACCAGGGCGAAGGGGTGGAAGGGGAGGGTTCCTGAGGTGGTGATCATGTCACCTGTGTTGAGAGCGTGATGACTGTTAATCTTGGGTTAGTTTGAGGGGCGAATGAGAGGGAGGTTTATTTACATGACTCCGGTGAGGAGAGCAGTGTGGGTTAGGATTGCAATCAGGTCTGCCTTTCCACATGCGTGGAAGGCGCCCGATGGAGAGCATGGAAAGTCAATGACTTTGGCAGGGCCATTGGCTTCTACGAACCAGGCCTGGAGCTCACTGTCAGATGCAACAACAACATCGTTGGCATAGTATGCGTTGACGAAGGAAGTCATGCTGCGTATTGTTAGTCGATGAAGGTAGGGAAGGATAGGGGACTCACAACTGAAGAATCACGTTTCGGATTGTGCTGGCGTCTTCGTAGAAAGGAAAACTCTTCAAGGCAGGTTGAGTAGCAGGGCCAAGGAGGCCGCTAGCTTGGAGGCCAACTTCTAGGTAGTTGCTTTGGAAGGCACCAGCAGTTGGGTAGAAGTCTGTGATGAAGTCCATGCATCCTGTGCTATTGATGAAGAAACCTTGGTCTTCTAGTCCACCTGGGTTGAAAAGGAGTTGTGTTCCGACACTGAACAACTTGTTAGGTTCTGGTAGGCTTAGAAGTGTTGAAGGAGCTTAGACGCGAGGAGCATATGCCATAATCATGACTGTTCAAACGAATGTCAGGGAATCATCATTGTCAGAAGGTATTGGGAAGGACCTACTTCTCTCCAACAAAGCCATAACGGGATGATCATCACTCAAGGTTCTCATCGCAGCTTCGTGTACAATCTCACCAACCATGTGGGTAGCAGCAAGATGATACATCTCAGCATGAAAGAAGTCATTGACATTGAACAAGATCTTCGCAAACAACCAATCAATTGCTCCATCCAAAGGTGTGTAGACAAGATCTGCTCCAATATTGGTCTTGATAGCCAACGGAAGGAAATTGCCGGACTTGGGATCGATGAAGAAGTAAGCAGTGCAGTAGCCTCCAAAGCGAGCGTTGGTTGGATATTTGGCTTGATAGCTGTGATCCACAATGAACAAACGGCTACTGAGTTGTAAACCTCGGAGTGTAAGGCTAGACAGTGATATCGAAGTCGAGTCCGGAATAGTGAAAGGCAGTGTGTCAGTAAGCTTGACGCGACGGATGGAGTAAGGGTTCTCGGAGAGACGTTCCATGCTGAACAGAAGGTCTTCAGTGTAGTTGGTGAGAATACCAAGATCCTCGCCACCAGGGACTGCGTCGCCCAACTTGTTGACATAGAGAAGGTTGACATAGTCTGCAAGGTTATGGAATCCTCCATTCTGCGTGGCACCTAGTCAACGATTTGTAACATAGACGATAAGGGGAAACTTACTCCGATGACGGCTGCCTCAATAGCTGGAAGATCAGCGTTGATGCTACCGTTGATCCATGCCTCGTCAATAGCGAACAGACCAAGGTCGCGTTCGGTACGAGCAGCACCTAATGGGCCAGCGGGGTAGAAAGGACCATTGAGTAAGCCGGGACCATACAACCAGCCAGCTCTCTTGACCGCAATGGCTTGAGCGCGAGCAGTGGCGTTGGTGGAGTATTGCGGCAGGGAGGTTTGGTTGGAGGTTTGTGCAAGTACATTGCCGATGGCAAGCACTGCAATGACAAGACGTAGAAACATCTTGCACAGCTGCGGGTTTCTCAAAGTGGAATTCGTTGAATTGAAAGGTAACCAAAAGCTGAACGAGCGTGAAGAACAAAGAGAGTCTGATCAAAAGAAGGGGAGTGAAAGAATGAAGGGTGGTGAGGTTGAAGTCGAAGGAAGGTGAGGAACGAGAAATTTCCAAAAGTAAGAAAAGGTCAAAGATGGTGTGGGAAGCGTTAGCTTTCAAAGCTAGAGCAGAAGTGGTCTGATTTTGTAGAGGAATATCGTCGCACCGATTTCGGTTTAGAAGGAGCTACTTTGAATTGCAGAAACTAACAAACAATCATAAAAATCATCGGCCTATGTTACCGTTATCGGATCCTTCAAAGGAGCTTCAACCCCATTGCTGTGACCATTGACCCCATTCGCATGTCCATTGATTCCCTTCGCCCCCGCAGCACCAGCATGACTACCCTTAACAGGTGCCCCATTCTGCTCGTTACCTCCCGTACTCTTCATGCCATTGGCCTGCTTCCTCGCCCCTCCCATCCCATTGTGCGTCCCATTGAACGTCATCCCCGTAATCCCATCATATCCCTTAACCCCCGTGGCCTTCTCCAACCTCGATGCCAAATCCTCGCTAACTTCACGGAAGATAGCAATCTGCCTCTTGATGATCTCCTTATCCTTACAATTCTCCATATGTCCTGAAACATTCCCAACAAACCTTTCCTTTGCCTTGGCATCGAAAATCTTCTCCCACAGCGCTCTTGGGGCTGTGAAATCTTCCTCGCGAATTTCGCTTAAGAATGTAACTGCGTTCCCGATGAAGTGTCCGTGAGTCTTATCCAAATTCACGCTGCGCTCGCGGAAACGGATGGGCTCGATGCTAGAGATGTAATTTGGTCTTGCACCCTGGTTGAGGAACGCCATGCTACCATCTCGCTGGAAGTTGGCCATGCGGTAATTGACCCTTGGGGCGTTAACGGGAAGTTGCTGGTAATTGACGCCGACCCGGTGTCGGTGAGCGTCTGGGTAGGAGAATAGACGTGATTGCAGAACTGGATCGGCAGAGGGCTCGATACCGGGAACCATGTGAGACGGGTTGAATGCCACCTGCTCTATTTCCGCGAAGTAGTTCTGAGCGTTTTCGTGCAGGGTGAACTCTCCTACTTTACGGAGTGGGAATTGCTTGTGGGGCCAGACGTGTGTGAGGTCAAAGACATTGATCTTTTGCTTTTCCCAGAGTTCTTCGGCTTCCTTGGCGGTCATGGTTTGAACTTCGACGGACCATTTGGGATAGTCGCCAGACTCGATGGCGTTGTACAGATCCTTTTGCGAGTAGTCGGGTGATTTGGTGGCGGAGTCTTCCTGAGTGATGAATTTGGTGCCTTGCTGCGAGATCATGTGGAGTTGGCAATATACCCATTCGCCGGCCTTGTTGACGAGCTTGATGGTGTGGCCGTAGTAACCGTGCATGAATCGGTAGCCGTCGGGGATACCACGGTCACCCATGAGGATCATGACTTGGTGGATAGACTCGGGGTTTTGGGAGAGGTAGTCCCAGAACACGGTCGAATCGTCGGCATGAGTAAGGTGAGTTGAGGGATTCCGCTTCTGGGTGTGGATGAAATGTGGGAACTTGGCTGGGTCTCGTAGGAAGAAGGAGGGTGTGTTATTCGCCACGACATCCCAATTTCCCTCTTCAGTCTTGAACTTGACTGAGAATCCTCGTGGATCACGAGCACAATCGTGAGAACCAGACTCGCCACCGACAGTAGAGAATCTGACAGTGACTGGGCATTCCTTTCCTTCCTTGAACATGTCTGCGAGACAGAGGTCCTCGAGAGTGTTGGTTGTCTTGTATGTTCCATGGGCACCGGAGCCCTTGGCATGGACGACTCGCTCGGGTATACGCTCGCGGTCGAAGTGAGAAAGAAGGTCGATCAAGTGGAAGTCTTGCAAGAGCAGAGGTCCATTGTCTCCTGCGCGTTGGGTCTCGTAGGGGTGAGGCATAGGAACGCCATTGCTAGTTGTGTAAACAGTATCCTGGGACTTAGCGGATCTATCATCTTGATAATTGCGGTAATGGTCGCCGCTGGCGTGCTGAGAAGACATTTCGAAAGTAGAACAGATATTTTTGTGAACAGTAACAATCTTTGATGGTAAGATCTTAAAGAAAACCAACTAACTAAGAGTTCAGAGACCTCTCATATATGTTGACTTACGTCGCCCCCATGGTATCTAATCATGATCTCATGGATGAACTATGCTTCGCCCCTGATTGGCTGATGAAGCAACAGAGCTTTCGATTCTGGAGACAACTCGTACCTTAGCTGCTACACTGGCGTCGGCTGTTCCATGCGGATGTGAGGCTAGCGGTCGAGAACATCGAGAAAATGGGATTAGCATAGTTACATCATCGAAATCCGTCATCTTGCTGACAGAACGTTGAGCGGACACCAGGCACAATCTCGTGGCGAACGACAATTGCGGGGTCTAGCTTGAACCTATCAATTTCTTTCCTAAAGAATTTCCTCAGAAGAGAAAACTTCTTCGGATTTTGACAAGTGAGATGCCGAGACATATCCGGTATTGGATGTTGATGCTTGATTCACGTCCTGGAAACTGGAAACTGGAAAGAGAAAATAAAAGTCGAAGACGTCAACAGTTCCCGTGCATTGACCACCTTGATATTTAAAACCTGAGGCCAAAACACACGTGTACTTCAAACATAATTTGAGGTATTATTGCATGAACGATGTATGAAGCAAATCAATATAGTTCATGATACATGTACGCTTACCCATTGTGTATGGACTTGCCAAGAATACGCAGGAGATTGAAAGAGCCTGTGTCATGTGACAGCTAATTCCTGACGACAATCTTATTATTTAGAATATCTCAGAATAAATGCCTTTTCAGACTATTGACGGTGAAACAGCAAGCTACGCCATATACCACGTAAGCGATTTTCATAGCCATCCAAATGAGCCCCTTTCCAGCTTGACTTGATGCGAACACTCGTGACCAGAAACGACATTATTGATGCGCTAGGCTCTTTGACTTATCAAAAGTGATAGAGAGTTTTTGGAATTGACCAATTCGACGATCATTCATAAGAATCTCACACACCTTTCAACCTAGTGGTGAGGGTTGTAGCGAAGTATAAGTGGGGTAAGTGTATGCCGCTGAAACCTTGACAGAATCTCGACAATTGCCACTACCGGTGTTCGTGCCGAGAGAAAAGTCGGATTACAAAATCCGGAATCGGGAATTGTTAAGATTCACGGAGCAGCGAGCAATCAGGTTGGAGGCTTCGCCCGGGCCCCGCCAAGTCAGTCCTTCTGCCCACTCTTGTTGATTGTCCCCGCGCGGCTGGAGACGTTTGATGGCGGAACTCAACCGCTGTCTTATGATTCAGTGTTGGTTCAATTATATCCATTGTCAGCTTTATACACAATTTCCAGAAGAAAACTGAATTGCGTTCACAGAGTTGAGTTGTGTTCTGTCGCTTAAGCCCCTTTTCTGCTGTCATCATGGGCGCAACAAATTCCACCCAGCGAGAGACAATTCTCAACACTCCCCGAGGCTCCCTTCGTGGCATCACACAAGTAGATCGCACTACAAGCCAACCGGTCTGCTCTCGGTACACCCGCATTCCATATGCTCTCCCTCCGGCTGGTTCTCGAAGATGGCGTCGACCAGTTTCACTTCCCGTTGACTTCTCTTTCAACGACTCGAGCTCAGGTGAACCTGGCAACTACACGGAATTTGGAAATATATGTCCTCAACCTGAGTATGGACACTCGGCTGCAGTATTGGAGAACGAGAATGCAGTCAAGGAACCAGAGAATAAACAGAGTGAGGATTGTTTGTATCTCAATGCCTGGGTTCCGGCAAGCGACGCACCGAAAGGGGGATGGCCAGTTCAAGTTTATCTACGTAAGTTATCCAGTTTGGATATCATTATCCTGTACTAGTGTTGAACACAAGAAATAGATGGAGGCTGGCTTCAAGTCGGAGACGCTATGCAAAACGCCACCCATGACCCATTCGACCTCTTGAAAACCTATCCTCGTATCATCGTCTCGCCAACTGACCGACTCAATCTCTTCGGCTTCCTCGCCTCACCTGAGCTAGCTGAAGAAAGCGGTTCTATCGCTTGTGGCAATTTCGGATTCTGGGACCAGCGCTTGGCCATCGAATGGGTTCACGCCAATATTTCTTTGTTCGGCGGCAATGCAGACAACCTTACCGTAGGAGGATTGTCCGCTGGAGCGAACTCTACTACTTTTCAGTTGCATTATGATACTTACCGTCCTGCCAAGGAGAGGCTCATCAAGCGCGTTTTCCTGTATTCAAATGCTGTCGGTATCCAGCCTAAAGCTGTGACGTCTCCAGAATGCCAGACGCAGTTCGATGAGTTGCTTTCTGTGCTAGATATTTCGAAGTCTCTGTCAGGTCTGGAGAAGTTGGCTGCTCTCCGCTCAGTCCCAGATCTTGAGTTGGTCTCAAAGATCACGATCTTGAAGCAACACACGTTCCGCCCAAGCACAGACGGAGAGTTTATCTCCTCCAGCTTTTTGAAAAGTATCCACGATGGCTCTTTCACGACTCTATTAGCTGAACATGGCGTTAAAGTCCTTCTTGGTGAGGTCGCAAACGAGGAGATGCTTTATCGTCTCGTAAACCCCGCTTCTTCGCTCTCTAGCATGGAGACGCAGCTGAACAACTATTACCCCACAGCCGTGACTTCAGCATTGGTCAAAGCATACCCATTACCGGAATCGTCTGCCTCAGAAGAGGAATGGCCTGAGATCAATGCCCGCATTTTGGGCGATTGTCAAGTCCATGCTGTTATTCGCGGCTTCGCGAATTCACTGCTCAACCCACCAGCGGGCGCCACTCCACTTCCAATTTCGTCAGTGTTCAGATATCGGATCTCATGGCGTGCAAAAGGTCTGGATGAGTGGTTGGATCCGAAGGTGCTGTGTTGTCATGCCTGCGATATCCCGGTGTGGTGGTTAAGCGGTCATCGTGCGGGATTTGAGATGAAAGATGAGGAGACGGCTGATGGGTTGTTGAAGCCGTTTTATGATTTTCTCAAGGGAGATGATCTGGATTGGGGAACGAGCTCAAAGGAGGACATCAGACATGTGAAGCCCGATGGATCGGTTGTCGTGGAGAAGGATGACAGATGGGATGAAGGGTTGAGGATTTGGAATGTCATGGCTAAGGCTCAGGGGTTGTAGAGTGTGATTGGAGAAGGGTAGCTGAGAGACAGTGGTGGACCAATTGATGCTAGACATGTGATAATCTGAGGATATTTCATCGCAACTGATGGGGCTCGGCAAGAAGAGCGATAATCGCTTGAGAAACTTCGGACTCGCAAATCTGGAAGTAAGAATCAGAAGAACGGGTCTTGGAATAACATGCGGCACGAAGACCGGTTCTCAAGTATATAAGAAGGCCGATGACAGCGGCAACTACTCCCAACAACTTCCTTCTCATTTATCATAGCATTTCAAGAATATCTTTTCACAAATATGTCCAACACAAACGGGGTTCCCAGGTCAATTGAATTCTATGGTCGGAGCTACCGACTTCCTCGTCAACCCACAGTAATTGTCTGCGTCGATGGTTTTGATCCCGAATATCTCGAACGAGGTTGCGCTGATGGCATTCTCCCGAACTTCTCCAGATTCCTTGAATCCGGGTTCCATGTCACGGCAAAGTGCGCAATGCCTTCATTGACAAATCCCAACAGTACGTCAAATTGCAAAAGAAGCAAAGCAGTCAATCTCTCAAGACACTAGACAGAGAGTAATGGCTTTTGTACTCTTCTATACTACATCAAAGCATGTACTGATGTGTTAATAGATGTATCTATCATCACCGGCGTCCCAACTTCAGTCCACGATATCTCGGGAAACTTCTACCTCGACAAAGTCACTGGCGAAGAGCACATGGTGCTCGATGATTCGCTGCTCCGAGGTTCCACAATTTTGGAGCAGATGGCAAACAATGGCGTCCGCGTTGCTGCCATCACAGCGAAAGACAAGTTAAGAAAGATCCTCAATCACGGCCTCTCGCCGTCGAAAGGTGCCATATGCTTCTCAGCTCAAGCAGCCAAGAGCTGTACGGATGCAGAACATGGGATCAGCAATGTGGAAAAGTGGTTGGGTCGTCCTGCACCTGAGCAATACTCTGGGGATCTGTCGATATACGTCCTCGACGCTGGACTCAAGTTGCTGCAAGAAAATCGAGCTGATTTGTTCTACCTGACCCTGTCGGATTTCATCCAACACAAATATGCTCCTGGATCACCGGAATCGGATGATTTCTTGCAACTCCTTGACCATCGGCTTGGGAAGTTTGATGAGCTGGGAGCCATTGTAGCCATCACTGGTGACCACGGAATGAGCGACAAGTCGAACGAAGACGGCTCCCCCAACATCCTCTTCTTGGAGACAGAGTTGATGGCCAAATGGCCCAAGTGTAGCGCACGAGTTATCTGTCCGATCGCAGACCCGTTCGTGAAACACCATGGCGCATTGGGATCTTTTGTTCGAGTCCACCTGCTAGGTGAATTGGGGACCAATGATATCGAGGATATGGTTCAATACTGCCACTCGCTCTCTCAAGTGAAAGCCGCATATACTGGAGCAGAAGCCGCCACCGTGTTTGAGATGCCACCTGATCGGGAGGGTGATCTTGTTGTTGTTTCGGAGAAGAATGCTGTGATTGGCAGTAGAGAAGATGAGCACGACTTGTCGCAACTTCAAGGATTCAGATTGCGGTCTCATGGAGGAGTGTCTGAGGAAAGAATCCCATTGATCAGATCTACACCATTATGTGGTCGGGAGCGAGTTGAACCGCATGTATGGCGGAACTTTGATGTTTTCGATGTTGCTCTCAATTTTTGATTGTGGGTGCGCTGGAGAGAATGCCGTCTGTGTACCAATGCTCGATTGCTGGGATTTCATGTACAAGATTGCAATCAAAGAGGATCTGCTTAAACTATGCATTCTCAATCAACTTGAAACAAAGCCTCGATTGCCGCATTAGATGCACTCAAAGATTTTGTAAATCCATGAAGCCTGCATCAACATCGTTCGGTAAAGATAACAAGTTGTTGTAATCTCCTAGATAATCCATCCCCCAAGAATTTCCAATATCATCGAAAGCAAGCATGCCATTAGCCAGAGGATCGACGTGATTCACACCTGACTGACAGAAACTATTCATAGCTATCCGTAAACTTCTCGCTACGCTGCGAAGTGGATGCTCGGGCTGCACCCTCGCTGAACAAGTGTTGAAGACCTCGACCAAGCAGCTGAGAGCGCTCGAGACTTCATTCTTGTCAAGGTAGCACATTGTTTGTTCTTTCTCGGATGCCTTCATCAGAGAGATGGACGCAAAGGCAATCATGGTACCAAAGTAAGAAGGCAGCCACTCCAGCCGCTGTTGAAGTTCGGTCTCGCAGGCGATGGATCGAACGATGGACAATGCGCTTTCAAGAGCACTGCGCTCAAACCTCTCCTTTCCGTCAAACTTCAATGGCGATCTTGCGTGTCTTTGAGAAGAGCCCCTGAAGGAATGCGAGAAGAGAGATAACTTGGCACAATGAATCTGCAGGTCGAAGAGCTGTCGAGCAAAAACGTCGGAATGATCATCCATAGGCATCGAGTCCGGAAGGGCTGAACGGCACAGATCGAAAGAGCGACTCAGAGATTCGAGTTCTGCTACTCGCTCGGGGGTAATCGAGGCTTCAACATCAGCGCCAAAGATGTCAAACACTCGGCTAGAAATAGACCAAAGTTCGACTTGACTGATGAGCTTCTCATCCGCGGGGATGCAGTGAGGACTCTGTAGAAATGACTTGGGACTTTTCAGGGAATGAAACTCCCGAGTCATTGGTGGCTTTCCATATATCAGAAAACATTGATGATCGCAGATGTAGACTAGAAAATATAGACGAGTGCGCTCATAACATTCTGATTTGCTGTGCGGCATTTTGGTGATACACCGATGCAGACTTAGGTCGTTGGCCATTCGAACAGCTGTTGAAGTTCCAGTCAGTATAGTATATAACAAATTCCAGAAATTGCGAATACGTACCCATTCCAATCAACATGGATGACACCTTGTTGAGCCAAAGTGCTCCAATACAAACGGCACGAACATCATCAATGCTATGGTGTCGAGAGAATAACCTGCTGGAGACTTCTTGGAGGAAGGCATCGTAGCATCTTTTGTGGCTTGCTGAGTCTGCACCTAGAGAGCCCGCAGTGCATAGGGCAGCCGTCAATAGAGAAGACCTGGCTCGGACATTAGCCAAACAGTCATTTTCTAGCAAAATTTGCGGCGTGCAAGGTTCCATGGATTTCTGATAAACTGTGAAGTAGGCTTCTGCTGCTTCGAGGGAGACCAAGCCGCTGCTGACCAAATCTGGCTTGTTTTTTGATTGCGTTCCTTGCTCGGTAAACGTGAGGCTGATGATCGATGATCCCGGGAAAGATCCCAGACTGCACGAAAGATTGAGGGTGACATCGCTGGTGTTCTCGGATGCTTGGGTAGTTAGAGTAGCAACACTGTTGCTGAGTTCTATGGGACTATCTGGTGCTGGTGATGTCCGATAAGGGGCTGATGTTGAGATCGCCAAGTTGTCTCGGTGGTTCGTGTTGAGAGTGAGTGCATCCTCAAGCTTTCTCAACCTCTCCTCCATCTCCTCTTTCCATCTGAGTTGATTGTCAGTTTGATATGTGTCGCAGCAAAGATTAAAGTCTCACCCTGCGTCACTTTCCAACAGCATCTGGAGACTCTTGTTTACGGTACAGGGTAGACCACGTGATTTGCAACGACTGCACGGCGGATTGCCATTGAGGTGACATTTTATCTATCGTGGACGTCAATACGGAGCCTTCTAAGCTTTCGTCTTGATTACCTTCTGTTTACGACAAGCCACACAAGCAGTAATCTTTCGGGAGATATCCGGCGGCTTCCTGTCGCCAAAGGAGTCTCTCAGAGACAAGGCAGCCGACGATGTAGCCATGAGGAGATATTAAAGGTGTTATGAACAGCTAGAATTGGACGTGTAAGACTTAGACTGATAGAAATGCTCAAGAAGAACTCAGCAAGCGGACTGCCACAAATACCTAGGTATGGACCACACTTACCACGTGCTGATCTTCGTTGAAAGGTCAGCTGACCGGCACGAAGCCCGAACTTTCACACATCAGCCAGGAGTTCTTAATCCCTTACTCATTGCATGGCTTCATTCGGACAATCAAGAAACGTTCAAAAAGGATCCAAACTTATCACTCTTTGGGGTATTTCACCAAGAACCTTAAAACGCAAGCTAGACCATTATTGGCTTAGTCCCTAGGCGTGGTTAGGTTGACGATTTATTCTGTATCTCTCTTCTCTTTTCCTGTCCAAACTTCTGTCAAAAACTACACATCCTCTTCTAGTCAAGATGCCTACTCTCGTCACCATCCCAAGAGAAATCCGAGATGAAATATACTCTCTGACCCTCGCTGCTCCTTTGCCAGCCTTGCCCACTCGTGACCGTACCCGCCTCAGCTACCCCTCATCAGACTCCGACGAGACCTACTTTGGAGAGAATTGCGTTCGTTTTCCGCATCAGACACCTCTCCCACCGTCCCATGGGCTCCTTCACACCTCTAGGCGTCTACGTTATGAGCTCCTCGACGCCATCAAAAGGCTCGGCTGTATTCGTTACAAGGTTGATATAGCTGACCGAAAGAATACGGGAGTTCTGGTCCCGACTTGGCTGTCTGTACCGTGTCTGCCTTGTTTCGTGGACAAGATCGATGTTCTGGAAGTGAACTGGCGACCCCGTTTTTTGAAAACAACCAGCGTTGCGAGCTTCAATGGAGACGATGACCGAGAAGACGTGTATTGGAACAGGTTCAGTGGCTCGTTGTCAATGCTGCAACGATTCGTTGAGCGAGGAGTGTATCTCCTGTCTAAAAAGAAAAGGCAAAAGACCCACATTGGGTGTCTAGAAATTCGAATGAATTATCCCCCTGAAGAGAGAGTGGAGGACGTGGACGAGATATGTGACTTCATAAATGCCTGGATGACCACCGAGCATGGCGAGATCGCATGGGAAGATGAGTCTTGGGAAAAAGAGGATGAACAGTTTAGGCTACTTGCTGAGAAGATTGACAGGGTCACACTCCTTGCCAATGGAGCACTCAAGCGTGAGTGGGTGATGAGTGAAATGCTCGTGAAGAGGAACGAAGCGGAAGCTCTTCGACGCGAGAGAGCGGAAAACCCGGTTGAAGAGCAGGAAATTTGAACGACAACACATTTCTTTGATTAAGGAAGTCTAGGATGCAGGGACCCTCGGATATAGGACGTCGCGGATGTGGGAGAGATGTGGGAATTCTATGCGTGCTGAGCTGGCTTCGCGACACCGAAGTCCACTTCGCAGCCATGATCTGGTTTTCTATGCTGCTGTTGTTTTCTGAGCGAAACTTAATGGCCAATTTGAAAGTGTGTCAACGATGTCAAGCTCTTCAGCCTCGTCCAAGTTTTTTTTCGCGCTTTAAAATATTCACTGGCTCTATTCATGCTGTTCCGTTCGAATGCTTTCCAAGATTCTGTCATCTTTCAGTTGGTAATGAAGCATCGCAGTGCATGCGCCGATCTGTTCATCGTATCAAAGTGACCAGCATACGTATAGCAAGCTGAAGTTCCGACCCTGAGCGCGAAGTCGTGTCAACTGGCCAGTTCAAAGATGTGGGATGAAGGTTACACTCGATTGTTAATCTTTTCGTCTAGATGGGCAAGGAAATGTGAAATATAAAAGATTGTTCCAGCAGTAGCCTGGAGGATACAAAATTTCTGGCTTTCGCGAGTCGCTGCGAGACGCAGCCAGCCATCTCTGCCAGGCTTCTTGCCGAAGCGCGAAGGCCGACGAAGGATTAGTTATTGCGGTTCGACTCAACCAATTGCTCTTGGTCTTGCTCGCCAATCTGCCTCGGCCTCGGGCTATGAGGCTCTAAGCAAATAATACATTGAAGTTCGTGTATCACGGCCCAATGAGAATACAGCTGGTGTTGCTGCGCTTTGGGGGCTGCGATCCCGCTGGCCGAATATGCGACCAAAATCTTCAGAACCAATGAGTTTTCTAAGCACCTCGTTGAAACCCACGGAGAACACTGTTGCAAATTTCCGTCCTGTGGCTGTACTCGTTCTGTTACATCAATTATCAAATAACGTGTCTTTCAGGGACAAAATCGGCCTGGAATCCTCCCGTAGATCTCAATGCAAATGGGTGGCGTCCGTTTCCCCAAATCCAACTGGATTCTCACACATCACTAAGATCGTCTGAACTTCATCACTTTCTTCGATTCGATCTTGAATAATATGTACATTTACTTACGCCTTACATCACAAAGGTCCCTCTCATCATGATCCGACTTTCGACATTTTTCATCGTCGGCTCAATCTTGGTCATCTGGGACCAAGCTGCAGCATCCGCTGCCTCATTCTTACCTCAAAACTTCGTCTCTTGGCTCTGGCAAAGCTGTGAGAACTTCATAATTTGGTCCAAAATATACAGATGCTAACTCTTATCAGCAATCGTTGTAGACAAATGGCTGTACGTTGATGGTGGCGAAATCTGGGCGCGATGGGACAACGCCTCAGCTAATCCGAGTGGAGTTTGGAGTACTGACCCCTTCCTGATGTTGGCACAGAATACATCAACACTAATACTAACGTGCGAACAGACTATCAGACCCTCGCGATTGATCTCTCCCAAGACTGGAACATATCAACACTCTCATCCCCCCACGTTGTAGCAACCAATAAATCCACCGCGATTTCCCCAACTAGAAGACCAGATCTCTTCTTCTCTCCTTACGACGATACGACGTACGCTTTAGGAGGATTTATGTATTCCTGGGAGGGCGGCGGCTCAAATAACAGCGTCCCTGTTCAACTCTGGGGCTTTCATCCAGAGAACAACACTGGGTCTGTTGCTTGGGAGTTGCAAGAAGTTGGGCCAACTGCCGCGTTTCCACTGAATGAACTTATGGCTGGAACGTTGACGGCTAGCTCGGGGAATGCTCATTATGCACTGGGTGGGCAGACAAACGAGGATGGAACAGGACGAGACGACTTTCTCATTTACAATTATGGGAATGGAAGTTGGATGAATCAGACGTTGCCAGGAAAGTTTTATACCTGGGGAGGCGGCCATTTCATCCCTGCATTTGGCGAACAAGGTGTTGTCATATTCTTTGGTGGTTTATGGCCGTCAAATTCGGCGGGAAGTGGTGATGCCAGCACAGCTGCCGGGTTCGATACGGTGCTTGTGTATGATGTACAGACGAACACTTTCTTCAATCCCCAGCAGACTACTAGTTCGACCGGCAGTGCTGTACTCAACCGCTATGACTTTTGCTCTGTAGGTGCAGGTAACGGGTCTGGGAACTCTTCCTACGAAATGTAAAAATGAGTTGTCGTTCGGTGAAAGGAGATCAGTCTGCTGACACTTCAACACAGATTCGTCTTCGGGGGCACGACCGGCAGCACACCTACTTCAGACACAGCCACTGCACTCGCGAAGGTCTACATCCTCACTCTCCCCGCCTTCCACTGGATCGAAGCCCCTGCCGCAGCCCCCATCTGGCGAGCAGATCACACATGCTCCGTGATCGGAAACAGGCAAATGATATCTATCGGAGGCTACCAAGATCCAATGACTTTGCAAGATCAACCGACCGATGTGTGGGCGAATGGAATGGGGATTTTCGACATGACAGACTTAACTTGGACTGAAGCTTATGACTCCTCTGCTGCTGCGTATCAACCTTCGACTCTGGTCACGCAATACTACAGTGGTAGTGGGAGGTATCCGGCAAGTTGGGTAGATCCCAAACTCGCTGATATCTTTGAAAAGTCGACTTCTTCGAGTACTGCAACTCCTAGCACCTCACATACGTCGACCCCGAACCCGAAGAAAAGCAACGCAGGAGTAATAGCAGGCGGTACAGTGGGTGGCGTAGCTGTTCTAGCATTTATTATAGGCCTCGTCGTTTGGTATACGAGACGGAAGAGGAATTTCCGTTCTCATGAGCTAGGCGCATATCAACCTCCTCCAGAAGTGGGCAGCAGAGGCAAGGAGGCTTCCGAGTTGGATGTGGGCAACACTACTTCCGAGTTGTCGGGCGCGGAGAGGCAAAGACACGAACTCGACGTGGAGACCAGACGGAAAACGATGCCAGTGGAGCTAGGTACATAGCAATGGGATACATTCTGACGCATCACCTATCTTCAATACGAATTCGAAAGCGGTTTTCAGTCTTGCGAGAACGGATGGACAACAATTTGCGCCGAGATGGAATATTCGCGAGTTTCTCGTGTAGGTCAAGAATTTGGTGGGCTGAAAAAAAGGGGACAGAAAGAAGGCTTGCTTGATCCTGGTTCATCCCCATCCTTGACAACTTTCCAGACCCAGCATATCTGAACTCTCAGCAGACATCCTGAAAGAAGACTAATAGGAGTAATTCCATGCACTTACACTTGCATCCCATCTACTACCCGTAGAGGAATCTAGCATGCAAGAAAGATAAACTTCTGCATACAGGCAACCCTCGGTTACAGATTTGCTTGTGCCAAGCTCAAACATTCAAGACTTGATATGAACTCAGATCCATTTATATCAATCGCATGCTGACGACAAGAAGGGAGTGGCAGCATTTCCTAGCAGGAATCATAACACATGTCTCTATCTTGTCACGCATGATTTGTCGACCTTTGCATTGCCCGCGCATTGTGCCACGACGGCAGCATCTCGTTATTACATACTCGACTACGAACACGAAAACGAGGACAATACCGAACCCTAAACTTACTCAAACAGGAATTTGCGGGGCGAGCCTCGCATGCTTCTATCCGTGCAGATCTCAAGGGACCTGACGCGGTCTGGTTGGCCAGTCTCCATCTCCATGGGGCCATTAGCCGAACTTTCACACCGGTAGTCTTTGGCGGGCCGCCGGCTCTTCAAGGGTGACGACTATCTCCTCGAATTCGATTGGATGCGATGCGATGCGATCATATGTTCTTTGCTAGTCCTTGAGGTCTGAAGTTCTCCACGAGATCGACGTGGCAGTTTGCATAAAGCCAAGTGCGAACTTGAAACCGGCCGTTGGGGAGTTGTGCAAGTTGTGCAAGAATGGGAAGTTTCCCATCTGTTAAATATTGTGATAATCCCCTTCACAAGAAGATTATGGATCATAGAACTACAATGGCTTCAAATAATTTCACTCAACGCGCAAGTGATTTGTTCACGGATGCACCGACAGTGTCTCGAGATGGCGTTTGGGCGTCCCTGGCTGCGGTGGTTGGCATGTGCTACCTGATATCTTTCTTCTTCCAGAGATCTTCCAATCTCCCATCGATTAATTACGACAAGTCCCAATGGACATACTTTCCGGCCAAGTCAAAGTTTAGGACGCATGCTAAGAAACTCATCGCCCAAGGATTTCAGAAGGTTCTCTCACCAACCTTGAACCCATCGACTTGGCACTAACTCTCGCTTAGTTTTCTGGCCCCTTCAACCTCATAACGGATCTTGGTCCTCTTGTCATGCTTCCTCCAGAATATATAGATGCAGTCAATCAGGAACGCAAGTTGGATTTTACTCAGTATACCGCACAGGTCAGTCATCCGAAGCTTCTTTCGTAGCTTGTCAGCGAGACAAAAGTTTACTCAACCATATTCACAGGATCTTCTTTCAAAGTATGATACATTCAAAAGCTTCCGTGGAACGGCCCCTGGCCTCATCGAAGAAGCTGTCATGAAGGGCTTGACTCGAAGTCTGCGTGAGTATCATTGTCACGTGGGATGTCCAGAATCACTCTTTGCTGACGTTTTTCTCTCACAGCAAAGTTTACGAAAGTACTCTCTGAAGAGATGACAAGATGTTTGAGTGAATCATGGGTAGAGTCTACGGGTAAGTCATGAAACACAAAAATCACAATAGAGCGAGAACTGAATGCTTCATCAACAGAGTGGCATGAAGTTGATTTGAGAGAAGACGTGCTTAACTGGGTTGCACGTCTCTCCTCACGCATCTTCAATGGAGATCCACTCACCACCAACAGCGAGTGGATCCGCATTTCGAAAGAATTCACAGTCAACATCTTCACCGCAGTTGCGATCTGTAAAATGATCCCCTATCCTCTCCGCTGGTTTGCGGAAAGAACACTCCCTGTTTGCCGCAGAGTCCGAGCAGATCGCAGAGCAGGTGCGAAAATGCTGGCCCCAATTATCGCAGAACGAAAAGCAGAAATAGCCGCCGCTCAACGTGAAGGACGAGCACCAGTCCTACCCGATGATTCTATAGAGTGGCTTCGAAATGCTGCAAAGAGTCGAAAATATGACGATGTCCTTTTACAACTAGGTTTGTCAATGGCAGCTATCCACACAACAAGTGATCTCTTAGGCCAAGCACTGTTGAACCTTGGTGCGCATCCAGAAATGATTGAGCCTCTTCGCACTGAGGCTGTCGAAGTTTTGAGAGCCCACGGATGGAGCAAAGTGGCTTTGACCGAACTTCGCATTATGGACAGTTTCTTCAAGGAGACGCAACGTCTCAAGCCTATCAATATGGGTAGATATTTCCAACCTTGAAACAAAGTCTAAGCTGACAAAATGTTGTAGCGTCGATGCATCGCCTCGCGACAGCTGATGTGGAGCTTCCCAATGGAGTCAAGATTCGCAAGGGCGAGAAAATAGCCATTTCGTCCCATCGTATGTGGTCTGAGGCCGACTACGAGGACCCTGAGACATTTGATGGGTACCGCTTCGTGAAGCGCCGCAAGGTCCCGGGCTTGGAACACAAGAGTCACCTCATCTCAACAAGTCATGAACATACTGCGTTCTCCCACGGAAAGCACGCATGCCCTGGACGCTTCTTTGCTGCGAATGAGGTTAAGATTGCTATGGTGCACTTACTTTTGAAATATGACATGAGGCTGGAAGAGCCGAAGGACGCGGGTTGGCTGGAGTATGGAACTAACATGTTCACAAATCCCAAGGCGAGGATGAGCGTGAGGAGAAGGAAAGAGGAGATTGATTTGGATGGTATGCGATAAAGGAACTGGTATGTCTTTGTAATGGAAGGGTATAAATATCTATATCTGCAATGATGCTTTCACAATATTGAGGCTTCTCATTCAATAGGTAGCAACTCGAAGCTTAGCTGTGAGACAAGGTGGATCGAGAGAAAGCCTCTCGGCCGAACGTGGTACTGCAATAAGGACTAGCCATTCCTACAATACTCCGTTGCGAGACCTCAATTTCCAACACGCAGGACCTTCGGACAGAACTCCTTTATGCCCAATTGTCTCAACCGGTACAGTACACCACGCGTCGTTTCGTATCTGATCCGTCCACAAGTTATCTAAATTTCGACGATGCGATCTAATCTAACATAAAATTGTACACACACAGAGAATCTCAATGGGTTTGCATAAGACTTTTGTTTCGACAACTACGTATTGATGAGCCACGATGGCCACCGCCTTTCGGGAGAGGACGTGGCTTTCCAAAACAAACTAACCAAGCGAAGCGACCGGTGATCTGAGGGACTCGCGAATTCTTTCTTCACGAGCAACCCCACCTTCGTGAGGTCAAGGATCACTCTGACCACAAAATGATCTTAGAAGAGGCATTCAAGCCGATTTTCCGTCCGATATCCACGAGAGTGCGTAATGTCCCAGCATCAACTATCCGATACGATATTTGCCTGAGAAACATAAGGTTCGAAACAATCCTCGTTCGACGCTCCACACCTGATTGGTCTGATGTTGGCCATGATCCCACTCTCCCTGTTGGCGATCATACAGGCATTCGCACTCTTGAGATCTGTACCTCCTTCGCAACCACACGTGCTAAGCTTTTTGAGCCTCACGCCGAACCCCTGATACATCACCATTGAGCATGGCTTCAAACTTCGAGGTCGACGTTCGTCTGTTAGTTCAGACAGAAGCAATTTCCTGGCTACTCCGCTTCGTCTCAAGCTGTGACCTGCACCCAAGCGTCGTTGTTGGAGCAAGCTTTTGCGAAGTCCGAAGTTCGAGATGAGTGGAATGCTGGGGGTGTTTTCGACAGTTCAGATGGAAGCCAGACGACTCGCAGCAGATATAATGCTATCAAACCTCACCAGATTCCTCTCTCTATCGTTTCTATTCAGCATCAGCATTCAGTCTTCTCTTCTATCTACATTCTCTTCAGCTTGATTTCGGTTGATCCGTCACCTTCTTTTATACTTCACATTCCTTCCACAACATTTATTGCCTCTTTTTCACTCTCTTTCCAAACAACCTCAATTTCTCTCACAAGAAAACTACCTCATCATCAAACATTACCCAAAATGTTTACTCAAGCATTCCTCCTCGCTCTTGCAGCCGCTTCGGTGGTCAACGCCCATGGCAGGATGGACGTCCTCACTGGTGATCTCGGCGGAAACGGCACTGCTTTGGGAGTAAAAGGTGCAGTGATCCCAGGTGGTGGAGCCAACTACGAGACCGAGCCAGACACCACCATTTTCTGGTCCAAGGATATCGCAACCGATGATGATGATGGATTTACCGACAGCTCCAATGGAAATCTCTCCCCCAGCAAAGATTTGGCCGCTGCCATGGCTCTTTCCGGCAGCACTCTTCCTCAGGTATGCGTTCCCTGGTTCTTTCATCTTTATGATTTTCCAATACTAACATCGAAATCTCAAGGTCAGCGACGGCGGGTCTATCACCGGCAACTGGCACGTCGTTACTGATGATGGCTGCGGCCCTCTCCAAGCCCTCATCGATTCGACCGCCAGTTCAGCCTGGTCCACGGCCGCAGACGCAACAGTGACTACCGACATGCCAGGCGATGCCGGCAACTGCGTCGACTTGGACTCAGGCGATGACGAGACTGTAGAAGCAGAGAACGAAACGATCTCCTCCCGTGCACGCCGCGCCCTGGTTAAGATGGGTCTCATGAAGCGCGCCAAGAACGTCAATAAGTCCTTTGTAAGCTGCACTTATTCCGAAGATCTACAACTCGACTAACATCTTACCAGTCCTTCAAAGTTGCCGTTCCCGCAGGCACCTCCTGCACGGGAACCGTTAACGGTATCTCCAACCTCTGCCAAGTCAAGGTCTCCAACAACAACGCCAATGGACCCTTCGGCGGCACCTTCCTCGTGCAGATGGGATCCAATTCTACTTCCAAGCGCCTCACGCGGTCTGCCAAGTTCCTTGCTTAGATGCAAGAACTTGACGCAACCTTGCGCGCTTGCATCCTGGAGATTGATGAGCGGGGAGAGGAAATTGCGGGATGGTGGGGTATCTCTTGGTTAGAAGCGAGCTGGTTGCTATTGTATAGTATATTCTTGGTCTGGAAATGTATATACAGAATCAATGTTATGCTGATTGCTGGATTGTGTCGTTTTTGACTACGTTCACTTGCGTCTGGAGAAAGTGAAGATAGGCGGCTCAGCTCGCTAAAGATCTTGGCGAAGCCTTATTCTGATTCAGTAGGCAAGTCTCGCTACGTCCTGTGGACAAGCCCCCTATTTGAAATTACAACAGAAATCGAAGGCGTGGTAAGCATAAACAAGTTTCTCCCCAGCACAGAGAAGAATGGGAAAATCAGGTATTTATTCTTGTTCCTAGCTTCTTGGTATATCCATCAGCAGCAGTCCTGAGACCTCGAGCCAAGCCCCTGTAAACTCCTGCTTTTAAATTGCCAATATCTCCACGCAGTGCCGCTTGTCAAGTGAACACTCAAATCTCATTCGCGGAATGAACATACAGATCAAGTATAGAGATATGACGGTTGAGCTGAGTGCCCGAATGAGATGCAAAGGCGTGTATTGTCTAGCTAATTGTAGTCTATTCCTATATCCGAGCTAAAATCCAACAACACGTCGAAAGCAAAATGTTTATGTAATTGTGAGTCTGAATAATCACAATCCAACGCATTTTCAAATCGGTTCGTCTCGTGGCTCAATCATGATCTCATTCACCGCAACGTGCTGCGGCTGTTTGAGAGCATACACAATCGAATTCGCAACATCTTCAGCGTCAAGAACCTTCGCTCCCGATGGCTCTCCATACTTCTTAATGGCTTCCGCATCCGTGGACATTGCCAGTAATTCTGTGGAAACGTTTCCAGGCTGCAAGCTGGTGACTCGGAGACCAGTCCCGGCGGTCTCTACGCGCAAGGCTTGCAGTGTTGCTTCGACAAAGAACTTACTGGCGGAATACACACCCAAGCCTGGGAATACTTTTCGTCCTGCGTCGGACGAAATAGCGACGATGTGGCCGCGACCTCGAGAAAGCATTCCGGGGACGGTCGAGGATAGGCAGTGAAGCAAGCCTTTGCAGTTTACATCAACAGTGCGTTCCCATTCGTCTGTTTGCACGTTCGCCATCATGGTGAAATACATAACTCCAGCGCACGAAACGAGGATATCGACGGGACCGAGAGCTCCTTCGGTGGCATGAATAAGTGACTCAACTTGCTCTTTCTTGGTAACGTCTGTTTGATGGACAATTACTTTACCACCATGGATTTCGAGTCTCTTCTTGAGCGACTCGAGAGCTTCAGTGCGACGAGCAGCGAGTGCAACATGAGCACCTTCCTTGACCAGAGCAGCAGCGGTTGCAGCACCGATCCCAGAAGAAGCACCAGTCACAACAGCGACGAGTCCACTCAAAGCCCCCTCCTTTGATCGTGTCACAAATCCATTACATTGATGCAAACGTAATGGCGGACGTGGAAGCCATCCTCTCGCGAACCAGTTACGGGCATAAATTTCGAGCAACTTGCTGTCAATGTTCGGACATTGCAGATCGCCAAGAATAAGCTTTGTTGCTTCGTTGTTGAGGATTGTAATATCTTTCAAGAAATCTACGGACGGCATTCCACCACGAAGAATATCGGCCGTAAATGCGCCAGTCCCTCTCTTTGCCGAGCCTCGTTTCTCGGTCCAGAGCGAAACCCACTTGTCCCATTCGAGTCGCTGGGTCGGATACCCGAGCTTGTTGAGATCATCAAACAATGATTGAGTGTCAACTGGATCAGGGTCGCCAAGGTGGAACACACGTTGCTTTGTTTCAATATTATTCGCAGTTCTAATGATGGCCTTGCTGACAAAATCCACGGGGGTCATTTCGGCACGCCACCCTAAGATGTCGGGAGCATACCCGATGTGCAGAGCTTCAACGATGATGGCGGTGAAGAGGTCATAGGCATTGGTCGATCCTGAAGTGCTGTGTCCGCTGATCGTTCCTGCTCTTAGAATTCTCACTGGCATACCACGGCGGCCTGCTTCATGGACAAGTTCTTCAGCAACATATTTCGTCTGGCCATATCCATCAACCAACTTTTCGGGAACATCATCGATAGAGATTATAGAGCTTTCAGGCCATGACGAAGTTGAGGGTGGCAAAACTCCATTCGTAGATATGTATTGTAATGTGGCGCCGCTCTGGCTTGCGAGGCGCAAGATTTCTCTTGTGCCACCCACATTGGCATTCTGCAAAGCAGCATAAGGATAGACGAGGTTGACAGTGGCTCCCGCATGGACAATGACTTGGATCTCACCAGCGACTTGTTTATAGACATCTGGAGGAAACCCAAGCCGTTCTTGTGAAAGGTTCCCTGGGAGGACAGAAATTCGATCCAGGATCGAATCATGCCATAGACCTAGATCAAGCAAGCTCTTGCGTATTCTTGCAACACCAGCAGGCGCGTCATCGTCTGTGGGGTCGTTGAATCGTACGAGGCACAAGATACGGGCGGATGTTGATTGAAGAAGATCGTGAAGCAGAAAGGCACCCAGGAATCCCGTAGCGCCTGTCAACAAAACACTCTCGGCCGTGCTAAGCGAGCACATAGAGGCACCGGAAGGCTGGATGTCATCAGGAAGAATAGAGTCCGCGCGTAATACAGCTGGCAAATCTGCTTGCACAGCCGCAGTATGGCCATCTCGAATAGAACGAACAACTTCCAGGTGACCCTCCAGTGTTGGATTTACAACAAGTCGCGTGACCGGTACTGTAAAACCAAATGTCCTCGTCAGTTTGCTGGCAAGATCGGCGAATGTCAATGAGTGTCCTCCCAGATCGAAAAAACTGTGCTCCTTCGTCACAGAGCTGAATGGAACATTGAGAGATGTCGCCCAAGTTTCCGCAATAGCATCGATGCTAATGCTGGTATCACGCTCTGTCTTGGTGTGGTTGAAGATGGTAGAAATGGAAACAACAGGAGGTGGTAAGCGTTTCAGATCAGCTTTCCCAGAGACTCGATTCGTGGGCAATTCGTCGAGTTCTACCCAGAGAGCAGGTATCATGTACTGTGCAAGTGCTTTTGATAGGGTTCGTCGTGCTACCAAGCTGTACCCGGCTTCATCAACTATGGGAATGGCTCTGTCTGCTGGATCCTCCTTGTCGCGCACAATATATGCAACTAGCTGTCGGTCGAGACCTTCACCATGAGCTATTACTGCACACTGCTTGACAGCAAGGTGCTCGATAATGGCATTCTCGACTTTCCCAGGCACGACAGAGTATCCTCTCACCTAATCCCAAAATTTCGGAGTCAGCATACGTTATGAAACAAGGGACAAGCAAAGGATTTCAGACGTAGGGTAGGATTGAGCTATGTTGCTTCGTGGGGTGCTTTACCTTGATCATAGCTCCAACACGACCAGTGATCTCCAGAATTCCGGATGGGAGCATTCGTGCCAGATCTCCAGTTCTGTACATGCGAGATCCAGGTGTGGGATCGTACGGGTTGGGTATGAAAGCTTCAGCAGTAGTATCAGGGAGGTTGAGGTAACCACGAGCAAGCAGATTTCCTCCAACAAACAACTCTCCAGGGACACCAACATCGACCTTTTGACCACTCTCATTCAGAATATAGGTATGCTTTGGCTCCATGGGTGGCCCAACAGGACAGTAAGGAGCGTCATTATCTATTATGTCGCGAATGTCTCCACACGCAATCTCGTGCGTCTCACTGGCACTGTAGCAATTAAGCAACCGTGTGTTCGGCAGAGCTTTCATTGCTCGGCGGGCTAGATCCGTAGTCACCACCTCGCCATTGAACCACAAAGTACGAAGGTCTGGGATATCAGCTTGAATATCTGAATGCCTGGAAAGAACTGCCGCGAGAAGTGTGGGCGTCATGAGGGTTTCAGTCACGTGTCGGCGTGAAAGTAGATCCACAAGTGCAACAGGATCGTAGCTTGCCTCGTCCGGGACGCAAACCACGGTGGCTCCTCTTAGCAATGGTCTGAGCATCTCCCAAACGAAAAACACATTGCAAGCAACGCGATCCCCGGGAGAGAGATCGCTGAGGCGAAATCTCAAGTCATAGGAGAGGACCGGTGCCATATGTGGATTTGCAATGCCTTTCTGTTTCACATATTAGCTGGGGTATTTCTCAAGTATGATGGAGCTCAAGAGTCGCAGCTGCAAAAATTCACGGACATAAATCCTTGGCAAAAAAGGATTTGGCGTTACTCGAGGATGTTCGTTCACACTCGGTCTGCCGTCATCCTTGCTAAGTGTCCCGAAAGTTCATATCCAGCAAGTTACTTGAACCGTCTAAGGCATTACCTTGATCTTAGAAACAATACCTGAAATACTTGAAACGAAAGGTCCACAAGAAAGAAAAGACAGGAATGTGAGAGAATGCTTACCGGGCGACCTGTCGTTCCTGAGGAGTATGACACAAAAGCCAGCCGCTTTAGGTCGTCTTCAGCAGGCAAAGGGGGAGCTTTTTTTACAGACTCTTTCGGCTTGTAAGAGCCCACCTCCTGTCCATCGAGGATAATAAGGGGTATTTCTGCGTTGATCTGATTGGCCTGAGAAGTATTCGTGATTACAACTGTCGGCTTGGCATCATCAATAACATCTGCTAGGAGATTGGGTGGGTATGCCAATTCGAGAACGAGAAATGCTCCTCCAGCACGGAGTGCAGCGAGACAAGCGATCACATAATTTGCGCTTCGTCCTAAAAGCACTCCGACGAGGTTGTCACGGCCGACTCCATGATCGCGGAGACGCTTCGCAAGAACCGTAACTCTTTCGTCCAGTGCGGCATATGTCAACGTCGTAGATTCGTCTTCGAGAGCAATAGCATTCGGCGTTGCCCGCATCTGTTGGGCAACAAGTGCCGATAAGTCCTTCGTGATGTCAATGACTGGCGTTTGTTTTGATCTTGCCGATTCGTGAGTTGCTTCACCGCCATTGAGAAGTGAAGATTTTGATCCTGCTGTTGGACCTTCGGATGGACTTCCATCTGATGTTCTATTTCCGTCGCTAATTAAGCTTTGGTTTTTATCAGTTGAGGTTTCCTCACCATCACCAATGCCGGTTTCGGAGTGCATCTTGAGATGGTGAAATAGAAGGAGATTCGTGAAAGCGGGTTGCAGGGGGAAAGGCAAAATAATATCTATCGAATTTCCATGCAGACAAATATACCTGTCAACGAGTTGAACGAGCCCCCGATAACACTTGAGCGGTTTGTTGAGGTTGCGCGATTATCTCAAGAAGTGGGTATGGTGATGTAATTCTAGAACGCGCCAGGGAAATAGAATTTTCCAAAAAAGCAAATACGGTTAGCTCAACATGTGACATGTTTAAACTTGATTTTTCGATAACAGGAGAACCTTATTGAAGTCTGAAATCAGAACATTCATTCAACATGAATTCGGCTCTTTCAAAAACAGGGGATCTAGCCTGACTGTATAATATGCTCTTCCACGTGATAAAAAAAGGGGCAAATCGCTTACCGCAAGCGAGAACTGAATCGAATCGCCAGACTTTTCAGGAGGGATCGATGAACTGAGCAGAGGATGTTTTTTCGTAAATCAAGGCTCAGTAGATAATACGGTACGCATGATTGGGTGGGAAAATGGGCTTGCCAATTAAATTTTGTGTAATTATAGCATGCTGGAAAAAATCGGAGAGAGATGAGAAAGAGGAAAAGTAAGACTCCAATTGACCAATAGGCAAGGATGTAGCAGGCTAACAAGCACAGAAATCGTTTCTTCATATTTTGTGTAGCGTCCCTGCCTAACCAGGAATCTAAGACTTTACGAAAACCTCTAATTTACTCGAAAGCATGCCTGACCTTTGAGATAGTGTCGTCAACAAGTAACTTTCCTAGACTTAGATGTCTAGGATATTGTCAGCATTGATTGCGAAAGGAGTAGCAGTGTTTGAAACATACCCTGTTTTAAGAGTCAGTTTCGACTGTCTAATTCACGTAAGGAGCGAAGTACGTACCACTCAGAGCAAGAAGAGAATGCGTCGAACCCTCGTAAGTTTTTATCTCAACTTCAACACCAAGCCCCTTCAGCTGTTCACCGAAAGCAACCGCTTCAGGCGCAAGCAGATCATGTTCTGATACAGCTATCCACGTTTTTGGAGATGTTTTCAAGATCTCAGATGGAGCCAAGTTCGGCGAGGCATCCCAACTGAGACAGTCTTTCTCGTTTGGGAGATGCATTTTGCGGTACCACATCATGCGCGACGGTGTGAGCCATGGTGGGTGAGGTTTCGATGCCCAGTAAGGGGTAGAAGCTGTTTGCGTATTATCAATAACTGGAAGGATAAGCGCTTGGAACTTGATAGGAATTGATGGCTGAAGAAGCGCGGCTTTCATTGATGCAATGGCTGCGAGATTTCCACCTCTGGTTGATTACGTGATCAGTTTCAGTGGACAGCTTAGCAAAGACGAGCCAGATATTTACGCAGGTGTACCGCCGATAGTCAGTTGACTCCTGTCAATGTTGAGTCTCGTGCTTTTTGAGCTTGCTAACCACTCCAGAGCTTCCATCACATCGTTGACCGCTGCTGGGTACGGATCTTCGGGGGCATGTCGATAGTTGACATTGATGGCCATACAAGAGGCGCCTGCACAAAAGATGAGCAACTTTGCAACAGAGTTCGTTCAGAATCATTGTACCTTCAGCAACACGAGAGCAGAACCCATTATCACTATCAAGGTTGCCTAGCGTCCAACCCCCTAAGCAAGATCAGACGGTCGAAAATTTGACTGCTTGTTGTGAGTTATACCACCATGTAACCAAACAAAAACACCCCACCCATTCGTGGGCGCAGCACACTTGGTGTGAATATTCGCAACTGAGCATGCTTCAAAAGGACATCTTCAATCTTCCCCACCTCAACAGCATTCAATGCAGCCAGTTTTGATGGCGACCATGCAGTGCGAACAGCCGGGTCCCATGGAGTTGTTTCGGAAGGAAGAATATATTGAAAGTGCTCATCGTGGAAAGCAACATATTCCGGATCGAGATGTGGTCTCAGATCGGGATGGATTGGTTGATGAATAACGCGAGAGGATGGCATATTGACGGAAACCTTAACAACTTTTCAGAAAATCGATTGTACTAATGTCAAGAACCCAAGCTCCATAGCTTACGACTTTCTTCAGCAAATCAAGACTTATCGTTGAGCTGAACGCTTTGTTTCGAGCCAAGATATCGATAATGGACGCCAGCTTCGGCAAGCTTGCCGGCGTTCGGCAAACAATCCGTCTCAAAGGTGGGATTTCCCCATCACATCCCGAGAACGGGGGCAACATTAAGGAAGGATGCCTCAAAAGATAAGAGCTGTGTATAGAAATAAAGAAAACGAAAAGTGTGAGAAACCTTTTCGCACACATCTACAGCGAGAAAACTAGTATACGCCGCAATGGCCACTCCAGACGCAACATCGGCAAGTTACCAAAGATCCGGATTCTCCCAGAAGATGGGATGGGGAACTCGACCAGCACTCGTTTTGGTAGATGTCTGCAAAGCATATTGGTCTGAGGGATCTCCCCTCGATACAAGCTCCAACCCCGAGAGCGTGGCTGCCCCTGATTCCATGCGCAAGCTTGTTGCTGCAGCTCGTTCAGCGAAAGTTCCCGTGATCTGGACCAAAGTGTACTATGATCGAGAAGATATGGCCGATGCTGGACTGATGTATAAGAAAGCGAAAGTCCTCACCGTCTGGCAGAAAGGTGACACGAGAGGCTTCGATGGATACGTGGATGGACTCGTGCCCGAACCACAAGACACGATCGTGACGAAGAAGATGCCGAGCGCCTTCTTTGGGACGACACTTGCAGCAGATCTTCATCTCCTCAATGTCGATACTCTGGTCATCTGTGGTGTGAGTACAAGTGGTTGTGTTCGGGCAACGACATTGGACGCCATGCAAAATGGCTTTAGACCAATGGTGAGCTGCGAATCTGTCTCATAGTCCGCGCTAACTAACATATAAGCCAGGTCGTAGGAGAAGCTTGCGGAGACAGAACGCCGGAGATCCAAAGAACTAACTTGTTCGATTTGAATGCAAAATATGCAGATGTGGTTTCGGAAGGGGAGGCGGTTGAAAAGTTGACGGCTGGATGGAGTTAGTGGAACATTGAGCAAGCACGTGACTCTTGATGATCCGTGTTTGCATAACAAGTATTACATTCGTCAATCGCCAGTATATGATCTGATTATTAATTGTCTACCAAGAAAGACGGACTGTAATCCCATACTCGCCTGTTCCGTTTTGGTCTCTGGGCGTGAGCAGCTGCTGCCTTAACCTGAGCTAAGGGTGAGCAGAGCTTGAGCTAGTGAGAGATGTGACTAGGATACATCTATGGATTGGCCCAGTTATCTTTCATAGGACATAGTACTGTGCCGTTAGATTTATCAACATCTTAGTTCGCGGGTACCTGACAGACTGATATAGAGATAAAGCCTTAGAAGCGTTTACGGCAATCGATCTACGTAACATTTATTATTTCCGCATGAATTATTTCGCATCGGATAAATTAGCACTCAAGGTCCCAAGGAAGTATTCTTTCTCATTGGCGGGATCTAAGTTTCCACGTGTTCATGTGTTTGACCGCAATACCGGTGTACATATTTGGGAAGAGATGCCGCAGCTGGATGAGCCGAGTCGAATTCTTTCAGAGGGTGATGAAGGAATGAGGGTCCACCAGGTCGAAAGAGTAGTGCTAGGAGATATGAGGCAAGGAGGACGCTGGTGCGTGACCTAGTTCCAACATGCGGAAGTTTGCTTTTAATCTTGGGAGTACTTTACACTTGCGTCTCTAAAGGCCTTTGACTATACACTACGTAACTAAACAGAGGATTATCGTCAGTTCAAGCGAAGAATTGTTAGTATAATAGTAAAGAGGTTGGCTTACAAAAGCAAATACGTGTGCATCCTTCTATTCGAGACCTCCGCCTTTGCCCGAGCCAGTAATATCTCAAAGTACAAAGGATCTCCCCCTAGAATCTGTGTATAATCCCTTGCGAAGATATTACTGATCCCATCTCTGAAATGAGTCAGCTCAAAAGCTCCAATTTTCTTCATTCTCGGGCCCTTGGCCAGGGGTTTGTGGGAATCTTGAGCACTTTCTCCACGACATTTTCAGATCCTGCCTCTTCCAATTGCGTTTTCCGTGAGAAGGGAGCTTTGCCGGAGGCCCCAATTCGGTCACCCATATCAAAACAGATCTGCGCCATTTCCTCAAATGCGGAGCTTGGAATATGTGTCCCATCGTCGGAAGATAACGGGCAGAGAACCTGGAAGTTTAAGATATCCACCAGGCTTCAACGTCCTGAAGCATTGCTGTACCAATCTCGGCCAATTTCGGATAGAGAGAATGAGTCATCTTCCGTGAATAAAATCGAAGAAACTCTCCCCATAAAGCCAGTCTGATTTTACATCGTCAATCTCGAACTGAACGTTAGGCAATAACAAGTGTGTACAACTGCTGGTCGACACCTATAATTTTTGCCGATGGGTGCTTATTTCCCACTACCAATAGATTAGCATCATATTCACGTAGTGCATCAATAGTAGGGAGAGAGCTAGGAGCATTACACAAGCTCCCGGCTAATGAATTAGGGGCTTGAGAAGTAGGAACGAAGAAACTTGCGGTTACTATCAATGACCTAGATGCCGGACCTAGTGTCTAGATCAAGTATCTTGTAGGGGTCCCGCTTTATCGGTGCGAGATGGAGCTCATTCTTGCGGAGCAGAGTGAACTTGCAATGCTGGAAGTCGTTCCGATCCATCTATGGGCGTTAATTGTCAGAGAACTCATTCAAGTATTACGGAGTACCTCGGCGTCGTCGACTGGCATCCATGGCTTATGTTTACCGTAGGCAGCATAAATACGGCCATTCTATTCGATTCCACGCCTCACGTCTGATGCTATCGAAGAAACGTAGCTCATCGAGGTGGACTCTGCGTAGCCTTCGTCTGAGACGGACTCATCTGGTTCGATCTCACTTGAGATTTTTTTGGGTCTCTTGATCTCCACCAGTTGATCCGGCCGCTCCTGGGTCATTCGTGGGCGATGGTGCTCTTGTTTTGATCGGAGAAGCTTGCTTCGATGGAGGTATCATCCTCGGTGTCTGTGTTGCGAGGGGCGACGAGTTGGTAGGTAGCAGTTGGTTACTTCTTTTCTTTTTTTTAAAAGAAAAGGGGGCAGATGGAATTTGGCGTTGATCTGGGAAGAATGTGTAGATCAGATGCTCCAGAAACTGCTCTTGAGATGCGAGGTCGCTACTCGGCCCCTGCGTGTCACCCTGGACAAACGGCACCTTGCCGTAACACTGACAAAATTCCTAATCCTAACCCAAATGCACATTTGTGGCGGAAACTGACGGCACTGGCCTTGCTATTGGACCTTCGGCCCAGTGCATGAGACTTTCTGCAGCAGGTTCGTTAGCGACATGTATGTCTTCGAATCTGGACACGCGGCGTAGGTGGGCTGTCTGGACTGCAGCACAATATCTGCGCAAGACTACAGTATCTGCTGCAGCATGCAATACAAATAACTCATAGCTATCCGCCACCACTGACCATGTTCCGCTAACCTTACCCTCCTCTGGAACCGCGGGACTGACGTCGCACAACCCATTTTTTCCGCTGTCGCCCTGCAGACAACACCAATACCACCAGGCAACGTCAACAACGGCTAGAAATTATGGCTGCACCAGCACCTATGATTCCACGTAAAGATGAGCTTCAAACGCTAATCGCGGAGCTCACCAACGTCGCTGCGGACTACAGTGCAAGTCCGGATCTCCAAGGCTATGTGTCGCGCGTTCAGGTCATTGCCAAGTTGAAGGACATCACGAAGTCGTTGATTACTGTCGATCAGCTGCCAAACTATCATGGCCTCAATGTAATATCATGTTCTATGAATATGCGCTTGCTTGATCTGCAGAAACTGATGGCAATCAGATGGCCGAGCTCATTGCTCTCCGCACATTTATTAAGCTCAAAGTTTTTGTCGCCATTCCCGAATCAGGCTCAATTTCACTTGCCGATCTCTCAAAGGCGACTGGAGCGCAGGAGTCATTATTAGGTGAATACTCCCATCGATGGCTTCTCCACATGTCGACTGACACTCTCTAGAACGAATGGCACGGATCTTAGGTGAGTGCTGATTTTGGGTTTGTGTACCTAAAGCTCGCCAGATCTCTTGCTAATATCAAAACGCTGTTTCTTCACAGTCGCTACCGGCTTCCTTGACCAAACACGTCCTGATGGCGGAGACTACAAGCACACCAAATTTTCCCTCTCATATATCGTCACCCCAGCCCCTGGCCCAGCGAAGCTATTCCTCTCAATGTACGATGAGTGGTTCAAAAACATGCACAACTTTGACGACTACCTTGCAGCTCACGACCTCCTAAGTCACGCCACGGAGCCAGACAATCACCTCCACAATCCATATACCTGGACTCACAAGCAAGAAGGTACACCTGTCTGGACGATCATGGCTCAAGATCCCGAGAAATTCGCCACCTTCCAAGTCGCAATGTCGGGGCTTGATGCGGCCATCCCAGTTATTGGACACTTTCCATTCTCATCTCTTGCGACTCATGAGTCAAAGGTGCAACTGGTTGATGTAGGAGGAGGTCATGGCGCAGTGCTGAAGCAGATTCTTTCTGTGCATCCTGATCTCGACCCAAAGCAAGTGGTTTTGCAAGATAGGCCCGAGGTTCTTGAGTTAGCTAGATCAAATGGGTTGAGTGTAGATGTGCAACTTCAAGCTCATGACTTCATGACAGAGCAGCCAGTTAAAGGAGCAAGGGCGTATTTCATGAGGATGATTCTGCACGATTATGCGGATCCCATGTGTGTGGAGATTTTGGGGAGGTTAGCGGAAGCGATGGATGCCGAAAGTAGACTACTGGTTTGTGAGATGGTGATCCCGCAGTGGGTTGGTGAACTCGATTTTCCGGCTGCGGTATTGGACCAGTGTGTGTTGGCGATGGGTGGGAAGGAGAGGACGGAAGCTGGATTCAAGGCGTTGTTTGAGGCGGTGGGGATTGAGTTAGTGCAAGTCTGGAGGGTCCCTGGAGTTCCCGGTGCATGTGTAGAGGGAAGGTTAAAGGGTTCATACCTGGGGAGCCAGAGCTGATTTTGGAATACTTCAGACTCATTGAAAATACAAGTGTTCGCTGCATGGCATTCAGATTAAAATCAACCTGGCTTTTAGCAAGTATAACCGAATTAGTCTCTTCGAGAGCTCTATGACTGTTATTCTAAGCTGGAAAGTTCATCTCTGCCCTACAGCTTTTCTTGCTACACCTTTCATATACAAACAAGACAATCAATATGCGTCTTTCCTGCCAAATTCGCAAAAGGGTGTCCGAGTCAATAGTTTCTTTTACAAAATTAAGAGGCTTATTATATCATAACATAGTTTAGCATTACTCCAATGGTACTAGTAAAAGCTATACTTATTATATAAGTAATAACGATTATCGAATATAAAATCTAGTTTAAGATTGATACTTTAGACTAGTCAGTATACGGGGCGCTCTATGCAGGCCAGGTGAACTGGCTGAGCCGAGAGTGATTAGCGCCTGAGTAGAAGCGGCAAGCTTACCTACCGAATATGTAACGAAGATTGATAGATTAGAGTTGAGCTACCAGAAGAAAGATGTTGCTAAAATTGCAAATAATGTTCTGGCTCCTTTGGATGTCGCACATGTTCAGGGACTTCATCGAGAATCAAATTTGCTGCTGACGATTCGGACAAAATTATTTACTACATGCTTAGTTTTGAAAAAGATTACAGTTCCTCTTATCCGTATCAATCATCTTTATCTCGATCTTATTCTCCTCGCCGATGTCGCCGGCGAACGGCATCTTCCCGGCACGATTACAAGCCCAGAGATCCCTGACAAGGCTCTTGGCGAGCCCCTGAAAGTGCCACTTCCAGCACTTTGGAAGACGAGGACTCCAGATACGAACAGACCAACAATGCATCCAAGTGTTCGATAACGATTACTGGCCTATCATGGAAACCCTACTGATGATGAGATATATCTACACATCGAGCCTTAATTACACCAATTCCCTGGTCTCTTGAGGGCGTGCATTGCATTTTGCTTTCTTCTCCACTTCTGACAGCCATTCAACACATCCAATAGAATGGATCCGAAGCACGATCTCGAGAAAGCACAGCAGAAGGGCTCGGAATCTTCAAGCGATGTAGTCGTCGTCGAGACAGGAGATTCAAATAAAAAACTTCTGCTGTGGCGATGGCTTGCGAAATGGGGTGTGGAGGTTCGAGGAATCGACCCTGTGCCTGTTGATGAGAGGATCAAGACGAATTACCACACCATTTTCTTTATGTGGATGGCGATTCTGTGTAACCTTCTTCCGTGAGTTATGTCTCTTCAATTAAGAATTATGACTGATGCGTTACAGAATTGTAACCGGCATGGCGGGTACTTTGAGCTACGGACTGAGTGTGCGGGATACGTCGCTCGTTATCATATTTTTCAACATGCTTTGCTGCATTTTGACTGCTTTTCTGGGGACATTGGGACCTAGGACAGGAATGCGGCAGGTCATTCAAGCACGATATAGCTTTGGGTAAGCAATGCTTTGAACTCCAGAATCGGTTTTGCTGATGATCTTTCAGGCCATATTGTGTCTCTATTGTTGCCATTCTCAATCTGATTTCTGTCGTTGGCTTCACAGTCATTGCGATCATCATCTCTGGTCAAACACTGTCTGCTGTGAGCGACGGGAAGATGACCATCACCGTTGGCATTGTCTTGACGGGATTACTCGGCATGGTTGTATCGTTCTGCGGTTACTCGGTTCTTCATCTCTTCAACAAGTACTCTTGGGCGATTACCATCATTTCAATTGTTATTGCTGTCGGTTGTGGAGGTCACCACTTCAGTGATCCTGTTCCTACCGAGCCTGCCGCGGCGTCCACCATCCTAAGCTTTGGCTGCTTGGTTGCAGGGTTCACTCTCCCATTCGCTGGAATCATGTCAGATTTCGCAGTGTACTATTCTCCTGAAGCTCCCACGTCAGTCACCCCTTCTTGCTTAATCTTTCTCTCTGCCTGACTCTCAAGTAGGAAAAGAATGTTCTGGTACGTCTACGTCGGACAAAACCTCCCCACAATCCTCCTCATGATTCTCGGTGCCGCCATTGGTGCCGTCGTCCCGAATGTCGAAAGCTGGAACGATGGCTACAATAGCTACTCTGCCGGAGGAGTCCTCGAGGCCATGCTGCGTCCGGCACAAGGGTTCGGCAAATTCATCGCTGTTCTCCTCGCCTTCTCACTGATAGGAAACGTCGCTGCCTCCATGTATACCATCTCGCTGAACTTCCAAGCACTAGCTACACCACTCGCGCGCGTGCCTCGATCCATATACACAATCATCACAACTGCTATCATGATTCCAGTGGGTATCAAAGCTGCAGAGAGTTTCTTCAACTCTCTTGAAAACTTCTTGGGTATTGTGTCGTACTGGCCGGGTGCTTTTGGTGCTATTGTTACGCTTGAGCATTTCTATTTTAGAAAGGGGGATGCTTCGACGTATGATCAAGCGATTTGGAAAGATCGTAGCCGGCTTCCGCCTGGGATTGCTGCTATTAGTGCTGGCATACTGTCGTTTGGTATCATTGTTCCTTGCATGGATACAGTGTGGTTTGTGGGTCCTATTGCCCAGACGACGGGGGATATTGGGTTTGAGACTGGTTTTGTGGTGACTGCGCTTTTGTATGTTCCGTTTAGGACCCTGGAGCGTCACATCTTCGGAAGGTAGAATGTATTGTGATGTGAGATCTGAGATGAGAATTTTGGGCCGGAGAAGAGATGTACATGTCAAATTCATTGAGACATGGTCTGTAAATTATATATCTCAGTAACTTGATTGATGTGCTGTATCCATCCAAGGCGCATGAAAAGCCACCTCGCTACCGTGCCAGGTTCTCAGACACAAGGAAAACCCATTCCCACACCAGTGCAACTATTTCGGTCCATTCTCAACTGCAATCTTTACCCCATTTGTAGTTGTCTCTTCCTCTCCTTCTCCCTTCACATGCTTACCATTCGTCTTCAAAGAACTTTCTAAGCCCAAGGCAGGTAGTCCCGCTGCTTTGAGATCCTCATCTATTCGCTCCAAGTGATCAAGGAAGCCGCCTTGTATGTTGTCCCACATATCAACTGGCGCAACTGTGGCACTGCAAGTCAGTCCACTGATGTTCCCAATTACAATTGAAATATCTTTACGTACCATACATGTTGGGGCATCGTTTCAATGCATATTCGGTGACTGCAACATGAGGATGGATGTGGAACATGAAAGCTGCATCTAGATCAGCATACTCCACAGTCTTCGATGATTCAATCGTATTAAATGAAACCACTTACCAATAGAGTCCTTAGATACACGCTGAGCTTCCAACTTCGCAGTCGTCGCCTCTCTCCACTTCTCAATCGACTCTATGTTCCACGTCAGCATACCCCAAATTCAATGTTCTGACACGCAAACGCACCACCATGCGGCATCAACGCCGGCTCATAACTCAATCCACCAGGCTCAAGCGGATGACTAGTCCCATACCACTCCCCATACACCATACCCATAATCTCCGTATTAACATTACGATGATAATACGGCGGACGAAACGTATCATTCGTAACAGCCCACTTCTCCGTAAACACCAAGAACTCCGTCAAATTCACCCCTGGAACCTTGCTTTTTGCAAGCAAAACACAGTAGATAGACGGATCGCTCTGTTCCCTGTCCACCGTAGCGGAATTGATGAAGCGCTCCAGACAGTATTTGTACGGAGCGTAATTCCCGTGCCAAGCTACAACGTCAAATGGTGTATGATCTTGCGTACAGGTGTATAGTTGCCCTGCGAGTTTGTAAACTATTTGCCAAGACGAGATGTCGATGTCGAAAGATGCGACTGGAGTTTCGAAGTCTCTGGGGAGAGCCATGCCGTTTGAACCTATTGGTCCAAGTTCGGGTAGCTCGTAGTGACTGCCGAAGATCTCCTGGATGTAGCCTCTGATGGGACCATCGGGTAGAGACACACGGAAGCGGATGCCGGCTTGGATTACTGCAATTTCGCCTGGGCGGACCATCATTCTGTTGATGTCAGTCACTACTCATTCACACGATGGACAACATTACTTACCTGCCGAATTCTGTCTGGATATCAAGACGACCTTGTTGTGGTACAATCATCATATCGCCATCATTATTACAGAAAGCTTTGTTTGTCATAGATGTATTGGCCAAGTACACGTGGATAGCTAGCCCTTCTCTTGAAGTCGCTTCTCCATGGCCACAAACTGTTTTCAAGCCTTGGACGAAATCGACTTTCGCTGACTCTTCAGGAAGAGAGAAATCATTCCATACATTTCCAAAAGGAGCATACTCGACTTTCGGGTTCGCGGAGGAGAAATTCCCTTCAAGCTGTTGAAGTGATCAGTGAGACGATACTCCGACAAATTTGATGTTTACTTACATCGGCGTATTTCTCTAGCTTCATCAGTGGCCTGTGAACTACTGAAGGTCGTATCCTATAGAACCATCTAGTCCTCCCATCAGTTCAATTTAACGATTTTGTCTCGCGGAAGGCTTACGCATGTTGGAGCGTGGCACGTGATGAGATGAAAGCTGTGCCATTGAGCTACTCATTGCTTAGCCTTTTCCTTAAACACCTTCTTACAAGCTTGAAATGGCTCATATTCAACCTACCTGTTCAGAGAACAAATCATATTTGCATCGTTGAGGTGTGTTCCGACCAAGTGGAAGTGTCCCAGGTCTGAACGAGATCAAATCAACGCTTGCAAGCTGTATGGAAGAGAAGGGGACTTACAACGCCTCTGATGCGAATCTGTTGTTGAACCCAACCTGATAGTGGTAGGGATCTTGTGGTGAGGGAATGGTGGCGTAATGTCCTCGTGCCGTACCACCTGGCAGCGAGGAGGGGACAATGCTGGTCGGCATCTTCAGTGAAGATTGACAGTTTTCGCTATCAAAATGTTCTTGTCTCTATGAGGGAACAAGTAGCCTTGGGAATAAGCTCAATAGCTTTGAGACTGCTTCAAATACCTCATTGTAGAAGCATCAAACATCAGGTTGCCACAAGGGAACAAAATCGTGATCAGAGTTGCCGGTAGGCTACAAAGCGGCAGAATTCCCCGCACCAAGCGAGTTCCAGGGCCGCTTAGTGGATATCGATCCCCCTATCTTGTAACAGATGCCCCGCCGATAAGGGCTGATAGGGACGTGCCGCTTTCTAGCTTGCCGGCAAACTCGCCATTCGTTCTCCGTGTTACGCAACAGCATCAATATGTGACGGGATACAGCTCTTTGTTGGCAGTCCACGAGAGAAGATTGTTTAGTAATGATAACTTGATGACTGCTCGAGGTTTGAAGTCAAATACGTTTGAGAATTTGATTGTTTCCTCCCACCAGGGCCGATTTTGCGTCTTTGTCTCATCATGCTTCCAATATCACAGTTGCAGAATCATCCAAGTGTCCTCATCAGCCTCGTATTTCTGCTTGGTGGCTTTCTTATTTGGACTATCAGATCGAAGAAGAGAAATGCATGTCCGTTACCTCCTGGACCTCCAGCCGAGCCTTTCATCGGTCACTTTCGTTTGATACCAGAGAGGAATCCGGAACACAAGTATATTGAATGGGGAAAGAAATATAGTAAGTTCACTTTTTAGGCCACGTGAGAAAGCTGATATCAACGACTTTTAGATTCTGATATCCTCTACTTGAATGTCCTCGGACGTCCAATCATTGTCATCAACAGCACGAAAGTTGCTCATGAATTACTTGACAAACGAGGTGCCAATTATGCGGATAGACCTCGTTTTGTACTGTTCGAGGTGTGGGTAACTATCTTCAATACATTGTCACGTGATTGCTCACAATGGTAGAATGGGTTGGGGGATTACCTTGACTTTCCTCCGTTGGGGCCCTCAGTTTAAATTGCACCGCAAGCTCCTCCAGCAGTCGTTCACCCCAACGGCATGTAAACCCTACCGAGCAATTCAAGAAGAGGAAGCTCGACGGGCATGTCGCCAAATCTTATCACATCCTCGAGACTGGGAAACATTATCTCGATGTTTTTCATCTGGAATTGTGATGCGAATTGGATTTGGTGTCAAGATCGAAGACAAAGATGATCCATATATCCAAATGGCCATCAACGCCGAGACTGCAACAGGAAATGGTGGAACTCCAGCAGGAACCATTGTGGATTTCTTCCCTTTGCTTCGCCACTTTCCTGCGTGGTTGGTAGGTTCAGATGCGTTGCAGCATGCTCGTGATTCCAAGTCCGCTATTCAGACGCTTCATGATGCTCCATGGGCTGCTACTGAACCGGAAATCAAGAGTGGGAAAGCAAAAGACACCTCGTTTATGCGAATACATTATGAGCGCTTCTTCAAGAATCTGGAAGAAGGAAAGGGCAATGAAATGACTCTGGCGGACATTAAAGGTGCAGCGGGAGCAATTTCGATTGCTGGTGGAAACACTACTTGGTCCACGATTGTCGTCTGTATCCTTTACCTGATTCTATACCCAGATGTACAGAAGAAAGCCAGAGCCGAGATCGATGCCGTAACTGGAGGAGACAGACTACCGACTTTCGATGATAGACCAAGCATGACCTACCTAGAATATGTCATCGAAGAGACCACGAGATGTGTTCCATTATCTCCTCTCGGAGTTCCTCATGCGGTACTCGAAGACGACATCTACGAAGGCATGCTCATCCCAAAAGGATCCGTTGTTTATGCAAACGCACAAGCAATGACACACGACGAGAGAGTCTACTCGAATCCCAACATCTTCAACCCAGATCGATACGCAGCCAAGGAGAAAGGCGGGCTTGGCGAGCCTCTCCCAGAAGGACCTTTTGGATTCGGTCGACGAGTGTGTCCTGGTAGGCACCTTGCACTTGCCGGCGTCTATATCTTCATGGCGTATATGCTTGCTACGTTTGAGTTGAAACCGATCACTGGACCGGACGGAAAAGAGATACCTCCAGAGATTCGCTTGACGAATGGGTTGTCCAGGTAAGAAGTCCTGCCTGATCGATTGAATACTGCTAATCTTTTGATAGCCGACCTGAGCCTTTCCATTGCTCGATCGTCCCGCGATCAGAGAAAGTAAAGAGATTTTATGATGACAATGAAAAACAGTTGGTATGAGATCTCCCGGAGGATAGAGATTCTCCAAAAAGTTTGCATTGACCTACTCAAATACGAAGAATTCAACCATAATCAGTGCAACCTCAAATTGAGTGCGTGTTCGTCTGCATTTCCTTGAGCCGAAACATTTTCTTTTAGTGCTCCAAGCCTGAATATTTAGCGACAAGACCCCTAAAGGTCCCTGCAACGCCCCAAAATAAGCGAACATAACCCCATGCTTCTTGTTTTCTGTAGGTAGTCGTACTTCAAAACACTCCGCATTCAACCAACTTGTCACAACACAAGAATTGTTGATACGGACCACAGTACCTTATCATATATGCAGAAAATATATCGAAGTACTGTTGCAAAAGTTCTAAGCTCACGGATTAAGCTTATCAGTGTTCCCCACTCATGACTCGCGTCAGCCTGCTTCAGAAATTGCCGCGTTTTGGCCGGCAACGGGCAACATTCTACACACTTCTCATCATTGCCGCAACTTCTCCAGACAACATTGTCAAATTATGAACTTGCCGAAGTAATGACTTGATCACCAACATGGATGGTACCTCGCCGCCGATTTCACAATCGGATCCACATCATCCTCGCCCGAATCCTTCCACGGACCGGCAAACAGAGAAACGACGGGCACGGATAGCATGCAAACGCTGCCGGCGGCTTCGAAAGAAGTGTCTCCATGAGGATGGTCAACCTCCTTGTATTGGGTGCCGAGAAGCAGGGTTTTCGATTGCGCAGCAGTGTAGATTCCCATCGAAAGGAGAACCGGATCTAGATCGTGAGTTTAGACGAAAGAAAGAGACAGTGCCGCCTGAAGATGGAACTAGGAGACACCATTCAGTCTCGACGTCGCTTTCTTCTCCATCGAGGACGGTGACATCGATACCAAATCAACTGTTACTCGATCAGACCCCGTGTACAGCGGATCGGTGGAGTCTTTTGCCACCTCACAATGAGGTCGTTGAAGCTGTCAAAGTTTTCGGAACGTCGTTCTTCCAGCTTGGGTTCATTCCAAAAGCTCTATTTCTCGAGCAACTGGGGAACAGCAGATCATCCATCAATGTCTTCTATCTCTTAGGCATCCTGAGCGTTTCTGCTCGTTTCACTCCAAGCCTGATAGCTCGATATGGCGATGGCCTCAAAGCGGCAGAAGTCTTCATGGACAGAGCTGCTGCCTTGGTAATGGAAGAGATGTATACGCCCACACTAGATCGCATACAAGGGTTCTTCCTCCTAGCTATCGCAGAGTGGGGTAAAGGAGAAAAGACCTCAAGCAACATCCACATGGGAATCGCTGTCAGAATGGCTGGAATTCTACGTCTGCATCGAGAAGAGACGTTTGATTTGCCCGAGAATTACACAGCTGAGGATGTCATCAACGCTGAGATGGCCAGAAGGACGTTTTGGATGTTAGAAAGTCAGGATAACCTCCACTCTGGATATACGATTCCTGTTTCGTTCTCCTTGAGCGATATCACGACTCTCTTGCCGTGCGAGGAAAGAGATTTCGCTTTCGGCATCGTGCCTCGAGAACGTAGTGCGCTCGCTGGAACTTTAGCAGCTACGAGGAAACCGGATATTGTTCACACGTCCTCGAGGTCTCTCTTTGCAACTCTGATCCAAGCTCATAATCTATGGGGTCAGGTCGCCAGGAGAGCCGTCACAAGTGGTGATCGTCAAGCCGGAGAGCTCTTCAACCCCTGGGATAGTAGAAGCGATTATGCTACACTCTCTATATCACTTCAGATATGGGAAGAGCATCTCCCAGCACAGCACAGATGGTCGATATGGAATTTCAGAGGGTACAAAGCTGAAGGACTAGACTTGGCCTACCTTGCCGTTGTCATGGTCCTGCGACTAAGCAACATCATTCTTCGACGCACATTCATCGATAGCATCATCCACACAGACCAGAACAACGGTGCGCCTGATGATTTCTGGCTAAATATGTCAACCAAGCTTTTCGAGAATGTCCTCGTGCTACATGAGCAGATTGATGCTTTCTTCTCATTGCGATCGCCGCAGCAAGGCTTTCCAGCTATGATCGTCTTCTGTGTGTATGTTTGTGGTTCTCTCGCAAATCATCTCTGGAGGAGACCAGAAATATGCCCAAGATTGGCGCCTGGGATGGGAGATATTGTAAGCAAGTCTCTTGAAGTCTTAACAGATCTGCAACATGCGTGGCCGCTGGCCAGGAATTGGAGACTGGCACTTGATCAAAGAGCTTCCATGATTCGAGAAGAGCAGTCTTTCAGGACTGTCGCCGATGATGCATCAACAGGAGCATTATCTCGAGTCGTAAACGACCAACATAGCCATAGCGCAAAAGAAAGCGCTATTAGACCAAGACGAGATGAGGTCTTCTCGGAAATACTCAATCATGAAGTGTCGCAACCAGCGAGAGAATTAAATATCCTCAATAGCGGGGTAAATCCATCACCAGATCCATTCGCATGGGATCAACAAGCTTCACTATCGGCGGGTTTATACTCTCAAACGTCTCCTCCAGATGACATCGAAGCTCAACTTGCCGCTTTTCTTCAGGTCCAGGGTCAACTGGGGATGCTTTACAATTGATGCGCTGTCTCTCTTTTCGTCAATTCGACACTTGCAATCAGGTCACTGTGTCCTCTTCGGCTCTGCATACACACAAACCCTCAGAAGTGAAGACAGATCGACAGTGCCACATATATCTGATCTTGCCACGTTCCTGCATGACCCTTACCTTAGCCGCACTCCTTAAAACAACGCCCAAAAGCCAAATCCACCATCACACCACTCCTTTCCCCTCCAGAATATCCACACTTACCAAACTTCTCAGCTCTGTTGCAGATCGCACCCTTCTCCACTTCAAACCCTACCTCACCATTGCTTTTTAATCATTCTCCTGTCAAAGGGTGTGGATGGGGTGATATATGGGGTTGTGGCTTGGGTTATGTGGAGTAAGCTTCAGTGGATCTTTTGAGGTGGCAGACCGAGCTCTGGATTGGATGGGTTGACCCGCTTTACCCCACATGTTTCGATGGGAAAATCTGGGTCGAGGCTTAATTGATTGAAATCTTACAGGTGTGAGTGGACGCGGCTGTGAACCAATCATTGGAAGTAATGATATGCTGAATGTCCCTCCTCTGCGGCACGTTCGCTTACTATACATGATCTGGGATATGAGAAACCTCTGCCTGCTCTAGAGTGGGATGAGTCGATGACATCAAGCAAACACATTAAAGCCAAGCAAATGGCTGATACACAGTTCTTCGAACAAACTATCACACTCTCATCTTACTCTAGACCCGCTAATCTCGCTTTCCCCGCAAAACTTGCCTTTCGGACATTTGGCGATGCATCAAACCCAGCCATTTTACTGCCAACGTGCTTCAATGGCAAGATCCCAGAGACACTTTCATTTCTCTACTCCAATGAAGACAGCTCCGATGCAGTACTGTCTCCATCAAAGTACTTCATTATCATAAGCGGTCTCCTCGGTGGCGGTGAATCATCCTCACCCAGCAACACACCTGAGCCCTTTCACGGTCCCAACTTGCCTCGCACGACATATGAAGACAATGTTCGCTTCCAACACGCACTATGCCAAAAACTAGGTGTAAGGAAACTGTTTGCATACATCGGATTCAGTATGGGCGGACAACAAGCATACCACATGAGCACTCTCTTCCCAGATTTTGTACAGAACATGATCTGTCTAGCCGGCAGCGCGCGCACAAGTTGGCACAGTCAAGTTGTTTTACAAACGCTGTCTCAAGCCCTGCTATCTTCGCCCGATTTCCGAGATGGTCAATATACCGAACCTCCAATGCAGGGATTGAAAGCTATGGATAGGATATTTGCTACGTGGGCGTTTTCGTCGGCGTGGTATCGCCAACGTCGTTGGGAGGCAGCTGGGTACGGGAACTTGGAGGAGTATCTAGATGATTGGTGGTCCGGAGATGGGGAGGCTAATGATTTGCTGGCGATGCTTTGGACTTGGCAGAATGGAGATATTTCAGTATATTATCCCGAGGATGGAGGAGATCTTGAGAAAACACTGGGAAGGATCAAGGCGAGGTGTTTGGTCATGCCGTCGAGCACGGATCAGTTTTGTGCAATCAAAGATAGTGAAGAGGAGGTGAAGTCCCTCAAGTATAGAGAGTTTCGGTGTGTGCAGTCGGTTTATGGTCATCTGGCGGGCGGCGGGATGGGGACGAAGGAGGATACTGATTTTCTGGTCCAAGAGATCCGAAGGTTTCTCGCTGCAGGCAAGACTAATGACGATTGATAGACTACAAGACTACAGAGAATTCACAACCGTACGAATAGGATGTAGTGCCAGATGTTATCCTTGATGTCTCTTCTTCGACATCGACGAGCTTGGGTCTTGATCATCGAAACTGTTGAAAAGCCTTCATCACGATTACACTTCAATATAATCAGCGTATTGAAACTCAGCTCCATTCGCGATTGACCTCGCCTTGTGAGAAGAGAAGCAATACCTAACATTTCTTAGCCTCGGATTGCGTCTTTCCGTCTTACTCTCACTCCGTCCGTTGTTTACTCCGTACGGAGCTCGGTAAATCTCGCACCAAGACCTCTCCCCACATATCCAACACGGTGAGACCTGCTATTGAGTCATATCTCAGGCTGTCACTAGCTAATTCATATTACTAGCAAGGGCATGCATTATCTGATCTAGAAATAATCGGAATCACCCTCCTAAGCAAGGAGGAGGCCCACTTTTCCTCTGGTTCAAGGCCCGAAGACGGAATGCTTGAGATGTAGTTTAAATTTTCACACACCCTTCTTTTTCCATCTCACTCCTTTTCATATGCTTTTTCCTATTTGCTTTCTTGCAAAGAGATTCCAGTCATGGCTTCTCAACCTCTCGATGATACGATCATGGAAGCAGTTATTGGTACTGAGCTCGAGATGAGCCCAATGCCGACCTCGAAGACCTTGGGCGATACGAAACAGATGGATCCATTTCTTGTTACCTTTGATGAACCATATGATGCCGAGAACCCACTCGATTGGAGCACCAGCCGCAAGTGGTCAGTGACGGATGTTATGTCAGCCACTGGTTTCAGTATGTCAAATTTTGCCCTTGTTTTGAATTCATCGTAGGAGCTCAGCTCTTCGGGATCATCATGAGGAGCAGGTTTCAATTCTTTGCTCATCGGCTCCCAGATCTCTATTGAAAGTGCATACTGACTTCTCTGTAGACCGCATCATGGTCAGTACCATCATGGCACCGGCTCTCTCAACCATTGCCTTGGAGCTCAACATGAACTCTGCAGAATCTGCAATGGCACTTTCTAGTAAGCTGAACCTTCGTTACTCTCCATTACAGCTATTCGATTTCTTTTTGATTTTTTTTTCTATCTCAAAATACTCTGAGCAAACTAAGAACATGCGCAATCAGCGCACCTAGCGCATCCAGCGCGTTCTGCGCATTCAGCTTCGCTTACTGCTTTTTTGGGCCACGAATATTCAAACTAACAAACTCCAGTTTATCTCCTAGCAACCGCTTTCGGGCCCCTTTTCATTGGGCCCTTGTCAGAAATCTATGGCAGACAAGTCGTCCTCCACGGCTCCGGTATCTGGTTTCTCATCTGGAATATCGCATGCGGATTCGCCAACTCAAAGCAACTGCTCATCGCCTCACGTTTTCTTGCTGGTTTTGGTGCCAGCTCTATATATGCTCTTGCGGGTGGTGTTCTGGGCGATATCTGGAGACCAGAGCAGAGAGGCCGTTCGTTGGGCATATACTTGCTTATTCCTATCCTGGGTGCCTGCGTCGGTTCGTTTCTTGTCAGGAAGTGGGTAACAAGAGTCGAAACCTAATTTAGACTGTAGGTCCCATTATTGGCGGATTCATGGCTGCTCGCACTACGTGGCGATGGATGTTCTGGTCTACATCAATATTCCAAGCTATCATGATAGTTATGTCATTTTTTATCTTCCCTGAAACCTACGGCCCATTGATCCTCCATCGCCGCGCTAAACGCCTCCGTCGTCAAACTGGAAATCAACAATACTACACGGACAACGAGCGCTGCGATGGCGATCGCTCACTGCTGGGAGTTCTCGGACGAGCACTTACACGCCCTTTTCGTCTTCTCGCCTTCCACCCAATCATTCAAGTCACAGCCGTGCTCAAAGGATTCAATTACGGAATCCTCTACATCGTGCTATCCACGTTCTCCACCCTTTGGACTTCACATTACCACCAATCTGTAGAGATTAGTGGTTTGCATTACATTGCTATCTCGCTAGGAGAAATGGCTGGCTCCCATATTGGTGGGCCACTTATCGACTATCTCTACAAGAGACGCCTTGCAAAAAATGCTACCAGTGGCAACGACACCTTTACGCCTGAGTTCCGCATTCCGCTGATGTTTCCAGGTGTAATCATCGGCTCGCTAGGACTTCTACTATATGGGTGGACGGCGCAATATCATGTGCACTGGGCTGTGGTCGATATTGGTATCTTCATTGTCTGTTTTGGGATGCAGTTAGGGACCATTGCTGGCACAGCTTACATCATCGATTCCTACCCAGGTCACACAAGCAGTGCAATGGCAGCGTCGCAGTTTATTAGCAGCTTGGCCGCATTTCTATTTCCTTTATTTGCCCCGCGCATGTATCAAGTGCTTGGTTATGGATGGGGAAATACCGCAATGGGATTTGCAGGTCTGTTGCTAGGGATTCCTCCACCGTTGTTCTTGTGGAAGTATGGTGAGAAACTGAGAGCTAAGGCAAGGTCTACTTACTAGACGAAGAGAAATAAGTGGAAAGAATGCCTTAGCGTGAGTAAGATCTATCAGAACGTTGAGCAGTGAGGAAAGCAAAGTAAAATAATCTCTCATAGTAGCTGCGCTCATGCTTATCAATACATTCTTGTAACATAACCATCCGAACAGAAATTCTCGTCGCTGATTTCGACTCACCTGTGCCTCCTTTATTTATTCTTCGCTTAGACATCTCATGCGAAGTTGCGGCGAGATATGGTTCGGCCTGAAGCGCAACCGAATGGCTGTAGAGGATTGAGCAAGGAGAAAGTTGGACTCTTGCTAAGTCACTTGCTAAGAACAGAATGTCTCAGGGAGATGCGTTTGTCCAGTCTAGTGGCACGTGATCAGAACAAATCGCGGGCATGAAGGTGGAAAAAAAGAATTATTTTCTCTGTTGTAGCTCTTTATTATTCTTGCTGAGTAGCGCGACTTAACAAAAAGCTCGGGCTTGAATATCCAAGATAACTTCCAATCGTCAACCTTGAATCGCTAGCGGTAATACCCACTTTAAACCCCCACTTTACGTGAGGAAACTCGTTGCATCGTGGGATTCTTCACCCTCCATCCAGCTTAATTATTCGAAATCGTCCATTGGACCTCAAGGGTTCCCAAAGTACGACCCTTGAAGTGCAACCCTCGAGAACAAAATGTCTCAGAAATTGATACACCCCACTGAAGGTATCTAGAGATATCCCATAATACTGGTCTACACTAACCTGATCTCAAGTTGCCAAGCATGTCACAGAAGACAGTTGCTGGGTAGCTTTGTATGGCGATGTCTATGATGTTACCGCATTCCTCCAAGAACATCCCGGTGGTTCAAGAGCTATCCTCCGTCTCGCCGGTCGCGATGCCACAGCCGACTATGATCCAATACACCCTCCTGGAATCCTCGAGGAGACCATGAAACCTATAGGAAAGCTGGAAGTTGATACTAAGGCTTCATCTTTGCAGCAAAGAAACGACATAGATCCAAAAGTCGAGGAGGTAGTTGATCTACATGATCTTCTGAACCTAGACGAGATTGAAGCACTCGCGACGAAGAAGATGTCCAAAAAGGCCTGGGCGTACTTCTATTCGGCTGGCGATGATCTGATCTCAAAGAAACTCAACAATTCTGTCTACAGATCCATTCTCTTTCGGCCTCGTATCTTCGTTGACTGCAGGAAGTGCGACACATCCACCAGTCTTCTTGGTCACAGAGTGGGCACCCCTCTCTACGTTTCTCCGACTGCCACAGCACGTCTTGCACATCCTACTGGCGAGAAGGGCATCGCTGAAGGGATATCCAGCTTCGGTGCACTTCAAATTATGTCGAACTATGCCTCCTTGACTCCTGAGCAGATCGTCGCAGATTCTGCGCCTGGTCAGATATTTGGTTGGCAATTATACGTGTATAAAGACAGAACGAGGAGCGAAAAGGAAATTGCCAAAATCAACTCCATGCGAAATAAGATCAAGTTTATCTGTCTGACGCTAGACTCGCCAGTAATGGGGAAAAGGGAAGATGACGAGAGACATGGGAATGCGATACTGACTCGTGAAGCCGATGTTGATCCGAAAAGTGTAAAGAGGAAGAAAGTCATTATCAACTCTTTTCCTGGCCCGGCACTGGATTTGACATGGAAGTCTACTTTAGAATGGCTCTCGAAGCATACAGACTTGCCAATCGTGTTGAAGGGGTTGCAGACTTATGAGGACGCTTACTTGGCGATGAAGTGCGCATCCGTCAAGGCCGTTGTCATAAGTAACCATGGTGGAAGGAGTCTAGACACTGCATCACCTGCTGTTCATACTTTGTTAGAAATCCGCAAGTACTGCCCTGAAGTCTTCGATCGCATGGAAGTTTGGGTTGATGGTGGGATCAAGCGGGGTACCGATATTGTAAAAGCATTATGCTTGGGAGCCAAGGCTGTTGGCGTTGGAAGAGCAACTCTTTTTGGTCTAGGTGCTGGTGGAGTCGCTGGCGTAGAGAGAGTATATGAAAGTAGGTTCTGCACGCCATGTTTTGATGTTGAGATGCAGCTGTTGACAAAACTGTAGTCTTGCAAGCTGAGATTGAAACTTGCATGAGGCTTCTCGGGGTGGAAAATATCAACCAACTAGGGCCCCAATACGTAAGCGTGCAGCTTCTTTCACTATTTTGAAAGGATTATGCTAATGCTTCCCAGATCAACTCTCGAGCTGTCGAGAGAGATATTTTCGACGGAGACTCGAGCGTCGCGAATCTAGATTCTTGGGTAAAGTCAAATCTATAGATCTCAGTTGTCCATTACTTGTAAGATCTTGGTTACACAACAACGTTCGCGTCGTGCGGTAACCAATAGATGTAGCTGGTCTTTAAGCAGCTTGAGCGTGGCCCAGAATGTTGGTTCAATTACATAAATATCGCGTACCTGACCAGATCCCGAACTTTCCGGTGCAGACCTTTATCCTTCTGGATTTTGCTTGTGAATATACAACTGCTCAGACCACAGTACTATTTGCAACATGGCTGACCAAAATGAGCACTTCGCACAGTCTGATACTTGGGACCATCTGAGCAATACCGCGAAGTGAGTCAAGAGCGATTGAGGGATTTTGTATGGGCTAAATGATCTCCCTAAGTTTTTGCGAAGAAGACTATGCTGTCACCCAGTACATTGCCGAGTTCATCAACACACTCAGCAACATAGCTTACAGTAATTATACAAAGGACGCAATTTTTGACACAAATTATGAACTGATGTTGACAGTTTACTGTGCCTTGTACTATCCTTCCGGCACAAAGAGCCGTAGAAAACTGGACTCCATGTCCATGGCCCTCATTATGGTCGGGATCACATCCACCTTGTATCACGCAACACTACGGCATTCCATGATGCTCGGTGATGACTTTTCAATGTGGCTCATCGTCGCATGTATTTTGCGGCCTCTGTACTGCCGCGGCCAGTCTCCTGCTGTGGCTTCTTTCATCACCGCAGTTATTGCACTAGCATGTTGCGTCATGACAATAATCTACTTGCATTCCGGAAGTATCTTGATTCACACAGGCTTCTTTGCGTTTTTACTACAACTGATTTGGCCTCGGACTTTGTTTCTAATTTACGGTGCGGGAAATCGATCGCAGATGGAAAAGAAGAAACTACTTCGACGCTTTTTGAAAGCCGCGGTAACATTGATAGTGGCATTTGCGGCTTGGGATATTGACCTGGAAAGATGCCCACAGTTGAGAGAGATTCGAAAAAGTATTGGTCTCCCGTGCGCTTGGGCTTTGGAGTTGCATGGTTGGTGGCATGTTTTGACTGCTGTTGGAGCTGCAGAGTACATTACCCTAGTGAGGATATTGTGTGACCAGTCTTTTAGATAGTAAATTACACGAGGTCGGGATGAGAGAATGTGCGGAAAGTCCGAGCTTGATATCGGAAGTGAGGGCTGAAGTATTGCTCTCTAAGCAAAATAGAAAAGGTTGAACTGATGCGTGGAGAGTGTGTGTATAATTACTCATTAATCTGCGTCCCGGGGCTTCGAAGACCGAAATCGATAGCAATAATTACATTGCGCAATGTTGTATAAAATAGAGTATTCATTGTAATAGTGGGGTACAACTTCGTACACGGGACTATTCCTAGCTCGAAGGGAGACAAGGCAAGAGGATGAGAATTATGAAGTATCATGAGTCGTACAAAGGGGTTGGGGGGATATCTTGAAAGACCATAAAGGACCTCGGAAGGAATGAAAGCAGTGAGAGGTTAAAGCTACATAGGTAGAGACAGCGTCCAACTAAAGCCGACTCGAGATATTTCTGGAGGAAACTCAGCCCTGCCACGGAGCTTATTTCTTGTGTACAAAGTTTATGAAGAAGAAGAAGCAGAGGCCGCACCAATTGCCACTTGTCTCGTTGCTAATAAGCAAATTCTGTGCGGAGCTGACTTGAAGATGTATATCAGTTTAGCGCTAAGCCTAAACTGGACTCTATGCCGCCCCACCAAGTGCAGGAGACGCGAACATCAACTACACATTCTCATGCTGTCGCCTGTGATTCACGAAACACACTTTCCCGAGAGTCTTTCTCTTGTATAGAATGACTCATTTCAGATATGATTCACACTATGGCATGCTTGCCTGGCACCACTTCGAGCCATAAAAGGCCACATCACGCAGCAACAATTCCAGCAAAGCACCGCGTTCTTTCTCCTAATCCTTTGACATTTTTTTTAGAGACCTATGGCCAACTCTCTCGGTGGCGGGTTAGGAAGACTCCATGGAGCTCTGCACATGCTAGAAGCAGATCCATCGAAATTGGAACGGGCAAGGGAGCGATTCAGTGGCTCTCCTCCGGCGTACCGGTCGAATCCATCAAGCGCAACAACTCGATCAGAGGAGTCCAATCCCATCAGCGATGTCCAGCGCGATAGGGAAGAACGATACTACTAAGCCAAGCGTGATCGTGCAGCATCGCTGCCTCGAGAACAGTTTGATGCTTAAGTCAAAGATGAGAAGAGGCGTATCTGGAATTTGAATCCAGCTAATAAGGGGGATATCCAGATCCCTATCGGCGGTACAGAAGAAAAAGAAGCCATTCGAATAATTCGGAGTCGTTGGATCGAGCAAGGCATCTGGAAAGATAAATGGGATGAAATGGCTGCAGGACGATACAGAGACGTCAGCCCAAGCGCCGTCGCGTACAATCTCTACCTCTCGACACTTTGGGTGAGGCACCTGCGAAGCCTATTGCTGAATTGCGAGCAGAACCTGTTACGCTCCGTAAAAGCCCACGTTTACGACAACTACGAAATGCTGAGGGTGCAGCCTCAACTACGAACACTCGTGCTTTAAGGACAGATCCCATGCAGATTGCCTCCAAATCCAAAACCAGGTCAAAGCCACAAGGAATCTCGAAACCTGCCAGGGCTATAAGACAACCAAAGAAAAAGAAGTGAAAGCCCAAAGAAGCAATGCAAATTCAATATAGTTCTCGACTGGCATAGTCTGAGAAAGACAGCCTCAGCTGGTACGATGGACACAAACCTCAAGGCTCGCTGATATGTCGAGAGATGTTGACGATATCGGACCAGACTCTCCAAAATGAGGCCGTCCTATTTGTGGTGTCCGAGAGCCGGTAGATTCAGGTGTTACTCTATTGAGTTGTTGCAGATTAGCTGTTAGACTCAAATTTGTTCTATCGCAACACCAACCTATTCTTTTGTTGCACATACTCCTTCACCTCAGCTTTCATATCAAGTACATAGCCAATATACACCATATTACTATGATGGTGTGAGCCTACATTCATACCTCAGAGCAGCAGCCAAATCTGGGAAGATAAAACACCAGTTCTGATTATTCTATTTCCCCTCCTTGCTTGAAGGAAATCCTTTAAACATTTGTTGCCAAGTGGTATACTGTCTTAGCCTATACTTTAGCGGCTGGTCAGCTTGGCAGTCTCGGCCTCCTTGGCCAAGGCGAAAGTAATCCCCCTGCTCTATTACATGAATATCTTGTATTCTCCTTGACTACATATTACACGTAATTTTCATCGCGCGATGATGGAATATACATTTCTCATTTGTTGTACCTCAGTCTAAAAGTCTTACGCGGTGTTAACCAGATTTTGTGCCAAGTGCTAAGCCTTTATGACTCGACTCGCTCGGCCTATCTGGGTTCGAGAAAGAGGAGCCGAGGCGCGATGTGTCAATATTAAATCGTACTCTTCATGAACCGGAGAGTTCCAAGTTCCCAAGTTCCAATCACTGAAGCTTTTCGATATCGCGTGGTGATCGAGCGTCCATCCAGACAGACATGAAGCGAGGATTTACGGAACATCATGGGGCAGCTCTTGTTCAGATAGAGTTCTCGTGAGCTTGGCATGCATCGCTATTTCTCTTGGAGTCTGGCATCACGAAGCAGCCAAGGACTTTCCGCTAGAGTGGAATTTGGCATGGGTGTCAGAGATCTGATTTAAGGTTAAGAAGCCCCGTCGTCAATCTGGACATCATGCTTTCAGCCTCCGCATCCTTTGGTGTCCACTTGTGATTATTGTTATGGCTCGCAAATCTCTACTGTTTGGATTTGCGATCGCCAAGAGCGTAAGGGCTGCAGATGTAGGCTACTACATTTCGTCTTCTTGCATTGATCCCAGTGGTTTCTCGTCCTGCTACAGCAATGCCAATTCCTCATACACAGACTGCGTTAACAGCAATTGCGAAAACCAAAGCATCGACTGCATCAATGCATGTGAATGCGTACGCTCGACAGACTACATCGACTGCGCTGCCTCGAGCTGCTGGAATCAAGTACGTCTCTCGTCCTCTGAACATCAACAATGAACTCATAAGAATCTAGGTCTACAGCTGCGAATATCAGCTCACAGTTTCTGATTTCATCAATTTTTGTGTCAATCCAGATTTGACCACGATTCCATATTGGCCACCTCCAGATAATGCGCCAATAGGATGTTCATGTCCAATTGGGAAAGTGCAGTTATCAATTCTATCTGATGTCGCACATTTGGATATGTGTACCAATAATCAGACAAATCTGGACGAACTTTTATCAGAGGATGATATTGCCAACTATGTGGACGCGTGTACTTGCTGTTATCAGAGCGGAATATTATCAGCGTAAGAATGTTTCGATTCCTACTTTCGCCCATTTTTCTTTTATTCATCATAGAGCTCAGGGACCAGACTGACGAGAAATAACCAGAATATACGACATCTGCCCTTCGACGCTACCCTCGCTCCTCGGTGCAGATACTTACTTCGACTCCCTGTTCACTGATACAGACTGGGAATCGTGTAGTGTATACCTCAAAGCCTACAACTGTACATCCGAGCTAGGATTTTCCTCTCCAGCAGGAAATATGACAGATTATTATGGTCCAGGAGACTTTCCAGGGAATGGAACATTGGACTTATTCGATACCAAGGGCGAAGGAGAGATGAGGACCCCGGCAAGTGGGAGTGTGTTTACTTGGACAGCAAATGGTGTTGCAAGGACAGTGTCAGCTGTTGGCGTGACCGGGAGCGTGATCGGAGGAGCGAGCGCTACGGCTGCAGAGACAGGATCGGGGACAACAACGTTAGCTGCAAGCACGCCTTCGGACACCAGCGCTGCGTCGGTGTTCGAAGTGGGACTGTGGAGGTTGTTTGTTGTGTCCGCCGCGATGTTGGTATTTTGATACCATATCGCCATTCCCGCGTGGAAGATTGTAGCAACATAATATGGTATATCAGCATCCCTCCTGCCATAGTCACATGGCTTTCTATACACTGACATACATGATCCTTTGTGCCGAAGACAGCGATTTGGTTGCTGTTTTGCCAAGTGCGCTTGGTTCGCTCAACGAAAAGGGAGGTCATGTCAAGAGGAGAGATATTTTCAATTTTCTGACTAGTATCAGGTTCTTAGGTAGAAATCAGGAGTTCAACCTCTAGCGGAGACCTTCCTTGCTTCCTCCATTCTTCGGACCTCCTCCTTCTTCATAGCGTCCTTGTTTTTCCACATCTCAGGCACAATACTCTCTCGAGGCATGGTGATCTTCCAACCCTTCAAGCTGTCTTGTCCTCCCACACTTTGTATCGTCTTCTGCTCCACCAGACTGTATTTTCCATCAGGACGATCGAAGCAATGTGGTTCCTTTAGGCTGACGGGCGGGTTGGTGATGATCCTCACATTTCTTAAAGCATTGTGGCTCGCAGAATGCATCATGAGTGGATGCAGCAGATAGACATCCCCGATCTTCCCCGTCACCTCTACAAAATCCTCGCAGTCTTGTACCAACCCATTATATCGATTGACGATATGGCGATAGTCTACCACCGAGAAGTTTGGTTCCGCTCTGGTGGTCAGGTGTGGTGACACCCCGTCAGGATGATCGTACAAATACTTCGCGATTTTAGGTATGGCCTCGGGACAAATCATGGTGCCTCCAGCATTCGGCTCGATGTCTGTAAATAGGGGAACGACAAGCAACCCTTGTTCGGGACTATCGAGATAATGCACGAAGAAGTCACCATCCACATGCCAACGCTTCAGCTCCTTGGGCGGCACCGGCTTGCCCTCGCGCGTACCCAGGTTGACGATAAAGGAGTCGCGCCATTCCCTGGACTTCTCGTTGATACGCTCTTCGCCTCCGCAGAGTTCGCAGATGGCAGCCCATGCTTTGGGCGCGAAGGCGGCGCTGTCGAAGTTCCAGTGAGGGGGCATATTGATCTGATCCTTCGTCCAAGTGCTCTTGTCATCTGGGGACATACCTAAGCGTGTCCAGACATCTTTGGTCACTTCCGCAGCTTGCTCCTTGGTGAAGCAGTTGGTTAGGTGGATGTAGCCATGAGTAAGGAAATGTTCCTTGTCGGCATCAGTAAGGGCTACTGGCGATGCCATGGTTCTGTATTTGCCTCAGATACAGAAGTAAAAGCACAATCAAAAAGACGAAAGGTTGTGGAAAGCTTAAAATGAAGTGTCGAACAGCTCTTCTGACGAGTTTTTATGCTCAGAGTCTCCTTCCATGCTACTTCTATACGTGGCGATTACTTCCTATACACCCTCCTGGATGTCAGGTAGAACAATTACTCCGCTTATGTAGACAGGTCATGACACTGTATAGCGTGACCAAAAATGTTGTTGAGATCTTCCTTCGTCTATTGGATCACATATCGTAGGTGTATGCGGTTTCGGATACTTCAAGGACGACGTCGAATTGCAATCAAGAAGTGTGCCGGTCTCGGCCAGGTGCCAAGGTGTCAGATGGAAAATCGTGAAGTGTTCAGGTCCAGATTGGCTAGTTGGAACGTTTATTGCTTTCCTGCAGCATGTATTGCTTTGCGCCGCACTCTTTATTGCTTGCCCCACTTTAGAACCAGAATCGGGGGTTTAGTGTTGGAAGAGCAGCAACTTCGGAAATTTATTGGTGAGAATCTTATTGATACGTAAAAATCTATTTACAGATTGTTCGGTGCGTGAAGTGAAGTCCCGAGTCAAGGTAATTTTCACGGTCTTCGCCAGACCGAAGTCTTGCTGTTTTCATGAAGGCTTGACGTTTTGGTGTGCTTTCCCTTGGGATTTTCCTCCAAGTTTTGCAAGTAGTAAAAATTCATATTCCTTCTTGAGGACGAGGCTTGAGTATGAAGACTGAAGATGCTGAGCCAACGCTTGAGCGCCGTTCGACAGCTTGGTGGTTTCCTCTTTCAAATTTAGACCGTCGATTAAGTGACAAAGAGGGGAAACCTAGTCTGCCTAACATCGAGTACCCGGAAACTACATCATGACTCGTCTGGTTCGCTACACCCAAGGTTCTATGTCCACTAATCTCGAAATTATACTAGACCTCGCACTTCCCACGTTACAATTTATAAATCCTGATTCACCCTTCGAGGAGATTTTCTGCTCTATCAACAGGATCATCTCTCGTATATCAATTTTCTTTCAGCAGGCCTGATACATATACATACTCGTCCGTTTGATATCAAACAGTGCTCGAACTCACATACCAACTAGCAGAGATGCAGTTAGCAGGCCGTCTCACATATCTCACTCTTGTCCTCATGCTCCTTGTCCATGCCTCTCCAGTCCCAGGCAACAACGGGGGTCTTGATCTCGCTGCTCGAGATGATGCAGGAAGTCTTGAAACAAGAGACAACAAAGACTTCACTCCCGTATGTCCACTGCACAATCGTTGATTACAACTTGAAAAATTTACATTGCACTAACTTATCTAACTTAATACTAGGATCATTCATGTGCCGCAAGGTTTGATGAGTGCGCTAAGCCAGGCACCAAAATGCCGACATTGCTGGGCTATTATCTGTGGATGCAGGGGGAACTGGCGGCATCGCAAGATAAATACTTTCTTCCCTTAGAATACTAGAACGATTACGCGAACAAGAGACGGTCTTTATTCCACGTTCGCTTCATGCAGTGAACGTCGACCCAGCGCGAGTTGACTGCGCAAGCAAATTTCTCTTTTGATGTATTATAAATGGCGAAATCATAAAACTTTGATCATCTCGCAAAGTCATACGAAGTGCATATCACAGCGTTCGAGATTTCCTTGGCCAGGAAAGGGAACTTCATCGGCAGCCCGCACAATGCATGCTCGTCACGTGGGCTCAGTCACATCTCGTTTTTCGGAGATGACAGCAAACGAAGGAGGAACCCACTCTCATCTCAACCTCAACTACACTCCCTTGGAATCACCTCACATGCGAATAAAGGAATCGCTCATCTAATGCTTGGAAGGTAGGGAAAAGACGAGGATTTCTACCTGACTGGACTCCGAGCACCGGTTCACATGTCTCCTCGAAACCACATCATAATGCAGACAATCGTCATCAATCCATCTATCTAATTTGGTTCCAAATACAAGAGTCTTCTTATAACGCCCCGTCTCAAGAGTATCGCAGCAACTCCCTTCAGAGCAGCTCTGATATCCGACTTTCCACACATCATTAGACGTCCCGAAATCCGGAGCATCGGAGTCTATCCACTGATTCACCTACCATAACCTATGAACAAGTGTTAACATCGTCGATATCTCTCGCGTCAAGGTGCTCACCTGGATCGGTAGGATGTGGCTGAGGCTTTGGCTTGGGTCCACTGCTTGAGCCGTCGACATTCTTTGATCTCGAAACGTACGACGCGGTCTTGAACCCCAACAGGATCAGTCCCTGCCAAGTGATGGTATATCGTTCGTCGGTTTGTCGATTCTGCACGATTCTCTGGCTATATGAGAGAGGATTCCGAGTACTACGAGAGAAATACTGGCAAGTCAGGCCGGTCCTTGATGAGACAAGTTAAACTCACCTCTTCTACATCCATAATCTTTTTGTTTTCTGCAATACTGAATTTTGAAGCGGTATGAGGATACAACTCTTGCATAGGCACAGGGTTCATCAGGGCTGATGGGGTAGGATCGAGAAGATACTTGTTGCCTAGCTTTTCGCTGGGAATACGGCTTGTATTCGATAATTGTAATGTTGAAGATCTATCGTTACTGAGTTTTGGAGTCGCCATTGTTTCCTGATAGTTGATTGAGAGCGATCTAGTTTGGAATGTGCTTTTTTGGAAGCTTGGAAGCTTGGTTGCTGAAGCTCTTTCGATTTACCACTTCTCAGCGAGTTGCTCAATTGCATTGTCCTTATACTTTGCCGACCCTTGTAGCTTCTCATTGTGAGTGTTGAGCATCGAGTTATGTCGTCGGCACGCATATTCGTGTGTTGCATTTCGCTCTATATTCTTAACAACAGTAGTTGTGAACGAATGTATAGTGTACTCAGTGAGTAGATTTGGACGTGAATGATAATCTAGCAAATTTCTCGACAGACCTTTTCTGACGGCTTCCGTGCGTCACAGAACTTTGTGGTGCATTTGTCATGTCTCGGTCATGATAGAACACCTCCATAATGGCTGTGAGGTCTTAGATCTCAGCGGCTACCCCCACAACAATGATACAAAGCTGAGGTGTCGCTTCGAGGCCCCTCTGGTGAAGTAGGCGAAGACTTTCAGTCAAGTTTTCACGAGTATCGACATTTTGCCAACTCCGAGATATTTTTGTGTCTTGGTGGGTTCAAGAAGCTCAATGATTGGATTGGCAATTTTGAGCCGTGCTCAGAAAAAACTGTGGCTTGGGATCGCCCCCTCGGCTTGCATGCATCCTTGTCCCGTGTCGACGCAGTTACGGGATTCAGGACCAGTTGCTCTCCCGTCAGCATTGACGGGTTCCCGTGGACCTGCGTCTCTCACGCGCCTTCGTGAGTGGCGGCAGGCCGGAAGGCCTGATTTTCGATGTTCCATAAGCGGTAGCTTGTGCTTCACCTTCTTACACCGATGATGAAAATACTGAAAGCCATTCCATATGTACACAAAAGGCCTGTTGCAGCTCCTCAGAGTCCTATCGAACGAACTATACGTCCTCTGCGGTTATTTTTGCCACGCTAGGTTCTGAGGTGACTACGGAACAGGATCAGGCTCCCTGCTTCGAACTCTGGAGCCTTCTTTTGTCAATCTTCTATCAGCTAGCCGCATTCTTTTGTTTGCAGGCTATCATATATCACGAATCGTAGCACAGATAGAACACCGCATCTTTGTGTTTCTGCAAATACTCGCTGCATTCGACAGATCACCAGACAACACTACGCCTACGGGCAACGCCATGTCGAACTCGGAAGACAGCTTCAAACGCCCTGTGCAGGCTCCCGCTCCGGCCAAGTCTATTCAGCTGCCACAATATCTGTATATCGGATCCATATTATATCAGTATCGAATCTACTTGAGCTTCCATGAACTCATACGCTGGAATCATACCATGGAATACCCTCAAGACGAGCACCTGTTGATCACCGTGCCAGGTGGAGACAACCTGAAGCAATCAATCAAACGAAAGACTTCGGAAGTTCCGACACCACGAATTCTGGGAGTGCGTTACGGCAGATGCAGAGAAGCTTTCCACAACCATATCCACATCGAGGAAGACACCTCTCAAAAGAAACAGAAGCTGATCGCGGAGCCGTGTACATGTAGCCAGAATGGAATTTGTCTAGCATGTGATGAGAAATACCAGATGCATGTTTCTTCCTCTTTCAAATATCATGAAGAGGAGCTGACAGAACCTGATTTACAGGTTCCCCAATTCAGATATTCGAGATAGTCACTTGATGAACATGTTAAAATCAACTATAGTCGGCAATGCGAGCTCGCGGTACCCCGACTCTGATATGTCAAAGAGCGAAAGTCATCGCTCGCGAAGCATCTCGAGTAAATCATCTTCAAGGACAACCCTCTCCAGTAAGCCGCCCTGCCTCTATTTACACCTTTGCAGCTCTAATACAGTGCTAAAATGCTTCAACATAGGTCGGTCACCTTCTCTGGAACGGGACGACCAGATAGGTGGGGTCAGTCTCCAAACACCGGAACTCCCTATTGAGCAACAAATCCAGCACATGTCTCACCATATCGTTCCCGATGACGATTCCAGAGGAATTCAATATTTCGATACACATGACTCACTGGAGTGTGTCAACCCGCTATCTGATAGACCATATCTCTTGATTCCGGATAGCGAGGTGGGAGCAAGCACTTTGCAAGAACAGAACCCGTATCTAAGACCTTCTCCCAAATAATAATACTCATTGACCATTACTAGTCCAACATGTACAGTTATCGATGTCTACCATAGCCCAGATGACCCCGACGAAGTCGATCGCGTATCGACGACCTCGCACAGCACAAATAACACACCAAGCAGGACGTCTCAAGATGCAGAATCATCCATCATGGACTTGGACGACCCATCGACAGAGGGCGACAAATCGTCAGATTCAAAATCACTCTCCGAAACATCAGATCTCAGCGAGAAAGGAATGAGACCATCTCGTCGTACCAGATTAGAGCGCTTGATCAAAGATGATGTCCTCAGAAGCTCTCCCCCAGAAATTGCAGAATATGTGTATCAGGCCGTGAAGGGAAAGCTAGAATGCGCATCTCTAGATGATATACCACAGCGCGATGCCAATGGAGAGCTTTCTTTGCTTGAGCTCATTGAGCTTCAAGCTCTCACTTCTGTCACCTCGTCTCCGAAAGGGTTTCAAGAAACATACTCATGTCCGTCGAAGATTGGCCCCCAAGGAATGATCAATGCATCGCCCACCATCATCAGCCATAGTCCTTCTTCTTCGACATCCACCAGTGGCATAACTCCTTTGGCGCCCGGGAACTCTCAGACAGAGGGTGCTAGCTCTTCCTTGGGTAAGATAGCTCTTGATGAGAACCATACATCCTTGCATTTCATCAACGAATTCAGAACATGGATTTTGAAAACACTCTCTTTTTCAACAGCCTTATCAAAGTCCTACCTTGCTGTCTACAGATCTGCTGATATTTCGTAGGTGGGCTTAGTCACGAAAGTCCTACTTCGTTTCAAAAAAGCGACAAAGGTTCAGATCCCCAAAACAAGGCTCAAAAGAGTAACGGAAAATCAGCACCACATTCCAATTTACAGCAACAGTTAAGATGTCCCTTCAACGCGATGAAACCTGCGATATTCTGTGCCAATCCTGACACGAAGCAAAAATATCGAGTATGCGCTGGACCTGGTTGGAATACTGTTAGCCACCTGAAGTAAGCATCAAATCCTTAAGTTCAATTTCGGGTTAACATGCGTCTGACTGTTAAGGGGACACCTGAAGACTCACCATACGAAAGAAGAGAACTTGCCCAATGCCCTGCAATGTAGTCGTTGCCAGAACGAATTTTTGAATCAAGATGATCTTAGGGCCCATGATGAAGACGTTGATTGTCCTATTACATGCCCGATCTGCAAGGATGTGTTTGCAACAAAAGAAATGCGACAGCAACATCGTAAGCAGGCACATCAGGATGATTTGAGGGACGCTTTATATATGGAGATTGGTCAAGCGGGATGGAAAGCGATGAACGAGAACTTGAAACACTATACGGAGGCCCTCAAGAAAGGGAAAGGGAAGACTCCCATCAAACCAGAGCTCGAGCAATGGGTAGAGGCAAACAGAACTCGTTTCGAGACTGGACGATCTCCTAAGGCTAAGGCCAGTGCCAAACTCGAACTAGGCCAGTGGTATATCATCTTCACAACACTGAAGCGTCACGACACGATCATTCCTCCCCATCCTTGTAAGTAGTTCCATGATACATATGTTCATGACGATAACCGTTATTAAGTCTATGATCACGTCATACCCCATGGCGATTTAGCAGAAGAGAAGATCCTCCTCATCAGCGACGCTTTGATGGCAGGTCGGATCCAATATGGGATGTTTCCTCCCGAAGAGATATCCACGATTGAAGATGAAGCACAACGAGCTGATCGTTATTATCAATCATATTATAGAAGCTTGATCCAGGAAGCTTTGAGAATGGCCGCTAAAACCAAATTATCAGATCATGTAGATGAACCATCCCACTCACAATACGAAACATCCGTGCCGCTGGCTGGGCCGAGTTCACATGAGTTTCATAACTCGGACTACAACTTGCAGAATACTCTGCCGGGTTCCAGACAACATTCTGCATACGGACACGATGCGTTACCTGGCATGTCCAGCTACCTTCCAAACATCCAAGATCACGATGGGAGCATGTCCATGTCAATGGCGAACGCATCCTCGATGAACACAGAACTGTGGATGGGCCAATTTTCTGATCAGAACCTATCTTTGGACCTAGAAGCTGAGTTTAGTCATTTTCCAAGCTCGACTTCGGACTCCAGAACGGATCTTTCTAGCGCTTATCGAGCTGACTGGCCCGGACATCCTGGCGGTGGTTGAGATTGGTCTTTGTTAGTGTTGATGTGGATGACTCATCGTTCTCGGCTCAATATCATGCTCCTTTGTCTATGAGTTGGGGTTAAATTTCGAATTTTATGACAACTTTCACTTATCACAATACGTCTTCCTTGGATTCGACAGCACATTTAAGTCTTTTAAGATGATTCATCGAGTTCTCTGTGGCCTCCTTCGAAAATGAAACTCTTTCAGTAATAAATAACTTTCATATCCCCGAGACGTGCGTGCAAACACAAATAGACGATCGCCACGGAAATCGAACGAAGATAGCCCTTCATCGGGATAATCATAACAGCCTTACTCGCCTAGCCCCCTACGCAGAGGCTCGGCAGACTTCCCAATCTGATACTTGAGTTTTCGAATATTATTCGGACAGGTCAAAGTCAGATTCAAACCGAAGGCAATCTTATATTATTTCCGCGATCATTAATCGACGATCACTTGCCTTCAACGATGGTAGATGTCATTGTTATAGACGTTAATGCTCTCAAGTCTCAAGATTTCGTGATTTCCTGATTCGTAGCTGCCCATATGTCTCCCCAAATCTCGGCCTTAATGGGTCTTTGTCCTTGGCTGAAGTTATGCCAATGTGAGACGAGTCGTCACCTCCATACTCGACATAGTACTTGATACCGCCCTTTTTCTTCAACTCCTCCTGCAGTTCTTGCTCTGAATAAGCACAGATATTCATTCCCAGATCCTCTTGAATACACTCTACCACATCTAACATGGCTCTGTACTGGCCCAATCGTCTGCCCTTCCGACACAACTCGCTTTTTCGATTCATGAGAGTCCACACAGCGTAAGTCCCGAGGAACCAGAGAAAATTGATGATGGTGAATGCGAAGACAATACTCGACGAGAACCCCCATTGGTAGACACCAGTGGCTACACACTGGACATTTTCGGGTATGTTGAACCACATTTGTGGATTGTAAGATTGGTTCTGGAAAATGTAAACGGGATAGGCGACCACATCTTGGTAGTAGATAGGCTCATAAAAGTCTTCGGCTCTGTAAACTATACCATGAAATTAGCACACCTTGGCGGTTGAACCAGAAGATCTTACTCTGATTGAAGTAGTTCCACAAGGTTATATTTGGACCAGTTTCGAGTACGATAGACACCAAAGTCCTGTTTAGATAATTCACTTGAAAGGCAAGGTTGGATGGTGAAGTGATGTTTGAAATGTCAACATAGCCTTCACCTGTCTTCAACTTGACCAGAGTGTTACTTTCGGCGACGTAACCGGTCATTGCATTGGTGATGGTGGGCCAAAGAGCCACCCAAATGATGCTCAGCACGATCCAAAATAATGCGAGCCTATTCCGGAAACCGAGTTTGGCGAAAAGGGACTTCGTCGTAGATCCTAAACATACAAGAGATGGCAATGATAGGGACAGCGAAATGAACAGTTCGTAAGAGACAGATTGAGTTTCCATGATTCGGAAAAGAGCAGCAGTATGAACTCGGTAGGCGATCCAAGCCAACATTGCTTGACCGCAACGAGAGAATCCAATATCCCACGTAAGATCAATAAACTTCGCCATGCCGAACGACAATTTTCCGAACACTGTGTCGATATTCAAGATCGTGGAAAAATTGTCGTCAGAATAGAGCTCAGAAGATCCAGATCCGATCGTGCAATAAGTAGCATCCAACGCGATACCCTCGGTCCCATTGGCAATTAGAACCAACATTGACATACCAATAGGAATCCCAACAAATATTAACGTAATTACTGCCGTCGCGATGTGCTCGAAGACATTCTATCGTAGGGTAGAGGGTCTCGTGCGTGGTGCCTCTGCCCCTGCTTAGGCAAGGCAGCGTACGGTCCGAGGAGCTTGTGTCGTGACTCAAGCTCGATGTCGTCCATACTTGCAAAGTAGCTTTGATCGAGACACGAGTCGGACTTATAATTGGAAAAGAAGAATAAGGTCTATGTTGGATCGGGAATTCTGCTGGCAAAAATGATGCCAACCCCATGGTGAGGCTGAGTTTGGCCAGATGTGGCACAGCGGTAAACAATAGGTTATTGCAAGGCCAACTTGTCGGCAGCGTCCAACATATTCCATAGCTACGCCACGACCGCTGATTCGTAAAAATGCATGAACCAGGCTCGCGGTGGACAGAAAAACCCGGACTAATTAAGCGATGGTGTGAGCAACACCCTCTTTTCAATTCTTAATTTCAATTTTTAGAAAAATCGCAAAAGTAAAAGAATTAATCTATTAAATACTCGAGATCCGAGTCTATTATACACTATAATTTCATGAACATGTGTGAAGTATTGATAATTAAGTAATGTTGTGGAAGAAAGCATAGTTTTGTTGGGGTGTCTATTTAGTCCGGGTTTTTTTGTCCACCGTGAGCCAGGGTAGGCTGCAACTTTTCTTGAGATTACCAAATGCGAATGTGCCACCAAACCTCCATTGAATCGCAAATACATGTAGTGTTTCGAGTTTTGCCTGTTGCAATATTTGCACATAGAGTAATGATTTAATGCTATGTTAGAATACGTAAGGTATCTACAGTAGGTTAAGGCTCAGCGGTACATACCAGTAGTTGCTGGCCATTGCCATGCTCGATGCCAAGATACAGATCGCAGATGCGATAGCGGACTCTCTTGGAAGCAACAATAGTGTTTTGGCACCATTTTTTCTCGTCATATGTCGTCTGAATTGAAGCAAAGAAATGGTTCTCCTTGTTTCGTTTCGTGAGGCATCGTCTTCGTTCATCTCTGTCGTTGCACCCGTCGGTTCCTTCCTCGTCCGCATCGTCCCTCCCCTTCCGACACAACGCACTTTCTCTTTTCATCACAACGCCTTCCCAGTTTCAAAACACCAGCAAGTTAGTATCCTCGTCCGTATTTCAAAATTCTTCTCTTCACCTGTTGTTTTTCTTTCGACCCCCTCCTTCACAGCAGCAAGTTCTGAGCACATCCGCATTCATTACAGCTCGACTCCAATGCCATCTAACACCTAATTATCTGCTCCTCTGCCTTTTAGGGGCATCTCTCAGTCGCTTGATCGCTGTTGAAGTCTCTCTTCTGATCACCACACGATGGGAAGATCATAGAGACAGGCGGTTCTATCAACGACCTCATTCAACTACCCACCAAGCGATGAAAAGATGTAATGACCGAGGTAGGCTTGGGATATTGCAATATATGTACACTCTCACCGGCCGGCATGACTTATGTTTGGGTCTACTCTGCATGCCTCGGATGTTCCGACCTCGTTGGCGGTGGTACAGCCTCTTGCTCTGTGAATTGCAACCAGTATGATGTTCAAGAAACGTGAATGCTATAATCGAGAGGGTGAACTTCTTTAATGCTCCTTTCCAGACACGACCAAGTTGCAAAGATTTCCTGTAAAGTCCAGGGCGCTCAAGATGAAAGCCAAAGGAAGCAAGCACTCTCAAGGCTAGAAAAGGTGAAGTGGGGACAGTCTTGTCCCTGACACCAGTAAGAGCGTTTCCTCCAAGTCGCAGGTATCTCCATCTCTGAATGATACTTCACAAGACCCGAAACCTTCTCGGGCCGACATGCTATCGCCACTACGCTACCAGATCTTCAGGGAATGCACTGCATATTCAACTATTCTCCATATCAAACACTAGCTTGCGTTCTCTCACTCAGCTTTCTTCGATGAAGATCACCAAAATTTTATCAAATAGGTTTTTAAGAGACAAGAAAAGAAAGACGTAGATGAGACTACATACTGCTATAGCACTCATAATAAGAGCACTGCTCTAGACTATCCAATTGTATCGATGGACTGACTCGACCGAACAAAATGGCACGTGGCATATATTTCTCGCCAAAGCCCCTTTTTTACATCCGAATAAAGACCGTGAAACTCCGTGGCATAACGATGCACTCCAGTATACTTAATCCGGGGTCAGCTGAGCCCCAATGGTGGAACATTCTCCATCTCCGCACGTCATGAAGAACAACAGATTGGGGAGAAGAGTCATGTCGTAGAGAAAGGCGAAGAGCGCAATGTTCTGAAACAGGACATCGGCCCGCGTGTCTCCCGAACATCACCCGTGCAAGGTGCACCCCATCTGCAACGATGAGAACTCCACTGGCGTCATCCACAAAGTCAGTTATTCAGCCACTGAGCCTCTAACAGACAGCCTTACCGGTGCTTTAGGGAAGGGTTTTGAAGGCCCTTGCTTCGTGTACGCCACGTCGCCTGAATTTCTCCAGATAGGAACCCCTTGCAGCAATCCATATCTGATGTCACGGCATCCAATTCGAAACAAGATATCCCCGTATTGTTTACACATGTTTATTCTCCACGCATTAAGATGAATGTATAAAGAAGAGTCGTGGACCATGCGGTACCATCTCATTTCTCGTCCTGGACGTGCTTCCTTTCATCCACCCTTTAGGCACTTAACATTCTTCCGACAACGTCGAATCGAAATGGCTCCTTATTTCGGATTGACTGGAGGTTGGCTAACGTTCTGGGTTACTGTGGCTTGTGCCACGGATATGACACTATTCGGATATGATCAAGGTGTCTTTGGTTCGTCTCATTCCAACTTCCTTGGAAATGCTCCTCCTACTAACAAGCAATAGGTGGAGTAATTGTTACCCAAGATTTTCTGGACACTCTCAACCTCAATGGCAAGACAACACTCATTGGCACTGTCACAGCCCTATACGACATAGGCTGTTTCCTTGGAGCAATCTCTGCAGTCGCCTTGGGTGACCTCCTTGGAAGGAAAAAGACAATTCTCTTAGGTACCAGCATTATGACAATAGGAGCTATCATGCAAATTGCTGCTTTCAACGTTCCTGTCATGATTGCAGGGAGAGTCATTGCAGGAATCGGTAACGGCCTCAACACTTCAACAGCTCCTGTCTGGCAATCCGAAACCTCTAAAGCAAGCTGGAGAGGCAAATTGGTCGTCATCGAGATGATTCTCAACATTGCTGGCTTCTCCTTGTCGAATTGGATGACATATGGCTTCTCTTTCGTTGGCGGGCCAATCTCATGGCGCTTCCCACTTGCCTTTCAGCTCATCTTCATCTTGATTCTCTTTGCAACAGTGCCATGGCTGCCAGAATCTCCTCGATGGTTGATGGCACATGGTAATGTTGACCAAGCGCGACAAATCTTAGCTGACATCGAAGGCCGCAATGTCAACGATGACTTGGTAACGCAAGACGTCAACGATATCCAGTTCGCAGTCAACTACGAAAAGGAGCATGGCGTATCTTGGGGCGATTTGCTTCGCGGAAGAGCTGGTGATCAAGCGGGCACATCCACAATTCGTCGACTTGTGCTCGGAATGGGCACTCAGATCATGCAGCAACTTTCAGGTATCAATGTCACCTCTTACTATCTTCCCACAGTCCTCATCTCTTCTGTTGGACTTTCCAACAGTCTTGCTCGCCTCCTGGCTGCGTGTAACTCCGTCTCGTACCTGTTCTTCAGCTTAATTGGTGTTCCCAACGTGGAACGTTGGGGTCGAAGGAACTTGATGATGTACGCAGCTGCTGGCCAAGCATTTTGTTACGTTTTCATCACAGTTCTCATCCGGTATGCTGAGATGCCTGGATACGAGCATCAAAAGGAAGTCGCATCCGCTTCTGTCGCATTCTTCTTCCTGTATTATGTCTTCTTTGGCATTGGTTGGCAAGGTGTCCCGTGGCTGTATCCGACAGAAATCAATTCTCTTTCCATGCGAACAAAGGGCGCCGCGCTTGGAACGGCGGCGAATTGGATCGTAAGTAACTCCTATTGTTTTGGTTGAAAACTGTCCTTGAAGCTAATCCATCAAAGTTCAACTTCATGGTCGTCGAGATCACACCAATCGGCATAGAATCTCTGGGGTGGCAATTCTATATCATCTGGACGGTCTTCAACGCCGCTTTCGTCCCCATCGTCTATCTTTTCTACCCTGAGACAGCGGACCGAACTCTCGAGGATATCGATCGTCTCTTCCGAGAGAACGGTGACATTTTCATCTTCAAGGATCCGAATGCCATCTCGGCGAAGAGACCTCTTGCTTATTCCGAAAGGGAAGATTTCGATGCGAGAATGGATCCTGACGGATATAGTCTTCGAGGTGTCGTGTCGAAACATGGCAGCGGGAAGGATAACCCCGTTGGTAACGAAGGTGTTATGGTCGATCATGAAGAGGAGGCGCCATACGGAAGGCGGTGGAGCTAGATTGATTCCATGTAGAGATGGATATATAAGTCTTGTGCGGAGTCGGGAAAAATTGCCTGTTGCATTGCATCGGAGTTTTATATTGCGCTGTTCCATACATGTAGAGGCATTTGAGAGCCCAAAGAATTACAGACATTTTTCTTCCTTGTTGTGCGTTAGCTTCTGGTTCTGTTTGTTGCATTCATGGCCTGTAAAATGTACTGACAGTTGAATTTTAGAAATATGGGCTCGGTTGGACTTGGTCTGCTCAAGAGCAATATATCAAGGCTTTTGAGATAACTTGAAAGGAATTGATAACATGATATTGTCTCTGATTAAAATGATATATTATAATGAAGTGCTGTACTGTCAGAAAACTGGTTATTGCACCCGAACCTGTTTGTCTCAATGTGTGGTCGGTCAGCTTGTCCCACGAGGAAATGGGACCCTACCTCTCGACCTTCTTATTAGACAACCATGTCTTGATACTCGCTCCTGGACAAAGCGTCGTTTCAACCTATACTTCGCCAGAAGGTCTTACTTCCGCAATCTCCATCCCATCAGTCCTCACTGGCCCCTCCACATTTCCCTTCTCTGTAGAAGCTTTTACATCACCAGCCTGCTTGCTAGTGATTCCTCTCTCCCGTCTATAATCTCTCAACTCAATATGGACCAGATCTCCATACGCCGTCCCAAAGATCTCATCCATTCTTTCTAATGTTCTCCCTTTTGTTTCTGGAAGGAGGAAGAAGACGCCAGTACCCATTATGGTTATACATGTTGCGAAAAAGAAAAAGAAACCTCCGTGGAGAGCACTGAGCATGGATGGTGAAGCGCGGGCAACGGCGAACTGGGAGAGCCATTCTGTTGTTTGAAGAGAGTCAGACGATCAGAGAACTTTGATGCAGGAATATGGATGGAAAAAGTAAGAAAGTAAACTCGTACGGGAAGCGACGATGAGGCACATAGCGAGCTCCTTTATACGAGATGGGAAGATTTCGGCACAGTAGACCCAGACTACTCCGTTCCAGGCTATGGAAAAAGATGCCTAGTCTCATGTCAGCTTCGAGTCACTTGCTTTCAGTTCCTTCGTCCTCATGTCTCACACTCGAGCGATGCAATGGAAGTGAAAAGCAGGAAACGTACAGCATATATATAAACACAGACAATAGCCACCCAACCAGGAACACTCTTCTCCTGAGCTTGAGTGAGGTCGATGTGTTTCGCAGTGACGAAACCACCGATATACCATAAAGCCAACGATGTTCCGATCGAGGATGCTATCAGCAATTTTCGTCGACCTGCACGGTCGATGAAGACTACAAGAGCGAGTATCGTTGCGACAGTTTTAACGAGGGCGTACATGCCTGTGGCAATTAGGTCGATACTAAAAATTAATACAGGAGGGGAACACTTACCAGAAGCCAAAAGTACCAACTTCGTCCCACTGAAGCCGATACTCCTAAAGATCTCAGGCGTATAGAAGTTCATACCATTAATACCTGTTAAATTCTGTCCGAACATTAATCCTAGCCCAATCAATACCCGATTCCTGTTTCCCTTCCACCACAGCTCTCGGAACAGCCCAAGTCGACTCTTCTCCTGTCCTGGGACCGGGATAGGAGTATCCTGTCGCTGAATTGCTTCGAGAATCTCTTCCATTTCGAGGTTGATGTATTCGTGCTCTGGTTCCAGGTGTCGAACGAAAGAGAGGACCTTTCGAGCCTGAGACTCTTTTCCTTTCTTGACCAAGAAGCGGGGAGATTCTGGCAAGATGAGCAGTGAAGCGATGATTAGAAGAGCTGACGGAATGATTTGCATGGCAAGGGGGATTTGCCATTGTCGACTTGCGGTGCCCGGAATATATTCGTTGACTATGTAGTTGCACCAGTAGCCCATCAGCGAGGAAAGTTGGTTGTTAATTTCGTAGATGCCAACTAGTGAGCCTCGGATTGAAGGAGGTGAAAGCTCAGCAATGTACTAAAGAGAGTCATTAGCAGGAAAGGTGTAATTGCACGAGTAATATAGCTGTGGTGAAATGCGAACCAGAGGGACTGTGACCGTAACTGATCCGGCCCCGAGACCAGTTATGAACCGGCCGGCGTACATCATGGAAAGATTGCCGTAAGAAACTGTCTGTTGTTCTGTCAGGATCATCTACAAAGGGACAACGAGGAAGCGAACCTGTAACAGAGCGCCAAGCAAAAACACCACAGCAGCACAAGCCAATGCAATTCTTCTGCCATAATGTTTCATACAGGGAAATGTCGACATGGCACCAACAAGACCTCCAATTTGTAGCAAAGAAACGATATTCTCAATGATATTATTGTATGAAGAGGTGCCAGAGTCAGGAAGGTGGAAGTCACCGACGAAAGCTGGAAGGACGAGAACTCCTGCTATGACACCGTTGTTGTAGCCGAACATCCAGCTGCCGAGACAGCAGGAAAAGGTAAGAAGATATATTCGATAATTGTAGACTTCTTTGGGGGTAGGACGGTCTTCGACAGCGCGAGTGAAACCCATTATTGCGGTTTGAAAAGAGTATTTGTCTTGAATGAATATAGTTGATTAAGCACTTGAGATGTAAATTGGACTCATTGAATGCTGCGTTAATAGAACGAAAGAAGGAGTATAGCAATGCAGAGTATAGCGTATTTCAGACAAGTCAGTCTGGTTCAAGGAGTATTTGCTAACTCTCTGAGTATTAGGTGAGGGGATATGAAGGTAGAAATAGAAGAGGGGTTACTTAACCACTCAATGGGCAAAGCGACAACGGGATATCGTGCTGCTGATCAACATAAACGAGAAAATAGAGAGGCCGAATATGCATTATTTGTGGAGACTTCCAACTCGAATCTAGAAGTTCTGTCATGGACTTCAGTGAGTGCGCCGCGGGGAGAGGCAACATGAATCATAATTTGGAAGGTGAGGCGAGGTCATTGGTTCAGGAAGCATCCTCACAAGATTGGTGGTGAGGGCATCTATGTAGCTGCATTGTCAGTCTTATGCAGCGACACCGAGATCGGAGGAAAACTTACAGTTGAGAGGTTGCTGGCTATCACGAGCTGGTAGAGGCAAGACTTAGGTAGTGTTCAAAAGCGGGTCTGGTCTCTTGGCATTCTGTTCCGTCTACACGCGGAACCCGGAAATGAGTAAGCACATCGTTCATTGCATGTTGTTTTGTCTAAAGTATGATGATGGTAAATGCATCATGCCATTCCTGGCTTCGAAACCCCGCTTTCAACGCTGACCGTACTTTTGAATGCTGCGGTTCATCGTGATACCTCGAGTCGAGGATCCTTAGCTGCTGCTATTCAATCCCTCCATGGACCATGCCTTTCCAATGTCATTGATGCTCTAGACTTTCCTCCAGTCCGTCATGCATCGTCCAACGCTACCAAGTCCTGCAACCTCGACAACCTTCTCGTGCCATGAGAGTAGTACGCTCATAGCAGCACCACTGCTCTCATTTCCTGCCCCTGGTCTGCCGCCCATCTGCGAGAAGCCGGTACTTTGAGGTGTGAGGGTCGAGCCGCGAGTAGGAGTTTTGCTGGTGCTAGAGGCAGCCATGCCTTTGTACCTAGAACATATAGACAATTAACATGCTGTCATGAACTGCCTTACACCATAGACTGTGGATGACAACAGACAACGTGTCATCCATGAAAGAGTGACCAGCAGAGCATCAATTGTGTTCCCAACTCACAAGTATTTCATCAGCACATCCAATGCTTCACTTCCTCCCTCGCTTTGGAAAATACGTTGCAGCATGGGAGTCATCTCGCTCGCCTTGATGCTTTGTAAGACTTCCGTGACGGTCTGGAGGTGGATTTCCTGTTGATAGAATAATCAGTACCAATCTCATCAATATTTCTTGCCTCGCACAATAATTCTTGTCCCTCATATTGTACCACACAACGAGAGTCTCCCCCAGAATCGCGGAGTCCAATCCAAGCCCCTAATCTCCTCTTCCCATTCATATGCACCTTGTGCTCAAAGGCCGCTGAAAAGAAAGCAAGAATCGGGTAGAGTATACCTTAACGGCCACATCTCCGCCGTAGGGCGCACTCTCTAACGCCCCTCTCAATGCCCCCTCGGCATCTCCTCCCCTCAATAGTTGTCTGACCTGCTGTCCAATGTTCCTCGCCTCACTATCTGATACAGGTGCGAAGGCTGGGTGAAGTGTGGAGGTGTCGAAGTTGGAGGAAGATTCCGGATCGAGGGCATCGATGTTGATCGTACGCCAGTTGTCGTTCAAGGTCGCGTTCGAGACTTGTTGGATTATTGACATCTTGCAGATTTGTTTCGATTTGATCTGCAATAGAAGGGAGAGAATAAGATTGTGTATTGGAAGTCTGCTTTAGAGGGGTAGTGGGGTTGCTTTTGCGGATGAGGTGGAAGTCTCGGGTGGGAGGTGGGAGACTGTGGGTGCTTATCGTTGGTCTCGAACGGACTTATGGCGAAGATTGACCAAAGCTGAGAGTCTCGATGTGTCTTCTTTTTTTCAAGTCCGTTGTCTGCCGTTCCGTCTTGTTGCTGATCTGTCTTGGTGTTGATATCTCTCGGAGCCTCAGACCGTGCAGCATCATCAGTCCGGTAACCTTCTGAGACCAGTACCGCAATTTGTCTGCATCAAGTGTCTCAGCTCTCGTCCAATTCAACTCCAGCACGACTGAACTAAACTCATTCCATTTCGCTGAAGTCGAGACACATACGCTCTGCTCACTTGTCGATGTAGAGTCTTACAGCGTCTTGGAGCTGTCTGTGACATCATCAACTCACTTTGTTGATTGCGCAAGGCTTCTGTTACCGAAGGAGTTGTAAGGAGTTGTGCTCCAAATCATCCGTAGATATCAACATGAACGAACAAGTGCTTTCATGAGAAGAGAGAATCAAAGTTTGTTACATGTCAAGCAAATTGATTACTACATCTTCGAAGATGATATGTTCTTTCATTCGCATCATCAGTGCAGTTCTTCGTAATATATCTCACTTCTTGTGCATTGTCACTGCAAGTGTTTCTCGCATCTACACCCTCCGTCCACTTCCACAAGCTCATATTGTTCCTTCTCTGCCCTACTTTCGATTTCTCATATCTTCCAGAATCCCTCTAACACCAGCAAAATCCAACTCTTTCAACGTCTCGTCCCAAAGTCTGTCAATCACAGGTTGCCCTTCAGACTCATATACCATGTTCGCAAATCTGCCAAATTAGCTTCCACGATCTTCTGAGGGGGACAAACTTACGGCTTGATATCCCAATCCATCACAAAGCATCCATGGGACTCCTGTCCCTTCAGGATTGCAGCATCAACATAAGTTGAAGCCCCAACTTCCAAATTTCTCCCCAAGAGCCTTTCACCAATTGCTACAACTACTCCAAATACACCTTGCGCCTCCCGATTAAGACCCGAGCCTTTGCAAAGTCCAGGATCCACAAGATTCACAACAACATCATCGGCACTGATATAGTCCACCAGCCTCACGAAGAACAAATGTCCCAACAGTTTCGAGCACGCGTATCTCTGATCTGGGACAAATCCCTCGACCTTATCGAAGGAAGGTAAAAGTGGAATCTCGTTTCGATTCAAGAATGTTGCCCGATAACTCGTCCCAGAGTTGACGATCGTCAGACGACCAGCAGTCGACTTGGCCTTCAGAGTCGGCAGCAAGAGAATAGCGAGGAGCATAGTGGACAGGTAGTTAATCTGCATCACTTCTTCATGTCCTGTCTTAGCATTGGTTACAAACTCCATCCTTGCGAGCCCCGCGTTGAGGATGGCAATATCCAGTCTTGGCAAAGCAGCAGCTCGTCGCGCGAAGCTTTGGATCGATTCATATGATCCCATTTCCAGCTCCCAGACTTCGATCTTGGCTTTGGGGTATTGCTTGCGGAGCTTGGAGGCAGCTTCTTCTCCTTTAGTGACGGAGCGTACGGCCACGATGAGATGTGCCAACTTGAAGGAGAGAAGTTGGCGGGAACTGTGGAAGCCGAGGCCGGTGTTGGCTCCTGTGATGATGGCGACTTTCCCGGAGAGGTCTGTGGTCTTAGGTGCCCATTTGGGCTTTCCGCAGAATTGGGATTTGAGAAAGATGGTGCCAAATCCTTCCTTGTAAGGTGGCAGGTCGATAGACTTAAGAGGTGGCATATTTGGTGTCTTGAGGGTAGAGTTGAAGAGCGGCTTGGAGTGCAAGTTTGACTGTTTGAGAGATGGTGACTTATGCTCACGAAGATGCTCTTGAGTAGAGAAAGCTGTGTGATACAGTGAGAGGGAGGGAAGGGCTGATATATCTCCTCAATCGCCGGGTCGCTTGTGAGTAAAATCAATCTGGCGATTGGGAGGATAATCCCAAACTGTCGAAACTTATCTCCGAAGCACCAAGCTGAGACTTCTCGGAAATCGTAACTATTGCTATACAATAGAATGGAATTAACATACTCCCGAAAGACAGAGATCTTAATTCCACCGAAACGTCGGCTTCAATTCCATTGCTATCATAAAGAGAAATATGCTGGAAAGACGACTGCGGACTGGTCGAAGATGAGCAGAGCTATTCCCAAAAAGGTCAGCAATCTGGTCTTGGCACTTCTGCATGACCGCCTCGTGCCGAAGTTTGAAATCTGGGGCCAACTAACCTCGAAGTGGATGACAGTCTTGGTCTTGGCGCATATATTCTGGTTCGGATCGCTAGCCCACCTCTTCTAACCTTCAACACTCATTTTGGGTGAGGGTTGGTAAAGATACTGATAAATTTTAGGAACTACTTTCAATTCAACAAATAGGAGTTAACGACGGCTAGGATTACTGTATTCAGGCGAAAGTGCAACGCCTTTCGTGCCAAATGGTTCACATTGGCATTAAGAAATCACCCCCGAAGCTGTGTGCTGAGGACAATCCTTTCATTGTTAGCACATCGTCTGATAGGACCAACTCGGCAGCAAGGAGATTAATCCGAAGCCATGTGATGCGAGGAAAGAATCGTCGAAAGTCCCCATCGTCCTCCATGAAGACGGGAGCTTGGCTCAACAGCGGTACTTGCAGCGACGAGGAACTTGTCTCTGCTCAAAGAGAGTGCATACTATCTGGTCCAGGGCTAGGATTCTTTGGATCAGGGCTTCGTCTCATTCCCTTTGCGGATGATATGCAACCGTACATGCTGGACCTTGTCTTCAAATGCAAGTCTTCATCCTGACCACTTGATCACACAGTTAACAGCTCCCTAGTCTTCACCATCCTTATGCAAGCCATGTATCCCATCCAACTATGCCTTTCCGTTGACTCGAGGAACACAGTATGGATGGAGTATCTCCAGACCGACACCATGTTTCTCCACTCCCAACTCTGGCTCGCACAAACCTACTTCGACTGGACCCAAAACCGTCCCCCCTCCCGCCGCGCCCTCCTCCACGAAAGCAAAACCCTCCACCTCCTCCGCCACCGCGTCACCGACCCCTCAACCGCAACCTCAGACCAGACCATTTCCGTCGTCGTCACACTCGTGAACATGACCGCTCTGTCCGGCCACAGAGAACTGGCCCGGAAACACATGGCCGGGTTATCGAAAATGGTTTCCGTGCGGGGAGGGCTGAGAGCTTTGAGGGAAAATACGCAGCTTCAGCTTAAAGTCTGCAGGTATTTTCTTTCCTCCTTTTCTTTCCTCCTCTTTCTCACGATTTCGACTTACGAGGTTCTCTGTCTTGAAGAGCAGATCTAAGCACCGCCCTCTCAACCGACATCCCACCATTCCTCTTCACCGCGCCCCAGATCTCCTGGTCGCCCTTCCTCCCCTCATCTCCCTCCCCCTTAGCACCTCCTCTCCCAAACCTCGACGCTAAACTCCTCGCCATCTACCACGATCTGCACACTTTTTCCCAGTCCGCAAACCTCGCTTTCCAATCCGCCTCCAAGCTTCCCCCAGAACTGTTCCAGGAAATCCTGATTTCAACGCAATACCGACTCATGTTACTCTCCTTCCCCGCTGATGGTTCAGCGTTGGAGCTGCTCAGGCTGGGCATGCTAGCGTTTTCGACGAGTGTGTTTCTGCAGGCGCGGGGGATTAGGGTGAGGTATGAGGCGTTGGCGGGGTGGTTGAGGGATGCTGCTGCGGCGCGGGAAGAGGAGGGAAGGGGAGCGGATTTGGGGATTTGGATTTTGTTCATGGCGGGCATTTCGGGGGGTGAGGAGGAGGATGGGTGGATATTGCCGATGTTGAAGACGGAGATGGGGAATAGAGAGATGAGGGAGTGGGGAGTTGTGAGGGCGCTGTTGAAGCGGTATCCGTGGGTTGATGCGCTGCATGATGAGGTTGGGAAGAGGATTTTTGGGCGTGTGGAGGTCGTGGATACAGCGTGATGTTTCTTGTTAGCGGGGAATGAAACGAGTTCTGAATAGAGTAAACAATTCCGTCCATCTATCACATTATCATTATCACTCGCTACTAGCTCACCTATCTAACCCCTTTCCTTTCTCCTCCCTCCCAAAATCACGTTCCAAACCCACCATCCACCCATCCACCCGTCCCTCACAACCCCCACGCCATCCCACGCCAAACCAACCACCCACCTTCCCAAACCCAACCCACCCAAACCCCACGCACGCATCCCATCCCGTCGCCATTCTAGAAGCATGCAAAGAACAAAACCAGGAACCCACCCACCGCCCACCCTCCCGGGTCACCCATCTACCCACCTCCTGCATGGAGATCGCCGAACCTGCATACGTGCGATGCGGGATTTGAGATGAACTTCTTATCATGACGGACTGGGATAAGGACGGAAGGAAAGAAGGAGAGGAGAATTTGTTTTTTTCGTTCCCGTTTCCGTGGGTGGCTGGCAGGCATGTTGTCAGGGAACGGGTTGCTGGGTCCGTGGCGGAAATGATGGGTCGTATTTTTTTTCGTTGATTGGAATTTTTGTGAACGTTGCTTTTTTTTTTAGTTTGCGAAATGAAGTAGAGGAGGGAGGGTATTCTGGAGATGAGGTTACGGAGAAGAAGGTCCGAAGTCTTTTATTAATAGTGATGATGATATTCGACGATTTCATTTTCTCACTGCTATCATAGTGGAAGAAAAGGTTGAAAAAAAGTATTAAGTAGATTTCGTATTATTCTATCTCTCACTCACACAATACGGATCCCTTCTTCGCAGAAGGGACCTCTCTCTCGTACAGGAAAATCTAAAATTATGGATGGGGGGTATCTGCAGCCTTTTCTTCTCGTCTTCTCTTCCGAATAAAAAACACAGATAAATCGAATCCATCAGGAGCCAGCCCATTCAAGAAATAAAAAATAATATCTCGACGAAGAGAAAGAAATCGAGCCGCGAGGCCACAAACAAAAAATCTTTGACGACAAACAGAAAAACAGACAGAAGAGCAGATAGACAAGATATTTTCCAATACAGATACAAGAGCTGCCGCGCCGCCCACCCGCGAGAGTGAGCAAGCAGCACGCATACATTTCATTCCCTCCATCCATCATTCCTTCCAAACCAAAGAAAATAAAACAGCAAAAGTCTATATGCGAACAAAAACACGATTCTCTTTTTCCCAACCCGCGCGCGCAACATTTTTGGCTCCCAGTACAGTGATGACGATGATGATGAATGACCCATTTTATGTAACCGATGATGATATGAAATGACAGCAATGAGGATGATACAAATGAACAAGGAAAATGGAAAGAGTACAAGAAACAAGAAAAGAGCCAACCCCGATTTTTCTAATGCATAACGCCCTGCCAGTAGCCCAGATGATGATTGTCCCAAAATGATATGCGCTGCGAAGGAAGAAACTTTTTGTGGTTTGTGGCGGTCGGTCGTGGTGGATCAAGACGCTTCGCTGCTGCAAGGAGGTGGTATTTTGTGACGAGAGTGCTGGAATGTTGGTAGGACAGTGTTTTGAACGAACGAATGGAAGAATGAGAATCGTCGCAGGTCGTTGGTATTGAGTGTAATGTACAGTTTGGAAGGCCAGATCGATGCGATGCGTGAGTGATATTAGAAGTTGTTGTTGACGGTGCCAAATTGTGTATCGAGAATGGTAATTGTTGTAGCAGATGAGGACGGAGGGTTCTTCGCAAGGGAGGGAGAGATGTCTCTGCGAAGACGGTTGGTTTTGCGACGGATCGCGAAGATCTGATGTGATCTTGATCTCGAAGAGATTTCGTGTGATCGATCGGTGGGAAAGGGAGATCGTTATCTAGGCTTTGGTGGAGGAGGTTTTGGAACTCCTGTTGTGTCGTAGGCACCTCTTCCCATATTGCACGATTGCACCTCTCTGGTAATCATCTTGAGATGTGTATTTGAAGTCTGCTAGAAAGAAAGAAAAACATCTTGAGTCAGCGACCGAGGTACTAGCAAGAATATATATGATATGTTGCCTGGGTGGTGGTGGTGGTGGTGAGATTCCGCAATTTCACAAGTCAAGAAAGGGGTGGCCAACTTTGGATCTCTCCCGAATCTTTTTTTGATGTTTGCTTACTCTCGGGGCGTTGGATTGGGTTGGGTTGCTGCTGTCTGACTCACCTTGCTTTTAATGGTGTAGGTAGCTGCGCAAGGCTGTCTGCTGCCTCCTGAAAAGGGGCGATGCTTCCGAGTCGTCAAATAAAATAAAAATTCGGTGCTGCGACTGCTGCAATGTGATGGTGATGACAACTGATTTTTCCTTCGAGAACGATATGCGACGCAAGCGAGCAAAAAGAGATGATCGAAAAAGGATCGTATGGGTCGGACAGGCCGGTATTATTATGAGTCCCGTTAAGATTTGGGTTGCTTTGACAATCTGAGACTTTTGCGACAGTGTCTGCGACGGCGCGACCAGATCTGGGCGGGAGCTGTGACTTTAATGCCGGGGGGGGGGGGGGGGGGGGGGGGGGGGGGGGGGGGGGGGGGGGGGAGGGGGAGTGGTGCTTACGCCGGGGAGTGCGGAGGAGTGGATTGCGGGGGGGGGGGGGGGGGGGCTCGTGTAGTGAGTTCTAGTGTAGCCGAGATGGGAGATGGGAAGGGAAGGGAAGGAATCCTGCGTGAACTGCTGCCGGGAGAATAGTGGATGATTGCTGGTGGATAGAGGCAGGTCGGCGCAACTTTTTGGTTTAGGAGTGTCGGCTGCTGGTGTTGATGAAGGATATCTGCCTTGATGTATGTGTGTGTGATGATGCTGACGATGAGTGTACTGATGAGTCGGTGGGTGAGTAACAGTATATGCAGGCGGAGAGGTGCAGCGGTGCAGGTCGAGAGATGCAAGTGCAAGTGCAAGTGCAGTGCAGATGGGAGAGTGCAGCAGGAAACAGGAACAGGATCCGATCCAAAGGAAGGGCGCGGTACTTATTCACACCAGAAGATTCACAGAAACCAAGCTGGGCCGAAGAAGGGGGCTCGCCGGGTGTCTTATACGACAGTTGATTGCATGCCAGGCCAGGTACGGTCGGTAGGGTAGCGATCTCTCTCCTGCCTACTCCTTGGGGCTGTTCGGAGCTCGACCAGGGGAGGCGTTTTTTTTCTCTGACCAGGAACAAGGAGAAGGAGAAGAGCCAGCAACCAGCAACGACCAGCCGGATTCAAGCCAAACCAGATCCAGCCAACTCGAAAGCAAGAGCCACGAGGAACGAGAGCGCATCCAGGATGATGATGCTGGACGGCTGCTCTGCGCGGGACTAGGGGAACACGGAAGGAGGGAAAAAAAAGGACAAATCGAAATGAGCTCCCTGACGCATGGGTGTGGAAGTCAGTGTGTGCTAGTACTAAGTTATAATTATCATCATAATCCTCGCTTCTTTTTTTTTTCCATATCAGTATTTCCTTATTTATATAGTACGGTACAGTACGGATCGTCGCACAGGCTGGGTCTGAGCAAGCATGGGACAAGCGGCGGCGTGTATGTGAGTAGTGTGTAGTGTGTGGTAAAGGAGTGGACGAGTAACATTTTTAGAAAGCCAGAAAAAGCACTGATTGGGGAGTTGCAGGACCCCAAACCACCACCCAAAGCAAAAACCAAGCAATTAAGCAAGCACGGTTCAAGCAGATGCGGATGCAGCAAATAGGCCAGATGGGGAAAAGGGGGTGTGCAAAATGAAATAGTGATTATTGTATCATGGTGCTGATTACTGTGAGATGGGGATGGCCACGCTGGAAATGAAAGATGCCGGAAACGGGTACGGGAGCGAGAAGGGCGCAAGAAAAAGGGAACCGAGACGAAACGGGGTCACTGAGGATCATCGTCGCAATCAAAGCCGATACAGTCAGTCCTGTACTGTATTATCGAAGCACAGCAGCGATGATGGTTGCACAGAGATTTTCCAGGCTGTGGGCACAAGTGGATGATAGGTGGTATTTTGGTACCGACGGCAGCGTAATCCATATCACTGCTCGTCAGAGGCTGTAGGGAAGTCATATCTGGTGCTATTATGATCTTACGCTGCATAGATAGGTATGGATGGGTTGAAGTCGTCGTGGTGGCTGGTCTTGGATGCCCCTGCCGGCGAAGCAACGAGTCTTGGGATGGGATTTTCCTGGTCTCCGCTTGCAGCATCGAACAGTGAAATTTCCTTCTCGAACTCTCAAAGACTCAGCGCACACTTTGCGCATGAGTTCCCCTGAGTAGCGGGCATCTGCTGGTATGCGCTCTCCACTCATTCCGCGGGTCATGATTCATGAACGGCGAACTCTCTTCTCCTTTCTGGACGAGCACGAACCATGATGATCCAGTGTGTATCTGAGAGTTCGTTCGCATTCGCGGTCCAAACATTTCTGGAAAAAGTTTGTGTGGGAAGTCAAAAATGTTCCGGGCGGTGCAACCCTGAATCAGAATCCCAAGTGCCAATAATCCCAGCCCAGACCCGGTGAAGTGCAGCAGAGTGAACCCCAGCAGCGCAGCTGGAAAATTAATTAGCATGTTCGAGCAAACGACGCCTGAAGTCGTCGCAGTCACAGCCCTGAGCCCAACCGGCGCCGCCTCCCACTCCACTCCAACTCCCCAATTGAGAGTAAGCGCAACGTGTTACAGGACCTGATCACCAGCACTAAACTCGTAACCGTAACCCTAATACAAGTACTTTGATATGCATCCTGGGACCCAGCCGCAAGAGTCAAGACTCACTACTTGCTCTCCACTTCCCTTCCACGTTCTCTCTTCCTCCTGTCCCAAAGAAGTGAAGCGTACCGGGTTACACTTCCTAGCACCCACTGGGCCCCCAATGCGACCCACCACTCCTGCGCCCATCTTTGCTCGGGGCTGCGTGGAAGAAATGGAAATCCAGGGGGAGGCCTTCCTGAACCCCTGGATGCGGTTAGGGTGGGTCGGACTGACCAGGGCCAAAACAGACTGCTGGGTCGCGGATGCTGCAAGAGAAGGATGTGGAAGACACGATGCAGAAGAGATGAGCGGCTGCCAATTTCAGCCACACGAATATCCCAAGCCATGCCAAGTCCCAGGGTCCGTCTGCTGCTGGATATGGAAAAGTGGTAAGATGGGTTTAGGGGTAGGGAGGGCATGGAGGGCCGGCTCATCGTGTTTCAGCACCAGATCAGATCCAGAAAGGAGGAGGAGCAGCAAACAAGAAATGACGATGATGATGATGATGATGTGACGATGTTGGATAGGACTGGAAGACAAACAGACGACGACGGCCAACCGCGATGAGATCATGTTCCTGCTTCTTCCTGCTTGCTGCAGGCCCATCGCTCACATTTCCTGAGATCTCGGTACTCCAGCCCAACCCAGAAAGAAACCCAACCAGACCACCTCACAACACAGTCACAGCGCATCACCGGCGCCAGCTCTTCCATTTCGACGAATCCGGCCCAACGCCCTCGCGCCGTGATGCAAACACATTCCGAGGAATATTGGTGATATCTTATTACAGTACAATTTTGACTCCTCCTCTGCTCCTCCTTCTTCCTACACCACCATCCATCCAGCTGCGACGGGATGTGACCGAGTCCTGTGCCATCTTCCCGTCCAACACCCGCCATTAGTTCTATTCTACCATACCTATCGCAATGAGTTCGAACCTGTGCCCTCGACTAAAGACGACGCCTCACTTCGCGTTTGCCTCTCTCTGTGTTCTCCCTCGGACGGCGTGGCTGAGTCGTGGAGTGATTGGACCGCAAAGGACGAGTCATACCAGCACGCGAGAAGTGCAGTATCAGATACAGTGCCAGTTGAGCAATGAGAGGTCGTTTTGAGGCGCCGATGTGTCACGACGCCGCTGAGGAGAGGTTACTCAAACACCTCTCACCTCGATGACGGCTACTACGGCGACGAGGACGGAGAGAATTGATTGAACCGTGAACGAGCAGCCGACTTGCCTGTGGTGTTGGGTAACCTTTGAACTTGCGCTTCACTTCCCTTCATTCAGGCAACGGCGAGCTGGAAGCTGGTTCCGCGATGGTCGGGTCGTCGCGTCGCGTGGTACTTTACAGGGTCATTCCAGGCCATGCCATCCACGCCTTAATGATCTTCAAAGGAGGAAAAAATTATTATTATTATTATTTCCAACTGCTGCAACGACAACGGCATGGCATGGATGCCATGTCCCGGGAGCTGCCTTTCCTCCCCGATTACTCCATTACTCGTTCAAAATTGTGATCCAAACTCTTCCCAACTCTGTGTTTCTACCCTTGCCTTGCCCTGAGCCAGGAAATGTTCTCTGAATTGAGATGCGAACGAGATCCACATTCCGGCTCCATGATGAACAAAGCCGGTCGCTAGGCACTTCAGAATCCCTAGACCAGCCTGCAGCAGTTCGTTGCCTCGTCCTGTCCCGTCGTCACTACTCTGTACCTGGCATTAGCGCACGGCACTCATGCCCACCCAGGCAGTCTGGATACCCACTTTATTGCTGCTGCTGCTGTTGATCCAGAAAGAAAGAAGTCAGACAGGCCGAGGTGAGGTTTCGGGATCTGCTTCTGTTGAAACAAACGCACGCTTTTTTTTCGCCTTTCGTCCCTTTCGCTGCGTTGTGCTGTGCTGTGCTGTGCGCGGCGCGAGAGTGGCACTGCATAGTTGGAAATGCAAATGAGTCGGTTTGCTTTGCTTTGCTTTGCTTGCTTTCGTTTCTCGGAAACAAAATTCTTTTGTTGATTTCGGGGTCTGGTTACGACGGATTGGTTCGCGGTACAACGAATTACGGTATCACCATGTCTACACAGCCCTCGTGGGTGAAGCAACACTCACTCTCTCCCAAAATACTAACGAGTCAGAGGCGTACAGTATCATCCTTTTTGCTTTTCGCTTTACTATTGCTTGTGCAGTAGAAACCTAGACGCTGAGTTTTTGTTTGTTTCTTTGCAATAAAATCTCGTGTTGTCGGCCTCGATTCATGTGCACTCGGTCGGCAATCCAACACCTCCTGAAAATCATTTATTATGCTTTCCGTTTCCCAGCCGCGGAACTGGACCGGATCGACAGACCGGTATCAGCAGGTTTTATGCCTACTGTACTTCTTTTCTTCTCAGCGCGAAACGTCACTGAATGCTTTTTTCTGGTAGTTAACCAAATGACGTGATAACGAACAATAGATATTGAGGCTCGACCATGAGTCTGTTAAGGTTATATGCTTTGCCTGAGATTGACCCATCCGGTTTGAACATCTCCGACTCACTCATGATTCCTGTCTACACGCGACCGACTGACCGACCCGACAGCACCTATCGCATTTTACCGTCCGTCGTCGTGACATCAAGAATCATCACCCCTTCCTTCTTACATCATTATTACAGTTCACTACCATGCCCCATGCCCCATGCCACAGACAGAAGCTCGCTCGGCGCTGATGGTCGCTAACCGGCGCTTCTCCCCCCTCGATCCCGGTTGCTCGCGTGGAAGTTGTGTGTGTGTGCCTCCGAACCAGCGCAACGCAACCACCCATCAGCCTTTTCGGCCCATTTCCATTCATCATGAACTCTTCTTATCCTTGATGCCGCCTCACTGCATACGGCACGAACGAACACACGTCGTATGTACTGTATCATCAATCCATCAGTAAGCTGCCGTAAGTCTTTACGTTACGTTCTTTCTTGCCACTTCTCCATCGACAGACAGTGTGACCGTTTCCTTTGTTTCTCCCAGTGTTTTAGCTTCTTCTTCTTCTTCTTCTTCCAGGTTAAGGATAGATGGAACATCATACCCGACCCGTTTCCATTCTTTCCATCTTTGCTTTCTTCATCTCAACTTCCTTTCTAGGACAGGGATCCAAATCCTGGTCTACCTGCATGCATGCATGCATATGCAAAACCCTCCTAGTCCCCGGCTTACCAGCCCCGGGCCCCTCGTGTGTCAGGTTCCACAACAGCGTTAGCTTCCTTCGCTGGTGATAATTTACCAGTGTTCCAGAATAGCGCTAGAAGCCGCTTTAGTTTAGCGTGGAAGCTTTTTTCCATATTCCATATTCCATTCCACCGTTTCCTTGCCTTCCTTTCCCCTGACTCGGAATGCCTACCTACCTACCTACCTATGTTTCTAACCCAAGCCAGCCCATACAAAGATAGAGACAAAAAGCACAGTTCATCCAAACACAAGGTCATCCCCAGGGCAGCGACGACCAGGGCTAAGCTCAACGGCTTCTCGTTCCGACCGCTCGGGGCGTGCATAATCGCATCGCAATCTCCGTCCGTTGCAAGCTAGCTAGCCTTTCCGTTTAGGGCGCCGTGGCTGTCCCGGCGATGAGGTTGACAGGTGCAAGTGGGTTGGTTGCGTGTAGATCATTGCGGAAGATTTTTTTTCCTTCCTTCCAAGCAGAGGGAGCAGGCAAAGGGAAGAGGGAAGGATTTTTTTCTTGTGGAGATGGAGAAGGTGAGGTGAGGCTGGTTCCTTGTATCAGGCATGAGTAGGAAAGCTTTGAGCCTCACTCATGCAAAGAGCCTCTTTTTTTTTTCCCTCTCTTCCTTGCGCTGACGTGTCGTTTGTTGAGTCTCCTTTTCGAAAATTCTCTTCCTCAACAGATTCATGACTCCATCTTCAGATTCTGTTTGTCTCTGTCCGAAATTCCCCTCGTATCGGTCAGTCAGTCAGTCGCAGTCAGATTTCCTTCGGCTTCTCTTCCTGCACGGCGAACGGAAAGATCCCTTTTCTCTGCAGGAGACCGAGCCGAGTTGGTTTCAGGTCTTCTAATACCTAGTACAGTAAGTAGCCTTTTGAGGTGAGGTGGGTGATACACGTGGGAGTGGATACAGTAGTTCCGTTGCGTTGGTGCCGAGGCTGGGTCGGTGGGGTGGGGGTTTGGATGGGAAGGAAGGAAAGGGGGAGTGTGGTGGTTCTCTCACACGTGAAATTGGGATGAAATGATGTGGTGACGGGAGGATCCGAGGTATTCGGAATGGATGAATGGATTGTGCCTAGGTAATGTTGAAAGTTTTCCCTGTTGGTGAAGGAAGGGGATAATAGAGGATGGGGTATTCGAGTTGATGAGTACATCGTGATGGGTCATGGATGGCGTCAGCTGATTTCGCGTTTCGAAGTTTCGAAAATGATATTTTTGTAATTACTGTTGGGGTGAAACTCGCATCATTGGCATCATACTCTCTCTCTCTTTTAGTTTCTAGGTGTGTCGACTCTGTAGTCAGAACTTCTACCTGCTAGGACTATCAAGACCCAGCGCTTTTGTTTTCGAAACTTCAGTTAATCTCACCAAGGGAAACAAGTCTTAAACCAAAACACATGTCCCTATTTCTACCTCAGAACCTCGAGTCAACAACAAATTACCTCCTGCACGCAAAGATGGTCGTGCTTTGGATCTAATGTACTAAAGCACTCATCCGAAATCCCAATCATTGAAAAGTCTCCATTCTTCACGTCTACTCTCAGGTCCGGGCCGTCTTTGGAGGACCTGTCTACAAAAGTGTGAACAGCACATTCTTGTCTTGCAGATTGAGAACGTTTTGATGCTAAATCGAGCTGGGTTTAGAGCGCACAGCTTCTTTGGCCACAAAATCTGCCAGCCTCGCGTTCTGTATAGCATACTTAAACATTTTTAGACTTAGTGGTCGATAAGGGCCTAATGGTCGAACGGCTATGGGATAGCTTTCCTGCCCCTATGCTATTCCCTATGCTATTGAAATCTTGGTCTTTCGTATGATAATTGAGAGTAAAAATACACCAAGCTGAGAAGAGTGGTTATATCTTCTTGCAAAGTTTTCGAGAAGGCATGTTCGCATATTCGAATTCCGGTCCAAAGCTGGCATGAAATGTTTTCCTTGTGTAGTCAGGTGGATGGTATTTGGATTTTGCAAGTCCATCAGGCGGAATCTGCTATCTGTTTTCACTGTCCGGGTTCGTGTGTACTGGATTTGCGTTACGAGATCTAGCTCTAATGACTAACAACAATATTTGTGGTGCTCTCTCTCTTCTCTGTTCTGGGACCGCCCACAAAGTATGCGGTGCAGTTCCCAGCTTGCGAGAGTATTTGATGTTGAGTGACACAACAGTGCCGAAGTTTGGGGCTGAGCGGAAATTTAGACCAATACTGTTGAGTACATTTTTTGTGTTCCCAGGTATAATGCTTAGGAAGCGAGGCCACATCATACGCAAATGACTGGATCCGAGGGTTAAACTCTCCTCATCGGTGAGCGCAGTTTGATATAAGATCTTACCTGTAGCCGACTTTGTACTATATGGGGTCTGCTTCGTCTAGTAACGAAATCTAACGACCCTGCAAGTTTGATTTCTGAGCATTTGACGTTCTATTGACTCATCACTATCTGCCTGGCATTGAGCGAATGCAGGAGTTGTATTTGTGTTTGGACTGTGATAAGTATGCATGTGCCAACACAGCGTTGCGTCCTGTGGCCCAGCCACCATGGCCGAGTAGCTGCGTGCAACAGCCTCGCGATTTCACAGCACAAGCCCATCGAAAATTTGCCCAACATAAATTGGCAGATTCCCAGATCAGGTAAAATCGAGTTTGCCATTACAGCGCAATAAATAATGCCGACACGACTTTTCACTCTGAGCACCCTCGTGGACAGATCCAAGCCTCATACATCTCGGAGCCTCGTTGGTCTTTTCATCCAACAAGGACTTGGTCAGCACAACATCAAGTTTTTTGGCATTAAGGGCTCTGATATCACGAAACATCTGCATTCTTCCCTCAGGCTAGGTCACCGGCGTGAAATTGAAACTTTCTAGTTCTCGTCAGTACTTCTTTCGATGCCGCATCGTTGGTCCTTGATCGCTGACTAATGCCTGCCTAGGGATTTCCAGTCCTCACTTTCTCGCCGGCACCCATCCGACTCATCTCTTCAAGCAGTCAAAACTAGTATCTGCTACCGTGCCGTTGCTGTTTTCTAGAATATCAGCACACCGATACTTGGACACAAAAGAGAAGATGAGAGACTCGGCGACTAAGCTGTGTGAGGCTTGTGTAAAAATCGATCCCAGAAAGATCGTGAGACTGGACTTGAAGAAACTGGGCAAGAGCTTGGAGAAGGGCATTTTGATAGCTAAGCTCGGCTCGAGAGTCAGCTCTCCTCCGACTAACGGCTGCGACCTTTGTATGTTCTTCTATCAAAACCGGTATGAAGAGGAAGATTATGAAGAAGAGCAAACCAGCTCAGAATTCGATGAAGAATACAGAGGACGATATTAACTCCGTGCTTTTCCATACTCGTCTTATAATATATTGTGTGAGACTACAACCGGTGGTCAAGCATTGACGCTTAGAAAGAGGGATATACCTTGCTTGGGAATTGTTCCTGTTGGATGGGAGTACGACAAGGACTGCGCGACATATTCCTGTCAGCAAGGAGCTTTGTTTTGTGTCAAGAATATTAGACCTGCAGATACCTTCTTTCGGCCAAGACTTGTTTCAAAGACTGCCGACTTTGGTCTAGCGAAGAAGTGGATTGGGTACTGTGTCAATAACCACAAAGATTGCGATGAACCGCTCGTACAGATTGAGGGATTTCGACTTATTGATTGTGCATTTGCAGGAATATCTAAACACTTCTCGAACAATCACATCAACCACTTTTGGGGCATTGCATATTCGCGACTGGATGATGACCATCCCTTGTTATCTAGCTTCATTTGCAGCTTGAAGTGGTACCATACCGAGCGGTCCAAGGTATCTCGCCCAGCTATTCCGTCTTGGTCTTGGCTTGCTTGGGATGCACCAGTAACATACGAAGTCATGTTCGAGGACATAGCATGTGCTGTAGAAACGATTGAACTGAAATTTTCATGTTTTTCAAAATATTCAAATATATCAAAAATCTAGGAAAAAACTAGGATTTTAAGCCAAAAATTGTTTTTTTAATACTAAAAATAAACTTTTTCAAATATCTCCCAACTTATAAGCAACTGTCAGTTGAACTTTTGGCTAACTGATAGACTGATATCATTTAAAATCGCTAACTGATTGGCTTTAATTGATCACTTATCAGTCGACTGATCAGCTAGCTGACTGCTTTACCAGCCTGGCGGCAATGTATCTCATATAACTCCTTTTTCGGCTACGATATTGACAATATGCATAGCAAGCCTTTATCTGCTGTTTAAGTTGGTTCTGTGATATCAGAGCTTCCTGTGATACTCCATCTTCTGGGCGGGCAAGGAACAGGTGAGCTACAACTTCATGCACTCGATTGTTCTTAGGTTGCAGGGAGTACAAGGAAGGTGATAGGACTTACATGGTATGTCTTGCGATACATCTAATAGTCTTTGACTGATCAGAGAATAACTCGGAAGAAATAAAGCAGTGAGAGTGGGGAGCTGTGTAGGCGAGGTTCGGGAGAAAGAAACTCAGGCTATGTGCAATAGAAAAACCTCTCAGGGACCATGAAGTTTATCACTTGTAGATGAAGATTATAAGGATGCGAGAAGATATCAGGCAACAGCGCCATGTGTTTTATGGCTGAGAAAAAGATGCATATTGACTGGTGGAGGAAAATCTACAAGAACGCACACTGTAATGTAACTTGTATTATAAGCTAAACCGGAAATGAAGGTCCCGGGAATACCAAGAACAGAAATGCGAAGATAAACAACAACTTCTTGTGCTATCACCTGTGATTCACGAAGCACACTCCCGAGAATCTTTTTCTTGTATGGAATAACTCATTTCAGATATGATTCATACTATGGCATGCTTGCCTAGCATCTCGAGCAGCAGCTACAATTGAGGAAATTTTAACTCCATGAGACTTGAGAGTATTAATGACTATAACAGTGATATAAAAAAGAATCAACGTCATACTATAAGTCGCTTTTCTTTTGCTCTATCTTCGAATAATTCGTCCTTATCCAGCACCACGCCTATACGTGTTATCTACAGACTCTAGGACAATATTAACTTTGGTTCCAATTTACGGTCCCATGTCTTGACTTAACTTGATCACATGAAGAAGGAATAGGGATGGAAGACGTTGCTTTTTCTGTTGACTTTCACTAGATGGGTCAAAGACTGCTGCTGAGCAACTGGTGTTTAGTTGTATAACATCTTCTCAGAAGTGTCCCCATGTACCCATGGAACTTGCTAAAAGATTGCGTAGTTAAGGCTAAGACTTGAAGAAAGCGCTCAGCTCGCTCGAGAGAGTCAATTCAAGGACTCGTCAGCTAGTCCAGAGCTGGGTTGACTTGCTTGAAAAGAAGTCGGACTACTAATATGGAATACTAACTAGCAACTTGTCATACCACCAAGATCTTGGATAGTACCAAATGCTCTTTTTCCATGGTTTTACTGCTCTCAAAATTTGCTGGTATCTCTGGTTGATGGTATCTCACGCTGGTAGTGTGGAGTTTTTATTGCGAGTCGGCCGCAAGCTTAAAAGTTTGAAGCGGACGAGTAGCTGCTTCAATGTTTACATCTTTCCAGAAATTAAAGGGGACAGCTTCGCAACACAAGGCTTTCTCATTAAGCTTCTCAAAGAGAGAGTATCTGATATAATGTGTTTCTTTCTGTTCAGGACATCGACAGTCAGCATAACAAGTCTCTATGTGCCATCGCATTCGATTCTGTAAAGTCAAAATCCCCGCGATCCTTCTCCTGGGGAACATACTTGGTCTGGTATCGAAGACCCCAAGACTTTGCTCCAAATTTCATTCTCTACCATCATTCAGATGGCAAAGGAGTAAAGGATTAGTCGAAGAGTTGACCTCTCTATACATAATGAGTTACATATTTTACAGCTAGATCTGGAAAGCCAACTATAACGAATGGCATTCTTCTAGATGTAATGATGATATTCACTAAAGGTAGAGAGCCAATTGCTATCGATTGTAGTTCTTATCGATTGTAGCGTAGTGAGGTCTAGTGCCTTGAGCTCCGATCTTCGCCGTCGCTTAGAGACGCACAGCAAGAAGAAGCCAGGCGAATTATAATATAACAAGGAAGTTGATCTTGTCAACCGGAAGACTCCTCCTCGGTTTCAGCAAACAACTTTGAACAACACGATCTTATTTCTTTGCCAAGAAACACGAGCTCTTACAGTTACTGATACTTACCCGGTCGACACTTGATCACCACTTCATTCCCCATAGCCACACACATCTTCTCGACATCATGCCCGGCGTCTTTCCTCCAAAGGGAAAAACCCCAGAGTTTGCCACCCCTGCCAAGCCCGCGTCATCCACAAGATCGTCCTCTAGCAAAAGCAACAAAGTCCGATCTCCAAGCCTAAATCCACCAGATGAGTTCCCTCTTGGACGCCCTCCAAACCCATTGACCCCGAAGAAACACAAAAAGATTAGGAATCCTGATTACAAAGACCGCCTCGATCAGTTTGTAGCTTGCTACCATATCGTCTGGACCGAGCGTGCGGGTGAAGGAGTTCAAGAAGGATATTCTGGCGCCACCTTCGAGTTTCGCAAAGATGAGCGTAAAGAGCTGTTTGGAAGATATACCACCAACTACAAAGTCACCTTCCAATTTGGTGTTCACGAGGCTACATTCTGTAAGTTCAGTGCTCTTTCAAAGCTTAATCTTTTAGACTAACGAGTCCTAGCTTGCGTGGCTACTACGAAGGAAGAGGAAATGTTCAGCAACTTCAAGTTCATCTCCGCTAACTATCCTCTCGAGGTACACATGAAGGAGTTCGGTTTGGACTATACAGCATTCAAGTTCAAATTCGAGGAGGATACACTTGATGACGAAGGCTTTCCGTTTCTGGCTTGGCATACGGATTGTGCGGGATATCTCATGACCAAGCGTTCGGAGTTCGGATGGGCGAAGAGAATGTGTGACCGTCCGTTGAGTACTGAAGAGAGTGAGAGGCTGAAGAACGTGCCACACAATTCAGTGACCGGGGACTGGGACGAATAATCCTTGGTTTAGAAGAATCGGGGAGGAAAGAAGTAAGCAAAGCACAAGTTGTGGGGAACAAAGCGACGAACAATAAAGCAGGGAGGAAGCTGGCCCATAAGAGCTACCTCGTGTAAACCATAATGAACTAAGAAAATCCACTCTGAAGTTTACTCTATTATGTTGTCCTGAACCGTGGGTGATTAGCCCTTGGCCCAGACGAGGTCGCCGGCAGCGGGACGAGCCGCTGAGCCTCAAAAAGGGGCTAGCTAATTTAAGCCCCTCCGTGAAATATGGAAATTGTCTGCCCGTTGATGTTTAAAGTAGAATAATCGGTTCACTGACTGAGCCAAGAAATAATGATAGAGACTGGATTGGACATTCAACAAGATTCCATTCAAATGCTGCTATGTACCAACGACGCTTCCCAAATGCCCTGTCAGCAGCAGAAAAATTACCCCTTATCAATTATGTCACTAAAACATTCGAAAATGCATCTGAAATATCCCTCCTGGTCGGAGCTTCGAATACCTCTGGCAGTGTCGATACACCGACAGCCAGACGGTCCTCCATCATTTTGATCAAGACCGGCGGCACACTTTCGTCTGTTGCTCGAAGAGTCAGACGTATCATCTGAGTAAAATTAGTAGAGACTCGGATTGTAGGGTCATAGGAATAAATACCTGTGTCGTATAATTGGGCTCTAATCTCAACAGGCACCCGAATTTGCCACCTTCGCTCGTATGTAACACGCTGGCGCCGACAAAGTTCTTTTTGTTTGGGTCGACGCCATCAAGGATTCCCCATCTGAAACCCTCCACCGTCTTTCTGATAAAAGAATCGTTGAACTCGTAATCTCCTCCCTTCCCACCCTTTACACCAAAGATGCGCTGAGCTTCACGTGGCGCACCGCCAATCTGCTTCCAACGTTTGAAAAAATCATCCGCAGACAACTCAGCAGGATCCATAAACTTGTGGATCATGACTGGCAATTTAATTGTGACCGCTTGCAAGGCCCCAGCAAGATAGCTGATTCTCATCGTTGGACTTTTGTCAAAGACTTTCTTCGCCTCGAACATGATCATTTGCTGCGCTTGAGCGCCTGGATCAATTGAGCTGTCTGGTAAGTCCCTCACTTCATAGCTCAGGTTGTCCTTCTCTGCTGGGTCTAAATCCATTGTCGTGGTAAAAGAGGTGATGGTAGCAGGAGCTTTATTCGATGTGTAGAGGACAACACAAGCTGCTTGCCCTCTGTACTCGGATCGCACTCCGACTTGAATCTGACCATCTTCATAGAGTATACCCTCACCCTTGAGCATGAGTCGATTGAAGCCGACTTCCCAACCCGGCGACAGATGTGCAGCACTAGCCAAATTTGGTGCCTTCAATGTCTTGGGCTCTGAAGGACCTGCATCTGTCATATCCAGTCCATCTAGATCGTTGGCAACCTTCGCATGGCCATTCGTACCGTTCGTGGCGGTACCATGTACGGTACCATTGGAGCCATTGGTGGTAGTACCATTTGCATTGCTGAAAGCACGTTTCAATCCTGGATTTTTCGCTAGACTGAAGTCTTTCTCGTTAGCATTTGCATCCTTGCCACCCACGACCCAGGTTCGTTTGTCACTCGTGTTGGCATGCTTTTGGTGCAGCCTTGATAGCAAAGCTGATTGGCGCTCGGGGAAAGGAGGCATTTCGTCGCAGACAGTCCGAAGCAAATCATCGGTAGGCAAACTTGCAAGTGCAAGATACTCGCATGCTCTTTGCTGAAGCTCCGAGTCCAGAGTATGACTGTATGCTCGGAATACAAACATGAGTCGACTTTTGATCTCCGGGAAGAGGTTGACGAATTTAATGAAACATGAGAGGATGATCGCTCTCGTTCCAGAGGAACAGCCTTGAAGTTTGCCTTGGAGCGCCAAGAACTGCTCAATGGGACTGCACCCTTTGTCTTCTGCGATTAGATGGCCAAACTCGCCAAGGATGTATCCACCAATCTTTACTAATGTCTCGTGACAATGGTCTGCCTTGACATATTGCAGGATATTTTGAGCCGCATAGACTTGCAACTCTTCGTTATTCGTCACAATCTGAATGACTCGGTGCCATACTTCATCGCTGACGTGGTCTCCTGCCATTGCAATGAGTCGCAGCGAGATATCCACATACCACTGGATGTCGGTCGCATATTTTTCTGTCAAGATGGCAATCTTCAGTACCATCTCCTCTCGTATCGCAAAATCGGCGTTTTGGAGATATTGTAACAATTCGCCAACGATAGGTTGGGCATTCGTCTGGTCACACATGCTGTATAGCAGGTCAAGACCCTTTCGCCGAACACTGATATCCCTGTCTTTTAACGAGCCAATGATGATGGTCTGGTGTTGCTTGATTGGGTCGAGTGTTTCTGCTCGTGCTGCAAGATGTGTCATTGCTTCCAAGCCAAGGTATCGCACATTAGTCTCCCTCGACTGAATGAACTTGCCCAATCTGTGCGATATCTGCTTCATCAGCGCCTGCTCCGTGTCGAGATGGATGATTAAGTTGATGGCTTCGAACAAGACAGCGTTTTGTGCGTTGTTTTGCTGGACGTTTTTGGGCATCTCGAGAGCGAGATTGAGGATCTTTTGGAGTGATTCTCGAATCAATTCTCGAACATGTAGGTCGTCTGGTCCATCATCAGCTGACAACCCTAAATTTGAATCGAAGAAACTCACCTGACGGAGGATAATATTGCAGCAATCTCAACAACTTCACCTGTATCCAAGGACATGGAACTTTGTAGTAGAGATAGTCTTGCGCGTATTCCCCATCCACCAATATTCTCTTCATTCGTGATGCAGCTTTCACATAACTGCCTTTGTATTGATCTGGTTGATCCTGCGCCAACGCCATCACCAAGGAAGTCACTGAAAGAGCTACGCCCATGTCGGCATCGTCCATCAACGATATAATACGTTCTGCCCATTGCGGCTGGACGATATCTGGGTGTTTCCGATACAATCGCAACAATGTCAGAGCAGCTTTCTTCTTGACAAATGCCTTTGAAGTCCTGCATCAAAGTTAGTAGGTGATCGCAGTGTGAGATGTCGCGGAACTAACGGAGATATCAGCAGTCGGTGCACTTCTCCACTCAGTGCTTCACCCATCTCTCTACCACCCACGTTGGCAATCGCATGTAGTGCCAAGCAATTGAATAATTCATTGTGGTCCGTCAAGTCTTTTCTTATACTATTAACAACCAAATGTAACAGTTCATGCTGCTCGTGGAGGAAAAGGGTCATAGCAAGGTAGCCAATTTGTTTCTCGGAGTATTTGTTCGCGGAAATGAGATTGACAGCTTCTAAATGTCCAAAATCGACGTTCCATCCAAGTATGTAGATGTAGAGAAGCTACACAATCGTCAGATACGCCCATCAAATCCGAGTAGGGGAAGATGGACCTTGCAGACATATTTCTTCTTGTGATAGCCACTAAGGTTGCCATCTGTTTCATAAATCAGCATTCAAGGTCGGAAATGAATCCAATGTCTGGCGGATCCGCTCGACAAGTACCTTTGAATTTCTGTCTGCAAGGAAGATGGGTCAGTCCAGCTCTACCCCTGAAGCTATCCGTAGATCACCAACCTTATGTTCGCCAATTCCTTGTTGATCCTCTTCTCCTCTAGTTCTCTTGCTCTCGCATTCCTCAAATCTGCGATAAATTGGACCAGTCCACGCATGTTCGCATTGTTTCCTGAAGAGCCGCGGCTCAGAAACCCTCCTCCCGACGAGGCCATGATGTTGGTTATTGTTACTCCCTCCTGGCCGAAATGATGCTGCTGTGTTTGCCCAAATGATTGTCCGTCCTAGTTGATATCTTTCGCAGACCAGCCTCGAGATCCGGGGCGTCTTCTGCTGATGCTGACTGCTCGTAAAGGCGGGTTCACTGATGTTCATGCGACTGTTAAGAGCGCGGCAGATCGCAAGAGCCTTGTCGGATTAGCCTTGCTCGTGGAACTCCATCCGACAATGTGATTGTGGCGTGGTAGCCAGCTCTCCTGTAGGTTTGTCGTTGGATTAATTGTCGACGTTGATACTGCTGAATAATTGTACTTGAGATGCTGTGGTGTTGATCCCCTCGCAATTGCTAGTGTGCCGCCAAGCTTTCCATTTTGACAGGGTTGTTCTCGATTAACCATGTTGTCGAGCCTCGTCAAAAGTCTGAACGTCACTATCAGCCTTCTCGTCCATTTCTTCTTTCGACGAAGACATTCTGTCCAACGGATATACAAAATGAAGCCTGCCAAATTGAGACCGTTCCTACCACGGCCCGCAATTCGACAGAGAATATGTCTCTCAAGAAGCTATGCAGTTCAAGCTCCTGGAACACCAACGCTACAAGTGTTCAATCGAAATACGAAATACCTGCAGAAGGAACGAGCAGCTGCGAATGTGGAGAGAAGTCGCAAGGTAGATTATCTCAAAGATGAGGTGGCTATGAGGTTATCTGAGAGGTTACTAGTAGGATTTATTGGATCAATGAACCGGCAGATGCTCACTGTCCCAGGATATCGATCGGCACTTCAACCATGTCCTCGATCTGGGCGCCAACTCATGTAATATAGCACGCGCACTTACACTGCCAGATCCAGACCCTGATCCTTCGAAGACTTCTTCTCCGCCTCTATCCTCTCGATTATCGCACCTCACAGCTGCAGAATCCTCTCGTGGCATGCTATACCGTGACGCCGATTTACCATTCAATAAAGATATCAATCTCACACGCGAAGTACTCGACGATGAAGAGCGATTACCCTTCGAAGCCAATACTTTTGATGCTGTCTTGAGCTCACTGAGTATGCATTGGATCAACGACCTACCTTCGCTACTGGCACAAATCAACAATGTTTTAAAACCAGATGCTCCATTCATGGGAGCAATGTTTGGCGGAGATACACTGTACGAATTACGGACATCATTACAACTTGCAGACATGGAAAGAAGGGGCGGTGTGTCTCCTCATGTATCACCATTGGCAGATGTTAGAGATATGGGAGGGCTATTGCAAAAGGCAGGGTTTAAGATGCTCACGATCGATGTGGATGATATCATCGTCGATTATCCTGATACACTTGCGTTGATGCAAGATCTACAGGCAATGGGAGAGAGTAATGCCATCCTTGGGAGGGAAGCGGGAGCTATTAAGCGGGATGTCTTACTTGCGAATGAGGGCATATATCGAGAGTTCTATGGCAACGAAGACGGATCCATACCAGCGACTTTCAGGATGATATATATGATTGGTTGGAAAGAAGGGCCGAATCAAGCTAAACCTCTACCTAGAGGAAGTGGGCAAATCAACATAACAGACATACTTGGTGGTGGCGAGGTCAAATGAGCTTGAGTTGGGCGATCGACTGGTTCTTTGACGCCCGCAAAAGAGTCTCAGGCTTCCATTGCAATCGTCCGAGAGTCTTCTGGTATTGATGCTAACTCACTACGAAATGGTGTGCTACTACTGGTAGACTAGGGACAAATGGACCTTCTAAGACAGGGACGCTGCCAGCGAATTGTATAGAGCTGCATGGTTGTACAATATGTTTGTGTAAATACTGTAGATACAATAGCTTACGAATCTCATTGATGTACAAACTGCTTCTTCCCTTACCTCAAGTCTCATTCGCTATGATTAAAGCTCGTCCATTAACCACCGAGGCGGCCCAACCTCTTAGGTACTCCACTATCCATGTTGATGCATCAAGAGGAAGTGCCACGTGATGCTATAGTCCCGCTAGCGTGAGTTAGTGCAGGACGGATCGCCCGGATTTAGTTTGACCTCCCAACATCGTGTCGTCTCTTCTTCTGAGCTTAAAATTATTGCAACCTACCGATCATGATCTTCTCACGACCATGTCTCGTTTATTCGAACTCGTCAGCTATTCTTGTCGTCTCCTTTCCGCGGGATCATCTTGGACCTTCCCCTTGCTGCGTACAGAACGGCTTCCTGCTTGACAACCCTAGATCCCAATTTTGAGCCAGAGATGCGTAATTCGGCCCCTCGTTATTTGTGTCCTCTCTCCTACTTCACGGTGGAGCTCAGATTCAGTTGATACGTACGCCAGCTTATACTCAACTTGAGGTGCCTTCCAGCTACCCCTCATTCTCCTTGGTGAATTGCTATACCTCTGTGCGAAGTCATGAAGGGTTTTGCAACTTGTGATGTGGAGCTCTGAACTCTATTTCAAACGATTTTCGCCCACTCTAGGCTCCAGATGCTGCAGCAGGTACTTCCTCAGCCTCGTGAACGGGTTGGAGGCTTCTTTGGTAAGTCAAAATCCTCAAAATTGTCTTGATGCTCAAGATTCAGCGGGCTCACATCGTAGATCTTCAAATAGGCGGAAGAGAGTCTCTATGCCAACCAGTGCTTTGCAAGTCAGACGGCATCGCACGCCTGCTCCCCAAACTGCTTTGCAAGACCCATGTTCCGGCTAGATAAGCTATTCCCCACGGAATGTGATTGGAGAAGTTTCTGCTCTTGCTCCTCAACATCCTTCTGCATTCGCACACCACCCCTCTTTTGGATTGATTACCGAGTGAGATGCCATCTCTGTATCGATGTAGTTCTGCACGGCCCCCCTCGTTGAACATGTTTAAATAATAGTGGGAGTGCCCACTGCTTCAATTGATTCGAATTTCTGTCTGCCACATATTTGATTGCATTTTTCTCCCCAAATTCTATAGATCCTTTCGCAATTTGAACTGTTGTAGAACACTCACAGCGCACTGGAAACTACTTATTGATTTGCATTGAATTATCTCTTTGGGTTGGGATTTTTGGCGTGACTTTTGTCATCTCGTTGTCCAAATTCCAGTGTATCGCTAGGCATTCTGTCAGAAGGCCATCCCTGATCATGCAGAGGTGCTCGTCATAGGCAGACACAATCCAAGAGATGGACAACAATGGAACAGTAACAACAACGTCGAATAAGGAAACGAAATTAGACGAGGAGTCGCAAGATATTCCTTGGTCGAGTCTTCAAGAGCAGTATGACTACGATCCCTCCCCGGCTGTTCTTGGGCAAAGGCCGAACAAGTTTGAGAGGCTGGATCGTCGGCCACAAGAGGGATATCATCCTGTTTCCTTTTCAGAACCATCAGAGTTGGAGAAGCATGATATGACAGAACTAGAGCCGGGGGACATCGCGCGATGGGTCAATGCACCCCGAAGTATTACTAGCACAGCGCTCTCCATCAAGGAGCAACAAGCCGATAAGCGACAAAGCGGACATTTAGAAAGATCACGAACCCAATTGTCAACCGCTGTAGCTTTCCCACCCCATGAAAGCGAATTCATAGACCTGCTCGAGAAACATCTCAAAGCACAAGCGAAGACAATCCTTTGCCGGCGTGAAAAGGTGGATTCAGGTGCCGTTGCTTTTCTGAAGGAGTTCAAAGACGACACCCGACAGGCTGCAGTCCATATCAATGGCCATTTCCGCAACCGAACATGCTCTCTCTTTCTAATGGGCAACGTGCTTCGCAATCTGCACCCCGGGTTGCCATTGTACCTTCCATCCCTATGTGATCCTGACACCGCAAAGAAAGAGAAATATCCTTCGAGGCAGGCATTCGACCGAGGCGATGAAACTGGAAAACATCAACGTCGAGTCTACCTGATAAGGGCAGTAAGGAAGGAGCTGATTGAACCGTCCTCGACATCTGGTCAAGAATTTCTAGACAGAGTTTGACAACTTAGCGTAACGCTTCTGTTGAGCTACCTCGCACCTTCGACAAGCACATCAACTCAGCCGTTACTTGTACGATATCGGTACACTGTCTTCCACTATGTTGGGAGTGACCGTAGCGCAAAGGGTGGAATGCTCTTGCGGGCAGTCGAGGCTGCAGCTCCTGAGTACTGTCGAGGAAATCGCACTGAGCTACATAAAGAATTGAGCAATCTGAATACTACCTTTAAGGTGTACATCCTAGCGGACTGGGATTCTATCCGTTCTGAGCTAAGCAAGGAAAGCGACTTTGACGAGATTCTGATTGCTGAAGCGATATGCCAAACGATACTTCGTACCGGCTGCCTCTTTCGCCAATCCGGTAATCGGGGAGAGAAGATGACTGGCTTCTTCAAGCATCTTCAGTTAGAGGCTGGTGACGATGAACCACTCCCCAACAATAATGGACTAAATGTTCAGTCTGCTCTGGAATCTCTAAGGTATCCTGACAGACGGAATACTTCTTTCTCGACTTGATATTAGTCTATATCAGCACATCTACCAGACGAAACACCCAGCTTTAGCATCAATATAACGCAATCCAACGCTCCAAAGTTCCAATTCTCAGGACGTCAGGAACACTGATGCCTCGAGCTTGTGTGTGGCAGCGATGCAAAGTTCAGCGATGGATTGCAAACAAATCACGCAATTTCAAGTGACGCAACTGTTGATCTTTTCTTCATTTCCAACAGCTGATTTAGCCTGTTGCTCACATCCACACCAGATTTTCAGTCTAATGTTGTCAGACTGCAACTGCAAATGACAAACATATGATAAGCGCCTCTTTGGAAATTGTAGGCAAATCAAATCGGCACGCGGCGAAAAGAGGAAGCAAGCAGCCACACCTTCAAGCTTTTCTCGTTATCTCTCTATGCAAAGACATGGATGCGCAAACTTGTCACAGCTGCGAACGAACTGCCGTGCAACAATATCGCAAACCATGGTGCCCAATCTCCTGTCAAATTTTGTACCCAGCAAGCCAGAAACGTATGACAAGACGACGCCATTCTGTAGATCAATCTAGATTCTCGCGATCTAGATTTTCTCCGGCATACGACTTTGAGAAAGTCTGGCATGATAGGCGAGAAACAAGCATTGCTTGGCCCGGGTGGAACCGAGACAAGAGGTCAAAGAGCCATCAAACATTCGTCCCCTGGGTCGCTGCAGCCAATAATGGTGGTGAAGAAGTTTCGAAAATCTGGGGAACTGGGGTGAGAATGCACCAGTGTCACCCAGCCTGCATGCAAGCGTGAACAGTGGAGCTGTGGAATGTGCAGATGTGTATCTGGAATGCGCGTTTTTCTTGTTCAAAATGCCTCATACTTAATCTTTCTGTCTTGCGGAGGGGTAACACCGTAACAGTGTAGCACTGATCTTGATATGGTTGCGGCCGCCTCGTAGTCCCAGCCCTAAATATTTTGACAGCTGATTTGGTTTGAGCGAGTGCGGGGTTATTTACTGCCCCTCCTAGCCGCACTGATCCGTCGAAACCAAACACCATCGCACCGGAAGCGAGTCTATTTCTTGGCTTCAAAATCTTGCGACAAATCAGGAAATTCATCTCTTGAGTCGGCGCAATGGACAGCAATACCGATTTCTCGGAGAAGGAGAAGGTCGCGTCGGAGGAGGAGATCACAGCAGCCAATCTTCAAGATGACCAGAGAATCCAGTTCGCAGTTGGTGTCAAGCCGACTCGCAAGCGTGCGGTCAGTCGGGGACAAGATGTTTCGAATTCAACAGTGCCAATGGGCCATCGACAATTGAGTACTGCGCAGAGCATCAACTCCACCAGAGGACGTACCCAGAGTATCCATTCAATCCCACCCGTCTACACCGAGAAGGAGAAGAATCGTCGAAAGCGCGAGCAGGAGGAAGAAAAGAAGAGCGTCAGCATCGATGAGCATCTCCTACCACACCAAGATGTTGCTGCTCGATACAAGACAAACATCAATGTTGCGTCACCGGGAGAATCGCAGGGTCTCACTTCTGCGCAGAGTGAACAGTTGCTTTTAGAGCATGGTCCTAATATCTTGACACCTCCGAAGAAAACTCATCCGTTCATCAAGTACCTGCAATACCTGTCCAGTCTGTTCAACTTGCTGTTGATCCTCGCTGGTGTCCTGGAATACATTCTGCTGGGTATTAGCTTTAAGGCCAACTTCGAAAACGTGAGTTGATATTCTGTTCCAATGTACCTAATTAGTGGGACATTGGCTAATTACAGCTCTTTAGACTTATTTGGGAGCCATTCTCATTGCGGTCGCTTTCATCAATGCCTTCATCGAATTCTATCAGCAGCAAAAGTCCCAGGCCCTCTTGGAGTCTTTCCTCAACAGTATGTCGATACCACTCTTGTTTCAAACATAAATTGGGGACCGAGTCTTTTTCTTTTGGGAGAGCTTGCTTTGGCTTCCTGATGTTTTTGTGAAACACATACTGACATTTCAATAGTGATCCCCGCCAAGTGCATGGCCGTCCGTGATGGCAAGCTAGCCCAACATGAAGCTGTATCGCTAGTTCCGGGCGATGTTGTCTTCGTTCGCATGGGCGACAAGACTCCAGCTGATATATTGGTATTCTCTGCCTCTGATTGCAAGGTTGACAATTCCTCCTTGACTGGAGAATCCGAGCCCCAAGAGCGAATGAAGGACAATGATATGCGAAACCCTCTTGAAGCCACGAATCTCATGTTCAATAGCACACTTTGTGTTTCAGGAGAAGCTTACGGTATCGTCATTCGCACTGGTGACAGCACAGTGCTCGGTCAAATTGCAAATCTCACATCTGGTGAAGAGAAGATGACCTCTCCTCTTACCCACGAGATTGGTAATTTCGTCAAGATTATTGCCACACTTGCTATTTTGACCGCCCTCATCTTCTTCGGTGTTGCGTTCCCTGTCAACGATGACAACATTAGTCTTGCCCTGAACTTTGCAATTGGTATTTTCGTTGCTTGGGTACCTGAGGGTCTGCCTGCTACGGTCACCATGCTCTTGACCATTGCTGCTAAGAGAATGGCCTCGCAAAATGTTCTGGTCAAGGATCTGCAAGGTGTCGAGACTTTGGGAGCCATTACCCTACTAGCTACCGACAAGACTGGAACCTTGACTCGAAACCAAATGACAACCACCAATGTCTGGACTTGTGGAGAACTATACGAAGCCACTCAACGTGCTGGCAACGAAAAGACTGTCGCTAAGCTGGACAAGCCAGGTGTCCCAGACCTTCTACACATCTGCGCCCTCTGCTGCAGGGTCAAGTTTGACCGAACCGATATCCCTATGAAAGAACGTCAAATCTTGGGAGATGCAACCGAATCTGGTCTTATTCGCTACGCCGCTGACTCTCTCGGAAATTTCGACAGCCTTGCCATCAAATACCCTAAGGTCTTCGAAATCCCCTTCAACTCCGAGACCAAGATGCACATCAGTATCCACAAGAAAGCTCATGCTAACGGCCCATTGACTCTCTACATTAAGGGTGCTCCTGAACGTGTCTGGAAGCTCTGTAACCGCTTTCTCATTGGTTCGGATGGAGAGTCTGTTCCCCTGACTGCTGAGCACAAGCAACGTTATGATGAGACATACGAGCACATGGCTAGTCAAGGACATCGTGTTTTGGGCTTTGCTGAACTGTTGCTTCCTGGAGATCAATATCCGGAGGACTTTGTTTTCGACAAGAAGACGAAGAACTATCCCCAAGGCGACTTTACATTCGTCGGTCTCGCTTCTCTCCAAGATCCCCCTAAACATGGCGTTCGCGAAGCCATTGGACGTTGCCGTGCTGCTGGTATCGTAAGTTACCTCCCAAATTGCGCGATGAAGTGCGAGACACAAGAACAATCAAGAGCTAATTGGTCAATAGAAAGTGATTATGGTTACAGGCGATCATCCCTTGACTGCTGAAGCCATTGGTCGTAAGATCAACTTGATGCTCGGCGAAACCAAGGCCATGGTAGCTAAGCGGACTGACCGCACCATCGAGGAAGTCCGAGAAGATGAATACGACGCCATTGTGATTCATGGTGAAATGATCGACAACTTAACTGAGGCCGAGTGGGACAATATCTTGTGGAAGCCCGAGATCATTTTTGCTCGTACTTCGCCGAAGCATAAGTTGGAGATCGTTCGTCGTGCTCAGAGCATGGGACATAGTAAGCATACTCACATTCTTCCAGGTCCTTGACCAAAAACTAACGGGATATTCCCCCTAAGTCGTCGGCGTTACAGGTGACGGCGTCAACGATGCTCCTGCGCTCAAGAAAGCCGATCTGGGAATTGCCATGAACCTGTCCGGATCCGACGTCAGTAAGGAAGCTGCAGCCATGATCCTCCTCGATGACAACTTCGCAAGCATCATCCGTGGTATTGAAGAAGGCCGTCTTATCTTCGTCAACTTGAAGAAATCGATCAAGTATACGGTATCTCACATCACACCTGAGATTATCCCCAACTTGCTCTATGTCATTGTTCCGATCCCTCTTCCTCTCTCGGCTATCTTGATCTTGGTCATTGATCTCGGATTCGAACTTATTGCCGCTCTCTCGTTCGCCTGGGATCCTCCTGAGACCGAAGACGGTTTGATGCAACTGCCACCTCGCAAGCCCGTCACTCCCGAGACAGCCAACATCTTCCGTCGTCGCGCTCTCCGCCGCACCCAATCACGCTACGACGAAGAGGCCGGTGTAGTCATCGCTCCCGAGAACCTGACCAAATGGCAAAAGCTCCACTACAAGGTGCGAACCTGGTTCTCCAAAGCCTACTGGCTCGATCGTTTCGAAAACACCGGTGCGGAAGTCTTAGTCGACGGCAACGTTCTCTCCTGGGCCTACCTCGAAATTGGCATGCTCGAAGCAATCGGCTCAACCGTCGCATTCTTCGTCGTGATGAACAGCCGCGGCATCACCCCCTACGACGCACACATCATGCAAAAAGGCCAAGGTGCTCCGACCAACTACTGGACCAAGAAGGCCCTCCCCTACAAAAGCATCGACGGACCCACTCAATACGATATCCTGGCCGAGGCGCAGAGCATGTACTACTGGTCCATCATGACGATGCAGATGTTCAACCTCTTCGCCTGCAAGACCCGACTCACGCTGCCCTTCGGCAAATACATGTTCTCCAACCACGCCACCTTCTACTGCATCCTGGCCGGCTCGTCGCTCGCGGCGTTCATCATCTACACCCCCGGCGTCGAAGTCGTGTTCGGTACCTCGCGCCACCTGCTACCGCTGTACTGGCTGGTACCGATGGGCTTTGGAGTCGTCTTGATTTCGTATGCGGCGATCCGGATGATCATTTCGCGGAAGATGAGGCCGATTAAGTGGAATCCGGAGGTGTCTGGTTTGCAGATGTTTCCTACGATTCATACGTTTAGGTCTTTGTCTGTCAGGCGCGAGAGTAGGGATTTTAGACCTCTGGATGAGTGAGTCGGGGCAGTGGGGCGGCGGTGGTTTGCTCTTGCGACTAAAGGGGAAGGATGTTTTGCGGAATGGCATGGGGGGAAAGTTACTTGCAGATATGAGATACGAGGTTCTGCTTATGACGATGCGGCGCTATACCCAGAGTAGCTTTCTGAATCAAGATTTGCTTCTCTATGGTCTTCTCGCTGGTGGTGTGAGATCTGTGAATCTATTTAATGCGTGACTGACTTACATACAGTGTTACCCCCTGATCATACCAATATATAGAATCATCGGGCACAGTACAGTATTATCCCAGATCCCTATGTTAGCTTGCCAGAAATCGGGGGTACACTGCTTCAACTTGAAAAGAGTACAGTGCATAAACAGAATTTGTGTCAAGATTCAGAATCCGTCAGTGACTCAGTACTCTGAAGCGGCGTAAGCTCCCTCCTCTTCAAGTCAAAGTAGAATAATCGAGTGGCAAGAAACTAACGCCCGAGTTGGCCCTCGTATCTTAAACCCATAAGCAGACCCCTTTCGGCCTCCCCACTCGAGTCCAGCTCAGTCAGCAGGGAAGTTCCTAGAAAGAGTCGATATGAACAGCTCTTCAAGGATTTGGGCTATCTTACTCTCGAAGAACGCCAATCGAGCATAGAAGAGAAAGGGAGAAACTAAAGCCGCGATCGGGGTAGCGAGAGAAGACGTGCTGCTGGATAGAGATTAAAGTTTTCTCGATATAATCTCACTATATCGATCGAGAAGGGGTACTTAAACATTTTATTGAACCAGGATGGCAAGTGACGGGACTTCTAGTTTCTGTACGAAGGATATACACTGAGCCAGAGCGTCCAGTGGCCTTGTCATGTCCGACATCGACTGAACATACCAGCATCCTACAGCAGTTCCATCAAACTTGAGGGTATCCAAGCATGCCGCCAGAGACAATCATAGCCTCTCCCATTGTACCAGTAAACATTATATACCTCCCTCTGCCCATTCATTATACAGCCCAGGGGTATCACTCAATTCAACCACGCCCAACTCCCCACGACCCTCCCCTCCGCCTCCTCTGCTAGACTCGTAAACATCTTCAAGCTCAAATCCAAGTCCGTAGCTAGGCACCCCACACACCTATCCACAACCTCTACATCCACGCTCCTATTCCCACCCACAGTAGAATCATACCTCGTTATCCGTATCTTCTTCCCACACAACGGATTATCATTTGGATTCGAGCTCGTCGACACCGCATCCCACAGCAAGTGCGAGACAGCACAGATGGAATCATCGGCCGTATTCTCGTACCCACACGCTCCATACCCGGGCCCTGGACTATAATACGTCAAATCACCCGTAAATATACCCGTATCAGACGGCAGCGGCAAGTTCTGCGATTTTTTCCTGAAGAGAGGAAGGAGGATTAGTCGATTCTTTCGAAGAGAGGAGAAGGAGGAGGAGCATCGACCGAATCGCGCGGTATGACGCCCGGATGAAAAGTATTAAGATTAACCCACGACTTGTGACTCAATCCCAGCCCAAGCGCGAGACCGAGAATGAGTCCGAGGAGGAGAATCAGAGCCGCGATGCTGCAGAAGAAATTCTTGCGGCTGCGGCCCATGCATGATAGCCAATGCGGTAGCCATCGATCCGAGAACGTGCGCTTCACGCTGCCGGTCTCTACGCCTGATGTCTCTGCTGGGGTTTCTTTTGGGGTGGAGGGAGTGTGGGAGGAGGTGGCGAAGAGGTTTAGTTTCGAGAGGATGTCTTTCTTGGGTGTTGCCGCTGGCGCTTCCCATTCGGGGGTCTCGTGGAATTTGGGTTCGGTTGCCATTGTGGAGAGTGATGATGGTGGGAATATTTAGGATAGAGAGAGCATTGCGGAATGAATGGTGCTCAAAACGAGTGTAATGCAAGAATACTTGCGATGGGTGATGATTGTAGGAAGTGGAGTGCGAGTGAGTTGTGAAGAAAGTTGGTCGAGGTTGGATGATGACCCTTGCAGGCTCCGCTCCTTCCGCATTTCTGGGGTTCAGCTTAGTAATGCCGCTAAAATATACGCCTAAGTCAGGGGTATCGGTGGTTATTTACACCTCACCTCACATCTCGCTTCACTTCTTGTTCGTCATGTCTACTCTGTGCCTCAATACCGAGAGAGTGCAAAAAGTGATGCTTGTGTGTACTGTACAACGACGGAATTCTTCCAGGGACTGACTAGTTTTCCCTTCACATATTATGCTCAACCTGAGTTTATCCGGAAGCATGGTTGGATCAATGAGCATGGTTGCAACAGAAGTGCTATGCGAATTTATTTTGATGATTTGTTCCGCAAGTCTCTTCTGCTAATGCTCAACATTCCATTTCTTGCATTAATTGCTTTGCAGGATTGCTGGAAAGGTCTATCTCTAAGTTTCATGGTTTAAACAGGAATGTCGGTTCTAATTTGAACATGGAATTGAGAATACCAGTATCAACTTCCGAATTATGTTTCAGACTTTGGGGAATTACCGGTGCAGCTTGCTGCAAATCTTTACCTTGCTTGTTCTTCTGTTTGCTTCAGTAATACCGTATGCTCCCAGAGACGGACGACCATATCACAAAGCAGAGGGGCTTTTTTAACGTTGGCTACGTTTGTGTCTTGTGTCATGTGCTATCATCAAGATCCCATTTAGCTATACTCTTTCAAAAAGCAAACAAAACCAAATTACAAGCCCGGAAATCATTTGCAGACATTTGATTGGCTGTGCCTTTCACATATGTGTATTTGAGACAGACTTGCAACCCTGATAGCAGCGTGACAAGTACTTTACACCTACTGTGTCACAATATTAAATGCCTGAGAAAGCCTTTCATGACTTAGTGTGTCGGAGAACCCGAAAAATACTTTGCTTTGAATGGAAATCGAATTTCTAACTGTTGGCACACAAACTTATACAAACCTTTGTTTATTGTAAAGAATGTATAATTTAGACAATTTAGTAGCAAGTTATGTGTTGTCTTCAAGAGTCAATATGATGCTGCATATGCAATTTAAGTCAAGTGCATTGCAAAAAAATGGCGCTACTTAGGTAGCTATACAAACCACAGGCAGAATATCTATCATCGGCCCTCTTTTTACGCTGACATACTCGCTTTCATATTGCTCAAGTATGAAGAATTGTAGAGATGCTCCGTGTAGAGCTAAAACTTGTCAGAAGTTGTCGCCTTATTGCCAAGGCGAAGCGGCAAGGCGACAAGGCGCATAGCCCGATTTCAGAGATATCAATAATTATGAGAGCTTCGGGATATTCAATACAATATCTATGGTTCATCAACCTTCTTTATACTGTGCTTCTTTAGAGAGACAAACTAATACGATACGTTTGTTTGGTAGAAAGTGAATTTAGTGAGATTGTCGGAACCTTGGTCAAGACTTGTGGATAATGCAAAAACGGTAAGCTTGACTGACCTTTGAATACACACTAGGCCATGAGAACTGCTAATCTCCGGCTTGAGATAAATTAGCGTGTTTTGCTCAGCCAGATCGTACGATCGCGTTTTGAGGACTCTCCAGCTTCCTACCATTATCAACCACATCTACGCCTTCCTGCCAGAGCTCCTTGAAGCCAACGTCAAGATGTCGAGAAAAAGATTCAACAGAGAAGGATTTCTGGTCCTTGACGACGGCAAGACCTTCTTGCCTATTCAACGATCCCCTTACGACCCCACACCTTCAACACAATCAGATGTCAACTTCTTCATATCGGAATTAAGTGCACTCGACTTCGAAGCTCTTGGAGTCGATGAAGTCAATAAGATGACAAGGAAGTTGGAGAAGGAAATCCTGGTCATCCCTTTGGGCTCCATTGGCTTGATCGATTATTACATATACTGCGACATCTTCCTTCCAGGATCTTTGAACGGTCAAAAGAACAGCGAAGGCCGTGCGCATGTCAGAGAGAGTCTGAGGAACCTGAAGTTCTTTAAGCTCAATGGAAACCCAGTTCATTCATCTGTGCTTGTGCTCCCGCTTGGCCGACTCTACGCGTCGCACCACCACCACCAGCATTTTTTGCAGTCTCACTGGGTCATTGTCCTTGATAAAACACAGCAACTTTGGGCACTATATGCCGACGGAATTGATAACGAGGATGCTGTCAAAGAGACGAACGGAAGACCTTACAGATACGAGGAGGCGTGGGACACAGCGTTTGGAGCCGATCGAGCTGATGGCGAGAAGGTTGTCTTGCTTGGCTCTTTGAAGGACATTCCCTTTAAGGAAGGTGGACGATTGAACCAAGTCAAAGTTCAGGGTCGCTCGGAGTGGTCGACTACCCTCAGCAACTTCGATCTCCGAAAGCCTATGCTCTCTCCAAATATCGTTGAGAGCCATCTCCGCCGGGATATTCGCCTCATTAGCAACCCTGGAAACTCCAAAACCAAGGCCAGAAACATATTCGAGTTGGAGCACGAATACGGTTATCTCAATTTCTGCGACGACGTGCAGCGACTCAATGAGCCAAAGGGTCTAATTGTCGGACGTACACTGATGGACGCAGCCTGGTGCAGACTGGTTGTACAGTTCTTCAAGGCTTCTATCGTTGGACGCACTGCTCTTGGTATCCGTAAATGGTAAGCAGAAAATTCTTGATAAAGTTCATCTTCACCCATTGAGAGAACGTCACCAAAAAAAGAATCTTGTACTAACTTCCTGTAGTGTCAAATCATTCCACGATGCCATCATGCAGGGCCATGGTATATCAGCGCAGAAGTACTGGTATAGACAAGCCAATGATTATCCGGGTCTTAATATTTCCGAGGGTTCGAGCAACTACTGGGACTGCGGCCATAGAGGCATGATGTGGTGGAATAGTCGTCCCGGATCATCGGATATATCTGTGCGACACAACGCACCCCTTCAGAAGTTTCTCGTCGCCTATGTTATGAAGGATGATGCCACAGAGAATGAGGAGCCTATGAGTCTTGCTGAGGCAGAGGAATATGGCTTGGTCAAGCTTATCAACGAGTAACTTCTAGGTGTTAGCGTCTAGGATTGCCATGATGGGGCGGGCATAAAATGTAACATATGTCTTCCTTTAGAGCACGAAAAGCAGACAGTCTCTTCAACAGCATCAAGCGTCTAACGTGTCAACTGACTTTCCCTGATATATCTTCATGCAACGTCTATTTTCTTTCACTTTCGAGCAGTACAAGTGTTCCAGCCACATTTGAGTTTTCACACTAATGCTATTGTTTGTCTGTTTTCACCCGCATAGCACTGACTCACTCACTTAGTCTGTAGTGCTCAGGTGGAGGGTATTAAGTTTGAATGGAGATGCTCAGATGACTAACAATGAGAGGGTCAAAAGCTAGATAAGGTGAGTTGGTTTTGATTAGCACTATAGTCCCAGACGACAAGTGACCCCAACAAAGCCCATTTCTGTCTTTAAACCTGAGCAATCGCCGCTCTAATCTGCGTCTAAGCCCTGAGCACGCCAATATCTTAGCTGAATCATGCTTCAGGGATCCTCTTCAAACCCCCTCACGAATCGATTATAGTTTCCATGCCGTCTAAATATAAACCTTGCTAATACCTATTAGGCTATTAGTTTGGAACACAGCCACTTCTTTAGAGCTGTTAGAATATTATAATACTATCCGTTCTCGCCCCATTGTCAAAACTATCAAGGATCCCTGCCGAATCCAATTTGGATTTTCTCTAGTCCAGTCGTACGTGAAAAGATTGGGAGCGAAAAAAGTCTAGCTAGAGATATATTACTGCGAAAGTAGGGGATGATAGTTGTCCTGCGCTCTTTATCACTTCAACCAGGGCCAGCCTATGGTCGTTGTAGTGCAGATGATAGTTAAGAATACTTTGGATTGTTGAATCATCAGGTGAAGTAATTTGAGTTTTACTGCAAAATTTCAGCCGGCACTAAGTACTACCAAGCAGAATTACTTCAAGCCAAAACCGTCCAAATTATATTATTACAACTCGAACTACTTTGTCTCGGTGAATAAATAAGGCTTATACCCTATCTTGTAGTACAATAAGGCATTAAATGCAATCACTTCGAGACATTGTCTTTCAAATCGATATACTCCCGATTGTAGTACTCCGAATCTAAAACAGTTTCCCCCCTGTGGGTGAAATTGGGTCCCATGGCACATAAGAAACACTAATGTGGGAACAGAGCAAAATCGGCTCCCAACGCTAGCGTTAGAAAGGGTGCAATTTTTGGCTTCCCGATGTGGCGCCTGTCTTGCACTGGCATATTCGAAGGTTCTGCCGCGAGAGGACGGATTATGTTTCGCTGGACGAAGAATGCCCCGCAGCAACGGGAGAGGATGAGGCTATAGCAATTTCACTAACCAGATATCGACACGTTAGTAGACTTCTAGTCTTATAATCTCTGTATTTCCTATTCTTGGGGAATGGAATCATCCGGCAATTGTCCTCCAGGGGCAAAGTAACTCTTCTGCGCTCTCTTCCTCCTCTTTCTAAAACTTCGACCTCCTTTCGATTTCTCTACTATCCTTTCGGACACCCGCACAATACTCGCCTAATACTCCGCCGCTAACCCCTGGGTGAAGGTCGGCTTATAATTAATAAACAATACCTTGACAACCGTGGAATTCGGCCTGTTCCTTAGTTCAGCAAACAACTCTCTAAATCGCTTTAGCCATGTTGTCGTAAGCCGTTCTTCTTCGATCTCGCCTAAAAGCGCCGTGTCGACGACAATGTATATTTGTTTGAATCCGGCCAGAACAGAACCCAGCAGCGCGAACCATTCATTTTCGGTCCTCGCGCTTTGGAAGCGCACGGCACTGAGGCTGAAGGAGCGCTCGTCGAGCATGGTGTGGTTTTTCTGCAAGATCTGATAGACTAATTGCTTGACGACTTCGATCCTCGTGATCAGTTTTTGTTCACTAATGTCAGATGACGGCTTATGTAAAATCCACACCACCGGTGTCCTCGCCCCGTCAAGAATATCTAGAACATCTGCGGCAAAGTCCCTGACGAGATGGCGTGTGCGAAACGGCGAGCTGACAATGATTTGAGACGATGTGGGCTCCGTGCCGAAAGTTTTGAGGCTGGGAGACTCGTGGAGGGCGTGCAAGAGAAATTTATCGTGTTGTCGGCGACGGTTGCGCATTGAGGAATAGAATTGCCGGATGTGTTCGGGGGGGTCGAAGGGGGAGGCGTGGATGAAAGAGAGAATTTGGGAGAATTGGATCTCGCAGACGCTGCGATTTGTGTCGAGGAGGCGGGCGTGGTTGAGCGTGCTGTAGGCTGATATTGTTAGGACCTTATGGAGTTAACAAATATTGTCGTGGCGACTTACATTCCATCAACTTTTTCATGTCTTCCAATAACTCGTAGGTATCCAGGAGCTTGGAGTGCATTCGTCGTTGCTCGGCTAAACTCAGACTTGCCGCGAGCTGATCCACTTTCCGTGAGGATTCTCTGATTTCGTTGACAAGATCTTGAAATCGAAGACTTAAAGGCCGTGTGATAGAAGTTATCGCATGCTTGAATTTTCCTTCTTTGTACCATTTGATCGCTCTTTGGACAAAACTAATAATGTTGGCGTATAATATAGCGACCAGAGTCTTTATGTAGGAAAGAGCACGGCTTTGAGCTCTATATGCGGTACAGTGTCTGCGATGTAACACAATGCTTTAGATAGTTCATTGATGAGTTGTTCTTGATTTGAGACGCCCTGCGTGGCATGGTCAGCTGTCTTCCTCCTGAATTTGGGATGGCGTCGAGTGAGCGCATAATGAAGACAAATTTGATAGCTCTCCACGCTAAAGAGGCATATTCTACCACAAAGTTAGAAGCTTGATGCGATCATTGACAGAAAGGGGTCTTACCAGGTTGTTGGCATAATATATTTAAAACATTTCCATAAAACAGGATTCTGGACGATAGCTTAGATAGCCATACTCTGGCCTTTGACTGCTTTAACGAATCATATCTATCTTTGGCATCCCGAACAGCCTCTTGCACGTCTTCCATAGATGTTTTGTTCTAGAGCCATATCTTCTTGCATTCATCTTCAGTGAGGTTCAATTTGAAATACTGAACCGCATTTTGGAAAGCTTCTTGAGCAGGATCCGGTGAGCTGTGACGCGATCAGTCTCTCATCTTTCCTCATCGAGATCTAACGATACTTACTTTGGATCTTCGTGAAGAAAGTCCCAGCCAAGCCCTGGCAATGCAGTCAGGGCGCTGTGTGTTCCCAGTTGGACGGCCATAAAGAGGGCAGTCTATCCAGGACACGGCTAAGTGGTCGGTTGAGGAACAAGTTCTCTAATTCTCAATACTCCTTGGTATCCCGATTCTTATTAATGTTCCCGGTCTTCGCTATTATAATGAACTTTTTCTGAGTCGAGATTCGGTTGGTCTGTTCCGGACGTGGAGCGAAACAGGTTGCTCTCTGCCGTCAATGGATCAGTGCAGCGATTTCGTCAGTTACTAGTTTGATCCAAAAGATGTAAAGTCTTATCCAACAGCTGGATTCTTTCACAGCGTTTAGGCACTTAAAATTTGGGTGCAATTCGATCCTCTTGAAGAGATGAAGAGATGGATTGCTCTGCCCGTGTAACCCCGCGCGCCCGGCCAAGCGTATCGTCAAACGACGCGACTTTAACTTCCATTCAACTCCACCGACATGACCATTCTCCAGCCGATCCCGGTCGGAAGATTGTCATACTTCACCCATGAATGATGAGGATGACGCCAATCTAGGCTCTCTCCATCGAAGTAACAGCAGCCGAAAGAGAGGCCCCCCAGCGAAGACGGCCCCCGCGCTCTGGAAACCTCTGTATCTGGGTGAAGACGAGAGTGGGCTTGTTATTCGGTCGCCACCTCCAGTAGTTTCTTCTCCAACTTCAGTCTATTTTGTGGACAGGCTTGGGCGAGCTATCGCCGAGAGTCGCATTTCTCCGCCCATCGAGAGCGGCCCTGAACTAGAGGGCACCGGTATCGAAGATCCGCCCAAGGCTGAAGATCAGTCAGAAACTGCGCGATCATCTGCAGGAAATAACCTATTTATTGAATAGAGAAGAAGGAATAATCTGTTATACATTAGGTCAACTATCTTTAAAGATAACACTTCTGCGGCACGAACAGAAATTCAAGAAGGACTCTTGTTCTTAGGGCAGAAATCTGGCAAACAACAAGTATATATTTTATTTCAAATATCTCTTAATGCTCCCTGCTGATGATAGTTTTATGTAGTATCACAAGAAGGTTGACTTCGGCCTGATCAATCGCCGCGTCGATGCTTTTCCCTATTCCGATCGATCTAAACCCCCGAAGTCTACCTTAGTTCTCCTCTCTAACACTTTGAGCCATAAATCTTTCAAGTATCCAGATTTCCTTACAAGCAACAATTACTTCCACTCCACTTGTATCGATAATTCCGACCCTCCCTTAATCCCTACAGCACTTTCAGGGACAGGCATTGGAAATATGGCAGGATTGTATGGCGAACCGCATAGCCCACCTCTACCTCCATTGAGGAGAACAACGGCAACAATAAATACTGAAAGCGTGTCTTTCGAGGTGTCACTGCATCTAATCCCGTTGCTTTGACTGAATCAGGTGTTGGCAACTTCCGCGAGCCAAAGCGGAGAAAGATTGATGATCCTGTGATATCGGCACAGTCTCAGTACTTGAGGAACCGCCCGCCTTTGCTCCAGCAAACTCCACCTACAAACCGTATTGCAGTGTTTAATGTAAGGAGCTAGTTCCGAATCCTGCAGTTTCTTACGTGTATTTCACAGAATGCGCCGAACTTCAACCGCGCTCCTCAATCACCACCCGGACTTTCAGCCTCGAATATGTTTCGGCACGCATTCCCACCGATGACCCAATCTAATAACCCCCTCACTTATAATGGAAATAGTAAGGACATCTATCAGCTGCATTAAATCAATATGTTACAGAACATCTTACTAGATACCTTGTCAACTATAAGCACTAACAATCTCTTTAACAATAACAATCTCAAGTGCTCAAGATCACGGCGGAGCAACATCGAATACCTCAGAAGAAATGTTTAATATGCCCCTGAATTTCGGCGAGAAGAAAAATTACCCTAAGCAGCTCGACTGGAAAGCGCGAATTTGTCAACTGTCTGGAATATCCATTTAAGCGTTAGATGATCGAATTCTCAAAGGACTTGAAGCAATGGCGGCAGCATTCAATCTGGTAACGGAAAATTAATCTGAAAACAGTACCCTGGGACCAACGTATGACGTTCTGCACCGGATCAAGTGTTGGAGCAGCGACGAAACAACCGTATTTCACGACGCTCCATACTACACGAGTCAAGCAGAAAACCATACACATATGACTGGGGTGAAAGCTGTTCCAAATGTTGAGTTACATATTGACCGGGAACCGCGTCTCTCTTTCGTAGTGTTCATGAATTATTCATGTTGTCAAGTCTCCAGCTCCGGCGTCCTGAAGAAAGGTGACGAACCAATATCGACCAAACGTACCATCCTCCCTGTCTCGGCAATTCTTTGCCAAGTTCTCCAAGAATTGTCTCTGAGTAGTCCAATTGCGGCAAACATGAGTCCCGCGTTCGATATGCAGATCGAGATACCCACTCCGCATCTGTGGGTATATCATTCGAAAAAGGCAATTTCGGAGACCATGAAGAAATTCGATTTAGTACAGAATCAGCATCTGGATGTTTTTATAGACTACGTGAACAAATATTTCGGCCCTGAATATGCAATCGTAGATCATCAAGTTCATTGTAGCATGGTTTCATCGCAGTACCTTTTGTACATTTTCGTAAGTCTCGCCACTGAGATCTTCATGGAAGACATGAGCATACGCATATTCATGGATGTTAGATACCCAGCCAAGTCATCGTCGTCGCAGATCGAGAACATGTAAATGAAGACTCTGAAAAGTACGCGAGAACGTACTTACTGGGAAGCTGGCCCACCTTGACAGTGATGAGCAAACCGAAACTGTTGCCCACTGCCGTACTATTGCTCAAAGCCGCTTGTTGGGAGTATGACGGCGCTTTCCAATGGACACAATATGATCTGGACATGGATACCGAGGAGACTGGACCTCCGGTACCGATCAACGACCTCAAGATCTACCCGGTCGACTATGCAAAGCCGGGATTGAAAGAAAAGTTCCGCATCAGAGGACAGACGTTCTGGGATTTCCGGTTCAAGAACCTGGTGTGCTATAATGGCTGGGATTTCAACCGGAAAGACTATGTGGTAGAAGAACCGCTGTGTTGAGTGGATTGTTGTTACTGACCTAGTATAGCGAGATTCAAGGTTCATGGTCGATTTTCAAACCTACAGATATATGCATCCTGATGCACCCGCCGCAAGTACACGACTCAAAGATAGCTTAGGTGCTGATAAGATGGCGGCAGAAAAACCGCCTGGAGATGACTTTGTTCTCTTTTTACCGCCAAGTGTCTATGGATTCAATATGCTGGATAAAAAGTGGGGTATGTATTAAACTCTTCGGACATTGCTATTTATGTCGATATTGTTAACAGAAGTATTGTAGTTAATTTGTTGGTTGATAACATGGTGCCGATTCTGTGGAACAAGGACGCCTTCGAAAGCTTTGCTTTGGATGAGGAAACAAAGGTGCTTATCACGGCACTTGTTACAAACAAAATTACCACGAACATGTTAGTGGATATTATGAGCGGAAAGGGAAACGGGTTGATTGTGTTACTGCATGGGTAAAGCTATTCTTTAGTACAACCGTGACATTCGGCTACTTACAAGGTGTAGGGGTCTTGGCATTGGAAAAACATTGACTGCAGAGAAGTAACTGCTGATGCACTGAATTCTTTGACTCGAATGCTACGCTAATCGATAAATGCAGTGTAGCGGAGATCGTTGAAAAACCACTCTATCGGGTGACTTGCGGGGACATTGGAACGAATGCAGAAAATGTGGAAAAGGTATAAACAGTCGTAATATTCTGTCTACTTATCCAAAGACTAATGCAGCCAGTACCTCACCGTCGTTCTTCATTTGGGGAAAATTTGGGACTGCGATTAGTTCTTCCAGAATGTCACATGTGTCAGTCTGTGCTCACCCAAACAGTTGTTCTCCTGGACGAAGCCGAAGTTTTCCTGCAAGAACGGAGTCTCGAAGACTTGCAGAGAAATGCTCTTGTTTCAGGTTCAAAATACTCCCCACATTGGTGGCAAAGAAACCTTTTTAACCCTTGGCTTGAACAATGTTTCTGCGAGTACTTGAATATTACGAAGGTCAGACTCCCACCATCCCCAACCCAACACTATTCACCATCTCCCAGGTATCCTCATCCTCACAAGCAATCGCGTCGGCACCTTCGACGAAGCTTTCAAATCCCGCATCCAGCTCGCCCTTCGCTACGAACCCTTCAATAAATTCCAGCGCCGCAAGGTCTGGGAGAACTTCATCAAAAAGATCGAAGAATTCGAAGCCGACACAATCGAATCCGGCGATTTGTGCAGGAACATTGACCAGCTGGCTGCTTTTGACATGAATGGACGGCAGATCCGCAACGCGATGACGACGGCGCGTCAATTAGCCAAGTACCAGGAACAGACACTAGATTTCAAGGTGCTGAGGCATGTCATTAATGTATCGGGGAAGTTTGATAATTATCTGAAGAATTTGAATAAGAAGTTGTCGGATGAGAATCTGGCGAGAGAGGAGCCTTTACGATAGCACTTTTGTGGACGCGATCTTTGTTAGAGCGGTACACGTCAATGTAAAGAACATGTGACTAGGCATAAGCGAGAGCAAGGGTCACAAGGGCATATATATATAGTGATGCAGGATCTTTTATCTTCTTCTATCTTTAATTTCAGTCTTCATAATACACGTTGAACCCTTATACCTTCTGCCCCTGTCATTGCCCCTAACTGACTCCATAACACTCTTTCAATATTTAGAACTTCTTAGCAGACAAGTTAAAGTATGCGTCTCAAGCAGTGCCAAATTCTCAGAGCTCAGACTATTGAACCGCAAATTCGGTCCAACTATCTGGCCACTATTTGGAGTCATAGCGAAATGTTCAACTCTGACAATGTGACCATCTTATGTTATCTCCTTGATAATTACTAGTACGAATCAACGGCCTTCTGGGAGGATCCTACTTAGTATCCCTCTGAGCCATTTAGTCTCCCTGAATAGTCGTGTAGAGTTGATAACTTTCGGCGGCAGAATCGAATGGCAAAGCCAAGTATGATTGGTCACCGAAAGCGACAGAAGGATCGTGACTGAGTACGGGGGTGCAGCGTGAGGAACCTGACCAGAGGGTGAGGCGAGGATGAGTACCTGAGCAGAGCGACGCTGCCTAACCGCATTGGATGCGAATTCGAGAAAATGTCGTCTATTATCAAACAAATAGATCTTTTTTTAGGGTAGGCAAATCACACTTATCCACGAAGTCCTAGGCAAACCCTTCTCTTACCCATTTGTACCAAGGATCAGCCGCAAAAGGTACTTGAAATGTACCATCACTGAACATGAATGTGGAAAAGGGTTAGATTAGAAGTCTAACTATCCTAGCCTAAAACTGAGTATCAGTAGAGCTTTTCCGTCCTTTCATCTTATCATCGCTCGAAGCCTTTTATCGAACCAACTAGTAGCTTCCTCAAAGTAAGTCTACTACATCTAAGAAATGTCAAAGGACCTTTGTTTTCAACTAACGTTGAAGAACAAGAAAGTAGCCAAGATCAGCAAGTTGGTGGGACAAGTTTGCAACAAAATGAGTGGCGCGGCTTTTGTTGTAGGCTGTTGGGGAAGGAAACTGAGTAAGTTGAACATATGAAACACATTTTGAATGTTTACTGAAAGCCGGTAAGTGGTACGGAAAGAGTTCATTGTTCAAATTGCCTCATTGCCTCCTTACTTCAGCACGATGCCTCCTTCATTACACCAACGAAATCCATTTAGTGCCACGCCGTCAAGTCAAACAAGCCCTGTTCCAAATCATATCACTCTTCTTCAATAGCTCCCTTGCACTCACTTCTTCGCATCCTTGCCAGCTCGAATGTGATCACTATCCCCACCAGCAGCTGCTTGTGTCGTCGTCTCCCAGTTTGTAAACGCGTACTTGGCAGTTTTGGAGTCCTTCTTTACACTTCCAGAATTGGTGTCAGCTGGGGGTGCAATGGTGAAAGTCATACGGTTGACTGGAGTTTTGAGATTTTCGTAAGCCTCGGTTTCTGGCTTGCTTTCGGAAGAACCCATCTTGATCAGACTGGAGATGATGCGCTCGTGATTGTATTCGTTGTGGCTTTTTGATGGAGATTTTTGTGTTCGTCAAAGATTTCAGAATCGAATTGTGAAGAGGCAGTAGCTTAGCTAGTGAAAGCAGCGAAGCGGGGCGGGGTGAGATATGAAAACATGGAGGGGCGCAGTTACAATACCAACATTCGGCTGCGCCTCACCTTCCTTTTCTGGTTGTCTTGTGATACTCCTTCCTCTTCAGATAGGACAATTTATCGGCTTAATATAGACTGCGTGTTGAAAGTGACAGGCTTAATTGCGCCATAAGTAGCACGCCATCTCTAGATAAACGTTCGGGAGAGACATGCGCTGCAGAAAATACTGGATTTGTCCGGCAGGTTGCGCGATTTTATGGACACCAAGTCACTTATCAACGCCACCAGCTGCCGGGTTCAATGAGTGATTCGACATGACACGTAAGATTCAGGCCTAGTACTTGATCTGAAAATTCGAATCATTCCTACAGTCACAATGTGAATATCTTCACACTTAGAACTCCTACTCGAACACACATATTACGGGAATGTCACGAATCTTCTGCCACTTTCACCGTCTCGTCTCGATCCAGACTACAATTAACAAACAAAGTCCGTACTGGCAGAACCAGTTCCTTGTTCCCTTCGTTTTGAATTCTCAGTAGAGTCTTTGAGCAGCGACTTGCGTGCTCGTAGTTCACAAGCTTTTTATCCAGTGGCCTCTGGAACGTTACGGCTTACCTCTGCCATTCGTACAGATATTGATATTTGTGCCTAACTTCGAGTGCCGTGCCAAAATATTTGTATAGTTTCCTTGCAGAACTTCTTAGACAACGATTCATAGTCCAGTGTCGACTACCTCCAGTGTTGACTGTATTCACGAACGCATTTGTTGTGCAGTACTGAATCCCAGCATGATGGTGGGTAGTAGGCATAAGACATAATGTCGAAAGAGCAGCCCAATTCCAATACTTCTTTGACACTGAAACCTCAACTAGTTGCTCTGTCGGGCGGTGCTAGTAAATAGTGAGGTGAAGATTGCGAACCAGAGGCTAAACACAAGATACTATCAAGGAGCACAGGAGCACATTCATTATGCCTTGGACCTCGATAGTGATATTGAAGATATTCATGATCAACGAAATGAGAGATTTGCAACTAGAACCCCAAAGGCTGGACAAAACATGGAGTGTTGTTCGAACAGCTATAGCATACCCCCCTAAGCATATATTAGTTCGCCAGAAATGTGGAGACATGCCGCTTCAACTTGAAGAGAGTGCACAAGCAAAATTTGTATCAAGATTCAAAGTCATCCAGTTATTCAGTTCTTTAAAGCAGCATATCTTCTCTCCTCTTCAAGTTGAGCCAGTTGCCAAAATTGGGTCATTGAAAAGGAGGAAATATGGTTGATGGCCCAGCTTTCAAGGATGTACAACAGCCCGAAGCACGGATTTCTGACCCTTATAACTATCGAGGGCTTCATATACCAAATCAGCGTTGAGACCCTCGATGATCCTAAACTTCGGTATCAAGATCTTTCCCTCCTGTACCCACTTTCCCAAGTTCTCCCAGTACAGTTTCCCAGTGGCCTCGTCGAAGTTGTTCTTCCAACCACTCACCCCACTACCTCGTCCAAGCTGCTTCCCTCTCTTCTTCAGCTCAGCATTCAAATCCCCGATGTGCAGTGCCGCAATGAAACTTGGACCATGGGTAGCAACCATGTCGAGCGCCAATGTATAATCAGAAGTGATAGCATCGAAAACGTGGGTCACCTCTTCTGGACCTCTTCAACGATGTCGTCCGAATGACGATCAACAACGTGTGTTGCTCCCATTGCTCGCAGATTTTGCTCTCCGCTCAAAGATGCTATAGATACAATCGTTCCGATGCCTGCAATCTTAGCGAGCTGAACTGCGAGCTTTCCACAATTCGTGCCGCCACCGACGATGACTAGCTTTTCCTTGCCATAGTCGAAGGTTTTCGCTTCAGTCGAGAAAGGAGCAGGGAAGCCCAACCAGTTCTGAAGAAAAAGAGCACAGAAGGTGGTCGTAGCGTTAATGGGAAGCGTGGCCATTTGGTCATCCGTGAAACCTTCTGGTACTGGAGCAGACATATTGATTGGCAAAGTCGCATACTCTTGAAGCCCACTCGAGTCAGGGATCACGGCGACTGCCTCACCTTGCCCATAGATGTGCTGGCCGATGGAGTACTCTGTGACATTTTGTCCGAGTTCTTGGACGATACCTGCGATGTTGTGGCCGGGAATTGCGGGCAAGTGGCCTTGAACGAAGAGCCCACGGTCTCTGCTTGCGGTATCGTGAGGAAGTACTTATCCTGTTAATGGATATTTGGTTTGTGGACGAAGAAGCCGCATACCTTGAGTTGCATTTACCTTGATAAGAACTTCCCCTTCTTTAGGACTTGATATTGGACGAGTGTCCAAAGTCAGGGGCTTCCCGATCTCTTTTATAAACAGAGCTTTCTGCATGTTCGTCATATTGAACTACTTTCAATTGAAGTGATCTCACTAATATGTAGATTACTTTGGGATATCTGATCTTTGAAAAGTCATTTCCAGAGCATCAAGTACTCCATATATATAGTAAGGAACTGCTGACATACCTTGGAAGTCTTGATCCAAGATTCCAAATGATGAAACGACAAACTATCAACAACCCGGTTAGTAATATGTATTAATAATCTAGTGGAAGAGAATAATCATCTTTACTTTTCTTGAATGCTCAATGTGGACTGGTTGAATTAGCGTTTGCTGCTAACTTCCAAGTTGAGTATCGACTTCCCATTATCCCGAAGCGGAAGTTTTGAGATTTGAAGCCGCACGCGCATACATGAATACTGATATATTGCAGTACAATGTGGAATCTATAGCTTCAAAGTTCCGCTCTCAGTATGATATCTGCTCCTTTCTCGGCAACTGCATAAACGGTGCTCAAAATATTTCCTCTTGGCACGATCGGGATAACACTTGCATCGCAAACTCTCACATTCGCAGTTCCATAGACTTTCAAAGCCTCATCGACAACTCCACCTAACTCCTCGCCCATCATCGCACACGTGCCTGCTGGGTGATAATTTGTTGCTGCATATTGAGGTAGATACCGTTTGATATCATCAATGTCTATTCTTTGGCGGGAATATCCAGTTGGTAGTGTGTTGCCACCAGGTTTTAGTTGTGCAGATAGCGAGGGCTGCGTTAGCATTTGGCCAATCTGAACGACATGGCGGGAAAAGATTTCGGCATCCAAAGGGTGTTGAAGGTAATTGAATTTGATCTCCGGAGGCGTGCTGGACTTTGTGGATGTGATGTGCGAACTCCCACGAGAAAATGGATATGAGAGCATAGCAATGATGGTCATATAATTTCCCGGTACGGGTCCAGAAGATGGAAAGCTTCTTTGTTTGCGAGTCATGAATACCGTCCCGGTAGATTCGTTTGGGTCCTGAATCAAGCGTTGAATAATCTCATATTGAGCATTGTATCCTTTGCTTATCGCCGACGAGTTCTCTTCGAGAGTCTTGGTGACTAGGGCATCCAGCTCTCGTACTTCGTCTGATGAACTCAATGTCTGCAATGGAATGTAGGAGAAGCTGTACGCAGCACCCTCCGCAGCAGAGCCTTTCTTCTCGGCTTCGTACAGTGTTTTTGCGGCTTCTGCTGCTGTGGCGTCGCGAGCAGTGACATCCGCTGTCATGATAATATCATGCACTTCGACCGACGGACCAAAATTCAGATGATCTTGGAGGTTTTCTACCCCACATATTAGCTATAATGTCCACCATGCTAAACAGTATATATTCTTACCACCAACACCTGGGAGGTTTCGAAGACAGTTGATACCTACCGCAGCCATTATTTCGCGGTCTCCGATGCCAGAAAGCTCCAGTATTTTAGGTGATCCGTAAGTGCCTGCACAGATAATGACTTCTTGACGGGCATAGACAGTCACATCTTGCTGAGAGGTTTCTGGTCTGTAAAGAACACCTGATGCCACAAGATTTCCATTCTTCTCATTCTCGTCGAACATGACCTTTTCCACAAATACATTGCTTCTGACGACAAGATTCTCTCGCTTCGTGGAAGGCTCCAAGAAAGCTACTCCAGCATGACTTCTTTCTCTTTTAGAAGAGTCAATAGCATTTGTAGTTGTTGAGCCTCCAACGAGGTCTCCATCGAGGGGATTCTTGGAGGTGCTGAATCCTAGATCGTGGATTGCATCTACCCAAGCCTTTTGCAGCACATGTGGTGTAACCGGAAAGGAGGCTCGAACGCCCTCATGGCCATTTTCGTTCTTCTGACTTTGGGGTTTCCCAGCATCATCGCCTACTCCCCATTCCGAAACCTCAATGCTCAGCTCTCGCTTGACATCCTCACTAGGCTCCTGCAAAGTCTGAAACTTTCTATAGTACCTCTTGATTCCTTCCCAGTCCCAACGCTCTGCTGATTTCGCAGCACCTCTTCCAAGTAAGCTACTCCACGCATTGTGGTAGCCCCTAGACGGATAGACCAGTGCATGCGAGTTGATCGCGCTGGAACCACCCCACAATTTCCCCCTCGGTTGCTGAATCACTCTCCCATTTAAGCCCTCCTCAGGCGAAGTTTGGAACTGCCAATCATAACTAGGATTCCCAAGTAAGTACTTTGAAAACCCTGGTACTCGCACATTGGGGTCCTCGTTGCGGTTTTGCCCTGCCTCAAGGACCAGAATTCGTAGGGACGGATTGGACGAAAGGCGCGCTGCGAGAACACTTCCCGCGGTCCCTCCTCCGACAATAATTATATCGAAAGTGTCAACTGGATTCTTCGAACTCATTTTAAGCTGAAGATTGAGTTCTATCTTTCTTGTGGAACTACTCAGTATAAAGTTGGAGGTATACAATGTAATTGAAATGTCAATGTCGATCTCGGATTTAATGACAAAAGATACTCCGCCTATGATATCGCCCGCTGAACTTAATAATCAGATAGGCGTGTCGAATTCGACTTGTCTGATCTGTAGGGCAAAATGAGCTAAATTAGCTCCGATCCTCCATTCTGCCCGCGATGACCAGAACTTGAAGAATGTGAGAAAATAGTAGCCACGAATGAAAATATATCGGCACAGCCCGTTCATGCTAGGGAATGCACTATTTCAGTGTACAATTCTATTAATAATGGCCCTATAAAACATTCTGGGCTTCATTGCAACCGCATATCTAGTAACCCCAAGCTACCCTCTGATTCAATGAACCATACTCTTCCCAATCTCACTTTGCCAACCTTTGGCTCGCTCGAATCCGTTCGAATGCGTTTGATAATCCATCAAAGCTTTGGTAAACTTCTTCCTGTGTGTTGAGGACGAAAGGTCCATATTGAACGACTTTCTGGTCAAGGTGAAGGCCGGCGACGAGAACTGTAAAGAAGGTATCTGTTAGTATTTGAATCGAACAATACTTGTATTGCAGAGATGGAAGCATGATTAGTAATTTGCAGACCCGACTCGCCGACGATCGTAGTGGGGGCCGCTATCGGAGGAAGAGCACACGAAACGAATCCGGTTCGATTTGTTAATAGGTTCCGATACCCAGTTCTCCTCCACAAACACAGCGTTTGCGGTTTAGTGGTAGTAACTAGGATTGCGAAACTTATTCCTTAATTGGGCAGGGCTGCGGAATGTTTTGCTCCAGACAGCGAGAGTGTCACGTGATCGACCGTGACTTGCAAAACTTGTCATTAATTTCCCTTTTAGTTTACAATAAAATGTAAAGCCTAACTATTTTAAATTCGATAGTGGTATCATTCAAAGTGAAGCATTCATCTCATTTCGTGTTTAATTGCATTATTTGAATACATGTGACAAGGCTTCAGAAAGGTACAAGTCTGAAGCCTTGCGCTAATGGGACGAGGCTATCGTCTGGAAAAATGTGGAGGGTCTATGTAGTAAAAATGCACAGTCCACCGTGAAGACCTTGAGAGGTGTGTGTAGTAGAAAACCACGAAAACCCACTTGCTTGAGAGTGAAAATCTCTCACCATCGCTGGCCCCCCCCCACACACCAGCCAAGGAGACTTACCCAGGTAGCCTTATTCAGACCATGCACCTGCAGCCCATATCGTTTATCGAAATTGAGGGATCTGGACGTTGGACAAGAAGCATGCTTCCACGAAACTGGAAAGAACGATTTTATTGTCAGTTGGAGTGTGACCAAGTCTTGAAATTCCTTCCTAGCTTTCACGATTTCCATTGAAGATCTCATTGGAAAGGAGCCTGTATTGAAGAACATGTATAAGGCGATGGCCCCAAGAGAGTGCATGCACCGACCACCAAGTTGAATCTCCAATAAACTGTTGACTCCATGGCACCTAGGTTTAAGCCCAAAAATGTGCGACGCTGCAAAGCGGAATTAGCGACAACCCTGCACTTTGTCCTCTAGCACTTCTCTTCAGCATGGCTCTCGCGGACGAAGTGTTCTGTGATATGAAAGCCACCGTCCGATATTGCGATGAACCTATCCAGAAAGACATGATCAAGCTGGATGTGACAGGGTCTGCGAAAAAGCTTCCCGTCCTTCGCAGCTTCTACACCAATAAAGAAAATAAAGCATGGTCTTACGCCTCCTGTCACACCCAGCTCATCCGCCTTGGATATCGAATGGGGTTTGAAAAGTCTGCCACATCATACGCCATCCGACTACAATGTGCTAATTTGCTTTGTGGTAAGGTGGAAGAGCTTGAGGTTCCTCTCGGGAAAACGATCACTGACGTTCACAGCTACTGTTGCACCTGCTCAGGCAGGTAAGATTTTAGGACAAAAAGGGCCTTCCGTTTTACAAAAGTCATATGCGAGTACTATCTCTGGAATTGATGTTCAATCCTTGTACCAGAAAAAGCCAATGCATACCTCGGATATCGCGAAGATGACGCGTCTCAAATTCTCGAACAATCTGCGCAAAGGCGCTCCATACAGGCTCCTGAGGAAAGAACGGCTCGCCGCTCTACAGACAGAAGAAGTGCAGGATCTGAGTCGTAGGCGGGAACGAGGTACTGTTTCGAAACAACAACTTGATGTTGCAAAAGCCAGAGCAAAAAGAGAGTATATTGCAAAGCTACGCCAAGACTATTTCGAACGCAGTTCGAATGAGTACGCTGAACTGGCCCTGGACGACCTTGGTCCATGCCGAGCACGTGTTGTTGAGTTGATGTACTGTCATTGTTATCACATGACCTTTGGTCACGTGCTAGATTAGTCAGCTCCTTCGGAGCCCAAAAGGCTCAGCGGAGCTGAGCCTTTCAATCAAGCCTTTTTCAACCTCTTAATATCACAGTACAACTCGATTGATGTTCCCCGCCACACCCGGCAGGCTAATTTGGTCAAAGCTATATCGACACTGTGCACATCCTCGGAACGCTTGATTGTTAGGCGACATAACCGCCACCACTTGTCAGATATCGAAAGAGTGTCAGGAGGTGTCCATATCTTAATCGGATCACCATCCAGGTACCAATCAACATTCTCTTTTAGCTCATAGCTAATCCCCCCAGCTTTTACGAGGCCTCCGGTCCGAAGCTTGAATCTTTTTCGGGCCATTTGGATATAAACGAAGCGCCCCCTTGCCCTTATCAGGATTGCATGAAACACTTCTAACCTTGCGCTTCCAAGCAGCTGTTAATAATGAAGCACTGGCAAAAAGATCATAAACTGAAGAGAACAAGACGGGAAGTTTGCCGAGCCTCGTCATGTCAAGCTCACAGAGGTTCTTTGAAGACTGATCTCATGTCGATCATGCACGAGGACCTTGAACATATGCTGAGCAAAGCACCCCACATTGTAAGGTGTCGAGCATTTGACGATTACATAATCCCGGAGGTGCTAGAAAGTGCATGATCTTAGTCGGGTATGATTCCATTCAGATAGAGTCTTGTATCGAACTTTGTTATAAATTTTTGACTTCTAAAGCCTCCAATCTTCAGATCTCAAAGTTCAAAATCCCCTTAAATTGATCCATCCGCTCAAACCTTTCACACGCAACCCAGTGGTGTTGTGCAGATTTGAGGAAAGTCATTTGTGAATTGTAATGAGATTTTGCGCGTGTGAAGCCATCTTTATTTTTGATCGGACGTATGAGCACATTTTGAGACTGGTCTTAACAAAATCTCAGATTTGTGCTTTCAAGATAGTAATTTGTTCTTGGATCCAATTTAGGGTGGACAATTCCTATGTTACATGCTGGAGTTCTCGCAAGAAGTTTAAATAAATATATGGATCATGTTCGTTGTTTATTCTTCAATTAGCTGTTGCTCTCGCTCTACAACATGGCCCCTATTCACAATGTGTCAGATAGCTGCCGCCACAAGATGAGTAGTGGATGCATAAGGCTCCACCCTGGTCTGTTGTGGGACGTTCCAAGGTAGCGGAATCGCCTGAGATCATTTTCAGCTTGTGTCTTCGGTCACGTTTTCTGCCAGGAAACTCATCTTTTCACCGGTGTAGTGGGCCCAAAGATAGAGACTCGCGCCAATGAGGTGATATATTGCAGGGTCAGTGCCTTGGTATAGTAGCACAGATGCAAAAGAGCTCAGTATCAGGATGAAAACACGAAATCGCACACTCCGCTGGAGCCAAGTATTTGCGATAACACCCAGTGGTAACTCTAGAACAATGATGCCTATACCAAACAACAAATTGATCATTTGCAAAGCAGGTACTGGTTTCACGAGTCCGTTCAAATTATCTGTCATGAAGTCCCAAAAAATTTTCGGCCAGAAGAAGCCTTCAAGAGCGGCTGCGATTTGGTCTCCAATGTCAGCGCAGGGAGCAGAATGTCTGATCACGTGGTTACTCACAAGTGGCAGCAGAAAGAACAATAAGGCGAGCCAAATGCATCTTGATCAGTCTCGCCATAGTAAGTATTGCGCGCGTGTTACGCGTGTGGGACACATCGCTCTTTTACATTGCGCTACTTATAATTGCAAATTGTTGTTCCAGAAAACCGCGATCCGTTCTGATTCCGTGGTCCCTCGTTTCATGTATCCCTGAATCCATGATTCCACTGTTGCATGATTTCACTACGCTTTTTTATATATGCCAACATTTTATAAGTATATAGCTCGAGAAGAGATTGAAAAATGTCTGCACCTGAGGACACTCTAGCAACTTTGCAATTATGAGTCAAAGACAGGCCGCAGCCCTTGCGGAAGAAAATCGTATTCGAGATGAGCACCAAGCAGCTATTACCGCCAGACGGGCAGCTGCGGACACAACTGGTCATGCCGAGACGAATGGATATCGAGGGCCATCCGTAGAATCAGAATCAGATGAATACGACCTTGCAGAGGAATCAGCCGTTGTGCCCGTCGTGTTGTCTGTAATCGGTTCGAATTCACAGCAACCTAGTGGTCATCGAGCACCACCTGCACCACCTGCACCACCTGCATCACCAACACCACCACCAGCATATGTACCAAGCGCACCGCCATTAGAACTGCCAATCGTCTCGGTGCCCACGCCTACACATAATCCAGCACAGGCTGCACAGCAGTCTACTACTTCTCCTTCAGCCCCCATAATATCACCCGTACCACCAATAGCACCGCCAACCGTCGGAGGAGCCACACTTGCTCCACAGCACTCACTACTTTTCACACCAAACGACTGGTCTTCAAATGGTAGTCGTATTGCTATGCCACCCAATAGGAGTCCAGATCTTATGAGCTTAGATGTACGTGTTTCCCTTATTTTGAAGCTCAAATTTAACACGAATTTAGGGCTTGAGTATTGATGGATCATGGAATACGCACCCCGCTGTTGCTGATGTAAGGCTAGCAATTAGGGATGAACCAGTGAGAGCCCCTTTTAAAAGAGCTCTTCGTACGAGAGGGAACTCTTTTCTCCTTAGTTAATTCTTCTTGTAATACAATCAGGTTCTTGCTTTGACTCATTGCATCCAACCCGTGACACATAGCGTAACAGACTTTCTTTACCACAGCTGCATCACACAGCTTATACTATCCCTAAATTATATTAAAACGTCTTACCTGAGCTCTAAGTCCCTCTTAATATGCAGGAAATCAATGACAGCTCTGTGGCAGCTAGGGCGTGCAAATTCATACAAGGTTGCCATACGGGTCAGTACCTCGGATCGAAGCGAGTGACGATTTTAGTTAGCGCGAAATAATCCCGCAGTATTTACCTTCTGATGTAAACGGTGAAGCCTTAGGCATAAAGGCCAACAGTAGCTAGAGGTACTGCGGTACCGCAGCGCTTGGTCCCGCCCACAGCGCTGTCAACTGGCAGGAGGTGGAACACTCCGCGAGACGTAGCTGCGTCAAAAATTTATTAATACTATATTTTGTAGAAAAAGCTAGAAGGCAAGTGGCGATTCTTAGATAGTATATAAGTAAATAATTCTCTAAAACTTTTTAAGAAATGAAACTATTTTCGTTAATTTTAAATAGTTAACTTTACTCCTTTTTTAAAGCAAAAAAATGAAATTCTCCCAGATGAATGCCCTATAGCAAGACTTTTGTTCCAAGTAGCTGAACAAGTTTGCCGATAATTAGGAGGTAGCCAAAGAATATTTGTATCGTTTTCCATTACCCAATGATTAAATACTTGTAAGATTGGTAATAGCTTGCCGTCAGGGGAAAAGGGGACAGAATTGACCGATTGTGAATGGCCCTCGAGCGTCTGCAGCACTGCGCCTGTCGCGGCGTCCCAGAGCCGGATGGTCTTGTCGCCAGAGCTAGAGACGACCTGCTTGCCGTCAGGGGAGAAGGCGACTGACCAAACCGATTTTGAATGGCCCTCGAGCGTCTGTAGCGCCGCGTTCCAATACGCTTGTACTCTAGGCTTTCGTTGAATCCAAGGGGGGATATGATTTTCAAATGTCTCTCGGATAATACTCTTCTCTGGGGCGAAGATAAGAGCTGAACAGTATAATTGAAGGGGCGCTTGTTCAACGATTGATCGGTTGTATACGGTAAACCACCACGCATCATGAATAAACGCATGTAAATTGGGATTATCATCGAACTTGTTTACATTAATTGCTTTGATGACATGATGGACTAACACGAAGAAACATACCTGAACATTTTCAAGCCTGTTGATCATGACTATGCCATCTGGCAGGTTCTTCATTAGGCTCAGCGCTTCGAGCCAGTACAGAAAGCTTTGGCATAGAAAACTATAGACTGAGCCACCGTCCTGGAGGTTCCTGATTTTGTCCTCTAAAGTATGGCAATCGAGGAGATGACTAATCCAGTACTGACAAGAGTACCGTGCGGCGGCGAGTGGATCTGGATCGGGCTGCTTGACTTCGTCGATAGAGATCCCGGGAGCGCGTAGGCTATAGATATCACGTCTTAGTGTCTTAGACATTACTTGTAACGATCGCAAGAAGATGGTATAATGCACATCCTCTATCCTTGAAGGAAAGATGTCGTTAGATGCCTCCTTCACTAAGAAGTCCTTCGCAGACTGGTGGACGAAAGAGATGGTGCCGTCCCGAAGTGTTAGAAAAGAACCACAAAGCGCTATGATCTCTGTCAGAGATTCATCACCAGAGACGCCGTCGGGCATGTCGACCAGAGAGACAAGTTCATACAACGTAATAGGCTGATAGACACTCGAGACGACGGCCAGTATACTTTTGCAGAGCTTAGCATCTTTTGAATTGCAGATTTGGTCCATCATCTGCTTGTAGAAGGCATCGAGTCCAGGCGGAAACGCCATCAACACTTCTTCAGCTTTCCACCACGAGATATCGGCGAGTTCTTGGCAGACCAAGGCCACCCAGAGAAAAGTGCCGTTTGCGTTCGAGGACAAGTAGCGCTGGACAACGTTCCGCGTACCATCGTCGTATTTATTTCGCTTCGCTAACCAATCTACCTTGATCTGGATGTATGTGGTAACAGCTGCGGAGACGGATTTTTCGTTAAGCTCAAAACGCAGCCTCACTTCCCGCGTCGCAGTGTCGAGATCCTTCTCAATGCTCGGCCAGTTGCGACTAGAGACGATCCACTTGACACGCGAGTGTGCCGACGACTTCTGCACGACAAGATTGAGAAGCAGGCTCAGGCCTGTGGTACACTCATCGAGCGCGTCAATGACCAGGTAGGTACTACGTAAGCGCGGGTCCTCGAGAATGTTGGTGAAGATCTTCGACAATGCCACCCATGCATTCACGCCTTCAAAGCGCTGCTTCCCAGAATCATCATAGCTTTCGCGGATGTGGGAGATGAGAGACTGCTGCTGCTTCACAAGCAAGTAAAGCAGGCCGCGCAGGACAGCTGTGGCATTGTTAATGCGAGTGTCAGTGGCTTGGCAGAAGAAGAACAAGACGTTGGTGGTATGGGAGGCCGCCTTAACCAACTCGTCAATGATTCCGCAGAGCAACATCGTCTTGCCTTTGCCGGGATCGCCCTTGATCCAGAGCAGCCGATTTTGTTGGTCGTCGCGCCATCCTTGAAAATCGGCATTTTCGAGGACCCAGCAGTACGAATCTCTGAGGAGGCCACCTTTATCCAGCTCGATACGGACCTTGTCCTCGCAAGGGTTGGTCGTCTGCAGGTCCCGCAGACAGGCTCGATTCTCAGCATTAGACATACGCCTGTCCATCCTTTTTGCAAAGCCTAGATAGTTTTGAGCAACGCTTAGTTGGTCTCGATTGACTTCGACGAGCTCTTGTTGCTTTTTCAGAAGACTATACAGGATAGTACGTGAGACCTCTGCTTCCTCGGCAAGAGTCCTCAGGATATCGAGACTGGTAGCAGACATGGCTGTCTTAAACTTCAGAACAAGCTCTTTATCGCCGTCCTTAATATCCTGAAGTTTTTTGTCCCAGCCGTCGTAGTTGATGGTACCTCTGAAGAAGTTCTTGGTCCGACTACGATAGAACCGTAGCACGGTCTGCACCTGAAAATCGATAATGAATTTATAGAGGTCCACGAGACGATCTGTAAGATTGGCCCTCAGGTCGGATTTCATGTCCTCGGGTAACAACAGCGACTCTATCGCGACGTAGTAGCGCATCTGTGAGGTGACGTATGTGAACCCGTCCTGGTTGGCAGCCTCGGCAGCGCTTGGGTTCTTCAGGAGGGGGAGAATAAGAGAGACGCCTGCTACAACGATGGATGCGTACGGTAGGTCCTTGACGGCATCCTTTATATAGTCTTCGGTCCATTCCACAGCCCCAGCGACGTTAGCCACGACATCTTGCAGGACGATCTCATGACCTAACAGTGTTGCGCTGACTTTCTTGTCTTCCATATGCTTTAGACCGAGCTCCGTTATCTGCTTTAGCTTCTCTCGGCGTGCGATCGCATCGTGCTGGGGGATTTGATTTGTGACCTCGCCGGCGTCTTCTGGCTCGTGCGAGGCTGTTGACTTTGCTTGGGCTATGATGTCTCTAGTCAGCTGTTGGAAAAGCAGTCCAGCACGGGACGAAGCTTACCTCTGGTAGGCACTCTAGACAAAAGATCCTCATACGCGGCGATTCGATCAGGCTCTTCTTAAGAGCATCATATGCTGTGTCCCAGAGGGAACAGTCCCTGGCTGAATCGTCTGTAATATCTGCTGGTTGGTCGGCTATTGCAGTCTCGGATATTACTACTGCAACCTTAACGCCAGTGTTATTTAGGGAGATATTCGATGTCGTGTCCAAAGGTGTACGAAGTCGTGCCGGAAGAGGGGTGGAAGACTTTGGTATCGATGGTAGGGCGGGAGGGACTGTTATAGTCGATGGACCGGCATGCTCAGAAGGACGGAGGACGGCATCTAGTAGAGGTTGTTAGTACGAGAATAAGAGAGCTTCATCAATTGCATACGTTGTGTTGAGTTCGTTGACGAGACTGCGCAATATTTTGGAGAGTCATCCTGTGCCTCTGACTTCGCGGAATCCTTTTTACCACGTCCGATGACTCGTTTAAATCGCTCTCTGAAAGATAAATCGTCACTCATGGCCTTCGCGAACACTTTCGATAATGAATAGATTTGTTTCCTAAGAGACGAAAGATTGTGGGAGATCGACGCCTAAAACAGTGAGCGGTCGTCGCGGGGTCGCCATTGGTGGCTTGCCTTCACGCCAATAGAAATTCACGAGAGAGAGTAGCCAAGTCATTGCAGGGGCAAAAGGAAGCTTGCTTTGATTTTCTTTCGAGCAGATGCATCATGTAAAATTTACCCCTACTCAAAGGCAAGTCCGCCTAGTAGTGTCCAGAGGGTTGTGAGGTGATATATCACGTGAGAAAAATGAACTTCTGCCTGAGGAGAGGTACGAGGTTACTTCCTCAGGGGTGGCCATAGTAAAATCGAAGCGGTTCTGGGCATAGATTAGCGAGCTGGCTTTCGCGGTTGATGGGCTATTCATTGGTTGCTGGAGGTGTCAAAAGTAATAGGATCTGCCTTTCCAGCGGTGCCCTATCAGCAGATGCAGGGACAGTAAATGTCGAAGCTGAGAATCCCTTCTCATCATTTATTGCTCGGTCGGTAATGAACTTCGTTGTTGTATTGTGTTATTGATGCGGAAACCCGTCGGATTATCGCAGTCTCTGCGATAACCAATGAAGCGTTATCAGGTGGGTCGAGCAATAGCCATAAAATAATTACATAAGTGAATCCACGTCGTAATTACCTAAGTATTATGGCAGGTGCGGGGTCGTTTTGCTCTAACCAAAAATCGTTAGTGCTTCAACTCGAGGTATTCATTCGTGTGGCAGCTTTACCTAAATTTACACGCTATAGTAGCCACAAGGCCGATGACGATTTCCTGCATAGGTGTAAGGCCTTAGAGCTCGGATAAAACTCTTTTATAAGTATTAGGGATAGTAAAAGCTCGGTGGTTGAGCTGTGGTAGAGGAACTCTGTTACGCTATAAAAGGAGACCCTTTGCAAAATCAGGCGTGAAAGCAACGATGCGAAGGTGATTTGGTAGTAAGAGGGGTTCAAGGTGTGCGGGAGTGACCACGGAACATAACTTATAAAGGATATAGGAGATATTAAGGTGTGCGCAGACTTTAAGATGTGTGAAGTCAAAGTACCTATCATTTCTTCCGGCACACAGGGTTTTCCGGCACGCAGGGATGGACGTTACTCTACTTCAGTGGGCTCTAAGCACTCCAGCATTCCAGCACTACTATAAACATCTATAAACTTTGCTTAGAATAGCGACTTGATTGAAGTGCTGAGGTGCTGAGGTGTTGACGTATGGACTAGAACAAATGCTTAAACTCTTTAGTTGGATCTTTCAACGATCTATCCTCCAACCGGTTTGCAAATACTTTATTTCATAAGCAACTTGAAGCCCTGCGTATTATTAATAGCAAAATAAAAACAAGTATCTCCGTTTTAACGTTTCCATATAATCGCTTCATATGCGAGACCTCCCATTCACTCATAATCATAACTCCAAGCTTAAAACATATTGAAATAAATTTGGGGATTCAGAAATTCTGTCTATGAAATAGTTTCAAATATTAACCACTTTTAATAGAACTCCAGAACTCTTTTATCCAATGTTTACTACTCTATTCGTTGTTCTTATTTCCATGAAACGAAGAATCCTAATTGCTACTTGCGAACTCTGATTCATGGTTTGAGATCATTCCAAAGTTCCTTGTTTCTGAGTTTCTGGTTTTGTAAATTCTTGCTTTCTTATGACTCGTTCTTCTGAAGGGTTAAGTTCTCCCTTCAAAAGCTTACATGGTGAGGGTAGAATATCAGGAATTTACAATTTCACTTTGCCCACGAAAGTATGATGAGCAGAGTCCAAAGCTGTTTAGCACAGTAGCATGGACCTTATATACCTAATGATCCCCTTTGCAGGAATCGTTCTCCAGATCTGTCATAAAAAACACACCTAGCAAAGAAAGCTTCCCACATTTTCAATCACTATTCAAAATTAACATCATGGGCATTGTCAGAGCTTCTTTAGTTGCTGTTGGCGCTTTTATATTCACAAAAGTCCTGTGAGAATTTGACACACATCGGTTTTGATTAGCAACCACTAACTTTTCTGTAGCTTCAACAAGCTCAACGACCAAAAGTATGAACCCCTCATTCCAACCGAATCTCGATATGAACACCGAGAGACCCATAGAAGTCACGGCAGAAGAAGTCGCTCTCCATATATTCACCGTCGTTCCAGTCGTGCGCGCTCTACTTGAGTGCACGGAGCCTGACAGGAACAGGCAATGTAGAGGATAGCAAGGGTTCGTGAGGTTGATATGGAGAAATAGGAATTGATTGGGTAGTCATGAGAGTATGCTTTCTTTTTGGACGGGACCATTGTATTTGATCTAATTTGAATGAGTTCGGTTTGCTTCTCGGTCACTACTACATGTCTACTTTATTGCAATGTAAATAACACAGTTACTGAGAGCATCCTACAGTCTAATGCTGCGCCTATCACTTGAAAAGAATACCTGGGAGTACCATGGCCTCTGTACTACAATTCTCGATGTGAACATGAAATCAATTAAGAAGAGAACTTGCGATCATTTATATTCATTCTGAAAAGCCGATGATGATTTCCTCAGTGCCTTCATCTACCAGACGTTCCTTAATCTCGTCGAGAAACTGGTCGACGACTGCTCCAAGCCCATGCGGTTTATCTTCACAATAATCCTCCCAATCACTCTTTGCTTCCCTCTCCAATGTCCTCATCTTCGAGTAATATTGACGATAGGCAACCACATAATAATAATCCACATTATCTCCCGATGCTTTGGCGACATGTGCAGCTGATTTTTTCGCTTCCTTCTCGAAAGATTTGTAAGAATTGAGGATAGTTGCGTATTGAAGGTTTTGTTTGTACAGAACTTCGATAACTTCTTCAAGAAGTTTGTTGCGCTTTCGCAAATCGGAATTCTCGATAAGAACAGGCGAGCGCGTGCGAGGAGATAGAGGCAAAGCTTTATGGAAGAAGTTCGGAATGAGAGTGCTTGTATCAGAATCGGAATCCATTTTCCAAGTAGACGGCGATGCGAGGTAGAAATGGGGGAGTTGGGGAGCAGGTATATATATGGTGGGCCATAACGAGGATGGGAACCGGGTTTCCCAGATTCGGGGATACTGGAAAACAGAAGATTTGCACACGGATGTACGCTCTCAAACTACAAAGTGTTAGAACGTATAAATATAAAGCTGTCTTGGACACTCCCGAGTAATTCTCAAGTAGACCAAAGCACCTAACTTCATTATGAGCCAACAAAAGAGGAGATTTGATCTTCCCACGGTAGAAGAACTGCGAGATGAGGAAGACTTTCTCAACAAAGGGTGGGACGATTTTGCACATGCACTTAGCTTACCATTAGGACCTCAAAGCACCTCTCATCCCACACAGCTTGTTCTTGACCGGCGTGAGAACAAGCCGTACGTGCTCCAATCTTGCTTGCGAACCACTTGGACCGATGCTCGGGCAAGGCTGGTCGAGGTTGGCCGAAGGAGTCGTGCATTCATTCCACCGCGCTTCATGTTTGTCCACGAATTGGATCGGATGTGGCGTGCTCCAGTGATGACCAACCTGCACTCACGCTGGCGGACATCATCGGCAGCACGATGGCGATCAGCGAGATGCAGGTCGCAGCAGTGTTGAAACAAGTTAGCCAACCTACCTCGTCTCATCACTGCATTGATTGGCTTACTGGCGATGGTGCACCAGATCATCCAGGGACTACTCGAGTTGGAAGGAAAGGGTCTCGTGTATGGGGAATTGAAAGCATCCAACATCTTCCCCAGCACAGATGGCGAAATTCGCCTTGGTTAGCAGATTCTTCATTGCGATCGTGCATCTGTGTTAACCAATTACAGCTGCTTTCGGTCCACGCCTCCAACCGGCCAGAATATTCACAGGAAGTTGGAATTCCGGCTGCGAGGAACTGGGCCACCTGGCCAACCATATGCTGACAAGAGTTCCGCGACTGCTTGGTCGGACGCAGAATAGAGACCAGAAGCTTTTGATTCAAACAAAGTCCTCCAAGATGGAGATTGATATCAATCGGGAGCTGAGCGCCTGCTATTTTGACTTCCTCGATCGAAGCTTGCATGGGTAATGACACATGTCTCACAAATCTCAGTAAGGTAGGTACAGTAAGGTTGACTCAATGTGGGAGGTTCTCGGACGGACGACTGCTGACGGCTTGCATAGCACCGATTTCTCAGACAAGCCTTGGGGCCAGACTGCTTGGCATGTAACATTCGGCACGCCGAATTGACTGGCTTGCGGTACTAAGCGCCTATATTCCGAAAATTATGTCACGCCATGCGTGTTAATCTTCATGCAGGTTTATCTCCATGCATGTTATTTTTGAGGTGATACTGTGGGGTCGGGGATGGGGCGGGTCGTGTCGTTGAAAATGGAACAAGATAATCACACGCGACGCTGTATTCTACACCTACCTAGGTACTGTACGGAGTATTTCCAATTCAATTGAACGCGATGCACAACACAGTAATTGATTATTCAAGTCATCAGCATTAGTATTCAGGTCCGAGGGCTATAATAGATTATGGTTAGTGTTAGTCTGGGAGTCGTGAATGACTGTTTTTCCTGAAAATGCAAGGGTGAGAACGTGTCCTGTACAGTACTGTACGCGTACATAGCGAGCCAATGAATGGATCCATTCCTCTCCACCATTCACATCGCGTTCCATTGCACCGGGTCTCTGACAATCATGTGGATCCAATGGACTGGAAGCGAACTGAGTACATGACGCCAAGCGCGTTTATCCCGTCTATTCATACAACATCCCTTATCTTCAACCTCGAAATTCAAGTAGTCATACAACATACAACTGTTACAGAAAAACAACGAAATGAGTTGATCTTTACGCTTACCTTGTATCCCACTTATTGCCCTTGCTGTTTCCCTTCCCGCCTGGTGCAGCGCGGTTCCCTCTCCTCCTCTTCTCCGCATCTGCCGCTCTTCTCGTGTCTCTGGCTGACTGGCGATTTCCCCGCTCTGAGCTTATCGTCTCTGACTCGGATTCTGAAGATCCAGACGCCGATCCTCCATCCGTATCCATGTCGAAGTGTTTCTTGCATTGTCGTACGTGCCTGTCGAAGTTACTCGATAGGTCCTGCATCCCACTTGTCCATTCGGCAGCCACTTCATTGTGCTTCTTCATCTCATCTCTCAGTTTTGCATACTCTTTCTTCTGACGTTCAGCACCATTGAGGAACAGTAGTCCTTGCGCCAAGAGATCTTTCACATTCCTGCTAATGTTAGACCAGGGATGTCTTCACTGCAGCCATGAGAAAAACTTACTGCACTAACTGCTGCAATTCAACCGGGCTCTCTTCAACTGCGGTAGATGCCGTGGATAGATGGTCCGCGGTCGAAGACCCTTCTTCCCCGCTCTGTGCCGTACTTTGGTCGCCACTGTCATCGGCGAAGCCTTGATTGGTCGACTTGTCTTCATTCTTCTGATTCTGGATGTTTGCCTTTGGACTGTTGATACGTGGGCTGTTGTTGCCAAAGCTGGCCTGGCTACTGTTATCCACAGCTCCCATCCATGCACTTGTCCTAGCCTCTACAGGTGGGGTAGGCATTGACTGAGATATTTGTCTTGTGGACCATTCCGAGTCGCACGCCAGGTCCAGGCCATCCTGATGTGTTGTGAAAGCAGGATTGATGGTATGGAATGATGTGCTGACTCCATGCGGACCCCACCCCGGGGAAATCTGTTGTGCTTGTTGCAAGACCTAAGCTGATTTTATTTGTGTGGGTTGCATGTGAACCGGTTGCATTTGAGCTTGCCTTGGGACTTGCTGCATGTGAGATTGATTGATATGCATCTGAGATGGGTGTGCCTGTTGGACTTGGACGGGTGCATCTGGGTTGAGTGCATGTGGTTCGCCTGTCCCTGGTGGGATTGCATCTGAGCCGTTTGTGCCTGGGATTGTTGCATCTGTTGCATATGTGGATGTGTATGCATTTGAACTTGATTCTGTGAGGGTGTGTAGCCCATACTCGAATTGGTATCCCAGTTAGGACCAGGAAATGACATTGCCGAGTTGAACGATGGCTGGCTCCACAATTGTGGGCCTTCGTTCATTGGTTCATTGAATGTCATCGCGGATGTGAAAGAATCTATGCGTGATAATGTTGACGGGACTACCTTTGTGATTTGGAGAGAGAGGAACCCGTTACCTCTTATTGACTTTCAACCTTCGCGTGTTTCAACAATTCTTGGATTCTTTCTATTAGCAGGCGCTTACAAGACGTCTATCGTGTATTTTGGATTAAGCGCTTGTGTGTTCGAGTTCAGATCCTAGATTTACAACTTCCTGTCTTGTAAGAATTCCAGAATCTGCCGGATATAACTATATAAATGTCCTGGCATGGCGGCAATCCTTAGATCTTTTCTCAGCTACGCCTGTGTCGACGTTTAATTCCACCCCATTGTTCACCCATCTTGACCATTTTAATTCTAGTCTTTATGTTTTTGTCGTATGCCTTCCTACTGGTCTGCCTTACCGCCGAATTTGCGCACGTATTTCCACCAACGATATGCATGTCATCTCCACTTTATGCTATGACTGCTGGCTCTATGGTATCGGCCCGGTATGTATTGCGGATCTAAGGAGGTGTAAGCGTATGCTCCAGAACTGATGGCACTAGCCTCGATCCGGACAGGGAACGTTGCGAAGCAACACTTTCCTTCTCGAACCCCTCGTGCTTTCCAATTCACGTTGGGTTTTTTGCAATAGACTGCATGGGCCTACAAGTGGCTGAGTTTACAATCCCCAACGAAGTTCCCAATGGAGACGCTTTCGTGTTCTGGTAAGATTCTTCACTTTGCCTGTTTTAAACACTGACAAAAAGAAGGAAATGCGCTGGCCAGTCACCTATGTGTAATCAAGCGACCATGAGTGGCGGAACAGAAGATGTCGAGAATATTGTAAATGAATTGAATGGAACCATTGAATGTCTAAATCCTATCGCTACACAAACATCCATTTCCACATCTATTGGTTCTTCAACCACGGCTTTTGCAACATTACTCAGCACCCTGTTCACAACGAGCAGTACCTCGATTTCTGCCGGTGCAGTCACGATCGCTATTATTCCTGCGAACAAGACCACTTCCAACCCCCCCGTCGCCCTCACTAGTGCCGTATCCACGCTTGCTACAAGTGTTTCCTCTGCTGGACCGGGTACTTTTCGTGTCACGCAGTCTTCCATTGCGGGTCAGAGTGCTTCATCTATTACTGCTGTTGGTTCCGCAGGGGCCCCTTCAGGCCAGTCTCTTTCTTCTGTTGCTTCTAGTGTAACTAGTTCTGTTGTTAGCGTGATATATCAAACTATAACTACAACCATGACTGCACCCTGTACTACGACTGCCGTAGCACGCTGACAAACGAAATTACTTTGAGACCAGGCTCGTCTCGTGGAGAAGGAATCAGTTTGTATTTTCGTCGCGCGCCTGGACTATTGGCTTAATTTGATATGTATGGGTTTGATTTCAGGAACAGTTAGACTTGGTAGTAATGAATTTAATTCTTCTTTTGATTTGACATAGAGCAAAAATTCTTGTGCAGGCGCCTCCATCTATCCAATCTTGAAGTATTGCGTGCTGACCCATAGTCCTACTATCTCTTGTCCTGCTCAAGCGAATTCAAGGATGATGTTTTGCATGCGTCTTCTTGTGATGCTTGTATCCATATAGCTCAATTACTCTTCTCTCTTGCATATTTCGGAGATCTCATTGCATCCTATGATTAGCTTCGTTTTGCGCCTGATCTTGTCGCTCCCAAGCGCCTGCATGTGTCCAATGGCATATTTTTGTCCTACACCACCTTTTGAATCGAGGCAAGCGTCTATTGACCAATGAAACTTTCCTTGTATCACCGGATTGGTGGTTTGCATCTCAACGGTCCTTCTTTTCTCGTATCCAACGTTTCGTTTTCCAGAAATGCTGTATGTTCCAACATCCAGAGATTTAATGATTTAGCGAGTACTCGAGTGGTATATATGTCCAGCCTGCTCCGGACGACTATCTTTCCATCAGCATCATTCAGCATCATTCATCAACATCATCAACATCACCAAAATCAACAACATCAGCAATCATCATGGCAACTGCACAGTCCTGGCAACCAAGGCAGCCAACCACTCCATACCCCCTCGATGCGTATTCTGCACTCCCGTCACTGCACTTCTTGCCAAACAACGGAGATTCCCAGCTTCATCCGGCCAATCCGACTCCAGGATTCGAGCCAGAAACGCTGCAAAAGCTGTTTGCCGAGGAATTAAGAGTTCAAGCTTCCATCTCCATGTGCTTTCGATTGGAGCGTCTACTGGGAGCAGAGGTCTCAAAGAGGACCTCGCTGACCAACATAGTTAGCGACTTGCGGCATTAGTTACAAGAGACTTTTGTTCTTCTGGAAACTGCGGAGGCCGGCAACACTAACAAAGAGCGAGGCTTGGATGAGGCCAAGAAGGAGATCGAGCACCTAAACTCTATGTTGGAAGCTGCCTTTGACCATAAGCAAGCCCCAGTGAGTCTGAAACCTTCTTGTTCTGAATCATTGCTGATATTCTAGGTGGAGCCATCATCCCAGTCTGAAGAGTCTTCCGACGATGGTGCATTGGCTGTTCTTCCAATGATGCCATTGAAGCGTAAGGTAGACCAGCTGCCGGGGCCAAGCCCCAAACGACCTTTAATTTCCGCCGTCTGCTGAAGAGTCCAGCACCAACTACCCTGAGCCCAAGACCGGTTGTCTCACCTGTCACGCCTATTTCCATGAACAACTTTTCCTACTCCAATTGGTAGGTTATTGTCATTGGATTGAGTTTCTTTCATTGATTCGGTCGGGGCTCGTCTTCTGTTTACTGTTCAATTTGGTATTTTTTAAGTCATGTAGATTAAAGTGCTCACTTGCGTACATGTTTTATCTCTGGGAGAGTACTTTTAAAAAATGAAATGCGTTACAGAAAGCTTTTCCCTTCTGCACACACGACTTTCGCTGATTCGCCACTTTATTCTTCAAACTTAGCCTAGCTTGGCTATCCTCGATCAATTTGATTTTGATTGTGCTCGGTCTTCTTCGAGATTTCCATGCAGTGGGCCGCGCCTGGACCTGACTCTTGCACCAAAGTGCTACTGCCATCTTCTTTTCCGTCAACTTTTCCATCGTAGACTTTGTATACCAGCCTCCAGCTTGCTTCTCCTCCTTGCTTCCTTTGGTTGGAGTAATAACGTCCGTCCCTGCGTACTGAGACACCTGTGTGGCGAGACACTTTTTCGTACGGACCTTCGGAATCGCGCCATATCAACTACGTGAGTTTATTGTGAACGCATTTTGATTCGGCAGATGCTGTTCCTTTAGTATATTAGCCTCCGATAATTGAATGTCGATTGTTGAGTATGCTGCTAATTATTCTGTGGACGTGGTCTGTGGCCTCTCTACACATACCCCCCTGTTTATTCGCGACATCGCAAGTCTACCAAGAGCTTGAAAGGCCACAAGGGAAGTCAAGATATTGAAAATTATGACGCTAGGCTCGAATGGTCAATTCAAGGTGAGCATTATGCTTTCCGCGAGTTTTCGCCGCTCGGACGATAAGATCCTCTGGCAGGGCATGTAGTTTTAGCTACTCTTGGCATACATGACCCTGCAGTAGCGTGCTCAGATATTTGTGTATTTTATTCGTACTGAAATTAACACTATGCCTCTTCCTAGCAAGGTCTCAAAATTGCTGTGGCGCATTGGCCGGCCAGTTGCGTCGAACAGAGCTAACTACCCCAGGGAGAGATCCGTCTGGACTCTCTTCATAAAAAAACCGATTCAGAATTCCGCAGACCGTCTCCTAGTCACTGGCTGTCATGTTTCTTCGAACTGCAGCGCCCTCAGGATCGCGTGTATCCCAGACCTGGACGTGCCTCAATCTGATGGTTGCATCTCAGCCTTGCCACGTAGGTGGTAAGTTGTGCATCCAGCCGCCCCTGCCTACCATGTTCGCTGAGGCGCATTCAAACCTTCCCCACATCGCAGCTGGCAGCCTTCTTGAGGTCCTTTTGAGCGCGACATACGTATGCAGGAAAGTCTGATGTTCTGTATCCTGTACTCATACTGACATTGTCGCCAGAACGTAAACGTTTTCAACAGATGAGCGGATTAGCTGATTGAATGCTTTACCATCTGTCATCCTAGGCTGGCACCTTGAGCCCCTACATCACGATCCTGCCTCACGTACTCAACTACACATCAAGATGCGTCTCCTACAGTGCACCCGCGATAGCGGGTTCCGTCTGACTCCAGACATGGACGAAGACGAAATTGCAGTCCATCCTTATGCGATACTGTCACATACCTGGGGAGCAGAAGGAGAGGAGGTCACATTCGAAGATCTAGCAAGCGGTGCTGGGGAGAGAAAGCCTGGCTATAAGAAAATCGAGTTTTGTGGGAAGCAGGCAGAGCAAGACGGGCTGCAATACTTCTGGATTGACGCATGCTGCATTAACAAGGGAAACAAGGCTGAGTTCTCGCAGGCTATCCAGTCAATGTTTCGCTGGTATCGCAACGCGGCTCGCTGCTACGTCTACTTATCAGACGTGTCTTGTTCACCTCACAGAAGCGAAGAAGAAGCGAACCTGCTACTATGGGACTTGGAGTTCCGGCAAAGCAAATGGTTCCTGCGCGGTTGGACGCTTCAGGAGCTTCTCGCACCTAGCTTAGTCGAGTTCTTCTCGTGCCAAGGGAAGAAGCTTGGTGACAAGATCTCACTCAAGCAACAGATTCACGAAATCACCAGCATCCCGCTCCTTGCACTAGAAGGGACCCCTCTGTCTCAGTTCAGCATCCACGAGCGGCTGCGATGGAAAGGCGACCGGGAGACCACACGCGATGAAGATGGGTGGTATTCATTATCAGGCATCTTTTATGTTGAGATAGCGCCAGCTTACAGCGAAGGGGCGGCGAGCGCGTTCAGACGTTTGAAGGAAGAGATTGATAAGCAAGAAAGATGCGTTCAAGACGTACGCCACACGGATCCGCGTGATGACAAGAAGCGTATTGAGGATACAAAGGGTGGACTGCTAGCAGACTCGTACCGCTGGGTCCTTGACAACACCACCTTCCAGCAATGGCAACAGGACCCACACAACCAACTGCTATGGATAAAAGGTGATCCTGGTAAAGGCAAGACAATGCTGCTCTGCGGCATTATCGACGAGCTGCATAGTTCAATGCCTAGGACTGCCCTTCTATCCTACTTCTTCTGCCAAGAGACCGACTCGCGCATCAACAGCGCTACGGCCGTGCTACGAGGGCTGTTGTACATGCTCGTGAATCAACAACCGTCACTTGTATCGCACGTCCGCAAGAAGTACGATCACGCAGGCAAAACCTTGTTCGAGGATGCAAATGCCTGGGTAGCCTTGACAGAGATCTTCGTCGATGTGCTGCGAGACCCAAGCCTGAACACTACATACCTGATCATCGACGCGCTGGACGAGTGTATTACCAATAGGCCGAAGCTGCTGGAATTTATCGCGATGCAGTCTTCTACGTCTCAACGCGTCAAGTGGATTGTGTCTAGCCGTAATTGGCCAGACATTGAAACACAGCTAGAGCGGGCGGGACACAAAGTGAGACTAAGTCTTGAGCTAAACGCAAAGTCGGTTGCTGCGGCGGTTGACACCTTTATCCAGCGAAAAGTAGATCAGTTGGCGAAGGAAAAGCGGTACAAGGCGGAAATGAGACATGCCGTACTCCAGCACTTGACGTCAAACGCGAACGATACCTTCCTCTGGGTAGCGTTAGTGTGTCAAGATCTGAGAAAGACAACAAAGTGGAACGTGCTAAAGAAGCTACCCTTATTCCCGCCTGGGCTAGACTCCTTGTATAAGCGGATGATGCACCAGATAGGCGAGTCTGACAGCGCTGAGGTCTGTCGGCAGGTGCTGGCTTCGGCTGCGATCTTGTATCGACCTGCTACGATCCCGGAACTAATTGTGCTCGTTGAGCAGCTTGAAGACTTTGTCGACGACCTAGAGTCAGTGCGGGAGATTATCAGCCTTTGTGGATCGTTCCTTACTCTGCGAGAAGATACAGTCTACTTTGTGCATCAGTCCGCAAAGGACTTTCTCTTCGCAAAAGCATTAGATGAGGTATTTCCGCATGGAACCAAGGCCGCTCATCAAGTGATCTTCTCGAGGTCGCTCGCAATTTTGTCCAAGACATTGCACAGGGACATGTACAGTCTAAAAGCGCTAGGATTTCCTGTCAAAGACGTCAAACGGCCTGATCTAGACCCATTAGCAGCATCACGCTACCCGTGCATTTACTGGATTGATCATCTACACGACTCGAAACCTAGGTCTTCAGCAAACAATGTTCAATACCTGCAAGTTACAGGCATTGTTAATGAATTTATAAAGAAGAAATATCTCTATTGGCTAGAAGGGCTTAGTTTGTGCGAGAGCGTAGAGAAAGGTATAGTCTCGATGACAAAACTGTGGTCAATAGTGCAGGTATGTTATACAGAAATTGCATGTCTGTATAATGTAATCTAGATGCTAACGCAAGTAGGAGATGCGTGACCAAGATGGATTTACTCAGCTTGTTCAAGATGCACGGCGATTCGTCATGTATCATAAAGGGGCAATTGAGAGTTACCCTCTTCAAACATATGCATCTGCGCTGTTGTTCAGTCCAATAGGTAGTCTAATAAGACAGCTGTTTCAGCACGAAGAGCCTAAAGGAATTACTATGAAGCTAGCTATGAGCGACAACTGGGGCGCGTGCCTCCAGACGCTCGAAGGCCATAGCGACGGAGTTCACTCTGTGGCCTTCTCACACAACTCGGCCCAGCTAGCATCAGCATCGTGGGACAAGACCATCAAAATCTGGGATGCGAGCAGCGGCGCGTGCCTCCAGACGCTCGAAGGCCATAGCGACGGAGTTCACTCTGTGGCCTTCTCACAC